TGGTAATTAGTCTGATCATTTAGAGTAAATAAGTTGGTTTTATTGCACATAAAATTTGATGACCAGCCATTGATTGGCCATTAACCCGCCATTAACCCGCCATTGACTGGCAAATGACTGGCCATTGATTGGCCATTGATTGGCCATTGACCGGCATATGATTAGTCATTGCCAGGTCATTATCTGGTTTCTGACCATCATGGGCCAGACTTTGATTGTTGTCATCCAAATGCGGAGTTTATCCGCATTTATGTTAACTCCATTTTATTTAAAATAAACAGATGAGCAATGACATGGCTGACAGCCGTGAGAAACTACAATTTAAGATAGCTGTCAAAACTGCGTGTCCCACCTTTAGCATAACCTGTCAAATATCATTTAAAATACAATGTGTATCCACACCCGGATAAATCCCGGCAAGTTATGATAAAGTTATTTTAACTAACTGGGCCAGTTATTTAAAGTAAATGGGCACAAGTTATGGTGAAATTTTTGCAGTGTATAAGTGGTGGTTAGTATAAGATTGTGTCGCGAAGATGTCGAAGATAGGCTAAGTACTATAAATTACCGCTCGCCTTCGTCTAGCTTACTTCACCCTTGCTCTTCGCTCATACGAAACGGGATGGACCACTCGTGGAGATCAATATTGCCTTGTATCACCATTCCGACATACCGCTGCTCGTCGCCCTCTATCGCCAAATCCGCCTGCAACTTTTCCAAGCGCGACCGCACATCCACTTCGTACTCGTCCGTGAGCTGCCGAACGATCTGCTCCTGCGTGATACCCGATGAACAAGAATCCGCTGCGAGAGCGTTCACAAGGCACTTCGCGACAATATCGAGACCCGTTCGGTCCGCGTCGATGGTCGCCAGGTCGCGTTTCTGCTTGAAGAGCGCGCGCTTCTCTTGGCTGCTGTCGTCGTCCGGGAATACCACTTTGTACGGGGTTGCACTCGCAGAGAATGATCTATCGAGCTTGAACAGGAGGTAGTCGGCGCTCGGCTCCTTAGTCTGCATGGCTAGCTGAAGAAGCAAGTTGAACGAGCGCTTGTACTCCGGGCGACCCTCTGCGCGTGCCTTGGAGATCTTCTCTTTTCCGCAGGCGAGCTTGTGCGTGGGCCAGTCCGCTTTCTGGCACGCTCTGGATAACGTTAGTACGAATACGCGACGTGCGACGGTAGGAAGCGCGAGATGAGACGCACTTGGAGCAATAGTGGTAAGTGAAGTTGAGTCCGCGTTTGCACGCACCGCAGATGAGGAACCGCACATCGGCAGCAAAGCCCTCGGGCGTGCGGTCGCACCGTTCGCAGCGCTGACCTGCTCCGTTTTTTGCTTCCTTCCGCATGGAGATCATCTCCTGGATGCCCTTGGGACCAGCGTTCCAGATCAGGCGGGATACCATTGATTGGCCCTGCATATCCCTCATCCAGGCACCGAGAATGTGCTGCCATGAGAGCCAAGTAAATTGGACTACCAAGGAACCATTGACGTTTCAGTCAACTAGAGAGTTTGATAAAAGAGCAGAGAGACGTACACAGGAAGTAGCTTCGGGTGACCGTATACAGATCATATGTGTACCGATATCCAGCATGCTGTACCTGCGGGACATCGTCCAGTCGTAGCGCACTGGACCACCATTTACTCCGAACCATATCCCTGCCGGTAGAAGTCGATGAAGCCGACTCGATGTAGCGGTCGTGGAATGCGAAAAGCTCGAGTCCCCGTCGCCTCAGGAGAGAAGTACTATTGATCTCCAGGCAAAGAGCGCGAGCATCTTGACCGAGGACGGAACACCAGCACGTATCCTCGATGGCAAGGCTGAGAACCTCGCGCCGTCGCTCGTCGCCAACGAGCATGAACCAGTCCTTCGGGCTGCAGTCTTCGTATTGCGAGGTGTTGAAGAGCTCCCTGAGCCCCGTTATCACTTATCTTCGTTTGCGGTCGAACTCAAGGCGGAGGTCGCGCACTTCATTGTAGTCCCTTGAACGGATGCCGCCAGCTAAATGAGACGCATGGCGACCGCTTGCGATGTGTGTGAAGACCCTCGTAAGTGAGCTTACGATTTGCTCCAGACCCCTGTCCCAGTCACTGGCCCACTGCACACGGTCGATCCCAGCATCGGCCACGGGGAAGCCGCCCTCCTTGTTTGCCCAGACAGAAGCATTGTTGTCTAGTCGATTTGCTGCTGTAGGATCTTGTTGGGCCGCAAGGACATCTCTTCTACTTTTCGCGTAGAATTCTTCAAGCGCTGCTGCAGATTTGGCTGCTATGAATCTCTCTACTTCCGTGGTAGCTGAGGGAGCAGCGCTGACAGCGTCTGCCATGGAGGAATGGGACGTAGAGTTGCACCGGAAAAATCTACGCGTGATAAAGTTAAATTGACTCCATATAGGCGCCGAGTGAAGGGGACAAGCCCATGTACAGCCACAACCCTCTCTCTCGTTCCGTCCATCATAAACTCTGAGGCCGACCCCCACTTCATCTTCAGACATATCCTCATGAGCGGTGAAATGGACGATCTCAGCATCTCTGATTTGCTTCCAGAGGCCTATGGACGCTCAAAGGACCCCGACCTCGCGTATCTCTTCGACAACGAGCTCTCAGCTTGGGCGAATAAGAATCACGGCTTCCCTGCTGCCGACGTACGCATCGATCGCTCAAAATGGGTCCGCGATTGGGACAAGGGTGTCGAGAATGTCGCAACGAAGCCCGCATCTGAGGTTGTGATGTGGACTTCGGTTTACCGTCATCCTTCAACAGTCGGAAAGAGACCCGGTCGCTCAGAACGCGAAATCCTCCGCGCAGCGAAGCTCAGAGCGCACAGAAGCCATCAAGTGACCATGGGGCTGCTCAAGGAGCTCTATAGCTTACCCCAGAACAAGCAGTGTAGCTTCAGGGACTGGTTTATGCTCGTCAGCGCGGAGAAACGGCGAGAGACGCTTGATCAAGGCTTCGAGAACGCTTGCTGGTGCACCGCATTTGGTCAAGACTCCCGCGCGTTTTGTCCCGAGATCAACAGTACGGCACTTCTGAAGCGACGAGGGATAGAGCTCTTTGATTTCTGTGACCGATACATGGAGAACATGAGCTCTTACAAAGAAGACGATCCGACGCGAAGAAGTATGCTTCACACCGACTGGTGGTGGAGCGCGCGACGGCCAGAAGATAGCGATTGTCCACGCAGCCAACACGAGAACTACAGAGTGCTGTACCAGATATACACATACCTTCGGCTCGAGTTCCTCGGTGAGATTTCCTGTCTGTCGATCTCTCGCTTTGACTTACCCAGCGCAATGCTTGCAATCACGCATTAGATCAGTTTGTGCTCTACTCTCAGAAGGCCGTGCTCAAGGCTTGTGTCGACAACATGTCGCAAAGTGACTCTTTCGTACCTCGCTTGATCTGGATGGCTGGGCCACAAGGCGTACAGAATCTCTTGGCTGTGAGAAAAGAAATCAGAAGCCGTGCAGGTCGCCGGTGCGAAAACTGTGAGCGTTGCCCGGAAGATGTGGGCGAAAATGTCAAGTTCCTTATCTGCGGCGGATGCAAACGTCAGCTCAACTTCGAGTATCACTATTGCTCAAAGTGTGTTTTGTCCCTTCATTTCTTCAGTTCGTTGTATGCGCTAATCGCGGACGCATTTATAGAGAATGTCAGAGGTCAGACTGGCCCCGACACAAGGTACACTGCGGAAAGGAGAAGGTGTCCAAAGGCCGTGACGAAGGACGACCGGAGTACACGCAATCGCTCGGCCTGCTTCTTCAGTTGGAGTTCCAGAAACACTATGACGACGCCGACTACTTCATCTTCCAGGTCAGCGCTCCAAAAGGCTACAAAGTCGCTTTCCTGCATGACGAAGAAAAGAGAGCGATGTTCAGAGATAAGCGTGCCATGGTTGCGATGGATGCTGATCGAGTCGGCCTCGACGTCCTCGCGAAGTGTCTAGTAGATGCGCTGCCAGGGGATACGACTGATTCAGGTATTACCAAGGACAACGTCATCCAGCAACTTTGCGAGGAATACGAGGTAGATGTGAGGTCGCAGCTGGAGGCGCTGGAGGCGGACCTAGCGATGCAATGCAACGAAGACCGGTATAGCGGTATGGTGATTATTGGACACGACAAAGAGGAGGCTAAAGAGGAGGTCGAGTTATCAGAGCAGTGAGTACCTTCGACATTTTATGCTTCGTGAAACTCGTTATAATATTGTCCTTCCAGGGCTGATATGACACCTGAGTCCGCCATATCGTAGTCTCTTAGTTTCAGTCAGATACCCATTCGGCTTTAGGAAGCGTATACTCATCCGAGACCACTAAGTTATGCCGCGTGTATGAATAACGATGTCGGCTTCAAAGCGTTTATTTCGCGTCCCCGAAGAACCATACGCAGCACCCATATTTATACTATACACTTTCCTCAGAAACGTGACTCATCGCCTTGGCGGCCTTCTCATGGATGAATCAAAATCTTCACTGTCAGTCTGTATGAGTAACAATTCCGAAGTTGCAGCACATGCAAACCCACCATGCGAATCCTTCTCGCGAACGAGAGCTTGCATGCCTTTGTCTACTACATCTTCTAGCGCAACTCTCGCTGTGATCAGCTTGTCCAAGCCAGATATTCTGCCATCGGCTACGGATTTGATGAGGCCCGGATGCTCGCCGCTATATGCGTTCGAGTCTGAATCCATGAGCGGAGCTCTGATCAGCATAAGGAGATAAATTAAGGCGAGAAATTTACGAATAATAGTTAGCTCCTTTGTGAGGCACAAATTCACGTTGAGGCGAGGCGGTCCTGGCCACAACGCCACTAGAATTAGCTTCCCACCCGTGCGGAGGCTGCTGATGTTAGCATCGAGAGCGGCTTGAGCGCCAGCTGCGTCAAAGGCGATGTCATATCCAATGCCTTGGGTCAGTTCTTGCGATGCCAACACGGCATCTACTCTGGAGGGGTCTATAACAGACGTGCATCCATGCTCAAGAGCTGTTCGACGACGCGTCTCAGATGGTTCGGAGATAACGATGATCGTGTCTGGTTCGGTAGACCTGCGTGTGACCGTCGAAGTAGTTCTCTTAGTTGAGTATGACCGACAGACCTTAGGACTTTGAGTATAAGAATACCAATCTAGAACCCTTTTTATTGGTCACGTCGGATGATTCGGAACGTGTGGTACTTACAGGACCTCCTCCGCTGATGAGTATTGTGTCGGAGGACTTGAATCCGCTCCTATGTAGTTCACCACTTAACTAAATTATTACGCCAGTACTGCTGAAGATCTCTCACCTTCTGACCGCACGGCTTGCAACAGCAAGGGGCTCCAGCAAGGCTGCCACGTCAACTTCGAAGTGTGTCAGTACGTAGCTCACATCAAAAACCAGGATGAAATGGTTACGAGGAAATCCGTGGGGCAGTGGATGGACATGGTACGCATCTACCACAATGTACTCCGCCAAACCACCGCCGCGTCCGCCAACGCCCTGTACAGGCAAAATACGGTTAGATAAAATGATACAAGCCTCGAGGGATGACAGGTACTCACGATGAAGTTGACATCCGGACAAAGGTTCCTGGTTCCTGACACACACATGTTACAGGTAGCCTTCATGCATGACAATACCGGCTCACTGCCATGTTGAGTACATTGTAAGGATGACTATTGCGCACGAAGGTAATTATGGCGCGACTTACACGACGGCCCCGCTACCAATGGGGAAGAGTTGTGGATCTACGTCTCCACCAATGTCCACGATTGTTCCAGACATCCTGATCAAAATTATCGGTGGTGTTTCAGGTACTGCTCCGAAGAAAAACGTACTCATGACCCATCGTAATGGGTAGTGTCTCGCCCGTCAGCTTGTCGGGCTCTGTGAGGGTTGGCACTCCTGATAGTACATGAAGGTACATGTGGAGGTCGGACCCGCAGATCCCGTTCCTGCAATAATGCGGCTCAGAAGATTGGACGCTGACACTCTAGGCGTAGATGGTTTCGGACAAGGTCATTCACCATGCAATCTTCAGAAAGTCGTTAGCTTCAAGGTCTGAGAGGGGCCTGTCGACAGCGTCCCACCTTAATCTTGACTTGACCAGCGCCAACCTGAGGTTCGGGTATATCTTCGATGCGGATATCCTGAGGGCCGTAGTACCTGGCAGCTTTCATGCTTGCGAAGTCGCAGAGCCTGTGGCTTGCTCCTGGCGGCAATGAAGATAGTGGAGACAGAGAAATGCTGCACCCACCCGCGGTAGGACGAACCGTGAGTGTGTATATGATGTGAACATGACCTGAGTGAGAATCAGCTGACTACTCTGAGAATGGAGCCAGCTAAGGCCTTTTATCCGTCGAGCACACGCGTTCGTCACCTATTCTTGGATTGTTATGGCAAGTGCAATCGGCGACGGTTGTTCCGGCAATTCTGTAATGTGAGAGAAAGAGAGAGAAAGCTGTCAGACATTCGTGTGACCGGATACCGCTGCTTGTCAATGCCATAGTTTTGTGAGGTGAGCGTAACACTCAGAGGGCAACAAACAGACCAAGGCGCGACTTGAGAGGTTCGGAGTTTATATAGATTGACGCGCCGCGCGCGCGACTCGCCTCATTGATTGATCAATGACTGTGAACGAGACTAAGCCAGGTGAAGATCATCAATGACGTTCTCCAGCACGACGTGGCAAAGCCGTCTCGGCAGTTGAGGAGGGAAAAAATGGCGTTATTGAACCTCAAACACGACGGAGATCAAATCCTGCTTTCTTTCCTTCGCCCATCTCACCGACTTCTCCAATGGCCTTCGTTCCCGGAAAGATTATGTTCAACCACGGAACCCATAGCTTCGACGACGTCCAGAGGGACCCCAACAACGCGTACAGAGTGGACAACGATCGATCTGCCTGGGCGAACAAGGTCAAGGGCTTTCCGGTCGCCAATGTTCGGGTCGACCGCGCAAAATGGGTTCGTGACTGGGACAAAGGGATCGAAAAAAGTGCAGGATCAGTGGTGCCGGTCTTCATCACAGCCCTGGAGTTCCACTCCCAGTCGTACCATGGGAAGAAGGTCGAACGTTCGGACTACGACATGCTGCGCAGAGTCCGGTTGTGCACGGATGCAAATCATCAACAGCGCGCCGAGTTTCTCAGGAGCGTTTTCGATAACCCTATGTTCGCTCGCCTTCCCGCCAAAGACTGGTTTATGCTTATCAGTGCCAAGAAGAGGCGCGGAATTCTCGACGAGGCGGTTGAGCAAGCGTGCTGGTTCAGTATCTTCGGTCAGGACGCTCGCATGCTCTGCCCTGAAATACTCATCTCTGCGATGATGAGGCAACACGGGTCCGAGCTCTTCGACTTCTACGACCGCTACTTTGAAGCCATTTCGTCTAAGCAATACGAACCTGGGAAGGATGCTATGGTCCAAACCGAGTGGTGGTCCAGAGCGTCGACTCTTGTGGCCAGTCCACCTCTCGCGCAAGAGACCCTGACCTTTCTCTACGATCTTTACACGTGTTTTCGGAGAGACTTCATAGGTAAGTGTTGACGCTTGTGGTCGTAAAACTGCATTGTCCGTGGGCTTACTTTTTTCCGCTAGACCAGTTTATCTGGAGATCGTCCCAGATCCTCTACCTCGCTTTGGGCGACGATCTGTTTAACAACCGCACTGCAATACCTAGGCTGATCTTAAACCTGGGGCACAATTACGACGTTCACGAACTCGTCTCTGCGAGGAAACTGCACAAGGACCGAGCGGTGCTGCGTTGCGAGTACTGCGAGTGTAGCGCCGAAGAGATGGGTAGTGGTGCCCGCTTCCTCGTTTGCGGCGCCTGCAAACGCCAGCTCAAGTTCGAGTACTTTTACTGTTCCAAGTAAGGCCAGTATCTCGCATCATACGCCAACGCTTGCTGACGCTTGCTTAGGGAATGTCAGCGACTTGACTGGCCTCAGCACAAGGTCTGCTGTGGAAAAGAGAAGGTGTCCAAAAGCCGAGAGGAAGGTCGACAGGAGTACAAGTGGTCGGTTGCCCTCGTGCTCCAGCTCTCCCTGCAGTGCCAAGACGAGAATGCCGATTACTTCCTTTTCAAGCGTGGCTCTCCCAAGCCCGACATCCTTCCTTTCAAGGTAGCTTTCGTGGACGATGACAAAAGGGAGCTCTTCAGGGAGAAACGAGCCTTGGCCATCCTGGACGCGGAGCGAGATGGTCTGGACATCATAGCCAAGTGTCTGGTGGATACACTCGAAGAAGATCTGGTCGACTCAGGCCTCAGCAGGGAGAGCATCCTACAACAGCTCACAGAAGAGTACGAGGTCGACGTGAGGTCACGACTGGAGGCACTAGAGGCGGAGCTGGCGATGGAAGGCGACGAGACTCGGTATGGCGGTATGAGGATCATGTAGAGCATCTCAAAGGAAAAAGAGAAGGAGGATGTGCACCAGGAGAATTGCGAGGATACGGAGGAGGAGGAAAATGAAGATTATAAGGTAGGCGGCCGAAGAAGAGCAACGGGACGGGTTGGTGCCAGGATCGACGGAGCGGGAGATATCAGATTCGTTGGATGAGGACCATGGTTGATGGCATCACTACTTGGTTGCGCTGCTTGCAGTTTGTTAGGAACCATACTTTCGTGTGTCTGAGCTCCTGTAGATGGAATGGTGAATAATGTTTGACCGAGCGTGAACGGTGTACGGGTGGGAGTGTCGCTATGATGAGTTGAGGTCTGGACGGAACCTGTTGCAGCGCGGCTTGTGCGGCAGTCGTTTAAAAACGTGGGTGCGAGTTTGCAGCGGTGTTCCAACTGAGGTTTCAAACGATCCGCAATGTTTGAGGAAAGTTCATTCTTCTCGTCTGTTCCTAGGATACTATCTGACAGTAATGATAGACGATCGACGTTAGCGAGCGGACTTTCTTAGCCGTTAAACAGACTCAGGATATTGCTGCTATCTCCCAGCTTCCAGGAAACGCGTATCGCCTAGACAATAATGAATCTGTGTGGGCCAACAAGGACCGTGGTTTCCCAGTCACCGACGTACGCGTTAACCGGGACAAGTGGGTCCGTGACTGGGACAAGGGCGTCAAGCAGCTTGAAGCGGACACGATTCCGGCGGAGAAGATCTTTCTGGCGACCATATGGGTTCACAACGGCGCCCAAGTGAGCAGACCGCTAATCCAAGAGGACTACGATTTCGTGAGCACCGTTCGGTCGTCTACGGCCTCCAACCACCGGATGATGTCGAGAAACACCAGGGCCGTGTTCAACAATCCTCCGCGACCAGCTGGACACAGCCCCAAGGTCTGGTTCACGCTCATCAGCAAAGACAAACGCCGCGATATTGTATTCAAGTCCATCGAGGAGGCATGCTGGATCTGCGTGCTAGGTCAAGATGCCCGCGCTTTATGTCCCGAAATCATTGGTGCATCGCTATTGAAGCGACGAGGGCTCGAGCTCTTTGATTTCTACGACTGGTACTTTGAGACGGCGCTATCTGACCCGCAAGAGGCCCCAGGAGTATCCGAGCGGGACAGGATGGTGCAGACGGAGTGGTGGACCGCCGCACTGGAGCAAGAATCCATGCCGCCCGAACTTCATCCGAATACCACCCTTCTCTACGAACTCTACACCTGCTATCGGCGGGACTTCATTGGTAAGAAGGATGGTTCTACTCGATTATCGATAGAAACCTCGTACTAACTTCATACCCCTCTACTCAGACCAGTTCGTCTGGCGCTCCTCACAAGCACTCCATCACGCCTGGTTTCATGACATGTGGGAGAACAACTCTGCAGTCCCTCGAGTCATCTTCAACGCTGGCAGCGGGATGGCGGATATCCTGTCTGCGAGGAATCTCCAGAGTCGAACGGGACAGCACTGCGAGACTTGTGACCGCACGCCTGGAGAAGTGGGTGACAATGTCCGCTTTCTTGTATGTGGTGCTTGCAAGCAGAAACTGAAGATCGAGTACTACTACTGCTCCAAGTGCGTAACCCCTGCATATCAACCATCCCTAAGTCTTCAGCATACTGAATGTTGGGGCCATTGCGACTACAGAGAATGTCAGCGGGAGGACTGGCCTGATCACAAGGTCCATTGTGGAAAGGAGAAGGTCTTCAAGCGCGTGCAGGAAGGTCGGGCGGAGTACAAACGCTCGTTGTCACTCCTCTTGCAAATGCAGCTACAAAGGGCGGAGCCCGATGTTGACTACTTCCTCTTCAAATCTCGCACCAGCCTTGCGACTGACGGTTTTACACATCCTTTGAAAGTATCATTCACGCATGACGACGGCAAGAAGGCGTTGTTCAGGGCTACCCGAGCTCTGGTTGCTACGGATGCGGACCGCACGGGGATCGATGTTCTCGCGGAGTGCCTCATGGATGCAATGCGTGAAAGCAGCGCACGGTCGGGTATTACAAGAGACAACATCATACAGCAACTCAGTGAGGAGTACGAAGTCGATGTGAAGGCGCAGGTGGAGTTGCTGGAGGCGGATTTATCGGTGGAAGGCGCCGAGGAGCGGTATAGAGGCATGCGTATTGGTGAAGTATACTATCCGGAAGAACTGTACAAATTCTTGGAAGCCGAGAGACATATGGCTTGGGACGACGAGTAAGGCAGGGGGGCAGCCTGAGCAGGTTTCAACCTTGGACTCAGTAAAGAAAGCACTTTATCAGTATCTTGAGGATGCTTGGGTTTGGTTAATACAGTAGTAGACGTGTCGAAAAAGCTAATCGACACTTAGTAAGTAACGCTGGTGGGCCCGACCCCGGAGCGCCCTCGGTATGATATCTCAAGACACGCCTCCGCTGCTCTCCGGCATTTAGACGGCAAGGGGTAGGGAACACGTTATTTTAGTACATCAATATCTAGTTATACAGGGACACAGGAAGCGCAACGGTTCCAAGTCAAGGAGTAACTAACAATCTGTAAAAGTTTGTTCGTAAAGAAGCTTGTGTTGACGATGACAGCGGGCAAGTGCGTGTGAAATCCAGAACGCAAGCCAAAACTTATACGTGTTCAGAAAGGTACTCCTTTATTGTGAATGGGGAGATCTGTCAATGGCCAAGCTGGATACAACTATAAGATTACATGCCAGCTTTTCAAACGATTTAATCAACATTATTTCTGTTGGACGTCTTACATGCTTTCAGGGTATATACTACATACGGCGTTTCAAGCTTATCGGAAATTGGGATTGCTCTTTTTTTCGAACCCTTTCAGTGCAAGTCAAGTGTGTGTGATGGCTTATCGGAGTCAAAGGCACACGGGCTGACAACACGTCAGAACCAAGGCATACTAGCTTCACCAATATGGCTCAGGCGTTAATAAAAACACACCTCTGCTCGCAACCAACTTATTGATTTGTGTAAATGTGTATGCGATATTATTGGACATACCAACAGAAATTAGTGCGCAGAGACGCATTTCATACGGTATTACATAGGGAATATGTACTAAAAGAATTGTAAATAGCAGTTAACAGCGACAAAGTTGACAGGGTGGACACGAAGCATAATGGTTGGGGGAGGCATGGCGGCTGGACAATATTTGACACGAATTCAGCGCTCAACAGTGGCTACGAACTACATTATACACATGCTGATGGGGAGAACGGCGCACAGACGTTATCACGAGGAGTAGGGGTAGATGCAGGAGGAGACCAGCGGATGGCGATTTAATGCGGGGACAGGCCTCCTTGTATACAGGAAACCCCAGGGGCTTCACGTACACGTACAGAGGGTTCTTGTGTTAGGATTAGGAAAGGAGCTTTCGACAGATTAAATGCAGAGCCGGATTAGGATGGCTGGCAAACTTCATCAATCAAGGGGTAGTGGCATTTAACAGGAAACCAAAGGAGGGCCTAGATGACTTGAAGTCGGGGTCTGCTGACGAAAAGCAGGCATGCGCAGCAGCGGTATAGCACAGGAGACTGTAAAGTGAATAAGACGCCAAGAAAGCTTTCTAAGTAGCCTACTGTTTTATTACACATCAATTCATCGTGAGGGGCCTCAGTGTTACGCATAGGAGCATTCAAAGCGGGTGGATCAAGCGGCCCTCCAGTCCAACGCGAAAGCCAAACAGAACCAAACGAATAACGGTAAGAAGGTTAACTATACGGGAAACTGTCCATCTTAGGGTACATTCCCCTCCTGGACATTAATATGAACATTCATTCATTCAACGCTGGTGGGCGAATAAAAAATTGGGCTAGGATCTGCAGTAGCTAAGTGCATGGATATGTTGTGAGGGATGAGTTGACGCGAAGATGGAACGTGTTGGGGCGCAGCTTGTGCGGCCCACTGTTGGTGGACAATATTTTAGCGTCAACCGAGGCGCGGCGGATTTCATAAAGAGGTGTTACAGTCAAACTGTGCCCAACGCTTGAAGAAGGTCAGATTACCTTTTCCGCTCTGTGAATGCAGACCGACGTAGCCAAAGCAGTGGCAGATGAGCCTCCAGGGTGAACTCGAGAGCACTATTCAAGACATCGTTGCAATATCCCAGTATCCCGGAAATGCGTACCGACTAGACAACAGCAAATCTGCGTGGGTGAACGAGAGGGGAGCCTTCACAGCCGTGGACGTGCGTGTCGTCGGACCGCGACAAGTGGGTCCGCGACTGGGACAAGGGCATTAAACAGCTTCAGGTCACTGTGACAGCGAAGGACATCTTTGGATGGTCCGCAAGGTTTCACAATCGCGCGCAGGTGAGCAGATCGGTGACCCAAGACGCCCGCGACTTCGTGCGCGCATTTCGGTCGGCGGCGCTCTCAAATCACCGGTTGTGCTCCCGAAATGCCAGGGGTATTTACAGGTCTCCTGGGATGCCCTGTGCACACAGCGCCAAAGTCTGGTTTACGCCGCTTGTCGACGCGCCGAGACGCCGCGAGCTTCTTTGTAGGTCCATCAAGGAGGCTTGCTGGGTTGGTAATTTAGGCCAAGACGCTCGTGCGCTGTGTCCTGAAATCGTTGCTGCCTCCCTGTTGAAGTGGCGAGGTCTCGAGCTTTTTGACTTTCACGATGGATACTTTGACAACGCGTTATCCGAGACGCATGGGGATCTGTACATGTCTGAAGGAGACAGTATGGTATGGTCCTCCGCGCTGGAATTGTTGAAAGGCGCAACGGAGCAGTTTCGCGACGAGAACGGTGCTCTTCTCTATGATCTGTATACATGCTCCCGAAGGGACTTTGTCGGTGAGCACAGAAGTTCTGCTTCTTGTTCTACTTACATGTCGTGTTCAAAGCTTACTGGTAGACCAATTTGTGTGGCGCTCAATACAAGCAATCATTTTCTCTTGGATAGAAGACATGGCCTCCTCCTCTGTAAGTCGGTACGTCCTGAACGCCGGCAGCGGAGTACACGACATCATATCTGCGAGAGACAGCCAGGGTCGAGCAGGACATATCTGTGAGACCTGTGCCCGCACACCTGCAGAAATAGGGGGCAACGCCCGTTTTAGCTGGAGGCGGCCTTAGCGACGGAATGTGCGGAGGGGCGGTATAGGGGCATGATAGTCACCGGAGTGTACCATATTGACAAGGTCGACAAGCTCACTCACCATTCGAGTTGTTGGGACTTGGACAAGGAAGAGTCGAACTGCGAAGACATAGACGACAACGAAGGCGAGACGGACGACGAGTGTCTGCTGTCTGACTCTGAAGACTCGGAGCTCCAGAGTACCTTCAGTGATGATAGCCAGTCGTCTTGAAAGGTATTAGAGGATTCTGTATATGTCACTGAAGATATCAATCTACATTTCTCTTGCTTTTGCGAATTCGAGGAAACATTGGAAGAGGACAGTAAGAGGACTCTAAACGCGTCCGAGGTTCCGAGTCTGGAGGCGCGACTTTGGGGCGACGCAAACGCGCGCGCCTCGTGGCGTATTCGTGGCGTTGACCAATCAATTTCGGGAAACGCGCGCCTTGTAACGACACCACGAGGAGCGACTTCGATCGCGCTACACGTCAGGTACAGACTCAGACATGGACTCGACCCTCCGACTCTCTTTCTCCTTTCTCTCACTCGACCGACTCGGTCTGACACAACACCGACCCAGCTAATTTGAGAACAGACCACACTCCACTGTCTCATTCTGAGAAAGGCAAGCAAGCCTCAGCGTTATTAAAACACGACCCTCGCGGCCTCCTCGCCTCTTTCCCCATACTAACCTTCAAGCCTGCAACATACTCAACAAGTAAACTTACTAACCCCCCTTTTCACAGAGATCACTCAGAGATGTCTCCATCTCCCGAGAAGAACACGGTCCTCACCGACGACGAACGCTGGTGGGCGGACCACTACGAGTTCCTCGCGGACAACGGCTACACGCTGCGTCCCCGGTACGCACCAAAGTGGGTGCCCTCCTGGGAGGGCAGCACCACAGAGTGGTACAACGCCGAGGATGGCCAGCCCGCTATCGTACGTCTATCTCTCCCGTTACTTGCTTCCCTATCCCTCATTCGCTCGTACTGATCACCGTCACACCCACCCTCGGTATTCGACAGTCAGCCCACCGAACGATGGACGCGACGAACCAGGACGGCAAGCCCGTCTGCCTCAAGCGCATCAACAAGCGGCAGCACCCGAACGAGGAGTCCATCGTCAACTTGTTCTCGTCCGGCGAGCGCGCGGCGAACCACAACAACCACTGCGTGCCCGTCTACGAGGTTTTGCCTGTTCTCAATGATGGGGACGAGGCCATCCTGGTGATGCCGCTCTTGCGCCGGTTCGCGGATCCGGAGTTCGATACTGTGGGCGAGGCCATCGATTTTTTGCAGCAGATCTTTGATGTGTGTTTGGATTCAGTCTTTTCTCAGTTGTGTTCGCGAGCTAACATCGTGAAGGGTCTGGGCTTTATGCACGATAACGGCGTCGCCCATTTGTACGTCCCCTCTTCCCTACCCCTATTCAAACACCTTCATCCTTGATCACTCATACCGATCCCCACCCCGCGTACAGCGACTGCACCTCCACGAACATCATGATGGACGGCACCCCCATGTACCCCGAGGGCTGGCACCCACAGCAGCCCGCGCTCAAGCCAAACTACACCCGGCGCGCCAAATACTTCCGGCGCACGGAGCGCGCGCCGACGTACTACTGGGTCGACTTCGCGCACGCGCGCACCTTCAGCGACGTGCACCCGCGCCTGCCCGCGCTCGAGATCCACACGAGCAAGGCCGCGCCCGAGATCAAGCACGCGCACGCGAGAGCCGCTTCGAGGGCGGCTGCGCAGGCCGAGGCGCTCGCCAACGGGGAGGAGTGGGTGGACCCGGATCTGGCGGATCCGAATAGGGAGGCGTACGGGGACAGGGAGCGGGGTCTCGTCGATCCGTATGCGGTGGACGTGTACTGTTTGGGGATGTTCGTGCTGCGCACGTTTATCGAGGTGCGTGCTTCCCCTCCTTTCTTACGTCTTGCCGCGAGCGCGGTGCTTACTGATATACACGAACAGCCCAACAAGAACCTCAACTTCCTCGTCTCCCTCGTCGACGACATGGTCGCCGATGACCCTGAGCTGCGGCCCAGGTCCGACGGCGCGGCGCGGCGCCTGAATGCTATCTGCAACGCGTCGCGCCAGTCTAGAATGCGCGAGCCGCTTATACCGCGCGACAAGGCAGCGCGCAATGCGCCGAAGAAGATCTGCGCGACCTTGGCGGACTGGGTGCGTTCTGTCAAGTACATGTTGACGAGGGCGCCAGCTATCCCGAGGAGGCCGATCCGTGGCTGATCGTGTTCGTGTTTTGACTGGCTTCATTCTTCCCCCATATCCACGACCACCTGTCTCTATTCTCGTAAATCTTACTCGACACGCTCCTTCATGCTCTCGATGTCGCTTTGGACTTTGGACATTTGCTCATATCTGCTGCATCTCACTCCTTTCTTTGCTTTGGGCTCGCTGCGCATTGTCTATATCGCATTTGGACCATGATTGGATAGCATATATTGCACTCTCCTTGCACATCATTATCGTACCGTACCGTACTTGGCTGGTCTGAATATATAATCTCGATCTCCCTCTGATTCTATACAATCCAGTGTTTTGCAAAGCCGTAGGCTGAATCGAAATTTTCAACGAGGCTGCTCGGTATTCGACTCGTCGAGGCCTCAGTCGCCTGATCTTTAGAGATACAGCTACAAGGTCTGGATTAACAAGCGATAGCAAGCAAGACAGATAGATTTCTACACCCAAACGTCAGCTCCGCCATCCCCAGAACAATTGAAAGAGACTCACTAAACTACTTTTACCTCCCCGGAGCTCAAGCACCCCTACGTACTATCCATCGTATCTCCCTCCGGCACCACAGCGCCCGCTCCATCCGGAAGACTCTCCTCAAACATCAAATTCCCCTGCTGCTCCTTCAACCACTGCACGCTCCTCTTCTCATCCATAAAATACCCATACGCCCGCCTTAGATCCTCCACGCCCACCGCCTCCGCCCGCCTCTGCCTCGCGAGCACCTGCGCACACGCGATCAGCTGCAACGCGTACCTCAGCGTCGTCTGCTCCGCCATGCTCGTCAGCACGTCCCGCGCGTCGTCACTCAGCCGCACGTCCTCCTCCTCGCACCGGATGTGCACGATCTCCGCGATGTCGTCCGCCGTGTACGGCCGCGTGGAGACGATGAGCGCGCGGTCGAGCAGGTCCGCGGGGAGCCCGTGCGGTGCGGAGGTGTGTGTGCCGCGGATGCGCGCGATGCCCCGGTTGGAGGCCATGACGACGAGCGGCGCGAGGGTGCTCTCGAGCGCGCGGTTGAGGAAGGAGAAGCATTCGACGTCGAGCATGTGCACTTCGTCGATGAAGAGGACCTGTGTACGGGTTCATTGACGTTTAGAGAGTGTGCATGGGTACAAATCTGGGGGCGGGTGTGGGGTCAGGGAAGGGACGGGCTTACACCAGGGACGATCTCTGCTTTTGCCTCCTCCCGCCACTCCGCGACGCGCGCGTCGATCTGTGCGCGGAGTTCTGGCTGAATCTCACCAGTGTCGCCCGCGAAGAGGGCGAGGAAGCCCTGCGTACGCGAGTTGATGACGTCGATCTCATGCAGCGAGACGGTGTGGACGACTTCTTTGCGACGCTGGACTTCGCCTTCCGGAGTTTGGACGAATTTCGTCTAGAAAAAGGAAGAGAAAGTTAAACCAGCAGCCCGAAAGGTACGTAGAACGCGAAGGAGAAGGGAGGAGACGTACGTCAGCACCCATAGCGTCGTAATCCCGAGAACGAGCGAACGAGCGGCCGAGCTTGGTGACGCGTCCCGAGGTTTTGTCAATGGCAATAACGTCGCCGGCGAGAACTTTCTCTTTTGAAAGGGCATCAATCATCTTCGTGCCAAGGTCGTAGACAGTCTCCATGTCGGTTGTCTTGATCGTTAGCTTGCCCGTCTTCGTTGCCTGTATAGTGCATGGAAAGGACGCGTCACAGCACGACGAGTGTCAGCACGCGCTGGAAGATCTGACAAACCCGAGAAACGCACCCCGGTAAGACTCCGGTCGATCTGAATCTCCACAACCTCGCCCTCGATCAACTCCGTCTCCTCCTTGATCCTCACGCCAATACTCCTTCGAATAGCCTGCGTAAGCGCCTCGGTCTTGGACATGGACAGCGAGAAAACCTCGCTCGCGGCAATGCTGGTAAAAGGCACGTCGGAGCCAAGTGTCTGGGCCATGCCCATCGCGATGGCGGTCTTGCCCGTCGAGGGAGGGCCGGCGAAGAGGATGGCGCGGCCGGCGATGCGCCCCTGCTGGACCATACGGATGATCATGCCGGCTGCCTTGCGCGCTTTTCCTTGGCCGACCATGCCCTGGGAGGAGGCGCGGGGCTCGAGCCGGTCGTCGAGGCCGAGACCACGGATGTGGGAGTGGGCGCCTGTAGAGTGTTAAGGATTCATGCATGAGAGAGGGAGGGACGTGCGCACCTATGCGCTCCATCTTGGTGATGTCGCGGATCTCGGACGTTCCTGTTGATATTTGGGCAGCCTACATTGTCATCGTGAGCGAGTGTGAGCTGGCAAAAGCGAAAATACTTGCCATGGTCGTCGCGTGTTGTGAGCAGGGGCTTGAGCTCGAGGAGAGCGCGTCGGTCTTTATTTGTTCGACCAAACACGAGAACCCAGGACGCGACTTTTTTGCATCCGGACACCGACCCGAGACACACTCGCCCCGTCCTCTGTTTTCTGGACGACGTTCACCTTGGGCACATTGTTTTTCTAACACACAATGTTTGCTTTAAGGACCCTCGCACGGGGCTCGCCGTTGCGTGCAGCACTCCCAAGCACCTCGGCCCGCGTCCTCCCCACCTTCACGCCATCCCTCTCCTCCGCACTCTCCTCCAACTTCACCTCTTCCCGCTCATACGCCAACGTCGTCCCCGTTCCACCACAGTCCGACTTCCCATCTAGAGAAAAGGCACTCTACAAAGGCTCAAAGCGCGACGTTCCCAAAGCCGCCTCCCTCGACCTCAACATCCAGAAATACAAGACCTACAAACCTGTCACGCCCGGCCTGCGTCATCGCCGCCAGCCCATCAATGACCACCTCTGGGCTGGCAGACCCGTCCGTGACCTCACCATCGCCCAGCGCAAGAACGGTGGCCGTAACAACACCGGCCGCATCACCGTTCGCTGGCGCGGTGGAGGCCACCGCCGCCGCATCCGCCTCGTCGACTTCGAGCGCAAAGACAGCGGCGTCTGCGACGTCGTCCGCATCGAATACGACCCAGGCCGCTCCGCGCACATCGCCCTCGTGAAGAACCGCGACTCCAAACGCTGGTCATACATCCTCGCGAGCGACGGCCTCCGCGCGGGCGACACCGTCGAGAGCTTCCGGTCCGGCATCCCGCCCGACTACGCTCCGGGCGTTACACCCGAGGAGCTCGAGCGCATCACCGCGCCGCGCGTCGCGTCCGGTCACGCTACCGCCACCGCCAGCTCCGCGGAGGACGACGCGCGGGCGCGCGCGGCAGGCTCGGACGCGGCGACCGCGCACGCGCTCATGATCGGTATTCTGCGCAACAAGACCATCCGCCCGGGCAACTTTGTTCCCCTCCGGCTCGTCCCCGTCGGCACGACGATCCACAACATCGCGCTGCGCCCCGCGGGGCCGGGTGTGCTCGTGCGCTCGGCGGGCGCGTGGGCGCAGCTGATGGTGCACGAGCCCAACGGCAAGTACGTCCACGTCCGCCTGCAGAGCGGCGAAGTCCGCAAGGTCCTCTCCGTGTGCTGTGCCGCCATCGGCAAGGTTAGCAACGTGAACCACCACGAGCGCCAGCTGGGCAAGGCAGGGCGGAGTCGCTGGCTGGGCAGGAGACCGAGTGTCCGTGGTGTGGCTATGAACGCGTACGTCCCCTCCTTCCGTATTGTCGCAGCCTCCTTTTCTGACGCCTTAAATAACTAGATGTGACCATCCTCACGGTGGTGGTCGTGGCCGCTCCAAGTCGAACAAGCACCCCGTCTCCGTCTGGGGCTGGCCTACCAAGGGCAAGCGCACGCGCAGGCCCAAGGACAAGGACGGCAACAAGATGGTTGTCAAGGAGCGTCCCCGCGGCAAGGCCAAGCGCGCAGGAGGCAACTGATAGACGATGACGACATTTTTGTGCAACCTCATCTCCAGCACCGCACCGTCTTTAGAGTAACGATACATGATTCATACTGTGTTAATTCAGCATATATGCTAATCCGATCTCATGCACGCCGCTCCTTGCGTTAGGCTGAGCTTCTTCAGTGGTTGTGCACAAGGTGAACATTTTGTTGTACCGAAGCCTAACGGTACTCCTGGTTCTGGTACATCGGCTTCCGAAGAGACCTAAAGAGTAAGGTCTGCCATGGGAAAAATGTGAGGCGGAATATCATTTATTGATGTAAAATACTTAATGAGAGATAACACTGGGGATGTGAGCTTTCATTGACTACTTCGGTTGCATCAAAGGTCCAACGGATCAGAACCACCAGAGCATACAACGCCAAGTCATCGGAAGATACTTGATTAAAGCTCTGAGAAAAAAGAGATGGCTCCCATTGGACGAACGACGCCAGCAGGATTCGAACCTGCGCCCTCGAAGAGGAACAGATTTCTAATCTGTCGCTGTAACCACTTAGCTATAGCGCCTTCCAAAGCCCTGTCCGCTGAATGCCATCATGATGGGAGGTGCACATTTTCCCACAGAGACGCGTCGTGGGGTGAGTCACGTGCTAATGCGTTTGAACTCCGCCGCGCGTCCGTTTGGTGAACGCGTGCGCGTAGTAAGGCCGCTTAAATTCGAACGCATCCCAGTCCTTCATCTTTCACCTCTCTCTTTCTTGTTTGTCATCACTCTCACCGCATTCTGCTGGCAACACAATCTATGTAAGCTCTTTACCCTTCCCTACTCTCTTTATTCCTGTCGTACTAACTAACAACTACTTGTAGTAACATAACGACCGACCCTGCGAACTTTATCATTATGAGTTTGCAATCGCTCGCGCGCACGTCCTCCGAGACGAGCGTATGCTCCACCTCGACGACCGCCTCGGGTTCGGCGTCGATGCTCAACATTGTCGCGGAAGATGCGGCCCGTCGCACGCGCAAACGCTTCTCCAGTCTCCAGCTGACGATGCTTGAGCAGCTCTTTCACGCCACCTCCCACCCGACGCGGGAGGAACGCGAGACCTTGGCTCGGTCTGCCGGAATGTACGTGTTCAATGGTTTCTCCGTTTGTTTACTGCCTCCTTTGCGAAGCCTGCCTCGTGTTTTCATTCTGTTCCGTTGCCCGCCGGCGCTGACTCGGAATTGTTTGTTTCTAGGGAGATGAAGTCCGTCACGATATGGTTTCAAAACAAACGCCAGATGGAGCGCAAGCTGGCTCTACACCATGCGACCAACGGGCCCAACGTCTTCTCAGAAGCAGGCAACCATATTCCCCTCTCAGCGCCCGGTACGACCAGCATTATCCCACTGCCGTCCGTCTCCCAAGGACGCGCCCTCTCTACCCCGCACCCTACCTTCTCTCGTCCATCCCGCACACTCTCCAACGTCTCTTTGTCCAGCCACGTCCCTCATGCCCACCCCCGCCAACGCACCCTCTCCGCCCCGCGCAGCAGCCGCCCCCTGACGACCCGCACGCCCTCCCGGCGCCCCACGCTCGACGGCATCGCATCCCTCTCCGAGTCCCGATACAACAGCACCGAATACGATGAGCCCCCCGACTCCAGCTGCCCCGCGACCCCACAGACGCCCAGCAAACGCCGCGAGGGCGCAGCCCTGTGGGAGAGCATGCCCTCGTCCCCTCTGGGCCCCACCAACTCCCCGCCGTCGCGCGAGCGCGAGTACATCGACTTCGTCGGCTCGCGCGCCCGCTCGCGGACGGGCGGACGCACGACACTCGAGTGGGCGTGTGCGGCTGCGCGCGTCGCGGGCCGCAAGAAGGCCGCCGCCAGCAGCAGCAGCAGCAAGAGCAAAGCACGCGCGAGCGTGGGCGCGGGCGCGGGACAAGGGACGGACGACGACCCCTTCCACGCGCCACGTGCGGGCGCTGATGTCGTGATGGGCGGAGACGAGACCGAGGACGAGGAGATGGAGGCGATCACGCCATCAGGCAGTTTGACGTCCGAGGACTACGGTTGGCCACGCGACGCGGGTGCGGGGCGGAGGCTTATCCCCCGCACTCGATCTCTGCCGGAGTCGGCCTTGCTAAAGGCGCTGCCCGTCGAAGTCAAGAAGCCCGACCCAGCGCCGATGCAGGTGCAAGACGACGTGATGGATGCCGCGCTCATACTCTGTGGTCTCGGTCGACGAGGTTGAGACGCTCTCCATCATGGACTTCAACGCCCCCGTTGAGAGGATTCCCTCCGGTTTTCCAATTTTAAAATGTGGTATATTATCGAATGCACATATGCATCCATTATATCCTTTATGACACGTCCTCATGTTTTATGAACTGTACTCTCATCACATACGCATTGCTTCGATTTCGGCATTACGCAGATAGCATCAGCAGCGTTCACGACATTAGCATCACCCATGTATATAGAATAGGGAAGTTTGTACATATCCTTGAATAATCTTATTGCTATGATGATGGTATGTTTATGCCACTGAACGGACGACTCATGGCATCTAATAAAGTCGAGCAACGTCCGACATATACTGTCAACGCCTTCCAAGCTCCTGGCCGTCACACTATGATCCGACCTGCCCTCAACCAGCTACGCGCAAATTGGTACGATCGTGGGCGCAGCTAGTATCCTTGGCCGTCTGGCTTCGTAGCATTCAGCCATCCAGAGCTCAAGCGCTCAGCGCTCATTCTTACTGAGTTCTCTGAATAATTCGCCTTTTTTCATTCGTCCATAAAATGAAAAGGCAACGAGAAGCTCCCCTGAGCGAAAGATGAACCAGTGTTCGACCAATGAACAGATACAGGCCCAACAAGTGTTATGAAAAGGTCAAGTTAAGGTGCTGGCTGCGCCGCGCCAAACAGGCCCACCCTCCGACAATGCGCCAGTGGATTTCAGTGCACTGCATCAAGCCGACGAAGGCGAAGAAAACCTCCTTGTTATTATGGCGGCGATAATGGGAATATAAGTCTATCATAACCCAATGAATATATTAAGCACGACGAAGTAGACAATCCTACGATTTAGAAGGGATGGGGGGGAGCCTCAAGATAATATAACGTAAGCGCTGCAACCAATGGGTAAAAGCGCGGCGAAGACGTTTCCGGTTAACACTTGACCGGAATACCAGTCCAGTACGAAGTTGCGAATAACTTAGCCCATTGCGGATGTCCTCAAACCGTCTCACGACCTCGTTCATGTCGGGCCGTTTGGAGGGATCGTCTTGAACCATGTCTTTGATGAGTGGCTCTAGGAATTCCAGACCGTCCATAACCTGAGTTTTGCTTATTCGGCATGGACTCGCTAAGAATATGCGACGGAAGGAGCTCACCTGAAGAAATTCTTCTCGCACGAGGTTACCGACGTAGTAGACGTCAGTGGGGAACGGGTTGACGGGCCCAGTAATGTCCTGAAATTCCGGGGCAGTCTTGTCGCCACCTATAATAGGGTTGGCCAATGGATGAGTTTCGCTAGGGTCAAATCGACGAGATATGCCGAAATCGATCCAGTAATAGGTCGGGGGTCGTTCGGTGCGACTGTAATGTCCGACAATCTCCATAACGTCGTTGCGCTTCCGGTCCGTGTCAACAGGATGCCATGGACTAGGATACATGGAACCCGCATCCATCATAGCGTTCCGCGGGTTACAGTCTCTTGAACAGTAAGGTAATGATCAAAGAATGCGACTGAGTAATTGCAGGACCCCGTACCGGTGAGCCACGTGGTTTTCATGCATGAATTGCAACCCTGTCACGGAAAATGTTAGTCAAGAGTGGAGACAAAGCGATAGGCAGTTACCTCAAAGAGCTGCTGTAAGCAATCAACTAGTTCCCCAACCGTCTGAAACATAGGGTCATCGTAACCTCGAAGCAAGGGCATAACAAGGATTATGTTGCTACGGTCAGGTAGCTCGAGCGTCTCGACGACCTTTACGCAGTGGTTCCGGCGGTCGGACGCCAATTCGTCGCTTTGAAGGAACTCTGCGATTTCTTCCTCGAAAGGGTGCTTATCACGTTCTACACGTTTGAGTGCAACGAATGTGCCGTCAGATTTCCGAGTCGCGTCCATGGTATGGCCGGTGGGCTACAAGGGAGAGGTCCTAGATTCAGCATGCTCTCGTACGGAGCGTTGGTTTGACGTACTAGCCACACCCCATCCTCTATTTCGTACTTGGATATCTTCGAGTTCTTTTCCCATGAAGGAACCCATCCCGGCGCATATCGTGGGCGTAATTGATATCCTTGAGTGTCTAGCCACTCGTAGTGCTGGACCCACCAGAGTTCCACGTTGCTGAGCTCGTTGTATGGTTCGTCTTCACCCATCCTGGATGCCACAAGTCACAAAGAAGGGACGGTGGAACGTATCTTCCGTGAAGCGTGAGGCGTCGAGCTAGCGGGCAGAATGGAGGTTCAAGAAGAAGTCGAGGCAGTGATGAGGACGACATTCCAAGAGCGTGCTTTTGTGTTAAGTCCACACAAGAGCGTGTTCACCAGAAGCTGGTGACGTCGCATCTGAGCGCGCTGCGCTTACCCCTGACTGAGTCGCGGGGTGTTGTTAGACGAGTTGACTCATTGACGGCCTGAACTAATGCTTGGCCTCTGTTAGGGCGCTATCGCATCTATTAGATATACAAACAGTGTGCCTTGGATCTCGAAACATAGAACCCGCGTCCATCATAGCGTTTCGCGGATTACAGTCTCTTTGGTGAGGAATAAGTTGTCAAGGAGATGCTTCGAACCAAGAAAAAAAAGAGTACCGGTGAGCTACGTGGCGTTCATGCATAAAATGTAGCTCCTAGAATATCGAGAGGATGCGATGTCGAGAGTGACGTGATGTAGAAGCACGCTTGACCTCGAAGAGCTACTGTAAGCAGTCAATGATTAATGAACTCCCCTACTGTTTCGAACGTGGGATTATCATATTCTCGGAGCATGGGCATTATGTACAAAGATTGTGCCGCCGTCAGGTAATAATAGGTATTCAAGCTCAAGGGTCTTCACGCAATGGTTCTTCGGGTCCAAAGAGTCCTACTGAAGATACCCAGCGTTTCCCTGCTCGTGAGGGTTTCTCTCGTGGTCGACTCGCTTCAGCGTAACAAATGCACCATCAGATTTATGCGTCGCGTCCATGATCACGGCGCTGGGCTGAAAAGGTTGAACCCACTGTCAAACATATGATAGGGAAGATGAAGTACGGCGACGTACTTTTTGGTATACTCCATCCTCAGCGTCCCACTGCTCCTTCCTCGTGTTCACTCAAGATACAACCCAGCCTGGTGCGTATCGCGGGCGCAGCTGATAACCACGTTCGTCCAGCCAATCATAATGGTCGGCCCTCCAACGCTCCGAGTAATTAAGGCTTCGGTCTTCCGGATTCATCTTCGGCGTCGTAGCGAGAGTTAAGGCCTAAGGTACCCAACTTGCTGACTGATTCGGAGAGCCTGTGTCTGACAGAATCCAGGAAGGTGAAACGAAGGTAAGACAATATGAGATAATTATAGAGGACAACACATTACATACTTGACTCATCCTTGGGGCCAAAAGTCGTAAAAGATGGGGGGTTCTTCTTGACCTGAACGTTCGGCATCGAGCAGAGGATATGTTAGGGAGCAGAGGAGCATGGAGACGTGGCGATATACGTACACGTGGTTACGACGCGAGGATGTCAAATTACAAACACTACGGGCAAACGCCGATATTACCTACCAGAATATCGATCAAGAATCCATCGAGGTGCAAACATCTGTCAACTGGTTTTTTCCCGAGGAAAATCCATTGCAAAAGTTATCCTATCACATTGCCTGATACGGATTAAGTGCCTCCGAGCCCCCGCCAAATGGCTGAGTCATCAATTATATTTTTCCTTCTCCGGTGAATTCTCTGCAGTGATGAATTTTCCTTCCTCGTGAAAATTGATTAGCGAACTTTTGCTTTTCAATAGATTTCTGAAATGATATTCTCGGAGGTAATAACGGCATTTGCCCCAAGTGAAAGGGCGCGGGACGGCGCGGTCACCGTAAAAAAACTCCGACACCGCGTCTCGGTTCTTTCATCCGTCGCGTTGGCCCGCACTTCCCGTAGACGCTCGCGTAACGGACTATCGCGCCAAAAGTCAGACTTTACTCATGACTCTCATCGACGAAACAATGATTCTCGCTCCGCAAGATATTGTACCGTATATAGATAACAAAACAACACTAGAGTACGAGTGGCGTATCTATGATGGCATGTTCGAAACTCCAGCCTCGCGTCTCAACGAAAGTAAGTAGACGACCTTAGTCAGTTGAAGGAACAGCGGGAAGCTGTAGCAGTATGTACCACAGCCGCTGTAGCCAATGGGACACCATATCTCGGAAATACTTTCTACGACCTGGCGTTGTGAACTGTAACACAGACCTTAGCTGTGACGTCGTCAAGTCACTGCGGAGCTCCTCAAATCGTTTTAGAGCCTCGTCCATGGTAGGTCGCTGGCTCGGATCCTCGTGTACCATGTCGTATATCAATGAGTGCAGAAACTCTAACCCTTCGGTACCCTTATACGAGGCGATCAACTCCTGCGTAACAGTGCACTTGATGAGGTGCTTACCACTAAATATTCCTGTTTGACCAGGTTACCGAGGTAGTAGACGTCCGTGGGGAAGGGGTTGACTGGCCCAGTTATCTCCCGAAACTCGGGAACGCTCTTGTCACCGCCTATAATAGGATCTGCTAGAGGGTTGGTCTCGCTCGCGTCGAATTGACGAGAGAGGCCAAAGTCAATCCAGTAGTACTTTGGCGGGCGCTGAGTACGACTATGGTGTCTGGCATCCTTGGTGAAGTTGTCACGCCTCTTGTCAGGGTAGACAGGATGCCATGGGTCGATATACATTGAGCTAGCATCCATCATAGCGTTTCGCCGATTGCAATCCCTTCACCGGGCAGCAAGGTGAGTGATTTGGTTCTACAGTATGGAGTATACGTACCGATGAGCAACGTGATGTTTATGCATGAACTGTAGACCCTGGATTATATGACGTCAAAGAGGCGTAACGAACGAAGGTTGGATGTTACCTCAAACAGTTGCTGTAAGCAGCCCATCAGCTCTCCCACCGTTTCGAACATCGGATCGTCAATGTCTCGAAGCAAAGGCATTACGATGATGATAATTTTGCTATCCGGATTGCCATCCGGAACTTGAAGGAACTCGATGACTTTGACACAGTGATTCTTGGGATCGGAGGCTAACTCGTCCCGGGAGAAGAACTCCGCGACGTCCTTTTCGAATGGGTGTATATCACAACGAAACCGTTTCATAGTCACAAAGGCGCCATCCTCTTTCCGGATTGCGTCCATGATGCTATAACTATTCTGACAGCCACGTGAAAACACGCGCCTCGAAAAGGGAGTCGACGATACTCACCTGAGGTCGAATCCCATCCTCGGCATCATACCATCTCTTCTTTGAACCCTTCCAAGACGGCACCCACCCTGGGGTGTATCGCGGACGTAGCTGATACCCGGAGCTAGCCAGCCAATCATGGTGACTGGCCCACCACTGCTCTTCTTCTTTGAGGGGGCGATCGTCTGAGCTCATCCTGGTGGTGCGTAAGCAAGGAGTCTATTCGTAGAGTACGGCGCTCATACCTGTGGTTCCAGGACCCACGCTCAAGGCTGGAGACAACGCGTATGAAGGGAGGCCGTTACAAGCAACGCGCCTTTATGCTGGGTTTCATAAGGGACCATACGTGCAAACTCAGCACAACAACAGCTCAAGTGGGTCTAATCGGAGTTACAAATTCTGTCAGCGTGAGCTCCGCGTCGCCAAAACAACAGTAAATGAGACCATATATGGTAGGTCAGTGCTGTAACTCCCCGGGAGGCACCCTTGTTTTGGAAGTGCATCTCTCAGGCTGTGGCGGGTGGCTCCCATCGTACCTTGTTCCGATTCAAGCAAGCACCTAACTTGAGCTTGAACTATATTGGGTGGCAAGCGCTCAATGGATTGGATTATTAAGTAAGTTCTCCTCTCAGGCTCTCCCTCTCTGAGCCAGCCTTCAATGGAGGCAAGAATCGCAGCGCTGGAGCCCGATTGGGAGGCTCGACGCATTTTCGTCATGGACTATCAGCCGAAGAAGCGCAAGAAAGACGAGAACTTACTCGTTGCGAAAAGCATTTTGCAATGGAACTTTGCGGAGCTCAAACGGCTACACGAGGAGTACACTGTTGATAAGGAATCTGAGGAGCACAAGGGTGTGGAGAGAATGAAACGAGATCTCAAAGAGTGCGTGTCTCGCTTTCCTCGTCTGTAGTATGATGTTGACTACATTGTCATACTTTAAGTCTCCAGGTGGAGATCGATCAGGTAAACCAGGACATCAAAGACCATCGTTCCAAGCCCAGATACCTTCGTTGGCCCGGAATCGACAGCAAACTAAAGGGGCGTTGCGAAGATACAGTCGTACAAACGAGGATCAACTTCCACACTGTCCGAGTGAGTACTCCCTTCTTGGAGCGCTCCGTCGAACTAACCAGGGCCATCAGCAAACCTCGGAACACGTCATGACATTCGGCAAACGCAACGCATCGATTGACACAACATCACCTATATCTGGACCTTCTCCCTCTTCAGGAGCTAGCACACCCAAGTCAAGTCCAGATCAGCCCCCTGGGCCTACTTTCTACCCACAGGCTGTGAGTTGCGGATCCGCTGACCCGTCGCGCTCGTATCAGAGCTCTGGCGTTCCACCCACATGTCATGAACGGGTACCCGCTGCACGCGAATACTTGCAAGCTCACAGTAATTCATATACATGACGTTATCTTACCGAGCTAACTGTTCATGCCCAGATATCCCGAATAGTGTTTCGGCTGATGGTCGTTTGCAGATTTTCGCCACCAGTGCTATGCACGAAAATGATAACAACCTGCAAATACTCACGTCTCACGTTTCTCGGGTTTTCGAGATTCTAGATGTTCGTTGTTTTATGTTTACAACAATCGAGAAACTAACGTGCCAATCGGGTAGAACGCGGGAAATAACGGGGAACCCACGTCGCAAGGTTCGTGTTCTTACGTGTGCATTACCCTTGTTCGCATCCGCTTACACGCCGAAATACTCCGAAGAAGGTCTGCCCCAGCTTCAGGACCCTGCTTGGTTCAGAGCAGCGGTGGGAGTCGCTACCTGTATGTACTCATGTGCTAATGGTCTAGGCGATGTCGACTTATGCTCACCCATGCCTGCTATTCGCAGCGGAGGAGCATATTATATCACCGGCTTCGCGTACTGATATTCAAGCCCCTATGTTCCGTTATGGCCCAATTAACATCGGCATCTATAACCAACACTACAACCAGAACCCACAATACGTCGCAAACGAAGGTGTCAACGTTTTTGCGAACCGATCTCAGTTTTACAACTCCTCCTTTCAGAACGGGTCGGACAACACAGGTTCCACTTGTGAGTACACCTCGTCGTCTATGTCAATAAATGCGTGACGATTATGATTAGATATCAATAGCGATGCCAGCAGCTTGCTGTCGGGTTCCGACGCTATGGATATATCATAGACACCATAATGCCGCAAAAGCCATTTCCGTTATACACTGTAGTAACCAGCGCCAGCTCGTACGGTCTTCTATAACGCCTATTTCACTTTCCACGAAACCCAATGTTTGTCGCTACCACTTTCACACTAACTTATTCGCATATTGCTTTATGATGATGATGACTTCCAACATCTCCACGCCGCTGCTGATTGTGCTTTTGACATAAATGACCCAAATGTGAGAATTATAGGATTTGCCCCGTGACGAACAAGAAGGTCGTGTGATCGCCTTGCTCGAGAGATGGGTGGGTGTACCTCGCAGAGGTTCGCATGGTACATCGTCTTATAAGTCCATTGATATTGTCGAGATCGCCGTGACTCATTCGCATACACGGGCATCGCCACTTGTCAAACCCCTGTTTCGTCTGTAGCAATCTTAGTAGCGAGCGTCGACAAGTCTCCTATTCTTCCCTACTTTCAACTCATCCTCGGCGAACTCTTCCTCCTTGTCTGGTTTACTACTTCCCTCGAGTATAGATTTCTCCTTTTCGATCGCCGTGTCCTGCATTCCATGCCACACCTAGTACCAGCCCACTTCACAAGATCCTCGTGATAAGCGCGGAGTTCTAGGATATTACTATGGCAGGTCCTGTCAACCCACTCCGAGTCCGAACTGGCAATGATATTACAAGCCCCCTGGAGGGCGATATCGAGGGTGGCGATAGATCCGTCCCCGAGCATCAAAACATCACTGCCAGGCCCCTTAACCCGTTTCCGACTGACGTCTACTAACTGGGCAACCTGGTGCTACAAAAGGTTTTGGAGGTACGTAGTCGTTCGTTTTATGTGTGACACAGGTTATAACCAGCTTCTAGACTTATGAGGGCTCCAAATTCTTCGAGGGCTAATCGAAGATATGGTCCAAGATGACCCAAGCAAGCGGCCGACTATGAATGAAGCAGTTGATCGTTGATTGATTGATTGATGAATCATATTAATGTCCAGGAGGGTAAGAACCCTATGACGGACAATACTACTGCGAAATACAAGATCGAGAGCGCGAAAGGCCCCGGGCTGCTAATATATGTTATGCTGACACGTGCCCGCCAGCCAAATAAGACTGTAGACACCATAGCCCCGACCCAATGAAGCAACCAGAAACCAAGGGCGAGCAAAACCACCAAGCCAGGCCAGGGGGAGAGGAAAGCCCAGAGACAGGCTCCTGAATCGCGTCATGGGATCGCTATAGCGGAACGGGAGGGTGGCCGTCGCGAGACAAGACACCGGTTACGACGAATATTTCGTCCTGTCGATATCGCCATACGTACGGCGGAATCGTCCTGTCGAGTTGATGAAAGACATCAGGGCTTTTACTCCGGCATCGTTGTTCAGCAGGTAAGAAAAAGACTCCGCGCGGCGTCCCGCCGCCCTGACCAGCCGCCGCCTAGCGTCGTCCCAGGCCGGGCATTCGAATAGGAAATGGCGAATCGACTCGTCCACCCCGCGTGCGCAGTTCTTGCAAGCGGGGTCCTCGATGACACGGATGCGGTGGAGGAAGGCGTCGAGGGCGATATGACGGGTGCGAAGGTGCGTCAGGAGTGAGCCTTGCCGCCGCGGAAGAGCTGATATTTGCTTCATGTGTCGGTCTGTCGTAATCGAGTCGTACCCCATCGAGCGAAGGCGTTGCGCTCTCTCTGCACGTCCCCAACGGTGCGACCAAGCCGCCTTAAGCTCCGTGGTCGCCAGCTGCTTCAGCGCGGAGATGCTCGCCGGCAGTTCGCTCCGAAGGTGCTTGGGCAGCCGTCGCCGGCGGTTGACCGCCTTCCCCCCTGTCGCCGCCGCTTTTGCCTCCTCGTCCGCCTTCTCATTGCCCGCAATCCCCCGATGCCCCGCCAGCCACACGAACCGAATCCTCACATCCTGCACCTCCCTCCCCACCAACCTCGCCAAACGCCATATCGGCGGCACCAGGTAATGCCCCGGAGTTGCCGAGGACGGATCCTTCACCGCCGCCAACGCCGCTTGGCTATCCACATATATCGACACTTCCTGTCCCTCCGCCCCCCTCTCCTTCGACATCAGAGCCAGCGCAAGTGTCATCCCCACGAGTTCGCCCTCGAACACAGTATGCCTCCCCGCTACACCAAGGTGGTACCGTGCCACAGACTGCGTACCATTGGGACGCTGCAGCACAGCGGCCGCCCCGATCGAACCCTCGATTCCCGAGCCATCAGAGTACACCGCCCAGCGTCTCGTGGGGGCTGAGTTGTGCTCCTCAATGGACACCTCCTTCGACTTCGCCACGGACACTGTAAAGGGGGGGCTATGCGAGGGGAAAGGAGGGCGGTGGAGTGGCTCGATGTCGCCCACAGGTATGTCCAGGCGGTGGGCCAACAGGTGTAGGGCTGACTGGTGACGCGCAACCAGGCGTTTGGCCGCGCCAGCGAATAGCTTCGCCACCGGGTTCGATAGGGGGAGCGTCGCGAGGCGGAGCGCACCTCGGTGCAGCGCTTTCTGCACAGCAAGGTCCATCGGAAAGACGTTGGCGAGGACTTGGAGGACGTCCGTGGGGGTGGTGCGCATCGCACCCACCATAGGACATAAGGCGAGGCGCTGAACTGTGGTGAGTCGTTTCATAAGTCCCTGCGAGCCCCGAGCCTTCCCTAGCGCGACATTCAAGGGCGGGCGCAGCCAAACCTCACTCGCATACAACATCTTCGGCAGGACGACCGCGTTATACAAGCGTTTTACCATCTTGAAGGGCATCCCCGCAGATGGGCGTGCCAAACGCCGTAGTTGGAGGGCGTAAGCTGTACCGCGTTCGACTGCAACCGCCGATTGTAGCTTCCAACGAAGTTCCTGGTCGAGCAGAACACCAAGGAGCTTGTGGTGCGGCGCGGGCATGATTTCGTGGCCCTCGACAACCATCGGTGGGCGCTCCTTAGTCCGGTTCATCCCAAAATCGACTAACCCAAACTTCGCTACTCCAAATGAGGAGCCGTGCTCGCGAGCCCATTCCAGCACCCCCCCTTCCCGGTAGAGCATGTCAAGGAGGATGCGGTGGGTCCCATGGTACGTCTTCCCCCTCGCCAGCAGGGAAGCATCGTCCACATACCCAAACGCTCCCTCCTTCCTGCCCTTCGCTACCCGCAGTAGCCGTGACGCATACACCACATATAACAGCATGGAGAACGGGTCTCCCTGGACGAGACCGTTGACAATCCGAATGCAATCCGAGAGGTGATCGTCAAACCGGAGACGCGTCCGGCGATCAGAGAGTAGGTTCTCTACAAACGCAATAGTGTCATCCGGGATACCCAACAGCCGGAGCTCATGCAGCAGCATGTCAATCGTGACGCTCGGAAACGCCGCCTCCACATCCAGAAAGAGCACCGAAACTACCTCCCCCGCCCGCCACGCCTTCCTAACCTCCGCCTCGATCGCCAATAACGCGTCAGTCGTGCTGCGCCCCGGCCTACCACCAAACGCCGTGTCAGGCAATAGGCCCCGTGCCTCAAGGAGGTGAGAGGTTCGAGCTGTCATGATAGCGGACATGATCTTAGCAATTGTGTTGACCAGGGCAATCGGCCGATAGGCCTTGGGCGCCGTGTAGTCGGGCTTTCCCGGCTTCCTGAGAACGACAGTCGTAAACTCACGCCAGCTGTCCACGTATACGCGGTGCGTGAGACATGCGTTGAACAGCCGCAAGAGATAGGGCGCCAGGGTGTTGACGCATCTCTTGTAGACCACGTTCGGCAGGCCATCAGGCCCCGGCGCCTTGTGACCTTTCAGCTTCCCAATCACCTCCCTCAACTCGTCCTCGGATATCAGGCCACGGCTTGGAAAGGAGTCGCCGTAATCGTAGTCAGCAGGCACAAAGGAAGCAGGTGGGGGCTGAGGAAAGAAGGTATCCGCGAAGACAGCGGTCTTGTCGGCGTTGGTGTGGTACGTCCCAAAGCTGTCCTTCAGATTCGGCACTCGCGTACGCCCACCATCCGACATAGGCGACGCGGCATAGCGGTGGGCGGACCAGATGGTAGTGGCATCTAGCTCCTCCAAAAAGTCCAGCCAATGCTCGGTCTTTGTTCTGTCCACCGCCGCGGCAAAATCCCTGCACACCTGTGCAAACTCCTCGTGCACGGGGTGCTCCGGCAATCCCCTCATCGCGTGGCGCCTCCTCGACACCTCGTTCTTCCTGTCCTTCAGCGCTCCCAACTCCCGCGACCACCACCTCTTCATGAACGTGCATAGCCTCGCCATCGGCACCTTCCGCTCCACTGCCCGCTGCAGCGCTACATCCACCTTCCGCGCATATTCCTCCGCCTCCACCTTTGTCCTCGGCACGCCCATGTCTCCCCACGCCGCCAGCTCCTCCTTCAAGACGTCATCAAACTCCTCCCACTCCACCCCTTTGAAATTGCGGCGCGGCTCATCATCCAACGACCGCAAGCCCAGATCCAGGATTGTCTTGATAGGGACATGGTCCGCCCGGAGCGCATGGAGCTCGGGGACAACATCGCACTCAACGATGCAGTCAAACGTGCGTTCCGAGCACCAGACATTGTCGGGACGTGTCCAATTCTTCGTACGCGAATGGCATAGCGTGGGTGTCTCCGGTGGCAGGGCCATGACCATCCCGTAGGAAGCCACCAGCTGCAGAAGGACCTCCGCCTCGTCGAGCGCGGAGGGCGTGAAGAGCTGGATGTTCCTCGGCTCATCCCACATTGGGTGGTGTCGGTTGAAATCCCCGAGCCAGAGTACGTGGTCCTCGTCGCCGATCTCCAAGGCGTCCGCATTGAGGAACGTTTCCAGCATCTCGAGGACAACGCGGGAGTCCCCCGGGTTGTAGATATTAAAGACGATCACCCGGCCACCGGTCGTCTTGAACTCGGTGAGCACCACATCTCGCGAAGGGAACGGAGCCTCCGCCCATTCGTCCGTCGCTATCCTCCTGTTGACCAGCGTCACTGCGCGCACCTTCCCCTCCCCGGAGGAGACAAACTTCTCCGAGGGATACACCACCCGCCACGATGCCGTCGCCCTCGTGTTCCCCACCCTATCCAGACACGGCTCCTGCAGCACCACCACATCCCAGTCGTCGGCCAGCTTCCCATTCAGTAAGTCGTCATGTGCGTATCGTGAGTTGTTCATGTTCAGTTGAAGTATTCGTAAACGTTGGTTGGTGACGGGTGTAGTATTCATTGGGATCGTCCAGGTAGGGACCGGCCAGCTGCTTCATGTCGTGAGAGTGAGGATCGCGATCTCACCACCCCCGGTAGTTTTGTCTGTCGTAGGGTGGAGGTGAGTCTTGCCGCCGGACCCTCATCCTCCTCATCCCCCCTCCGGGGACCTGCTCCCTTGCCCACTGCGCGATCGCTTGTCAGCCGCCCCGCTGGCACCGACGCCACCCGCCTCGAAGACATCCCCCCAGACGCTCCAACACCACTGCCACGTCCCCTGTGGTCCCCAGCCCCAGGCTCACCACCACTAATCCCACCACGATCGCCTCTACTTCCGCCACCCACGATTTCAACACCTTCGACACCTCCGCTACCATCGCCGTTTTCAATACCAGCACTGTTGTCACCACCACTGCCTGCGCTGCGCGGAGCCATTCCGCCGGGCCCATCAGCCAGCCCTACGATCTCCCCCTCCTCCAACAGCTCCACGCCTTTCGTGGCCTCCGCCGCCGTCACCTCGCGCCGCACATCCTCGAGCAGCTCATCAACCTCGCAGCATGTGCTAGCCTCCTTAGCCAATGAGGGCGGCTGTTCCCAGTTCCCCGCAGTTGAGTATAGCGGGAGTGCGTTTTCCGGGTACTTGGCGTCTAGCTCCCTGCGTTTCCTGTCAGCGACAGGACAGTCCCTGTCCCAGCTGGCGTGAGTGTCGCTGTTGCAGGAGGCGCAGTGCGCCTTGCTTTGGTTGGTGCACGAGTTGGATCGGTGGTTGTCACCACATTGCGCGCAGGTATCCCGCAGTGCGAGGCAATTCGCCGCAATGTGTCCCCATAACTGACATTTGGCGCATCGCACAGGTTCTTTCTTGTCTTTGCGGGCAGCGAGCTTTGTGTGCTCGAGCGCGAGGCCATTGAGAATGAGGGAGTTTGCTGTAACTGGATCGCGACAATGCAGCACCGCATGGGCAAAGCGTTGGTCGAGCCGCCGTTTCGCAGGGGCCTTCGCCCATCTCGCAGTGGAAATGGCGCCTGGGTACAGGTCGTTGTCTGCTTCGCAGCCTCGAAGCGTCACCTCCGCAACAATGTCGGTTGGTAGCGGGATGAATTTGACAAACACCGCGAACGTTGGTGGACGATACTTCAAGTCGCTCCCTAAGACGGACTCGAGACTGGAGAGGCCAGCGGGTGAACGGAGCCAGTCGGCAGCTTCCTCTGTAGTAAGCTCGACCAGGACGCATGATCGCTGGGGCCTGGAGGCGGAGCGGACGCAGATCTCAGGGGAGTTGTCCATGCGGGCCATAGCTAGAATGAGTTGCAGCCGAGACGCGAGCTCCTTGGCCGCCACTGAGGGAGGGTAGTCTGTGGACGATGGCATGATGTCGAATAGTAGCTGTCTCTGCCTCACCGCAGCTCTAGCCGCTTGGGTAATCTTAGCGTCGTTCTGGGGATCCGCAAGAGCGTTGGCCATGATGCTGCGGAAGTCCGGAGGGGGGCTATTCCCAGCGGGGTGTTGAGTCGGGACCGCTGCTGCTGCCTTTGCCGCCGCCGCCGCGTAGGTCTGTTCAAACTTCTTGCCCGTGTCCGCCAGCGCAAAGGCCGTTTCCTGGACCTTCGCAATGTGCGGGGAAAGGCCCGCTATAAGGGAGTTTGTTGCCTTCTCCACCACCGCCGCCGCCGTTCTCTCCGCCACTTCTGCTGCCATCCGCTCGAACCGCCCTTCCTCCAACCCCTGTCCCAACCCCTGTCCCAACACCACCGCTGCCGCCGCCCTCTCCGCCACCTCCGCCGCCAGCCGCTCGAACCTTGCCTCCTCCAATCCCTGCTCCAGCACCACCGCCGCTGCACGTAGCGTGGCCTTGTCCTGCCCGGGTACCGTAGATAGATCAGCTGTGTTGAATAGGATGGTGGCTACCGTCTGGGGGCTAAGTGTCTGCCCAGAGGCCAACCAGCTAAGTCGTTCTAGGTGCTTCCTTGCCGTAGCCAGGTCGGGAGCATCCCCTCCGCCGATCCTAGGCATATGTACAGGGATACGAGATCCCGAGCGTTGTGCATGTCCTGTACCAGAACCGTTAGGAGCTGGCGTGTTCTGACGTGTTGATCTTTTCTGGGTCGCGATTCCTGGGTCGCGCGGTTTGCCCGCCCCGTCACCTTCGGTGTCCATCGGAAGGTATGGGGACTGGCGTTATTAAGAGGTATACAATAAGTTGATTAAAGATGAGAGAGAATCGGCGTGTATGTTTTTTGTGTGTGTCTACTTCTGTACTCGTATGCTTTTCCGGGGTCCCAGCCGGGGTACCACGCGGAACAGAGTCAAGAAGCGTCCTAGTTGATCGTTATGAACAGCTTTGTCAGAACCTGAACACGTCTCAGTGCGTTCCGCATAGGGCTCCAACTATATAGTATATGTATACACCCAAGGGCATACGGATACGGAATTGGTTGTAATCGTACGTTATCGTATACATATACCATATAATACTGTATGTATTTTACCGAGAGCTCTCTCGCCTCATTGCGGTTTGAGGATCACCTCATAGAAGAGGTCGGGATCTTCTAGCCACTTCTTTGTGCACATCACCTCTGTAATAGTCGACGCCTGCATAGACGACCGCGTGTCCCGGCAGAGGTGGCGAGAATTCGAGAAGAGGCGTTCAACAGATACAGAAGTAGCCGGAATGGCGAGAAAGTCTCGCGCCATGCAGGCAACCACTGGAAATTCGCTGGCATGTTCCTAGTATAACAAGGTCAGTACGAGGGTTATAGTATATAAGAAATGATGAGATAACCTTCCACCACTGAAGAGGCTTGCGGTGATTGCCAAACCCGCCTTCTCCATCACTGGTGTACCGTGAATCTACTAGAAAGGACCGCCTGTGACTTCTCGTTACTCAGTGGTCGAAGCGTATCCTATACGTAATTTCACGGACACCCTCCATCCCGACGTCGCCTTCGAGGACTTCGTAGGTGTGCTTAAGACGCGTTCACCTTAGATTTTCGAGTGCGTGATCATGCTGGAGTTTCTATTTCTACTATTCACCTGTAGATATGTTGTCAGTAGATAGTATAATGCGATGCATCGACCATATACCAAGTATTTCAGATGTAACGAGTCAAGTTTGGCATATAAGACTGTCTCGCACTCTGACGCGTCCACCGGCAATTAAGCTAGCACGACGTGGGAGAGAAGGGATTGATACACTCGTTTGAGCAGAGATTCACATAATACCTTGTTACCTGACATTACTGCGAAGACTAGTATTATTCGTACACATACATAGACGTCATCATGGTCAGAATCTTGTTCGCCTGTCGAAGTAGCAAGTGCCGTACAAATCACCTACTCCTCCATACTTTCCTCCTCATCAGTGGATTCTCCCTCCTCGTCTGATCTACCTCCCTCGAGTCCGTTATACTCTTGTTTAATCATCTTCTCCCACTTCATGGCCCATTGAACAAGATCCTCGTGGTAAGCCACGCTATAGACGCACATGCCGCTGTACAGGTTCTCATCCCCATCAGCTGTCAGCTGCGCCTGAAGCGCCTCAAGGCGAGACCCCACATCAACACCATACTCCTCTGAAAGTTGTTGGATGACATGTTCCCTTGTAATACCAGATGAGGCCTTGTCATCTTCGAGCGCGTCTATGATGCATTTTGCAACAACGTCGAGGCCAGTACGGTCCGCGTCCATAGCGGCCAGAACTCGCTTCTCTCTAAAGAGGGTTTGCTTATCCTCGTCGGTCAAAAAGGCAGCTTTGAAGGGAAGAGAACCGGAGAGAGACTCGGCGGCGCGGTTGAAGATAAAGTAGTCGACGTCATCGTCCTCGCTTTGCAGTTCGAGCTGTAAGAGCAGCTGAAGCGACCGCGTGTACTCCGGACGCCCTTGTTGTCGACTCTTGGAGACCTTTTCTTTGCCGCAGAAGACCTTATGTTTTCGCCAGTCCGATCTCTGACATTGTCTAACAGCAAAGAGGTGATTAGAAGATGTGTCAATTGATCAGAATAAGAGTAAATGCGCACCGGGAACAGTACCAACAAGCAAAGTTGAGGTTACGCTTGCAAGTTGCGCATACGAGGAAGCGAACATTAGCCCCTATCTCCACAGGGCTACGTTCGCAGTTTTCGCAGCTTAACGTTTCTCGGCTCTTGGCGTCCTTTCTTGCAGCCACGATGCTACGCAATCCTCTGTGACTAGCATTCCACATGAGGCGAGGCGCCGTTGTGAGACCCTTGAACATGTCATCACCCCATGCCTTGCAGATGGCTTTTGCTGTACGTAGAACGAACATATCTGTTGGAGACGTTTGAGTAGAACGGCAACTAGAGCAAAGGTAGACCGTACCAAGGAAGTCCCGCCTAAAACATGTATACAGCTTGTAGGTGTGTGTGACGTTCTCGTGAAGTGGTTGCGGTATGCCTTCCAGCTGCAACGCGCTCGACCACCACTCGGTCTGAATTAGGCTTTCTTGTTCGGTTTCGTCCTCAGAAAGTGCCATCTGCAAGTAGCGATCAAAGAAGGCGAACAGTTCCATGCCTCGCCGCTTGAGCATCACGGTACTGATGATCTCGGGACAGATCATGCGGGCGTCTTGACCAAGCATGCTGTTCCAGCATGTCTCTTCAATGCTGCTGCTGAGGATTCGAGTTCGTTCTTCCATGTCAACAAGCATGAACCAGTCCCGGAGACTGTACCGAGCCAGCATAGGATTGCCAAACAGCTCGCGGACGTTGTTGGGATACGTACGATGATTGTCCTTCGTCGCCATCTCTATGGCTCGAAGCATTTCACGGTCGGAAGCCTCGATTCTCCTGCGGAAGAGTGACCCGTTGAGCATCATGACAGTGCCGCTGAAGGCATCCGACGCCGACTTTAAGCTGATCTTTTTGACGCCCTCATCCCAGTCACGGACCCACTTGGCGCGGTCGACGCGTACGTCGACGACTGGAAAGCCATGGAGCTGGTCGACCCATGCAGATTGGTCGTTATCCAGCCGGTATGCGTTCTTTGGGTCGGCTTTGAGTTCGGCGATGTCTGGTCCACCTCGAGAGATGATGACGGTGTCTGGGGTGAGTATCATCTGGGTAGAACAAGATGGTCTCGAGAAGGTGTGAAGGAGAGAGATCAAGATGGACTGCATCTCAGCAAACTTCGCTTCAGGCACGCACATTTGGCGCCGAGTTGTCATGCAGTTCAACGCGCGATCAACTGGAGGATAATTGCCTTCCGAGCTTGGAATCACTGGATTGATGGCGCGGCCGGGCCTTTCGTCTCATCATGAGACGACTCGATATGGTTAAAGCGACACCAAAAACACAGATTGTGAGCTTGTATGCCCTCCAATAGATTTGTGGCGGGTATCCATTCGTGTCGGCATTGCATTCTTCGTACTGCGTCTATACGAAGGTCAATTAGTAGACACTTGGAAAGAGAGAATATTAACTTGAAAGCAAGCTCAGCCCACTTCGGGGTCCGCTTCGAGGTCCGCGGCTCCGTCACTTAATATTGAGACTGCCAAAGACAATGCTTATCGTCTTCGATGCACAAGGGTTGCACCCCACCAAATTCCAGCAGCTACACTTGTTTCTACTTACGTCGTCTAGCTCTTCCACTCCAGTCTTCTACTCAAAATTGTCATTTGGGTTCTGTCCTCTGGAGTGCAGCCTCTCAATTGTATCGTAAGTTTAGTGTGCAGGGGACGTGTGGGAGCAAGTAAAGCGTAAAAAAGTGTGACACCGTGTTGGTAAGCGCATATATATGCTGGTTAGTAAAATGCAGCAAGCAGAGCTAGGTGCGAGGCGGGATAGGCTCGAGGTTGCGCGCCATTCCCTGGAGATACTGGAGGAGCGGGCCGACGAATTCTGGGTCCTCATCCACTTCCTCCAGCTGCTTTATCCTCGTCTGCAACTTCCCCATAAACCACTTACTAATGACCTTCGGAAGAAATCCGTCGAAGATACACATTCCCGAGTACCGAGGTTCGTCGCCTTCAATTTCGAGCTTCTCCTCCAGCGCCTCTAGTCGGGCCCTCACGTCGACCTCGTACTCTTCCTCAAGCTGCTTAATGATATCCTCTCGCTCAATGCGAGACTCAATCTCCTCGTCCTTGTGTGCATCTACGAGACATTTGGCAAGGACGTCTAGTCCGGAGCGATCGGCGTCGATTGCAGCGAGAGCTCGTTTCTCCCTAAAGAGTGACCGCATCTCTTCGTCGTGTTGAAATGCCACTTTGAAAGGAGAGGCAGAAAACATGGCCCCGCCCTCAGCGTTACGTTGGAAAAGGAGGTAGTCCGCATCCTTGTGGGCGTTTTGCATCTCGAGCTGCAGAAGCAGCGCCATCGAGCGCTTGTACTCGGGCCGGCCTTGGTCTCGACTTTTAGAGACTTTCTCTTTTCCACAGTGGACCTTGTGCTGACGCCAGTCGGCTTTCTGACATTCTCTGCCAATCGAAGTCAGCGATGGAAACCCCTGTATCGAATACGGGTCACGCACTTGGAACAATAGTAGCACGCAAAGTTGAGCTTACGCTTGCACACAGCGCAAATGAGGAAGCGAACGCTGTGTCCCGCTTCCTCCTGACTACGCTCGCAATGCTCGCAAATCTGCGTATCCTTGCTCTTGTGCATCTTTCTCGCGGACGCGATGTCACGCCGTCCTTCACGATCGGTGTTCAGCATGATTAGAGGCGCTGACGTGAGATTGCTGTCCATATCGGCTTCCCATCCCTCGGTAATGTTCCTCGTAATGAGGGTCAGAAATCGATCTGTCGGAGATACTATGAGCACATCACACCTCGAATCAAACGAGACCGAAAGGTAAATCTCACTGAAGAAATCCCTCCGGACCTCGGTGTAGAACTTGTAGAGATGAGCTGCGGTCTCATGGGAGATTGGCGAGTTGCTCTCGAGCTGTGCAGCGCTGATCCACCAAGCGTTGTGAGTTAACGAGTCTCTTTGGGCTTCTTCGATAGAGAAGGTGATGTCGATATAGTGATCAATAAACCCAAAGAGTCCCTCCCCTCGTTGCTTGAGCAGTGCGGTTCCAGTGATCTCAGGACAGAGCATGCGCGCGTCCTGACCCAAGATCGTGTTCCAACACACCTTCTCAAGCGCGTCACATACTATCTGGAACCGCTTCTCGGCATCGATGAGCGAGAACCAGTCTCTCGGGCTGTACGAGATCTGAAGGAGCCTTGGGTTTCGCCACGTGTCTCGGACGCTCTCCGAGTACAAGGTGTGGTTCGCCGCGTTTATCGTCTGAATGCGGCTCAGCCAGTCAATGTCGGGCTGTTTGATCCCAAGGTGTATCTGCATGATGTTGTGGGTCAGCGCGGTCTCGCGGAAGACGGTCTGTGCCGACGACGCGATCTTGCCGATGCCTTTGTCCCAATCGCGGACCCACTTTGCGCGATCGGCACGAATGTCGATCACAGGGAAGCCGGATCTCTTGTTCGCCCAAGCAGAGAATCTGTGGTCCAGTCGGTATGCATTCTCAGGGTTTGCCTTGAGTTTGGCGATGTCCATGTGGGCTGGGAGCGCGTCGTGGGCTGGCATTGTTGGGGAATGAGATAGGGCAGTGGGAGTGACTAGCTATCCGGAGGCCACAGCGATGAACGTTAACTCTGGGTCGCGCAGGTGGTTCGTCGCGTGGAGAACTTCGGCGAGGCAAACATGAGGCTCGTGAGAGCGATTTAAGCAGTTGAATTAAGCGCCCAATGTAAAGCGTCAAAGTTCTTCGGGCGATTTCGGCCATTGCCGAGGGTGATGCTTTGATGCCCAACAAGTCCAGTATGGTGGCATCTTTTCAAGTTGTTTTGTATAGTCCACCTTGTCTTCCCTACTAGCGCTAGGCGGTCGTACTGAGACTGCTAGTAGCATGGCTACTATCATAGCTATGAGCAAGCAAACCGAATCTCGAACAACTTATACCCGTCCTCGTCTGCCCTACCAACTCCCTCCCTCCTCTGCATATCCACCCTCTCGACGATGACGAGCTCGTCTTCCCTGCCCTTGAATCCCTCACCCTCAAGCTCAGCAATCCCAGGAAACACCTCTCGCACCGACCTCTCCATACCCTCATGCCGCCCCGTCTCGCGCAGCGGCATCGCGAGCCACATGACGCCATCCTTCCTCATCGCCCGGTGGACCACGTCCCTAATCAGCCGCGCGTGCTCGCGCTCGTACACAACGTCCGCTGCGAGAACGACGTCGAACATGCCCATCTCCTCTGCTGGGGGCGGCGATACCCAGTCGAGGGCGGTGACGCACACCAAGTTATCCAGCCTGTTCGAAGCGACGTTGGCGGAGAGGTTGGCGAGGACGTCGGCGTGGTAATCTGTTGCGAGGACTTCGGCGGGCGCCCCCAGTCGCTGGAGAATCTGTGCGGCGACAATGCTGAGCAAGCCGGTGCCCGCGCCGAGCTCGAGCACGCGGGCAGGTCGAGAGAAGGGCTGAGATACAGATGCAGATGTAGACGTTATGGGAAAATAGCGCAATGGTTCGGCGCAGAGCCGCGCGGAGAAGACGACAGCAGTGCCCCAGCTCTGCAGACCGACGGCGGTATGATCAACTCCTGTCAGAGGTGCGTCGTTGAGCTCAGCCTTGATAGGCTCGTTCGGTGATGAGGCGTCATCGACAAGGAAAGGGAACGTGAAGGTGCGTGTCACCGCTTCCTCGGGCTCGTCGTCCCCGGCGAAACGCGCCAGGAGCGTCGTCGCGCGGTCCACCAGATCCATCCGACTTTCTTCCTCCTCTACAGCGGCCCCAGCCTCCTCCCCAGCCCCTCCGATCCATGCATCCGAGCGCTTCACGAAACCCATCAACCACTTGACGACGTACGCCCGCTCCATCTCGTCCGCCCTCAGCACCGCCAGCGCCTCTTCCTCCACATCCTCTTCATCTTCTTCCCCGCCGCCAAGAGCGCAGCACTCCTCATCCTCGTCCTCCTCTGCAGACGCATAACCCGAATCCGGCACCCCGTCGTCGTGCGCGAACGTCGCCACCTGCACGTTTCCCGGCCCAGGTACATGCATCGTGCCCGATATGTCCGCCCGGAGCACGTCCGCGTCCGATTGGCTGGCGCCAGGAACGTGGCTCGAGTCGGAGTCGAAAGTCTTCGTGATTGGAGAAGCGTGGAAGCCGGCGCTGGCGCTGGCAGCGATATTGGCGAGCAAGGCCGGGAAGTAAACCACGGTGAGCCTGTCCATGGCGGTGCTGATGTCCGCAGCAGCGAGGTAGGGGAGGCGCACAAGAGAAGGCAGGGAGGACGTTGGTGTGAGTGGATGCAACATTTTCTGTTTAGGATCCGGTCCTTCGAACGTTTTGAGTATTGAATTAGCTGGTATTGCTGTATTAATTGAGCTTCGTAGTCTTGATAGCTGTATGGTAGCGTAGCGTCGGTCCGTTAAGCCTTGCGTCTATATCGTCTATGCCAATGGGTGGTGTCTAAGTCTATGCTGTCGAGCCCAAGGAGCGAAAGAAAGCCAGGATATCCCAGAGAAATCGATGGAAAGAAAGGAAGACGGGAAAGCGATAAGCAAATCGACAGGCGACTAAAAAACCTCGCGGTCAGCACGCTCGGTAAATCTTGCGTGATAGGCTGTCGACGTGTGTTGATGAAGCGGTAAGCAGGATACGGACGTACAGCTGTTGCGACAACGCAGGCTCGTAGCGGTAAGACACACTAGTGAGCCTGCGTTGCTAATCAAGCAAGAGGAGCGCCATTGCGCGAGCTGGGAGACGATGGTGAGCGTTTGGAGAAAAACAAGGCATCGAGACAAGCGCGGATCTTTGTTCGCTTCTGGCAAGCGGTGTTCGGTTTCTCGGTCCGACGCGGATGATAAGATAAGATAGCGATGTCAGCGGAGATGACGGGACTTTTTGAGCTCTCTCGAGTCTCAACCGCCATAAACTGGCAGAGCGACAAGTACTGGTATTGTCTGTTCACTTGATCACGACTATGTCTGGCGAGACAGCGGTATCCCTTTCGTATGACTTGAAGGTGCCCAGCGGAACACAAGCGCCTCAAGGCCTTGCCCCTCAGACGAGCCACTCCTTCCCACTAGCAGACACTAGCGAGAAGGTCGATCTGAAGACGTACTACGCCGCTTTGCGCAACTCATTGGCCGCTGCTCGCGATAAAGCTGGAGAGGATCTGACGAGATGGAGGGATGCCGTTGGACCAGCAGAGGCAAGCAAGGAGGGCGGAAAGAGGGTCAAAGAGGACGAGGACGAAGATGAAGAGGCTGGGGAGGGTATGGATGAAACATAACAAGATGATTCTGTACAGATGCGCTGATGATGGTGCGAAAAGCTCGTTCGAGTCTGTGTGTCTACCTAACGTTGGTGCCATCAGTCATTCAAAGTGCCAACCGACCCCTTCGTCACTGAACTTGAGTCACACGGCTTAACTCATCTCACACGAGGAGAAAGCTATAATGGATGCGTTCATTTATGCTACAGTGCCTTCACAGTGCGGGCTATGCAATGTTTATGATACAGTTGTGTTAAGCGATAACGACTTCAGGACCATGCTTCTACTTCTGCTTTTTGCGAAGCATCTCCTCATCCTCGGCCTTCAGCTCAGCATCGATCTGGGCACCTCTCGACGGTTCGTTCCCGTGTGCACGTGCAGGCCCCAATGGGTCGACGTTGGGGTTAGCCTGCGAGAAGGCTTTCTCTCGCTCGACTTCACGGTCGTGTTTTGATGCAGCAGCGAGACGATTTCCGATGCTTCGCTCGTCCCTGGAGGAGGACAGTTAGATGAGGATGGATGAAGTGTGAGTCATGACCAAGCTTACTTCGAGTCAAGATCCAGGTGCGAATTATCCTGGCCCTCGTCGTACTTCGGAGGAATATTATGGTCGGTGACCTTGTCGTTCCTATGCGAAGAAGTCCGAATCAGAACAAGGTATGGTATGAGCGTGGATGTACAAGCACGAACCTCTGGTCGCCGTCGACATAGACCTGGGGGTTGCCAACCTTGGACATCATGGCTCCGGAGCGGGCGTTAGACATTATGGTGATGTGGGATGTGTTGTTGGGTAAAAGAGAAAACGTATTTTGGGTGTAACTGGTGATTGTGCGTTTCGAAGATGTTCACCTGAGCGTATATAAGCGATCGCGCTGGGAGGGTGACGTCAGGAGGAGGGGCGTTGTGGCGGTAGAGGATGACATCACAGATGCAGTAATCGTTGTCTACCGAGGTTGTCATTCACCGGTTGGAGGAAAGTTGGAGCGCTGTAGTGTTGCGAGGGCCATTTTCCGAAGCCAAAGGGCTCGGCGTGGGGTGAGCGTGTCTCCAGGTGTCTCCACGGACGGGCGCGATGAGGAGCAAACTGATGCAGAACGTCTGTTGATTTGAATTGACGTTTGAACACTCACTCTGAACTTCATTCCGTTTCAGCCTGATATCACCAAATAGCGACCAGTTTCCATTCGTATTCGCAACGGAGAGTATTACAAAAAGTGAAGGGAAGAGGTGAAAAGATGTATGGACCACCGGCATACTCGACTACATCCAGAAAGTTTCCAGACGAGCGCGACCGACGAACGAAGCCGTCAGCCTGCACTAAGACGTACACGAAAGTCGATTTCCGCCCTGCTTTGGCACAGACCGGCGTGGCGGATATGAGAGCGCCGTCGCCTGTAATTTGACTTGAGGTGCGTTGAAGGAAAGAGACAGCGAGGCGTTGTGAGGATTGGGGAAAATAGCGTGGGAACCTATAGCTTCTTTTGGTGAAGCCCTGACGAGAGACGCGCCTTGCTTCCGTGTCCGCACCTCTCTTCCGCGCCCGCGCCTTTGCTTCATCGACGTCCCTACATTCAGATGGCGGCCAGTATGCATATCATATCCGTGAAATGCACATCGACCATCCTTTCAATCGTTCCTTGTATCTGAACACATATCTTGAAGAACACACATAATGCTCTCCCCGCTGCCTCCGCGGCAATAATGTTCCTGGAGCAAGCCCACCTCGACTCGTACCCTATAGGATCGCTCTTGTTGCACCCGGATGCGACATCTGAGCTCGAGCCTTGTTATGGTGTGAGATCGTTATTGTAGGCGCCTTCGTTATATCCTCGGACAGACATGGCTGTTCGTTCGTTGCTCTAAACACCCTCTTTCAGTCCTTGCCTTTTGGTTGTCCAGCCCCTATTGTCTGCACCATGTCTTCGCGCAAGCGCGCGTGGACCAGCTTGCATTGTCGGCTATATAGGCTCTCCACGGCGACGTCAAGTGGAGCAAAATTCTCTCCATACACCCCGTTTCGATTTCCTTCCACTTGTACAGCACCATCATGGAGGACTTGAAGAGCTTAAGGGCACGCTTAGAAGATACGCAGGAGACTCTCACGCAGCATCTAGTAGGGGAGAATGTCGAGTCGGACGTCAACATCCTTTCTCTTTCCATCGAAAACGTCTTGCTTGCGCTCGACTTCCTCCGCAACACGCTGGCTACCTGTACTTCTGCAGATCAACGCGAAAAACTGGAGCGGAGCATCCAATCGCTTTCATGGTGGCACGAAGGGTACGTAGATGCTATGTCCCATACACCCCAGCGTGAATCTGCTTCGCTAACATGACCACTTGCGGACCAGATTGAACGCTTACTTGCAAGACACGAAATGTGCTCTGATACGGCTTCAGAAAGCGGAAGCGTGTCGGTATCTTTTCCTTCAGGAGGTGTATCTCCGGCGTATGATACGGCGCGACATGGAAAGTAACTACCAGTGGTTCAAGACAATGGTCCAGCACGCTCTGGTAAGTATGCCTGGAATGTCCAAGCGCTGCTCCGATGGTGTTCTAATCGCGGTCGATTCACTACAGACTGTCCTACTACTCGAAGAGCCTATCTCAGACCGCCGTTCGACGGAAATGGGCTCTGGAGCGCTTGCGGCGTTAGTGAGCGCCGCCAAACCGAGCCTGAAGCAGAACTTCGTGTCTCGGAGTCATCGCAATATCCCATGGCCGCCATCGCTTTGGAGGTACACGATCGGTGGTGAAGAGAAGGTCACCATCGTGTTCGTACCAGACAGCGATCTATCAAAGAAGAAGGCCAGATCGAAGCGTAGGGTCGTGAAAATGGAGGTTAACAGATTCGCGATGCGGTATGGGCTAGTGCGTCTTCATAATCTTTTCGTCTCAAATGCAATCAATCATGCACACGAGCTGACAGTGTCTCCTATACAGATGCCTGAACTTGCGCCCGATAACTCGTCAGAGAAGACACTGGTTAACGAGGTGGTCAACATATTTAAGCGCTCCAGCTTCAGCGCGAAGTCATCTCATCGAGAGAGTCTGTCGGCTGCCACAGAGAAGGTAGCGCCTCATTCGAGGCCTATATGCGAGGTCAATCCGCTTGTTTGGCGGTACTCCGTTGACGGTGGGACGATAGCGCTCCTGTACTTCTGGGACGAGAGCTCGCGTCAGCAGAGGGTAAAAGCCGACGTCGGGAGGCTCGTCCAGGGGGTCGGCAAATTCATAACACGATTCGGGTTGGTACGTATTCCCCTTTCCAGTTTGGATTTTACTTGTCTCTTGCTAACCTCTATTCCTTACATCTACTCGCGACATCCAGGCACGCGAAGATATCGGTGTGGGAGATGCATTCGAGCAAGTGCTCCTCGACGAGGCGGCGTCGGTTTTGACAATGCCTCGTCAGTCAATACAAGCATCTGAACTCCAAGACACCCGAGTTGATTTGTCGAAACGCAAAGCAAGTATTGACGATGAGCTCGACAAGATTGTTAACATGGTTACGAGGAAAGAGGGAAACAACGGTGCGACTGCGTACAGGTGTTGGAAACGGTTTGTGAACGTTTTTGAGCGGTAGCAGGGTTTCTCTCCCCCAAATGGTTTCTATGAAGTAGTTTCCGGTTGCTAATATACCAATAATATACCCCATACTAACGTATCACGGAGAAACATTATTTGTCGATGACTCTCAATGCATGAGTTGGAATATCAGAATAGAATATACAGACCCATGCCTGACAAAATTCCAAATTATGACTCTGAAATATCATAGACGGCATTAGCAGCTCGGGTTTCGACGACGTGTGTCTATCTAAAACAAGCGCACGAGAATGGTAGCTCAGGCCCTTTTTGACGGACTGAGCTTCCGGGGCCCTTCCTCGCACACGCTGACGTAGTGCTAGTTCACGAGCGGAACCTGCCAAGGCCCCGGTAGCCTAGCTGCAGGGTATGTATTTCCCGACGTTACTAGCTTACAACGTTCCGAAGCACTTTTGCTTGCATTTGTCACGCTTTACTAACATTCCATGGTCATCAGCACCGAGTTTGGCACCAGACGCTTTCGCCATCGCGATTGTTTGTTCGTTTGTTGAGATGCAGAGACACCGATTCGAGAACGATTCAATTGACCTGTAGTGACCAATCACAAGTGAGTCAGCTGCAGATGCGCGACTCCCGCGCGACTCCAGACCATGCACTCTTCGTTCGGCCCAAACGTTCGACAGCCTGCAGCGGCACCTAACTACTCATTATAGGGCGCCTTGCCCATCTCTCTTTCGTATATTCATACTGATGTCTCAACGCCAACTTCTCTGCACACTGGGACTCTTGCTGTGCACTGCTTGTTTCCGTTCAACTCCCAGTTTTAGCGCCCAACCTGACGCAACGTCCAGAAACCGAGTCGTCATCTCTCTTCGTTCTCTTTCTGGGACCGCGGTAGACCAACCGTCCCGCTCTTGAAATGAATCTGACCTTCGGAATTGGTGCGTCAGCCCTGACTTCGCTCGGCGTGCTTGATCAGCAACCATAACTGTGTATCAGGGCTTCCCACCATCAGTCACCCTGAGCACTGCATACGCCCACTACGGAGGGTAGCTCGAACAAAGACTAGTACTACCGCCAGGGCTACTATGTTATACTTCCATTCGACGTTTGTCATCTCTGTGTTGTCAGCATTGTGTGGAGAGTTGGTATAAGAACTCCTTGTAACTCGTCAGTCAAGACCATCCACTCGTCTCCTCAGACTTCACTCACATACCACGCTGCGCTCGCATCTCTTCAACATGTCTCAGAGAGCTCTCCTTCTCCAGGCCAAGCAAGGTGCATTTGTACTTGGCACCAGAGCTATCCCTAAGCCCGGCCAAGGGCGTCTCCTCATCAAAGTAGAAGCTGCTTCACTGAACCCCATCGACTGGCGTATTCAAGAGACAGGCCTGTTCATCGAAGACTATCCCGCCGTCCTTGGCTACGGCACTGCTGGCGTCGTCGCGGAGGTCGGCGAAGGTGTCACCAAGTTCGCCGTCGGAGACAGAGTGTAAGTGAACAAATCTGGATCTGGAGCGCTCATGCGCTGACAAGATATGGTCTGCTCTCAGCGCTGCTCCTGGGATTGTGGGAAACAGCGATTACTGCAGCTTCCAGCAGTATTCGCTCGGCGACGCACGCTTCACCGCCAAGGTAAGCACAACGCTTGACCCGTACCGCTTCTTGGGGTTTCTCACCGCACTCTCCAGATTCCCTCGAACGTCTCCTTCGATGAAGCAGCCTCATTGGGCGTATCCCTCGACACCCCCGCAATTGGGCTTTTCGGACCGCATAACGCAAAGTTAACGTCACCGATCGATAAACCGGGCGTCTACAAGGGACAGAGTATTGTCATCCTAGGTGGCTCTGCTACTATAAGCCAATTCGGTGAGTATTACCATCGAGGCAATTGTTGGGACGAATACACCCTAACTGTCACTTTCACACAACAGCAATCCAGCTCTCGCGACTCGCTGGTTTCTCCAACATCATAGCGGTCGCCTCGCCCGTGCACGAGCCTCTCCTGAAGTCCCTCGGCGCGACACATGTTGTCGACCGCCGTTCACCCTCGGCAGATATCATTGCTTCGATCAAGAGCATCGCGGACAGCGACATCAAGGTTGTCTACGACGGCATCTGCGGCGATGACACGCAGGCCGTCGGATGGGGTGTCCTCTCGCAGGGCGGCCACATGGCCGTCTCCAAGGGCACCATCAAGGCCCCAGAGGGAGACGAGGAGACGCGTACAGTCGGGTTCACGTTTGGCTCGCCGCACATCCCTCCGCATTACGAGTTTGGCGAGAAGCTCTGGGGTAGCGTTCATGACTGGCTACAGAACGGCACGATAGTGGTACGTATCCACCGTCTATATCGAACGGTGAATGTGAGACTAAATACGAGGCCATATGTTTATAGCCCAACAAGGTTGAAGTGCTTCCCGGGGGTCTCGGAGGGATTGTTGCAGGGCTAGAACGTTTGGAGGCAGGAAAAGTCAGCGGTGTCAAGCTTGTCGTGCGTCCCCAGGAAACAACTTGAGAATTCGAGGTCTAAGTGGTCAAATTGCGGCTCCTTGAACATGTATAATCCACGTCGGGACAATTAAACAGAATACTGCGACGGCGCTCCCTCCCCGCGTCTGGGCGTGTGACTACACCATTTTCTTGCCATTTTCTATCGTAAACCAAGGAGATGTGCCTGGCTTCAAGTGTTCGGGCTGGGTTGCGTTGGACAAGGTTGGACACGCAACACGGAAGCACGGATAGAGGCACTGAAACGGCAGGCGGCCAAGCCCGGAGCTGTCGGGAGTTGGCCATGGGTTGTAAGTTAGGCCCGGCCAACAAACATTTGGCCGGTTCGGCAAAGAGCGCAGTGCCTTGACGCAACCTTGACGTAAACTGCAGAGCGCTTGGACCAAAAAGTCAGAAGCGCCCATCTTGTCTTGTTTTTCGTCTTCAATGACACTACAAGTATTTTTCACATTTAGGGGCTTTTCTCAACATGCTGGTCTCCGCCGTTGACTAAAAATTGCCTTGGAACCAGTCCCAGATGTTGTTGCGCTGGCAGTTGATGCGGACAAGACTGCCAGCATCAGTTGGTGACTGACAAGTGATCATTTGCGTTGGCCAGCACAGTCAGCTCGGCATGAAATGGCCGTCGCCTTTGCGCTGCGTCTCAGTTTTGCAGCATTATATTTGTACTTTCTCTCTCGGGTTTTGCTTATTTGCTAACACCTTCTCGGACCATCTCGCTCGCTATCTCTCCTCTCCATTTTCTTACCGACGCCATCCCGTCGACGTTTGACAATACGATGCTGTCAACCGGGCTTGGACTGGTCGCAGCCCTTGCTGCAGTACCATTCGTAGTCGCCCAAGATGGCTCACTCACCGGGCCCACGTCGAGTTCGGCGGCCGCAGGCTACTCATGCGACCCAAATCAGTGCAAGCTCCCGTCGTGCAACTGCGCCAGTACCAGTCCTCCTGGTGGACTCGATCCTGTATGGCCTCTCTTTGTACCTCCAATGCTGCGTCCTTGCTCATCTACCTGCCCTTTAGTCCCAGGTGCCGCAGTTTGTCACCTTTACAGCGGACGATGCCATCCAGTCGTACACCATCGACGCTGTCAATCAGTTCCTCGGCAGTCGACTGAATCCGAACGGATGCCCGGTCAAGATGACTTACTTCACGTCGTTAAACTACACCAACTACACGCTTGTTACCGATTGGTATGTTGCGGGCAACGAGATTGCCGATCACACGTACGTCCTTCCAATTGATCTGCCAAAACCTCAGTGTTTACAAGAAACTCACTATGATTGTCACCTTGTAGCATGACACATGTTGGCACTCCGCCAAACGACGAGGTCATGGGCAACCTCATCGCGCTCAACGCCCTCGCCGGTATCCCGCTCCCCGACATCATCGGCTTCCGCGCCCCCTTCCTCAACTACTCCGTCGACACCCTCACGATGCTGCACAACGCCGGCTTCACGTACGACTCGTCCGCCTCGGCGTCGCTTCCAGTTGGTGCGGACGGCACGGATGCCTTCTGGCCGTACACGCTCGACAACGGGCTTGCGAACGACTGCCTCACCGTCGAGAACGCGTGCAAGGGAAACCCGAAGCTGCCCGGGTTCTGGGAGATCCCAATGTACGCGCTGTTTGACCAGCGCGGTGCCGCTGGGGTGCACCTGATGGACCCGTGGCTCGACGCAGCGAATGGGAACAGTAACCCGGACGACGAGGCGACACTGCAGTATATGCAGAGCACGTTCAGCGACCACTACAAGGGGAACCGCCAGCCGTTCGGACTGTACACACACCCTATTCATCTTGCGGTGCGTACCTCTTATACTTTATGGGCGAAATTGAAGTTTCTCACTCGGAACTAGACTGACTACCCCGGCGTACCTGCCCCCACGCCGACGATTAACATGATCAACGACTTCCTCGACTGGGCGCAGGAACAGGACGACGTGTGGATTGTCTCGAACGAGCAGATGCTCGCGTGGATCAAGAACCCGGTTCCCGTCTCGCAGCTCAACAACATTCCCGAGTTCCACTGCCAACAACCCAAGATCGACTCGAGCAAGCAGATCTGCAACGGTATCCCGCAGAACGAGGCTGGCCTAGTGGAGGAGTGTATGTTCACCGATTTCCCATTTTATACTTGCGTGAGTACCACCGTCATTTCCCACGTCACTTCGTTGTTAACAGTCATGTTTCTACACTAGTACGGCTGCCCTACGGATCCGCCGACCCCCTCGAACCCTAACCCCGACCAGAGCAACAAGACTCAAACCCGCCATAGGAGTGAGTGCTTCACTCATCCCACACAACATCCGGCCATAGACTTACCCTCGTCCTATCCAGTCTCCTCAAACTGCACAACGGCTTTCTGGGACCCCGTCCAGGGCACATGCCTGTGCGAAGGCTCCTCCTGCCAATATAACGACCTGACACAGGCCATCGGCGTGCGTATCCCTTCCATTTCTATCTCTCTACAAGACTCTCGGGAACTGACAATGGCGGTTACCTGTTTCATAGCCCAACGGCGCGAACTTGACCGGCGGAGGCTCGCGCTCGAGCCTGCCCACGCCGAAGGCGAGCAATTTCAACGGCGCTGCGGACCTCGTGCTGTCTAGCGCGAGCGTTGCCGGTGTTTTGGGCACGGCGGTGGTGGGTGTTGTTGGGGCTGTTATGGGCTGGACGCTTGTTGGTATTTAGGGCTGTGAGGTCACATCTTTTGCTGTAGTGTGCTTAAGTTTATAGGGTTTATAGTCGCCTGCTTGTTGTATTGAAAGGTAATTGGGCGCAGCGAGTACGCGGAGCTTTATATGGACTATCTTGCTACAGTCTATTTTATAAATATATTATCCTATCTGTCTTTTCCTAATCCCGCTTCACCGTGGCGAGACTCGTTGTAACACAACACGTCTAGCGGTTCAGACTCCTTCATAGTTGACTGTGACGCGTATTCGGTCGCCCGGGCCGAGCCGCGCGCGACGCGTTGATGCCGCGGCTCTTCATTTTCTTTCGACAGCTTGACACTCATCCTCCTGCCTTTCTCCAACACGCCTCTTGCGTCCCTTCTCTCATCTTAGAACTGATACACTTCCTCGTTACATACCCCGCAAGGAGTGTTGCGAAGCACGCCGGCTTTGCAGGTGAGTTGGGCTCCGGTGTTGTTGAATTCAAACAGGACGTCTTACGCGTACGCACCAGACCAAGGACATTCGGCAACATCACTGGACCCGAAGGTCAACTAGAATCCAGTGTCTAATAATCAGGACACACTGAACACCGAGGGTGAGTGGAACCTTAGCTCGTCGAAAGGGGAATAGCTGACGAAAGATACCAAGTAGCATACGGCCAAGATGCAAGATCTCAGAGACTGTTCATCCCCGTCCCAGAATCCCGTCGGAATAGCTTCACTTCCGAACGAGATATTGTTCATGATTTTGGATCTCGCTAGTCAAGTACGAACTCGAGTACACAACGCTCGAGGGGCTGGCTCACGGTATGCGCGATACGAAGTCGTGGAGTACTCTAGACAACTCCCCTTCGTCTGCCGTAGATGGATGGAGCTCTTGGTGAAGTTAATGAAGCCGTTCTTCTGGGAGGACCTGGCGGTCACAATCGACGGCGATACTTTCGAACCTTATGTCATTGAAACGTTTTTCAAGGCTTCTCGCGGCCAACGTCTTCACGTAATCATTTCTCCCTCCGACCCACAGTTATGTGCTCTCACTAAGGAGCAAGAACACGAGCGTCTTATGGTCATCATGAAACTCCTGGCCCCTCGCTTCAGACGCCTGCATTCCCTGTCAGTCGAAACCGTGTACCGCTCGACCATCGTGGCTATCAGCCGGTTCTTCGACAATGTCAAGATGCCTCAGCTCACGCACTTGCGCCTTGTCCCGCGGATTGCCGACGACGACTCGTCGCTCGACATCTCTTCTTTAGAATGTCCCCACCTTTACGAGTTACACATCGACCCCGAGAGCTTTTTGAACCTTGCCGAGGACTGCGACTTCATATGGCCCAGCGGAGGCGACGAGTTTGCCCTGCACATTACAAGCTGGAAGCCGACAAGGCCCTCCAACACCGTCAACTCGCCTCGTTTTATCCAAGCCTTGCGTGACTTGGGTGAAGCAAGAAAAGAGTCTTTCGCTGTCGAGATTCAAGACGTCAGCTTTAACCATGATGACTTCTACATAAGGGGCGCGCCTATCGAGTACCTGTACTCGCTCAGGCTTCAGGGCCTTACAGGCTTTTTCCTCAGCATTTTGTTCGAGCACATCGACTTTCCAGGACCCAACCAGATCTACATATCCCATTGCGATATGGAGGGCGACGTTAACACAGATGGACAGCGGCGTGCTGTGGACGGCGACGAACTCCATCTTGACAACATTCGCTCGAGCACTTCGCTCCTTCGCATGATACAGGACTTTCGTGGGTTTAAGGTCCGCATCAATGACTGCCCAGGTTTCAACGACTGGGTGCTCGGGGCCATGGCTTTTGTATGCGAGAAGCAGCAGCGGTTCGCGTGCTCGTCCATGACCTCTCTCTCAATCAAAGGGTGTACGTTCTCGCCTGATGCTCTCAAGTGCATGTGCGAGATGAGGCTAGGTGCAGGCACGATTGAGGACCTAGATGTCAGTGGCGCACCGCCGCTCGATGAACATCTTAGGGCATGGTTTGTAGAGAACGTCGATGAGTTCTCATGAAAGGTAGTAGGAGAGATAGAAGGCAGTGGTGAAGAATCTTAGCTTATGTAGCGTAATTGTCGTAAATATCTTTATTACGCTCCTTCCGTCCAACCCGCGATGAAGGCCCTTGTTAGCTCCGACGATTCGACTGTGCGGTCCTTGGTTGTTCGGCGCGCGACGCGTCGTAACTACTGACATAGCTGACCACGCCGATGAGCCACGCTCTTAGGCACTCTCAGGGCTGAGTCTCCTGTGGGCCTGTTTCTCTTCGATTCCGTTTGGTCCCTTTCATCCTAGGACGCGCCCTCCGCTACCTTCCCTCATTTCATCTACCTGTCTTCACGGTGCCGAGAGCACGTGTGCTGTCGAGTTGAAGTTTGCCCAGATCTACTAGAGTAGGTGAAGACATACATATGAATACCTCGTCGGACACGTCAGATTTCGCGCTCGTAACTCTTTACCATACCTTAGCTTGCCTATCTTGCCCGCATCTCGACCGTACTTGACTAAATACACGTACTAGACAGACGTCGTTCTTGTCAATTGGCATGAGGATGGAACAGAGGGGCAAGCTCACGCACTCTTTACAGGAAAACTCCATTGTCTGTACCATAAATCCAAACTCGAGCATTTATATTATACTGTCTTTTTTCGACCAAAAGTTCGTCCCGTGTCCCACCGGACCGGTGACATGAACTTTTTGGTCAGTTTGTCCCGCATCTGTAGACGCCCGCGAACTAAAAAGCGGGACACACCGTAAATAGCAGAAAAACGCATATGTATTCATCAAATAAGCTCCTACAACCATTCTAAGACTACCTAGTGCCCGAAAAACCCGCTGAAGTTCTTGTTCGATGTCTTGCGGCGCTTACCACGGCCTAAAGTGTCCGGTTCAGGCATATGAGCAGCCTCAACGTCTGCTTCATGCTCATCTGTGACGTCAAGGCCATTCTCAGCCCCGTTTGAGCCGTCAGGGTACAGAATCCTACCCAGAACATCAGTCGAATCCATCCACATATCGTCGGCATCGGTACCTGAGTCTCAATGTCCTCCTTCTTGGATGCAGAAGGTGTGGAGATCCGATCCCAGAGATCCGGGTTAGATTGGGGGAGATCCCGGAGGATCTTGAGGGCGGCCGAGCTAGAGAGCGACTCAAACGAGAGGTCGAAGCCTCCCTTGACCGTGCATCGACTGAATGACTGTTCGTAGTTAAAAATCTGACCAATGCAAAAACTGTGCAAATTTCTCGGAATTTATACTGGGAGGCCAGGGGAATTTGGCGGACATTTTGGTCCTATTTTTGTGGTCTGGTCTGGACATTTGGGGTTCGGTCGGCACCAAGCCTTGGTAGGGATATTCGGGGGTCCTACCGGTATCCCATCCCCGATGAACTCTTGTCCCATGCCCAAAAAGCCCGACGAACCTTGTCCCGCACCCAACTACCCTCACGAACCAAAAAGCGGGACACGCCGTATTTGGTAGTCATCTTCCCACGCCACCCCGCGAACTTTTGGTTGAAAAAAGACAGTACTACAGCCTCACTACGCTCCATTCCAAAAAGCAATACATCTCGCCATTGTACTCCATATCTTTCAACCACGCCTCCGCCTTAACCTGGCCCGTCTTGAACACGTCGCTCTCCCACATTGCGACCCAAGATTCGGGACAATGACAGAACAAGCTCACTCTCGTGCCCGCTCTCTCAGTGGTGAGCAGACCCTTCTCTTTCCCTCCTGCATGAGATCCAAGGATCATCGAACCATGTTCGGGCGAGAGCAGCCCTGCAAGTGCGCGCGCCAAGTGGAGCTGCTTCTCCTCGTTGAAGAGGTGAAAGAACTTCGCTGCATATATGACGGAGAATTGGCCTCGAAGAGGGTTTAACGACTCCAGATTCGTCATGGCATGGCGCGGTGGGGCTTGCCCCAGCTCTGCAGGCGGGAATATGTCCAGTACCTTAGCATCGAAGGCATCTCCGGCGACGAAGTGAGCCGGGAAGGTGGATGGAGTGGTTCTGAAAAGCTCGTGACCGAGCGGGAAGAATCCGTCAAATAGGTCTTGCACCACGATGTTCTCTGGCTTGTAGGCGGCATCAGCGGCTGCTTTCCTAGCCTCCTGACCGACTATGATGAAATGAACATGTTGGTGTATTAGAAACGCGATTCGGGGCTCACAGAAACCCCCAATATCCAGCAGAATCGCGTCCTTACGCTCATTACCGATCCTGACGAGCTTGTCGTAAGCGGGATGTTTGTGTACCGAGAATCTATCAGTGTACGGTGAGTTACAAACACCACCGTCAATGACAAAGATTATAATATCATACTGCAAGAATGCGAAGACAAGTACGCAAGTGTATGGAGCGACCTGTTATAGAGAAACGATAAGCTTGATAGCCTTTGATAAACCAGAACCAGAATCAAATTGGCGACTCGAACCTTGTATGCCTTGCGCTGGACGCGTATAATATGCTCCTTCAGCTCCCGATCATCATGGATGCCAGTTTGCGCTTTGTAGAAGGCAGCCTCTTCGTCCCCTATCTGATACCGATCATCGTCAGGTGGCGGAATATTGTGCAGCCCAAGCTGTCCCTGAGAGGCGACTATCGCATGCCTGGAAGCATCACTGTCGGTCTGCGTCTGCAGGGCTTGGGACGGCATAGTCCGCTATATCGTGGTGAGAGGATGATCCAAGGAAGGGTGGGGGATGCTGGGTCCGCAATGACGCAAGGTCGAAACGCACTTAAGACATGGCCGACCCCAAGTACTACTACCGATGCTAGAAGCGGGGCAGCAATATGGAGTTCCGCCGGACTGTCATGTAATGGAGCTAGTCAATATTTGGCCGAGATAGACCGACACACCCGGTCCAGTCTGTTCCTTACGGAGATTTCGGCAACATATTGGAAGGGCGCACTCCGAATGGATGCTTATGGCTTATATAACAAGACTTAGCGCTGGAGTCTGAGCGCCGCAGATGAGCTCAAAGCTCGACCCGATTGTTCGTCCATCCCTTGATTGATAACCCTGAAGCATTTTGCGGTTCACCTCACTAGGTACATGTTTCTGAAGATGAGAGTAGTATTGCAACAGTCAACAAGCAAGCCACAGTTTTGTACAATACCTAAGCCATTGTAACAGTTCCAGAATCCAAGATTCCAAAGTCCAAAGTCCACAGTGCGTTCAGGAAACACTCACAAGCCCGTATTTACCAATCCACCCCATCCTTATCAAACTTATACTCCTCATACACCGGCCTCCACAACCCCTCCTCCGCCTTCTTCCTCGTCTCCTCCTTCCCCCATGACACATCAGCAATACCCTCGTCGAACGCCTGCTCGGCGACGGCGACGGCAATCTCAAAGTTCACGTGCGGCGCGACGTCGAAGTCGGGGAGCAGCGCATCGTCTGGATCTTTCAGCGCCGGCGCGAGCGACGCAAGCCGCTGCGCGCCCGCGATAATCATCTTGTCGGTCATGCGCCGCGATTTGCAGAGCAGCGCGCCGTACCCGAGCCCGGGGTAGATCAGGGCGTTGTTGCACTCTGCGATGCTATTTGTACCAATCGTCATCAGCGATTCGTAAATTGCATCGTGCGAGGGGGTGCAAGAGAGAAGAAAGAGACGGAGAAAGAGAAAGAGGCATACATGTAATCCTTCTTCCCATTCGGCATCTTCGCAGGCGGAAACGGGCTCCCCGTCGCCAGCAGCGCCATCCCGCCCGTCCAGTCGTTCGCGTCCTTCGGATCGACCTCAACCAGCCTGCTGGGGTTACTCAGCGAGAAAATAATCGGCCTCTCCGCGCCCTCCTTCATCGTCGTTATAACGTCCTTGGTGAACGCGCCCGCCTGCGTCGAACACCCGATGAGCACCGTCGGCCTGACCGTCTTCACGACATCCAGCAAACCCGTCTCGCCCTTGTTGTTCTGCGGCACGCCGTCCCATTCCTCGGCGGGGCGCACGAAGTCGTGCGCTGCGGGGCGGATCTGGTCGGACGGGAGGGAAGACTTTATCAGACCGAAGCGGTCGAGGAGGTAGAATCGCTTGTTGGCTTCCTCAACGGACAGACCGTCGGCCTGGACCATCGCATCGCGAATCTGGCGCGTGATGCCGAGTCCAGCGGAGCCAGCGCCGTACACGACGATGCGCTGGTCCGCGAGGGTGGACTTGGTGACGCCAACGGCGGTCATGAGCGCGGCGAGGGTGACGGCGCCTGTGCCCTGGCTGGTGGACACGATCAGGTCGGGTAGAATAGGGATGCTGGGGAGATGTGCGTGGGTACTTACATGTCGTCGTTGAAAACGGCGTGGGTGTCGTTGTACCGCTCGAGGAGTGCTTGCGCGTTGCTGACTCCAAAGTCCTCGAAATGCAACAGGCAATGGGGGTGGTGCTTGCGAACAAGCTGGACGAACCTGTGCGAAATCGACACATGAAGCGGCTGAACTCGAGTAGCTTGATTGAACAGGATTGACGTACTTGTCCACAAATTCGTCATATTCCTTTCCTCGCACGCGTTTGTGCGGCCATCCCTGACCTTGATAAGCCACAGCTTGACGATGGATAGGAAGAGGGATGACTCACAACATAGAGCTTGTCGTTCAAGAGATCTTGGTTATCCGTACCGACGTCAAGCACCACCGCCAGGGTATTCGAGGGGTTGACGCCACCCAGCAACCTTGGCAACATCCAAGTCAGGCGCCGAAACCTATCACAGGGGAGATAGACTTACGTGTAGATAGCTGATTTTGCAGTCGAGATCTACGGAAGAGTCAGCGGTCATGGGAAGGACTAAACCAAACACACTAACCCCTATGCCCTAGAAACGCGCTCAGGACTTATCAGCAAACGAGGAGGGTGGGGGACGTACTCCGACGCCCTGGTCTCCAATCCCAAGGATGGCCTCCGAGTCAGTGACCACAACAAGGTCGATGGTGCGCCCTTTGGTCTGCTCGAGATAGTCCTCCTCCATCTTATCCTTATCCGGGAAGTGGAGGAATAGCCCCTCGCTTCTGCGAAAGAGGTGCGAGTACTGCGCGATGGCATCTCCCTGAGTCGCCCCAACATCAACATCAGCACCTCAGACGCTGTACGATAGCCAACGAGAAGCATAACGTACCTGAGTCGGTGTATAGATAATCGGCGTCATCTCCTTGAGGTTCCTGGCGATAAGCCCATAATACAGTACCCAGTTCTGCTCCTTCAGACTGTGCAGAAATGTGTTCTTATGGATCGCGTCGCCGCGCGACTGGAACTGCGCATACGCCCGTCCGCATTGCTCGTCGAGTGTGTTGGCCCGCGAGGGCAGGCGCCCCCGGAGGCCGAACTCCTTGCGCTCTTCGATGGTGAACGCGGTGCCCTTGTTCCAGCGCGGGTTGTGCAGCAGCTCGTTGCCGCGCAGCGCGAGGCGATGGGTCCGGCGTGTGGAGGTCATGGCGGAGAATGAGATTTGTAGACGTCGACTGGGGAGCAAAAGGCAAGATGGCGGCCGAGAGATAGCTTGAATCATGGTGTTGGAATAGCTCAACGATATATGGTAGTAGTATGCGCCCTCTATTATACTCTACCTCCAACGCGCGTTGGCAGCGCTCTGTGGACTGATTGCGGCGTCATCACAAATGCAGCGAGCGTAATTGGAGCGTGCAAACGTCTAGGCTAACCTGGAGATGATCTAGAAAGAGGCTCGAATTCTGGCAAAGGCGAAAACGCCGAGTGTGCCCGGTGCAAGCTTGTTGCGAGACGTTGCGAGGTTGCCGCTATACCCGTGAGAAAATAATATCTGAAAATAGCTTATCAAGCCCCTGATGGGCCACAGCAGCTCCGCCACAGCTCCGAACGGCCCTGGTGCTATCCGAAGTCCGATATGGCTTCTTCCGTTCCCATTGTTGTGGTGCAAAGAGAGCTATTTGGCTTCTGCTTCTTGTTCTTCCCTTCAATTGCCTGTGCAGTTGTAACTCGCACGCTCCATTTTTCTCCGTCGTTCTGCCATGGGTCGTTGGTCTCAGGTTGACGATGTGCGTACCCCTCGTCGCTGACCCTTCTAGTTCATCGTCACTCGTGCTGATTAATGGGTCGAATAGGATTCGTATCGTTTGCCCGAAGGCATGAAGCGGGTGGGCTATGACGCCGATCAAGGTCGTTATTACTTTCGCGACAAGGATGGACAACTGTATCAGGGCCCTGAGGGCTCAGAGTACGGCGAGCTAACCCCTAGTGCGTCTCATTGTATCCCTCCATCGACTACCATCTGATTTAGCTCTCTAGTCGCTGATGCACCCATCGCTATTGCACCTGAAGGCGAGGACAACGATATAGAGGCTGCACCTAGACGCGCAGACGGTTACCAGTCGCTCGCTTCTGATGAGGTGCGTGCCTTCTGCAAGAGACTACACTTCCTCTAACCTCGCATCTGCATCCAGTACGGCAATCGTTCCCACTACAGAAATCCCTACCGCACCTTGTTCCCCTTCTTCCTCGTCATCGCTGTCGTTCTCCTCCTCGTCTGGCGTCTCGTCCTCCTTCCCACTAATAAACCCCCTCCTCCGTGTCCCGAACGCACGCTGCCTTACCGGATCCAATCCGGCGACACGTGCTGGGACATCGCTAACCAGCACAATTCGTCGCTTGAGAAGCTCAAGAATGCAAACCCAAAGACGAACTGCGACAAGCTCATCCCCGGCGAGCGCCTCTGCGTTCCTGAGGAGACGTTGGCAAGGCGCAGACGCAACATCAAATCCTAAGAGTTCGCTTACGCGTCCATCGCTTTTCCGCACTGCATATATCTGCGGAGTTCTCTTTCTCTCATGTCTTTCATTCGCACTTTGTACTATATTCTACAGCTGCTATCGCTCACATAACCCATGCATGGATACGCCATTCATACATTTACGGATCTAAACCCTCTATTGTCGTCATCTCTTGCATTCTCATCTTGATCATAACATTCGTTTCCCTATGTCTTCGCTCATCCTACAGCCCATGTAACATTACTCTCGCATTGTTCCTTCTTTCGAGTTTATGCATAAATCAAAACGTGGCCTCCAACGTGGCCTACACCGTGGCCTCTTCTTTCATCTATGGCTGATCCGCGTCCATCCGCACGCTTATCCTTGTGCTTCTGCTGCCGATGTAAGTTCCGTGTATGGATGAATGCACATGTCCCCCTCGTTGCCAACCTCTCTGGCAGCTCGTTCCTCGCCAGCCCGCTCTGACCCCTGACGCCTGTGGCAGTGCCCGCGCCGCCCATCCGGCCTCGTGACGTCAGCGCGTGAGGGTAAATATGCACCGCCACTGGCTAGACCGATGCGGACGTTTCGCGAAGTGGTGTCATACGTCCTTAGCCTGCACCGGAATCTGCGACTCCACACTTTTGTGCTCTTATTGCGCAGTCCACCATTTTGAAAGGTCCACCACGACCCACCAGGTTCCCTCATCACTCTCCTCGTACACGCACGCACACGCTCTGAAAAGATATGGCTTTTGACGGACACATTCGCAGGGGGCACCCCAGTGCGTATCTTTAGCTCTCGTATTGTTAGTCGAAGCGCATACTGACGTCTACGCCCTCGCGCAGTCATCTTCGGGCTGCTCATCCTATTCAGCATCATCGAGGTGCGCACCTCTTCCTTTCCCTTCCCTTTCCAACGTTGGCATCATTTCTGAAACGCCGTCTCGTCGCCCTCTTGCGCAGCTCGCGATCACAGCATGGCTGACGTCCATGTTCAACGACTTCAACAACTTCTTCAGCTTCGCGGAGCGCGACCGCATCCGCTTCCTGCTCTTCACATCCATATGGACCCTCCTGTTCTCGTTCCTCCTCATGGGCTCGTTCTGGAGGCTGCCCGAGCACCTGTTTAGCAGCACCGGGTCGCACATATTCTTGTGAGTCCCACCCTCCTCACTTCCCTCGCGTTGTAGTCCCGGTTCCCGGCGCGAGCAGGATGCCAGAATCGAACGGAGGCTGACTACGGAACGGACAGGCTGCTCCTCACCTGGGTATTCTGGACTGCGGGCGCAGCGAGCCTCACCTCAGCACTCGGCGGTGGGCTGAACTGCAAGTAAGCACAGCGTTTTTCATATGGTCTAATACCCGACGCCGAACCCCTGCTTACGTTGCCCCCGCCCTCGCACCGCACCGCACGCATCGCATTATCGCGCTATCGCGTCTGTTCGCGCAGCACCAACACGTTCATCGCGTACTGTGGACAGCTTAACGCTGCAGAAGCGTTCGCCTGGATCAATTGGTATGTTCTCTTGGACCCTGTATCGCGAGTTTGGGATGAGAGTCTAACTCGCTTTCCCGTGACTGTGCAGGATCCTGGTCACAATCGCTCTGTTCGTCGTGGCCGGGCGCGGCATCTCCGGGGCGCGCCGCGGCGATGGCATTCGTGGACCCCTGGTCGTCTGATCTGTAACACGCCCGGTCTCACTTGCTCGTTTCTCCTCCTTTTTACTATCGACTCGTTGGCTCTGTAGTGCCTATATACACGGACATCTTGTTCTCTTGCTCTTCAACCTTGTCATCCATGGGATACATTCTGACTGTTATATATCTACGAGTTTATACGTCTATCATGTTGTTATTTCTCTGACGCTCTCCCTTTTCCCTCGGCCTGTTACCTAAACTCTCTTGAACCTGTGTTACTTCGGGCTATTTCAAAGGACTTACTTATTCCTACGCGTTCGCTGGCATGCCGTTGTAGACTGTTTCTGTATGGCCAGGAACCTTGCTCCGCTTCCTTGACTTAAATGTATCAAATGTTCTCCTCTTTCCTTCGCTCGTCCCGGTGTCGTAGCTAATGAGATGGCTCGGGAGTCCGACAGAAGCTACGCTACCCGTTGAGCATAACTGTGAATAAGCCGTCACCATCGTTCTGCATCGTCCATTTTTGGCTTCCACGAGAACTCCATAATGTACATCTCGAACCACATCCTCCAGTCGCGGTGAATGGTCGGACCACCGCTGACGTGCAGCTCCTCGATCGGTGCGTCAGCCTGCCGCATCAGGCACATGCGCCGCAGTGCGTCAGCGGAAAACGTCGTCCCTGTGATCTCGAGGCGCGTCAGGGACGGACATGCGAAGTGCCCTTCCAGCGAGAAGGCCATGGCGCCGAGCACCCAGTCGTCGAATCCTGGGCAGTCCTCGACGACCAGCTTCCGCCCTTGGAAGTCCTGTATAAGGCACAGGAGAGAAGTGCTGGACTCGACACCTGTGAGGCGGAGCGTCTGACCGGGCATACGCATGCGCGAGTGCAGGCGCCACTCGGGTGATATGGTGCACCGCGAGATGTGGACGTGTTCGAGGACCGGCGAGCGGATGCTATCGCAGATCAGGGGGACGAAGGAGCCGTCGAGGCTGTGCAGTTCCAGGCGCTGCACGTCCTTCACGGTCACATTCGTCGTCTCGTCCCCATGGTATGAAAATTTGACGTCTTCTATTATGAGAGAAAGGTCTCTGATTTCGCTGAGTTGACCTAGAGCTTCGACAAGGGAGAGGACTTCTAACTCTCCTCCGACCGAGGAGTTTGGGCTGAACCTGGTAAGGTGGAGGTCTAAGAGGGTGGAGTCGTCCCCCCAGCTGGTGTCATTCTCGAGAATGAGGTCTACAAAGCTTTCCGCGTCGATGTGAAGTTTTGAGAGAGCGGCAAGCGTTAACCGAGGGATCAAGAGACAACCGTGTTCGTCTGTTTTCTTTGAGACCAGGTGCAGCGTAGAAAGGTGAGTCAAGTTGGCACCGTCTAGGAAGCGAGCGGTATGTAAGATGGTGGAGCGACAGAAGGCGAAAATGCAAAGCTTAGCAAAGCGTCCCAAGTGCGGCGTGACGTGTTCCATGATGAAGTCCATCCGCTCCTGTTCTTGTGCCTGGGTGAGCGTGTACGAGTCCTTGTCGAGGGGGGCGATTGAAAGGTCAATCAGCTGATCGCGAGATGCAGTGAAGAATGTCTTGATGACACTGGGAACGAAGGTGGGGCCGTCAATCGCGATTTTGAGGCTCTTCCAGAAAACAGGCTTCAACGCTATTACATCCATCCACGCACGGCAGACAAACGCAAGTTGCACTGCATCAGGCGATATGTCCCCCCTCTCCGTATCAGCGGTCACTTCTGTGTCTAGATCGTATGTGGACCGAGGCGACGACTGTCGACTGGCTGCCTCGAAGATGATGAGTAGAACCTCGGCAGGTAGTGACATGACGGGGGACCGGGTGGATGTTAGCATCATGGCCCTGTTATTTGTCGCCTGTCGGCTTCCTGTCGGCTTCACTCAGATGCTCCAGGACAATATGGAAAGGACTCAAGTACTTACGAGTGCGATATCTGGCGTTTTCAACGAAGTATCCAAGTCTTCACCTACGCTGGACAACAACTAGGCAGAAAACGTGCTCTTGGCACCGTGAGGCAAGACAGAATGAAGGGGATAGGATGAAAGCGACCAAATGGAGTCGAAGACAAAGAAGAATACTTCCCAGGCTGGGAGCGTGGCTTTGGCGTGGTCAAACTCGTGGTCGATTTAACTTTGGTCAGCCGTGTCAGCACGCGTCGCGTCACGCGTCACGATCGTTCAGTTTAAACTTGCTCGACAACTCTCGACAACTAGCAGCCATCCAAATTCCCGGTTTTTTACAGTGTTCACACGAGAATCCACGAGGTGCGCTGAGAGAGCTGTGATATAGATATTTACAACATACGCTAGATAAGCGGACTTTCTTCACCACTGCCATCTATCTCTCTTAACTCCCACGAGAAGCTCTCGACGTTCTCTTCAAACCATTTCCCAAGATGCTCTTCGAGTGGAAATACAGCATTGCTGACATCCAGCTCCTCGATGGCGCCAACACCCAGCCTCATCTCGCACATATACTTCAGAGCATCATGCGAGAATGTACACCCCTTGATTTCGAGAGAGGCTATAGACGGGCACGCAATCTGCTGCTCTCCTTTGCACGAAAAGGCCATGGCGCCGAGTACCCAATCGTTGAAGCCAGGGCAGTCTTCGATGTAGACCTTCCACCCTTCAAAGCCCTGCATCATGCGCAGTAGCAAGACACTAGAGCTGATGCCTATGAGATGGAGCTAGAGGCCGGGCATGCGCATGCTCGCATGAGAGAGCCGAGACCGAGGCGCGATACCGCATCGGGAGATTTCGATTTGCTCGAGGTCTGGAGAGTGGACGATGCCGCAGATCAGGGAGACAAAGGATTCCTTGAGGTCGTGGAGCCCAAACCCCTCCAAGTTCATCAAAATGACGTGGCTCGGTAGCGCGGTGGGCGAGGTGTCGAAGTCGAAGTCAACGTCTTCGATGTCGAGCCAGAGCTTCTTGTTCTGACTAAGTTCGCACAGATAATCGAGAAGCTCAACTGGATCTATGCCCTCTTTCGGGTCCGCTGGCTTGAACTTGGTGAGGCGGAGGTCAAGGTCGTACAACCAATAGGCACGTCTTTCTCTGAAGATATCAATGAAGCTCGCGGCGTCAGTGTGCAGCTCCGATAGGGCTGGACACGTCAGCTCAGAGATCGAGAGAGGGGCAGTCACATCTGTATTTTGCGAAACCAAGTGAAGGGTGGAAAGGCGAGGCATATCGATACGATCCAGGAAGTGACTGGATTTAACGAGAGTCGAGCGATAGAAGGTAATGACGGAGAGTCTGATCACGCGCCCCAAGTGTCAAGCGAGCTGTCCCATAATGAAGCTGACGCGTGAGTGAACGTTATACGCATTTCCATTGGCTAGAAGCAAAAATATACCATGAGTATAAGCGTGCCCGTGATCATCATGAACTCCAAGTGCAGATTGATAATACGAACCGTGATGGCTTCAAGACGTCGCAACTCGGATACATTCCAAGTTTTTTTTTCCAATGAGAAGGTTCCACTAGAATGGAGCTTGAGCTTATGCAGAAAGCTTGAGCTATGGCTTGTTTCTGAGTTATATAGGATTACGTGTCGTTATACGAGACGTTAAGGGCGCGAAATACATACGCGACAAAACAAGGTATCGTGGCTTTTCACCTGTGTCGTCTGCGCCGCGCTGCCAGACTTTGATGTGAGCGACGTAAGACTCAGATTGGCGTCTGTCAAGGACAGATTTGGTTAAGTGTTAACGGACTTCTTCTGAGGCCTGCTGCCTAAGCATGATGCATGAGCTCTGAACCTGTGAAGCACCGTCGCGGGGGATGAGAGGAGGGGAAAGGAGTGTGACAACCGTGGGATAAAGGCACCATATTGGATGTCCGCCTGCTGAGCCAGCCGCTCGGTAACTTTACACGTATAGAGCCGTAATTTGCCGTAACGCGACGCGTCGCGCGTCTGAGTTACCCACTTCTTTGCTCTTTCCCGCGAAGACATGTCTTTCACGCCTTCCACCAACCCTATCTTCCTCTACTACCGGCCAAAGTCATCAGAAGGAGCGAAATCTTCGAAGGAGCATATCAAGGTCGACAACGCCGGTACTCCAGCTGGATCCGCGCAGCACAATGATGAACGTGTGGAGAAGTCTGGGATGAAAGAGAACAGCAGGCCAAGGAAGAGTAAGGGAAGGCTGAAGATGCTACCTAGCATGCCACTGGATATCCTCTTCGAGGTGAGTCTCTGGGGTTCTCATATACGAAGACTTTGCCACGTCGTTGGGAGGGTGCTAAACGTACAAAATCGCAACAATACACGTAGATCTTCGGCAGACTCACGCCACCCGATCTGTTGCACCTCTCGAGGACTACAAAGCCCCTTCGCTGCATACTTATGCACCGCTCGGCCGTCTTCGTATGGAAGGACGCGCTCGCGAATGTGCCGGACCTCCCGGCCGCTCCGGAGGGGATGTCTCAGCCGAAGTTCGCGAGTTTGATGTACGATGCGTTTTGCCATGTGAGTAATATCTTGTCTCACTATCGGTCAAGGTGTCTAAATACAGATTGTAGGGGTGTCTCGTACCTGGCGTTCGCACCGCGTACTTCACACTACACATACGCTTATGCAACAAATGCCTGAAGAAGCAGTATGTTGTTAATTCTAAACCCTTATGATCGGCTCATCTTGACCGACGTTTCACTAGCTTCGAACCTTTAGACAGGAAATTCCATCTGAGGTATGGTGCGGGGACAGAAGAGTGCCTCGCTCGTGACAAGGTTTACAAAAGTAAGCTGCTTAGCAACGTTTGCTATGGTTGACCATCAATTGAAGTGGCGTTCATGTCTAGTGGGGGACCAGTACTGCTGTCTCATCAAGGAGCGAGAAGCGATTGTTGAAGTATTGCAAAAACTCGATCGGGAAGAACGAGCCAAGTTCCGACAGGAGGAGACAGCTAGAGTTCAAGCACGAACTGCGGTGCGTCATATCATGTCCACGATACCATGCGTAGTGGTCACAACCACATCTAATTTGCTCATCCGTGCATCGTAGAACGCAGAAGAGCTCAACAAGTGGTTAAATAAACAGTCCGAAAGTCGTGGTCGCGAGCTGGCATCTATCCGAGAGGAACGTCAAGAAGCGTAAGTCTCTTCAATCCATTGTTGGTATATATGTATCGGGTGCTCATTCTCGACGGACAGTATCGAAGCCAAACTCGAGGAACTTGGTTGGAAAGAGGAGATCGACGCGCTGCCTGATTTTAACCACTGGGAAGCTTCGGCTTGGTGCATTGGTATGTTCGAAGACCATCCACACGTCAAAAATGCGAAGCCTCTTACCGAGCGCAGTGAGTATCTCCGTCTTCGCGTCAAGCCTTGCCACTTCTGACTATCTTAATAGTCTGGGCGAATATCAAGGATGACATGATCGCGTACATGGAAGAGATGAAACAGTTCCGGCTCAAATACGAGCGCCATATGCTCGTGAAAGGACGTCAGGTGCTGGCCTTGCAGGCGTACAACAAGCATCAGCGTGCAAACCCCATCTCTATTTCCTCCACCAACTTCTGGCCGGGAGGAGCCGACTTCCTCGTGTGGGACCGCGTCAAAGCCATCATCGAGCAGCCCACTTCCGACGCGCTGACCGAGAACGACTTTTCTGGCGCGCTAAGCGAAGTCTACCCATGGATGCAGGACTGGTGCCACACGCGCATTCACCAGCTGATGTACACAGACCCTCTCTACGCCAAGGACTTGGTCACGGCTGGGGACCGCGCCCTGCAGCTTGCGACGGCGGTGTTTATGTGCACAAACACAGACGGGCGTCACACCCACAAGTTCTCGTACGAAGATGTGAAAGACTCGTCGGAGCTGATGTGGTACCCCGAGTATCTGCACCACCGGTGCAACCGCACGCGTATGCTGCGCTACGAGGAGTACTACAAACACGAGGATATCGTGCTCGGCAAGGGCTATTACTGCAACACGGTTCAACGTCCCTGGTCGGCCGAGTACCTCCAGCCTGCGGAGAAGGCAAGGAAGATCGTGACGAGTCTGTTGAAAATATGCGGGCTCTCGGTGGCAACGACGACGGCGGAGTATATGGATCAATGCGATGTAAGGTTTCTTTGTGTCAAATGCAACTATGGGCGGTGTGATGGGGAGAGGGAGGTCACTGCATGGACGTGGAGAGACGCGGTCAGTTCTGATGTCGACTCCTCGTCCCGCTTCGGGCGTGCTAACAGGATCGTTCATTTTTTTCAGATCAGCCATTCCTTTGTGAAGCACTTCGGCTCCGCATCGCTAGAATGGGAGGTGTTGTCCTACGCTGATACGGACAAGCTTAGGCTGAGCGAACGCCCTCTGAAGGAACGCGAGGACCAAGCCAAGGCCTGGCAATGCGCACGGTGCCATGACCTGCCTTCAGAGCCGTGGAACATGACGAAGCAGGAGGTGATCGATCATCTTGATATCCAGTGAGTCGTTTCGAGACTTTCATTGCGGCGTATACCAGCAGGTGCTCATCTATCTTCTCGTACGCTAGGCATGCCGCCATTCCAGAGGACGTAGAGGAGATTGTGGACTTTGTTCGCGCTCCTGATGCACCTCCTGCATTGGCAAAACCAGTGCGGTGCAAACCAAAGGCTGCGATGTTATACAGTGTTTCTGGGAGGATATAAGACTGTGCACGATTGAGTCCTTTGCTTACAATTTATATATACCTTAATCTTACAGCGCTGTAATCGTGGTTGAAATTCGACGAACCGACAACTTGGAGCATCTTTTCTCCACTGAAAGTTTCTCACCGTATTGCTTCAAAGTCCGCCTTTTGGGGGCCTTACATTAAACTTGACTTGCGGGAGGATGATAGACATACCATTTTCACGAACACGAATGCATGGAAGGCAGAAAAGACTTTGTTAACCATGACGGGCGCTTTACAATTGGGATAGCTGAGGTGCTTGAGGCCGATGATCTCGGCATCAAAGTGCTTGATTTGATTTGATTTCTCATTTTAATGTCCAAGAGGGCAATAAGCCCTATGGCGGACAGTACTACTAGAACTACAGCACTATAGCGTAAAACGGGCCAGCCCACCGCCATGTATAACTACAAGTCAAGCTAACACGTGCTTACTAGGTGCGATAGCGGTGGGAGATTTAGAAGATCATTTGAACTGGTGAATTGAATATTGAGATGGGCGCATACATGTTAGCGCCAATCAGAAGAGGCTGACGCAGGCTTCCTGCGAGTCCTCGACCCACCACTAGCAGGGAAATGTCGAAACAATTACAAGAATGTCAAAGTCAGTGAAGATTGGCGGAGTCTGAAAAAGATAGACACGTGCGCGAGTTTTCTCTCTATCGCTTCCACCGATTTTGAGTAGTCTCCCATGTCCACCCAAACACCAAACCCCTTCGAACTCTCGGCGACAGACCCTTCAACTGCGCATCGACTCGATATTAATGCGTCTACTTGGGCAAACCAGGAAATTGGCTTTCCGGTGGCCGATATACACGTTGACCGCGGGAAGTGGGTCCGCGATTGGGACAAGGGCGTCGAGCAATTGACGAAGTCGGCGCAACTTGTCTTCATCAAGACTGCGGCGACCCATAACCCGCAGCACTTCCTCGCTGAAATCAAATCCACGGACTACGACTTCTTACACCAATGTCAGGAGATGACGAAAAATAATCGCGTCCCCTGCCTAGACGTCGTAAGAGGAGGAATCCATGGCTCTGCGAACGAACGCTACAACCCCAAGGACTGGTTCAGGCTCATCAGCGACGAGAAGAGGTGGGAAATGATTTGCGAGGCTCTCGAGCAGACCTGCAGGCGCAACATACTGGGTCAAGATGCTCGCATGTTCTGTCCTGAAATCATTGGAACCGTGATGCTGAAGCGCCGGGGAATGGAACTCTTCACGTTCTTCGACCGCTATTTCAAGATAGCGTCATCTGCGGAAGAAAATCCACCGACTCGTGACCCCATCGTAGAAAGCGAATGGTGGGTTACCGCGTTACAACTAGGCCCCAATCCACCGTTGCCGGATGAAAATGCGGCCTACCTTTACAAGTTTTATATGTGTGTTCGGCAGGATTTCATTGGTAACGTATAATATTTCATCTTCGATGGCCTTTTAAGGTTTACACGTATGCTCTCAACAGACTTCTTTGCATTCAACGCCTGCTCGGCTATTGCTACCGCTTGGAATGAAGACATGGAAAATAGCCTCGCCTCAGCGCTTCGGCTCATACTGAATGTTGACCGCCAAGGCATGCGTGGTATCATGTCCGCCAAGAAGACGTCCAAAAACAAAGATTTGCTGATCTGCGAGCACTGTGAACGTAGCCCTGATGAAATTGGCGACGATGTTCGCTTTCTCGTCTGTGGGGTCTGCAAGCGGAAGCTGAACTTCGAGTGCTTCTACTGCTCTAAGTACGTCTCCTTTGTTTACCACCAAACCTGTTGTCGCTGAATGATAAATTGCCAGAGAATGCCAGAAGTCCAATGGGCGACAGCACAAGTCTCATTGCGGAAAGGAAAAAGTCTCCAAAAGCCGATCCTTGGGTCGACCCGGGTACAAGCGCTCGCTTCAGCTACTCCTACAGCTCAAGATGCAGAGCGATCATGAAGATACGGATTACTTCCTTTTCAAGACTAGCGTGAAATCTTACGGCGCCACGATATATCCTTCATGGTTTCCTTCCAACGCGACAAAGGGAAGCAAACTCTGTTCAGGCAAACACGAGCCCTAGCCGCCATGGATGCAGACCGTACTGGCCTCGGCATACTCGCAAAGTGCTTAGTAGGCGCCCTCGAGGATGACGATATATCGTCAACGATCACGAAGGAGGAGATCATCCAGCAACTTACAGCGGAATACGAGGTTGACGCTGGTGCACACCTCGAAACGGTGGAAGAAGCGCTTGCAGCTGAAAATGACCCGAAGCGATTCCTGGGAATGAGCCTATTTAGTTTCATCATTCCCGATGTACTTGAAGAATGGGCTGGAGAGTTCTTGAAGGAGAAGGGCCAGTTTAATGAAGAGGAAGTCAAGTATGCGATAGCCCTTTTCAAGTAAAATGCGATGACCTTGTTTGTGATAGCGCTTGTCGAATCGTTTCAACGGGTACTCCAAATGTGGCTGTCAATATTAATATAGAAGTATACTCTGAGATTAAAGGAGACGTAGTCTCGAACCAGACGCTCCTTGTGGGCGGAGCTCTTGCGGGCCATCCGGGCCATCAAAGCGTAGCCAAAAGGAGCGTCTGGTCCGAGACTAAAGGAGACGGGGTTATGCTGGGGCGAGGAAACTAAAGTAAAACTAATGCCACTTCGGGCCTTTCCGAAAGTGACGTATCTGAGACAGGGGCTTCCGTTCGCACTCAAACACCAACCACCATCTTCCGCTCTGACCTACGCAGCCACATATCATGGCAGAGCTTCCAATTGACGTCTTCAAACGCTCGAGCGACCCCCGATTTGAAACCCTACTCGACAATGATACATCAGCGTGGTCAAACAAGGAGAACGGGTTCCCAGTCGCGGATGTACGCACAGACCGCGCCAGGTGGGCTCGGGACTGGGATAAAGGGGTGCAAAAGATCAGCAGGTCGGCGTCGAATGTCCTCTTGCATACAGTGAGAGCGCGAGATCCTTCATATCTATCCATGAAAATTCAACATTCCGACTACCAACACCTGCGCAGCGTGAGGCTACGGGTGACCACCAATGCTCAGACCATCGCGAATAGTATTCGAAACCAGTTCAATACCCTTAGCCGCACAGACTTCACAATATGCCAGCCCAAAGATTGGTTTATGCTCGTCAGCCCAGAGAAGCGTCAATCCGTGTTTGATGTAGCACTCGAGAGCGCGTGCTGGTCCTGCACGTTTGGCCAAGATTCTCGGTCGTTTTGCCCTGACATCACTAGCAGGTTGCTTCTCAGGCGCAAGGGACTCGCTCTATATTCATTCATCAATCGCTTTGTTGAGACGGCTTTGTCTCACCAGGCGGACCTAGCGGACTCAGACTGGGTACGGAACGAGTGGTGGACATGTGCCTTGCGGCTGGAGGATATCCCGCGCCAGCTTCACAGCAACTACAAGTTTGTATACGAACTTTATACGCTATTCCGGCTGAATTTCATCGGTGAGCGCCCGCCTTCGTTCGGCGTTTTTGTCTCCGTATTGCTAATATGATTTCGCTTGTCGTAGCCCACTTTGTATCACGGTCTCTGGCAGCTGTGCACGATTCATGTGCTCAAGAGGTGGAGAGGAACGACTCTTGGATACCGCGTGTCATCTGGATAGGGGGTCTCAGAGGCATGCAAGAGATGCGGGCTGCAAGGAAAGTCCTAAAGCATAACTTCGGGCAGCAGTGCGAGTATTGCGAGTGCACCGCTGAAGAGTTTGATCAATCTTTCCGCTTCCTCTTATGTACAGCGTGCAAGCGGGAGCTGAATTTTGCATGTTATTACTGCTGCAGGTGCGTGCGTCCATAAAAACATCATTCTGCTTTCCATCTCACGCATCGAGATTTTTCAGGGAGTGCCAGAAGGCCGATTGGCCGCGGCACAAGGCCCATTGCGGCAAGGAGAAAGTCTCCAAGTTTTGCGACGAATACCGTCCGGAATGCAAACGCTCGCTCAGCTTGATTCTACAGACGTCGATGCAGAGCTGGCACCCAGATGCCGACTATGTCCTTTTCACGTTCCATGGTCCGGTCGCTGGATTCAAAGTCGCTTTCCCTCGCAACTGCAAATTGAGAAAGCTCTTCTTGAAGATACGAGATGGGATGACCGTTGATCGACAAAATACCTTCCTTGATATACTTGCCAAGTGTCTCGTGGATGCGTTGGCAGAGGACAAAGTCATGTCGGGTATCACACGGGAAAACGTGATTCAGCAGCTCAGTGAAGAGTACGAGGTTGACGATGTGAAAGAGCGGCTTGAATCGTTGGAAGAAGAATTGGCGGCGCAAGGTGACGAGACTTGGTATAGCGGCATGATGGTCATCGAAGAGGCGAAGGTAGGCGTCAAGGGGAGTGCAGCTGTTAACAAGGTAAGTGATATTGCGCCCATTATCCCGTACGTGTCTGAACGATCATCAGATACTGTGAGTTGTGACTCGAAGAAGGCGATGGAAGTCCAATCAACCACGCGGTTAGGGGAGGCAGTTAGCGTGCATCATGGCGTACTTACCCCATCTTGTACAATATACTGATCCTAGGCTTGAATTAATATGTGTCACCAGTGTACCTCTTCCTTTCGCGAAAACCAGCACAGATCAACGCCCGAATCCAGACTTCGATCAAGTTTCAATACTTGAGCTTGAACCCTTATCTCATGTCTTTTCCCAATCCTGACTGCTCTTGGGGAACAAGGACGCGGAAATCGAGTTGGATATTAATGTTCTTTGGTGTACTAGTCTCCTCGCACATTGAACTCGCCACTTGAGGAGGTGGCGGAAGAAGAGAAGCGAAATAATAACTCCGAAGTGGATCCGGAGCGCGTTGATCCCGGAACGCGTCCCGTCACACCCGTGACAGAGCGCGTTTGAGGAATCGCTCGCACCCCCGACGCCATCGACGCGTTTCTCAATCATACTGTCGCAATGACGTCTCCGTCCGCCCCCGCCCCTGCTCGCGACGACGCGTCCGCAAAAGAAAATACGTCTCCAAAGAAGAGAATCAAGATCACGGAAGACAACGGATGGCGACACGTCCCTCACTTTGGGCTCAAGCCCTACTTCACCCCGGCTGCCCGAACCGAATACGCCGAGGAGCAGTACTGCGTGAAGGAGTCTGGGTGCACTCAGGTCAAGAAGAAGTCAAGGATGGGATTGAAGGCGGGGCTGAAGCTGTTACCTTCGATGCCGCTCGATATCCTCTTCGAGGTGGGTAGCTCAGCTTTCGCGTGGTGCGACGTGACGTATCGTCGTGGTAGATCCGGCTCACCAAGCGGACGCGTAGATCTTTGGCAGGCTTATGCCAATCGATCTTTTGCATCTTGCACGCACCACCAAACCTTTCAGACGCGTCTTGATGCACCGCTCATCCGTCAGCGTATGGGTGGAGGTTCTTGCGAATGTCCCGGATCTCCCACTGTGTCCTGATGACATACCCCAGCCAGAGTATGCAAACCTGGTTTTTGACACTCACTGTCACGTCAGTCAGGAGTCGCTCTCTGCTGTCCGGGTTTCTGGCAGACTAACGGTCGTCTGTAGGGATGCTTCAAACCCAATATCCGCAATGTGTACTGGCGATTACGGGTGCGTTACTGCAGTGCCTGTGCTCGAAAGTAGTGAGTGTCAGCTCATAAATGTCCTGTACTCTCAATGGCTAAACTTGGCTCCGCTCATCGCTTAGCCTGGAGCCGCTGGACGATAGGTTCAGGTTCAAATATGGTCCGAAGATAGCGAGATGTCTTCCTCACGAGGAGGTCTTGAGCCGTAAGCCAATCCAGCTTCGTGGTTTTACCGTTTATAATGTCTCCTACCCAGTCCGAGACCAGTCGTGTTGCCTAATCGTAGACAGGGAGGCAGTCGTTGCTGCTCTCGAGAAGCTTGGTCCTGAAGAGAGGTCAGAGTATAGGCGGCAGCAGAAAGAGAGAGCTGATGCTAGGGGTGCCGTGCGTCTATCACTACTCCTTCGCTACCTTCAGGCTGTCTGGCTGACGTGGTTGTAGCACGCCAGCGTGCTAGAGGAGTGGGCTACGAATCAGATCAAGAATCGCGAGATTGAGCTAGATATCTTGCGAGAGCAACGTCGCGAAGCGTGAGTTTGTTACTGCTGTCGAGTGAGCTGTAATAATGCCAATACTGACGGGGCATTTCGTAGCATTGCAGCTAAACTCGACCTTCTTGGCTGGAGTGACGAAATAGTTGCGCTCCCTGATCGTTTCGAGGCAAAGTTATGGGATGTGGTGGTGCTGGACGATCATCCACATGTCAAACAGGCGAAACCTCTGACTGATCGCAGTGCGTAAAACTGTTGTTGCTTGTTTCTTTGTATCTGACGCTTCGTTTAGTCTGGGCAAACATCGAAAGTGACATGATCAAGTACATGGAGATCATGAAGCAGTACCGCCTTGGGAAAGAACGTCGTGCTCTCATACAACGACGACGCACGGCTGCGTTAGAGGCATATTGTGATCATCAACGCTACAACACGGTCTATGCCCACCTCTGGCCCGCAGCCGCCGATTATCTGCTGTGGGACCGCATCGAGGCGCTCATCGAACAGCCTTCCGATGACGAGCTCCCAGCGGACGTCTTCAAGGAAGCCCTCCGAGACATCGACGATTGGATGCCCCACTGGTGCAACCGCAGGATCGCCGACGCCATGGCTTCATGCGATACCTACAACATCGACTACTGGTGCTACGTCGACGAGTCGTCCGAATGGGCGACCACAGTCTTCAGCTGCAAGAATCGTATACACTCCTTACACGACCACGGCGTGTCCGACGCTGTTCCGCCCGCGACGCTCATGTGGTGGCCCGAGTACATGCACCATCACTGTAATCGCATGAAGGTCCTTCCGCCATGGGAGTTTCACAAGCACGAGGGCATTTCGCTCGGTGAGGGATATTACCCGAGGACGGTGCAGAAGCCTTGGTCGGCGGAGCATCTGCAGCCGGAGGAGAAGGCACGGAAGGTCGTTTTGAATATTCTCAGGACGTGTGGGTATTCTGCGCAGACGACGACGGAGTTTATGGACGAGAAGGATCCGAGGCTTGTGTGTTTGAAGTGCAGCTTTGGCGGGCGCTGCGACGGCGATAGGCAGGTAGTTGCTAGAGGGTGGCGAGATTCGGTCAGTTAACGCTACGCATCCATGATCTAACTTCGCTTCCTTGTTAACAAGCGTCTTTTCAGGTCAACCACTGCATGACAAAACATTGGGGTGATGCGACAGTTCAATGGGAGAAGATATCCGACGAGGATGCCGAGGTTCTCCGTCGAAGCGAGGTTTGGTTGAAGGAGCAGGATGATTTAGCTCCTGTCTGGCGATGTGCTCTCTGCCACGATAAGAAAGGCGAACCGCTGAGCACGTCGAAGGAGGCGCTGTTCAATCATCTGAGCGAACGGTCAGTGTTCTTCGCCGTCGACCCATATTCGCGCTCATATATTTGTTTCCACCAGCCACAGCATCAGCAGACTTGACGCAGAATGGAACATCAACTATTTGCGTAACCCTGGTACTCCCCCCGTGCAACCAAAGCCCACCAAGTGTAGGCCGAAGGCTGGAACCACTGGTAGGCTCTAATTCAGCTGCGTGAGCTATACCTGTAGCATACGATCTGGATCTATATACCGACATCTCCTCTGATATTTACGACTATATAATCTCGCGCCCAGCTTATACCTTGTTGTAATCCTAGCTAAAATCTGGCTAACTAACATTATCTCGTTTGTGAGCTGGAGTGAAGTATTCGACTGCACCTAGACGGACTCGTCCGTCGAGGACAAACTATAGCACTCGTTAGTGTGTTGAAAATCGCGTGAACTCTCGATATGACCTACCTTGATATGATATACATCCAAGAAGGTAGGTAGGCAACATAAAGGGGCCAGGCCCCCTCTACAAAGACGCAAAGCCGAATATCGAGTCTATCGTTTCCGTGAATTACGACGAAGATAGGGGCTTCACTCGCGCCGAATACACGTGATGCAGACACCTTGCCTTGATCGAGGGCACTTACACTCCGTTGTCTCGTCCCGCCTCTCATCCCACTCCCCCGTCGCCCTCAACCATGGCTGAAGTCGTCGCCCCACCAATGGACATCGCGGAACCACAGCCCCAGGTGGCTGCTCCCAACGGAGTAGAACCGCCTACAGCATCGGAGGAGCCCGAAAACGTCTCGGAAACGCTTTACATCCAGAACCTGAACGAGAAGATCAAGGTGGATGGTACGTGCTATGCACCTGCTTTACCTCCTCGTGCTTACGCATACGCAGTTATTAAGCAGTCATTACGCTCCCTATTCAAGACGTACGGAGAGGTGCTTGACGTTGTCGCGCATAGCAATTTGCGCATGCGGGGGCAGGCGTTTGTCTCGTTCGAGTCGCCGGAGGTTGCGAAGAAGGCGATGGAGGAGGTTAGGGGGTTCCCGCTGTACAACAAGCCTATGGTGCGTCGCATATCTGTCCATGCGTGGTGTCTTGGGTGTGCTGACGGGAGGACGCGTTGTAGCAAATATCGTTTGCGAGGTCGCGATCTGATGCGGTGGTGAAGAAGCTAGACGCGGAGCACTTTGATGCGCATAAGGCGCAGAGAGACGAGCATAAGAGTGCGTCTGTGCGCTCGTAGGGGCGGGTGTGGGCGTGGCTGACTGGGATATGTCGCTTCTCTTTCAGAAAACACGCGGTATACGAATCCACTGAAGCAGAAGCTCCGCGCGAAGAGAATGGCGACTGATAGTGCGTCTCCCTCACCTCCCCTTTCACCTCTTCGCTTCTCTTCTTCGTACTAACAAGGGCTGCTCAGTCGACGGAGCTGCTGCCGCACCGGCAGTCAAGCGGCCGAACGTGCAGATGCCGGACGAGTACCTCCCACCGAACAAGATTCTCTTCCTCCAGAACCTGCCCGAAAACGTCGACAAGGAACAGCTCACCACCCTCTTCACGCAGTACGTTGTCCGCATGATCACGCTTCTCAGAAGGACACGCAGCTGACCCGACGACCGCCTCGCGCGCACAGGTATCCAAATCTGCACGAAGTGCGTCTCATCCCCACCAAGAAGGACATCGCGTTCGTCGAGTTCGTGGACGAGGCGAGCGCCGGCGTCGCAAAAGATGCGCTGCACAACTACAAGCTCGATGGCGAGAACAAGATCAAGGTGCGTTTGCTCGGTGTTGTTGGCTGCTTGCAGAGTCTTACTGACTTGGTTCTCTAGATCACGTTCGCAAGAAAGTGAAAGTTTGCTTTCTGCTCTTCGTCTTCTAATAGTAGTTTCCGTATTCATGTATCTTACTCTGTAATGCTGAAGTCGCAAAGGACTTCACTCACCCGGCGCCTACCAGTGAGGGGTCGTCACACACGTTGACGAGCATGAGGTCGGAGAGCCATGATTTGTTCTTATTGAGACAACTGTTTTCCTTATTTCACTATCTAGTATCCATCCTCTACGTGAATCATCCGTGCCTTCATGACGCTCAAGTGAGACATGGAGGCTCCCGGAGAAAACCTGGAGTAGACAGCCCAAGCGAACCTAACTTAGCAAGTGCTCCTTTAATATAACAAGCGCACTGAGCGCTTGCCGCGCTTGTCGTCCACCATCGAGTCAATACCACCCATCCATCCCATCGCCCGTCATCTTACAGGATCAAGAGGGTCTAGCAAGGCGTGATGTCTATTGTGGCCACGAGGCCGAGCAATGCTGTGAGTATTGGGTATAGCTGCGCTCTCCATAACGAGGTACACTAACTCCGCGAACCTGGAAACGTTCCCGGCCCTCTGGATGACTCGACCTGACTCGACCTTTGGACGCCCATATTGGACCCACTCACGTTGCTGTTGACAGGCCCCGTTAGCATGGCCAGAAGAGGACGTCGACGGGTACTTCTCGGAGGACTCGGAGGACTACGTTGAGGCTATAGGTGGGTGGCGTGCCCTGAGCTTGTCGTGCGTCGTGGCTGACTGGGTCTCGTTGCAGAGATTGGCGTTCAGGACTCTCCAAGAAAGACGTACCCTCGGGACAATCTCCCGATTAGCAATGGTTTAGGCAGCTTAAAGCTAAAAGTGAAAGACGGGAATGGTAATATCACGCCTCCATTCTTAGCTAGACCGCTGCTCATTATCCCCGTGTTCTTCCCCACAGACGATGATTATGAGATGGATGAGGGTGAGCCGCGGTTTTTTGCTTCCGCCATGACACTCAACATTAAGTTCATCGCTGGCCCTGTCAGTCGAGCAACGTACGTAAACCCTTTCCTATCGAGGGCGCTCAAGCTCATGGATGATTTCCTATTTATAAGTGGTTGAGCCGGATGCACCTCCCGCTCAGGTCAGAGCTCCGGGACCGTTCGCGTCTGCCTCCGCCGGGCCCTCCAGGATGCCGGCCGTCGCCCCGCCGTCGCCAAGCAAACGGGCCCGCGCGATGACAGGCGGAGAGTCGCGGGAGACAAAAACTCCGCGGCTCGACCAGCCCCGGATCCCGGCCCTCGACGTCAACCTTGTCACCAGGCAGCCGTCTGATCCCGGGCCGACCTCCGCCAGGCCCTTCAACACCAGTCACCGTATACAGTCAGCAGCGACGCCCGTCCTGACGCCCACGGTAGCGCCCACTACCATCCATCCCGAGGTGACGCAGTACACGTTCTCCCCGGCCGAACACTTCAAGCATGGGCCGGTCGTGCTGGGCGAGAACCTGGGGCGCGCCATCATCGCGCACGACAGCGGCGCCGTCAGGCTGATCGACTACCGCAGCCTTGCGTGGCCCACGACATACGAGATCGCACGCGGGGTTACTCAAGGCCGGTGGTCGTGGCAGGATGTCACGCCGAGTCGGCTGGATCGCCTCAAAGGTTTGGGCGCGGATACTGCGCCGAAGGTAGGAGCGGTTATGAAGGATCTGGATCTCAAGGGAAGGGGAACTGGTTCTGCGGCAGTGGGATCAGAAGTTTGGTACGTCGTGTCACATTGTCATCTTTGGCTCACAGGGGACTGAGCGTGGAGGTGATAGGTCCGAATACGATAGGGAAGAAAAAGCCATCGTCGAAAACCGCGGTCGTGGTCTCGGTTTGATGGGCGAGTGGGAAGGGAAGCATAGCTGGTATGGCGGCAAGATCCAGCAGGTCATCACTCTACGCGTCTCAGGAAACCCAGGGCAAGAGCGTTACGAATTTGAGCTTGAGAAACCCAAGATCTCTCGCTCTCACCGCCTCTCGCGCTTCCTCGGCTCTCGGCGTCTAATCCAGATGCGAATCCCGGAGCAGACAATGTGGAACTACGGCGCGCGCATAACCGAGTATCTATCGCGTCACTCGTTTGTGTTGTGCGGTCGCGTATTTATCCCCGTTCACGCAAAGGAGAACTCTGTTTACCTGGTCGAGACTGATCAGGATCATGAACGTTCCCCGCGCCCTGACCAGAAAGGAGATCAGTATCGATATTCGCTGGCCCAGATCGTTCAATGGCACAACGATATCGTTGCCAATCATAAGCAGGTATGTAGTGCTGCGGGCTGACCATCCATCCTCTATAATACTCATTATACTTCACTAGCCTATCAGCAAGTGGTCGACTCGGTGGGCGTTAGCGCTTTCGACGTCTGTGCCGGGCATGGAGTTCTCTCCAGAAAACGTGTTCTATATGGACGATGTTTGTGAGTGTCTACTTATAAGCCCAGCAATAACTTGTTAACGATTCACCCCAGACTCTCCCGAAGCGTCTGGCATGAAGAAGGCTCCAGCCGAGTTAACCATGACCGACGGATGCGGCTGGATCAACGCGGCCGCGCTCACCCAGCTCATGCGAAACATGGGCCTCAGCAGCCGCCCGACGGCCATCCAAGCGCGTCTCGCAGGTGCCAAAGGGATGTGGCTCCTGCACCCCGACCCCGCCGAACAGCTCATCGACGGGCCCGCGAAGATCTGGATCCGGTCCTCGCAGAACAAAATCGCCAGCCCGCCAGCCGACCGCGGGCACCTCGTGCTCGACCTGCTCGCGCCGTCGCGCGTGACGCACCCGAGCCGGCTCTCGCAGCAGACCATCGTGAACATGGCGCACAACGGCGTGCCCGAGACCGTGTTCACCGCGCTCATGGCGGCCGGGCTCGACCGCGAGGTGCAGCAGCTCACGCAGTGGGACGGCCCGAACGCGCTCGTCGCGGTGTGGCGCGCAGTCGAGCGCGCGGGCGGGGTGAGCTTTACGCGCGTGCGCAGGCGCATCGCGGGGCAGGCGAGGGCGCTTGGGCTGGGCCGCATGAGGCCGGACGATAGGGACTCTGAGGCGCCTGCTGATATTGATACGGACGACGAGGACGCACATGTGCTTTCTAGCGGGGTCGAGGGTGGTGCGGCGGGGGAGCCTGCGCAGCCGCCGTCGGTGTATGAGGCGGCGATGCAACTGCTGCAGTCTGGGTTCCGCCCGCAAAACCTGGATGTGCTGTACGACAAGATCCGCAAGATCGTGACGATGGTCATTGACGACTACGTCAAGTCGCTGCATATCCCGATTCTGGAGTCTGCGGAGGCGTATATTGTCCCTGGTCAGTGTCTTATTTCGTCGGCTGCAATGCGATGTGCGCTTATGATGGGAATGGCGTTGCAGACCCTTATGGTGTTCTTAAAGAGGGGGAGATATACTTCCGCTCCTCTGATGGGTTCAAGGATCCGGAGACGGGTGCGCGTTTTGATATTCTCAAGGGTGACGTTCTGGTAAGCTCTCTTCTATCGTCCAGAGACGTACGCTTATGGTTGTTCCGCAGGTGCTGAGGAATCCTACGAGACTCCCGTCAGATGTCCAGAAGGTAAGCGTCTCGACAGGACGTCACACACATCCGTACGTTTGGTCGTGACAATTCCTGTGCTCATGTGCTCTGCTGTAGGTGCGCGCGGTGACTTACCCCGAACTCGAAAAATACTACGACGTTATTATTTTCCCGACATGTGGAGCTCGTTCGCTGGCTAGCTATCTTGGCGGTGGTGGTTAGTCGCTATATCTGCTCTCCTTATCCTCTCGCTCATCACACCTGGCTGCCTATAGATTATGACGGAGGTGAGCGCGCATTGAAATCGCGATTTGAAATATGCCAACGTTCTACAAGACACGGTTCTGGTAGTCTGGGACAAGCAGCTCGTCCAGCCGTTCAATAGTACTCCGCTCTACGAGGAGCCACAGGGTGTTAGAGACGCATTCGAACGAAACGTGGAAACAGTCCGCGATTTTGACAAGCGTATCCGTGGACTGCCACGGGCGGATGCAGAGGCAGAGTTCCAGAAGATTCTGTTGCTCGGTCTCTCCGAAACAAAAGTTGGCCTCTACTCGAAGTTCCATGACATCGCGGTGTACGAGCGAGGCTATGCTAACGCCTTCGCCATTCGTATGGCGTACATGTGGGTCTTTGTGCTTTGCGAGTTTGGGCGGGCCTCTGATGAGATTTGATTCAGGTTCACCACTTGCTTGGATGCGAGCAAGACTGGTCTTCGCGTGAAGACGACCGAATTCCATCGCCACCGCACCATGGCTGGTAACCGGCAGCCTCGCTATATTAGAGATCTCACGGACCATCGAAACTCTGACGACGCCCCTTGCAAGAGAGACAAGGGGCAGAAGCCATTCATCCTCGACGTCTTGGTCGATGAAGGGCGTCGCATGCGCGACGCGTTTTTGACAAAGTATGACGCTCGCAAGCAGACCATGGGCGAGAGACACGACCGGGACCTTCTCAAGCCAGTCGAAGATGCTGAGAAGATGGCCGCGGCCATGGAACGTGAAGGTATCCCGTTCTATTCCAGCAACTTGCAAGAAATGGAACGCCATATCGACACCTTCTACAAGAGGTGGATCGTCCTCATCGACGCGTCCAAATCCTCTTCCTCCTCCCGCAGCCGCTCGCCTGCCGACAAGTCGAAGACGAATGATCCGTGGGACGCGCTCGCGCGCGACTTTGCAAAGGTGCCACCTTTCCAGTCCCTCCAGTGCTTTCCAGACGCGGAGGTGAAGTGCATTATAGCGTCGCGCGCGTACCGCAGGTCGCGCAAGTTCGCGTTCAACGCGGCGTTTTTGACGCTGTGCTCTATCAAGGCGAGAGCGCTGGGGTGCGTGCCGTTCACGACGCAGTTCGCGGAGTCGATGAGCGTGTCGGGGGCGGTCGCACGCGCGCTGGATCACACGCTCGCCCAGGAGGGGGAGTGAGAGCCTGACGAGGTTTCTCACTTCCGACCTTCGTTCTTGATTAATGAAAACATCTCGGTCTTGGTCTTTCAGTGCTCCTTTCTTCGCACCATCGAGTTGCTGTCTCATGCTTGGATGTTTTCTTGCTTTCACATACCCGCATCTTGCTTACGACCTGTATATCCCAGCTTTCATCTTGGTTTCACCTGGCATTCGCTGTACGAATAGGATTAGCACAGAGGATCTTTACGCATGTAGTCGACATCTAGTCAATACAAATTTACTGCAGTGGATAACGTTAGTCGTCGATAAGATTACAGGACCCGGTATCACCATCCACAGCCTCCGTCGCGCGCCCCGAACACATCGCGAATCCTCTCCTTTGTTTTCCCTCCCAGCCTTCCACCCCGCGGCCGTTTTCTCACCCGCTACCACCACCACATAACTCAACCCACGCGCACTTTCTCTCTCTCATCCACTTCCACCTTCACCTCTCACTACCACGATGACCTACTCTCTCTTTTGCTTGGGCAACCCGCTGCTCGACGTGCAGGTCACCAACGGCGAGGAGCTCCTCAAAAAATACGATCTCAAGGCCAACGATGCCATCCTTGCTGAGGAAAAGCACACGCCCATGTGAGTTCTCTCTGTGTATGCGCACCGCAGCCGGATACAGCGTATTTAACGTCGTTGGATGATGCACACAGCTACGAGGAGATCGTGAAGAACCACAAGGTCACGTACGTCGCTGGTGGTGCGTCCCAGAACGCTGCGCGTGGGGCTGCTGTGAGTGTTGTCCTTGATCATCTGCTCGTGGAGGAGCGAACGAGGGAGTGCGATCCGTTGACTGATGTGTGGTTCTTGGTAGTACGTCCTTCCCCCGAACTCGGTCGTGTACACCGGCTGTGTCGGCGACGACGACCTCGCGGATCAGCTCCGCGCAGCAAACAAGCGCGAGGGTCTCACTGAGGCGTACCTCGTCAAGAAGGGGGAGAAGACGGGTGCGTGTGCGGTTGTCATCACGGGTCATCACCGGTGAGTGCTTGTGCAGTTATCTCTATCTTATCTCCCCGCTCTATCCGCCCCTATTCTTCTGCCCTTTATTATGACCACCGATCCATCTGAGATCATGCTGCTGACGATGCTTTGTGTGCGATGTACAGTTCGCTGGTCACCACTCTCCGCGCCGCCGAGAAGTTCGAAAAGTCGCACCTCTCCAGCCCTGAGGTCGCCCCGCTCGTCGACGGCGCAAAGGTGTACTACGTCGAGGGCTTCTTCCTCACGCACGGCACCGAGTCCGTTCTCGAGCTCAGCAAGAAGGCATCGGCCGCCAGCAAGGTCCGCTATCCCCTACTCCTGACTACACACCACTAACACCACCTACAAACCCCAGGTGTTCGTCCTCAACCTCTCCGCACCCTTCATCCCCCAATTCTTCCACGCCCAACTCCAATCCGTCCTCCCCTACGTCGACTTCATCATCGCCAACGAATCCGAAGCCGAAGCCTACGCCGCCGCCACGGGCCTCCCAGACCCCACAGACCTCGCCGCAGTCGCAAAGGCGCTCGCCACCGCGCCCAAATCGAACGCGTCCCGCGCGCGCACCGTCATCTTCACGCACGGGCCCGAGAGCACCGTCGTCGTCTCGGGCGCGGAGCCCGACGCGCCCAAGGTGTACACGGTGAGTCCGATCGCGGACGACCTGATTGTGGACACGAACGGCGCGGGCGATGCGTTCGCGGGCGGATTTTTGGGCGCGTATGTCGCGGGCAGGACGCTGGACGCGTGTGTCGAGGCGGGGCACAGGATGGGCGCGATGTGTGTGCAGCTCGTCGGGCCGCAGTTCAAGTGGCCCAAGGTCCAGATCCTCTGATCGGGGGATCATGGGGATCAGGGCTGTCGGGGATGGACGCACGGGGGTGTAAGCGTGATGGGCGGAGGTGGGATGGTACCTCGCAATTGATCATTCGTATCAATCCCGAGGCCTGATGGGTCCACGGCACGGCTTTCAACAGCAGTTTCTCTCAATCTGTATCATACATTAACGATGTACTACACGACGGGCACATCACATGGCTTTCCACAGCATAGCGGGCAAAATATCAACAAGTGGTGAACGACAAGTACTAGTGGGTGTAGCGATCTGCAGTCCGGTCCGAGAGTCCAACCTACGTGATACATGGTTACAGCGCAATCACCGGCCCTGCCTGTGCTTGTCACGTTGACGTGCTGCGTTCAGGGTGTTCACTCCGTCGCAGTCTGCTGACGAGCGACATATTGCGGTGTGATAGCGTACGAGGGCAAGTGATTGCGAGTAAAAGTGACGATCTCATTATTGCGATGCTGTTCGATAACGTGGTTTGTTCCCAATGTCGAGAGAGGAGGGTTGTGGTTGAGAGAGGGGGCAGGCTAAATCTGCCGCTGCCGCTGGTGGACGAATAGGCAAGATATACAGTACGGTAAAAGACGAGGACGAGGACGATGGTGAAGACAAAAAGGGAGAGCTGGAGGAAGAAAGCGAGCAGGCAAGGGGGAAAGCGAGAGCGGGTTGGTCCGTAGTACAGCATACAAGGGCATCGGCATTGAGGTTGACCGGGGACAAGCAGGGTCATCAAGGCGATTGTGGTTGTTCGTTCAACAGATTCGACGGTCTTCGGTAGTCACTATGAAGGCGGGGGCGAGGCCAGCGATTCCTACGAGATCCGAATTACGTTAGTCAAGCCACGAAACAGTGAAACAGAAGAGAACGTGGGGGTCCTCACAGAAGTCAGCAGCTCAGCTAAATAACAGTAGAAAGCAACAAGCATCAGCACGCGCAAACGAGATAGGGCGGAGGAAGAAGCCACAGACGCACCAGGATTCAACATCGGCTCGCCGTCCTCGGTCAGCATCTGCTCCATCGGCTCGGGCCTGACGAGCGGCTTCGGCTCCAGATGCGCGTCCGGCTCCTCGTACTCGTACTGCGGTACATGCCCGTGCCCGTGCCCGTGCCCATGCACACTGTGCATGCTCGACGACGCCGGGGGCAGCGAGCCCGGCTTCGACTCGGAACACGGCGACAGCGAGGACTGGAACATGCTGCTCGACCCCGCGTCGTTCGCATCGTCCACATGCTTCCCGCCGGGCGAGAGCGAGAGCGACGCAGAGTCGTGCGAGTGCGAGGAGGCAGACGACCGGAGAACGGCGTGCACGGCCGCTGCCGCCGCCGCCTCCTCATCGGACATCTTCATCGTATCGTCGACATCTACGCCGAGCGACGGGTCGATCATGAGCCCGCCCTCGCTTCCGATGCCGCCGTCTCCGTCGCCTGCGCCTACACCGACGCTGACGCCAACACCGGCGCCTATGCCGACCCCGTGAGACCCGGCAGCGCCCCCATCAGATGAAGAGCCCGACGGCGACGAGTCATTCGACGAGTTGCGCGAGAGCGACGGGGTGCCCGTGCGCGTGGGCGAAGACGGGATATGCCCGTCTCCGCTGCTAGTAGGCTGCGAAGCTGACGAGCCGTGGGGCATGAGTGGGGCCGGCGCTTGCACCGGGACGCCCGCGGCACTTGGGGTTCCAGGCACGGATCCAACAGCGCCGCTAGGGGGAGGAGGGGGGACGGTCGGCAGGCGGTAGTATGGGTGCGGCGTGAAATATGCGGGATGCGGGTATGGCATGGGCATGTGAGGGTGTGGGGGCTGAGGGTGCCCATGGTGGGGTGGGGGATGTGAAGACGGGTCAGCAGGCCACCAGGTGACCTGGTGCAGCCGCGCTGAGGATGTGGAGAGGACGGCGCCTGGCGGGTGATAGAAGGTGGGGTCAATCATCATGGTCGACGAAGATGGGACTGGGATTGCAGGTGGGGGAGGTGTGGTGACGCCGTACAAGGGGCCGTACACTGAGCAAAGCCCAAGCCGAGCGCGCGAACGACTAAGGCCGGGGCTGAAAGGGGGAGGCGAAGAGGGAGAACTCACTGCTCGTCATAGTGTGATGCCGGTAGTAACTCGATGATCCTGTTGACACTGGCCCCGTTGAGGTGGGCATGATAGATGAGGCAGTCGCAGTTGAGGCGGATGCTGAGGCGGGAGGGGCGGATTCCTTGCCTTTGGAGGACGGTGAGCGGCTGGGACTCTTCGTGTTGGAGGACGACGCCTCTGGCTGGGCGTTGACGTCTGGCTTGATGTCGGTCTCGGTCGGTTCAATGATGACTCCATTATGCCTTGAAGGGAGGAAGCGTGTGGTGAGCGCGATGGGAAGCGGATAACAAAAGAACGACAATAGTACGCACCTCGACTTCTGATGTCGTCTCAGCGCGTCTGTCTATCTCTTCATAAGGTCACCTGGTCTCGTGCGCGGTAGACAGGCCAGGACGACTTACGCGTGTAAAGGTAGCGTCACACTGCGGACATGCACTACGGGACCCACAACAACATGCCGCAAGTTAGTATGGGCTACGATGGAGAGAAATGGGAAAGAAGGGACATACAATCCGGGCATGGAGTGGACCTTTGTGGTACGCTGGTGCCGCTTGAGATCGGCCTCGCGGGCGAACTGCTTGGAGCAGCCGTTGATCTTGCACGCCCATATCGCAGAGTCCTGGCTCTTCTTCCTCACGGGTGCCCGCTTCTTGTGCGACTCCTTCTTCTCCTCGTGATGCTGAAACGGATATGAGACGAAGCGGAGACAAGCGAAGTGTGGGTATTCAGGGGGTTTATAAGAGGGATGGTTACGCACTGGTTCCTTGGCCGTCCTCGCCATCCTCGGTGCTCTCGAACGGTCTTGAGGGGTGGGGGCGGGTGGGTAGGGCGAGTGTCGCGTGCGTCGGTGGGGGCGTGTGGCTTCAGTGCCGCGTCTGTGGCAAGAGAATCGCCTTGCTCTCGTCGGCCCCAGATTGTCAATGGTCCCCCTCCGGAACTTGCCGCGCTTTTGTCACAATTCCGCTGACTCATCATCCTCTTGCACAGCATGACCATTCGACACTTGTTTTCACACTTTTGTTTCAAGCACTCACGACCACGTTCACCCCACTCCGTTCGTCTCACACTATGGCTTCAGATCCTCCGGTCGACGGAGAGAGTGAGGTCGAGAAATGGCTAGGCCTGCTAGGCGACAATCATCAACTGCTCAATCCTTTGAGGACATCGTTACCAGAAAATGTCGTGGAGAAGACGCAAGCTTTCAGTGTGGGCATGCGAGCTCTAATGGCCGCTGCCAAGTATTTTCCAGAATACGGATGGTGGGTTCCACCTCCCGTGTTGTTCGATGCTATGTTCGAGACCGGCCAAAACGTCGAGAGAGGAGACGCGAAGGCTAAGCCCCTCAGACTCGATGCGCCGACGCTTCACGCCAAACTGCCATTAGCTCGTTATCTCCTCGTCGTATGTAGTGATGCTCATCTCCCACAAGGTTGGAACATACCATAGAAGTATTGATGCACGATGCTTATTCGTCATTTATAGGAAGCACTAAGATGATCCCCGAGTAGGCGCTAACCATAGGATCATTTTGCGGAGACTAACTAATATCCACTAAACCTTTGTAGCTCCGAACGTACCTCCTACCTAGCTGCTGGGTGGGAGCAAGATTATGAACCCACTCCTCTTCGCCACTTTTCCAGTGCTCTACAATGGTACGAGTCCAACTACGACAAGAATATTTATTCTGGCCGCATGATTGCCATTCTTCAATCGAGCGGCGCGGGTAAATCACGCCTAGTTGATGCTCTTGCAACAGAGGTGTGTCCTCTAAGATAAACTGAGTCTTCGCACTTACAGTTGAACACGTCCTCATCTAGTATCCTGTCTTTAGTATTGTGTGCTGCAGTCATGACAGAATAATCGGCTGGCCGCCGAGTGACCAATGGGCGATGAAGTTCTTTGAAGAGCACTCTGAAATGGCTACAGATATAAGAGCGAGTCCAGCATTGCTTCTCTACCATTGTGTTTTCTGCTAACAACCCATCGGTTGGTTGACACGCATCAGGGTGAAGAGATGGCGGCTGCGTTTCTCGGTGCGCTGATAGGGGCGCTTGCTGACCAGTACGAGCTCTCGCTATTCAAGGGCAAGGATCGTGGTTTTGGCTACTCATCGACGGAGAGAGCTTCACTTTTTGAAGCAGTCTATACGAAGGCCAACACTATGCTTCGTGAGAACGAGGAGTTTCTCATCGAGGAACGTAAATGGATAGATATGGTCTACGGAAAGGCGAAGTGGCCAACTCATAAATTCCCCGGAGGCAGCAAAGAGTGGCACCAACGACTCTTTGCGAGGTTTTGTGGAGAGCCGTTCGAGGAAATGAGCCGTAAACTCGAGGCAGATCACGAAACGAGATTCTTGCTTGCCTTCGACAACTGCGCAGACCTCGGCCGCAACCTGCCCGAAATAGACGGACCCAGTCGCCAGATGTCATCATACGCGCTCCTGCGCGTCCTCAAGGCTGCAGAGTATTTTACGAAGCCCGTTTGCTTCTGGTTTCTCCCTGTCGATACGAACCCCTCAGAGATTCTGCCTCATCCGTCGGATGTTTTACGCCCACTCCCTCCTTTTGTCTATCTAGGCTTCGACCAGTTTATCGACCGGGTGCAGAAGGACAGAGCCTCTGACTCGTTATGTCTCAGGAACCTGAGAAACTATGGTCGGCCGGTAGGTCGTTTCTTGGGTCGTAGAATGGACAGTGAAGTTGATAAGCTGACTATTTGCTTCAGTTATGGTCAACCGTAAAACCAAGCGATCTCTTGAAATTGGCACGGCAGAAACTCTTCTCAGGACATTTATTCTTTCCAGACAACTCAAGTCATGTTTTTGCAGCCTTCGCCTTTCGAGCATGTATCGAGCTCAACGGAAGCGAGGGCTCAAGCCGGCTTGCCGCGTCGGCTGTTGCCTATCATATGAACATTTTCCGTTCATTTTCCAGAGACAGCCTGAACACGATATCCCCCTCAGAACCCATGCTTGCGATTGCATCAGCGAGTGCGCTGACGTCGACTGCTGGCAAATACCTTCGTGCTTGCAATACTCTCTTGGAGAAATTGGTTAGTGGGAACTTGCTGAGCGACGTTGGGGATCAAGGAGAACTTTGTAGTCGCCTTTTGCTCCTGCTCGCTCGCGACGTCACCACCTTTCGGTTTCACGACAGGTTTGTAAGGCCGTATGGGAGCGATGAGGGAGACGGCGGCGATCAGATTTATGCTATCTCGTTGACCGACTTTCTGGACGCTCTCCTCGGTCCGTCGAGTCCACTCCCCCGGACGGAAATTGATCGTGCGATGAGCTTCGGCTTCAAGGAAATGGAGCTGGCTCGAGAGCTCCGCGCCTTCTGCGATGACAAATGGGTCAATTTCACGCACTTCGTGAGAATTCATAAAACTATCGACCACCTTACTCTTAGCGATCTCGAGACCGCCTGGTTCCGAGGTGCAGCCATCCAATGCGACCGCAACCAACCTGTCATCGACGGGGGGATCGTCTACTACGATGGATTACTCGATGCGCCGTACGATCCATCACGTCTTGGTTTCTTGGCGTACCAAACCACGGGGAAAAGGAGGAGCGGAGGCGGGGAGATCGGCGCCGGTCTGACTGCTCCGCCAATATTGCGCCCTCAACCCGACCACGGCGGGTTCCACCGCTACAAACCAAAGACGATCGTCATGCTCATGGACCTCGCCGCCGCGTCGCATTTCGAATACAGCGGTGGCCAGAATTCCTGGCTGCGGCTGCGCGCAGCGCAGAAACCCGCTCGGAGCTCATGGGCTGGCTATGCGGACCCGCAGAGGGGCGAGGAAGAGCCAGAGAGCTTCTTTATCAACGTCCGCGGGTGCTCGTCGACGGAGTATCCGCTCATGAGACGGTCGCCGTTTGGCTACTTTGCGGATTTCTTCCGCTGTCTCATGGAGCACGATAATCCGGCAGAGCTGAAGGACATGGAAGGTGGTATGCTGGAGGCTATGGATCCATTTGGTGGACCTGCAGTGGACAGGGCGACGACTAAGAGGAAGCGAGAAGAGAGGGAAGAGAGTGAGGAACATAGGGTAAACGATAGCGAGGCTCGTAGCGAGTCCGAGTCTATGCCCGTCGCTGTGTAAGAGTGTGAGCACCGTGCGTAGGGGTGTGGTTGTGGTATCGGACCGTTACTTCGTTAGCGACGCTGTGATTAGTGCAACTCGACATCCATCACACGGACTTACAGTCTGAGCGACTAGGTCTGAGTGTGGTGATATAACTGCGGTCAAAATCTATAGTAAATCCGTAAATCATAAGGATTGCATGAATTCCTAAGGTATATGTGGAAAAAGACCATCAAGTAATAAGCTCGTAAGATAACACTAACCCGCCAACCCGCCAGTCGGCCGTCTATCACCTCCATAATACGCCAACGCCCTCACCCTCGCAGCATAAATAGTCACGTCCTCAGAGCGCATTCGCGCGATCCATCAGGCCCTTCACCCGCCTGCTCAACCGCTCAGCCTCGGCTTTGCGCTCCATGATCTGGTGCGCAGGCGTCGCCTTGCGCGGCATCCACACTCTCCCGCTCCTCCCGGCCTTGCTGGCACCCTGCGCCTTCCCTTCCTTCCCTTCCTCTCCTTCCGCAGCCCCATCTCCACCGGCGCCAGCGTCCGCACCCTCGACCTCGGCCTTCCTCCTCGCATGCATGACGCTCAAATCAACCACCCGCGGCGACGCCGAGAACCTGATCACGTCCCTGTACAGCATCTTCGTCTCCGTCGCAAGCGCGCGCGCCCTCGGCACTCGCGGCGCGCGGAACGACGGCAACGAGTCGAACTCGGATTCGGCATCCGAGTCGGACAGGCTGGAGGGCGCGAGCGGCGGTGTGCGCGGGGAGGCGGGGCGCGGGACGGGCGCGGGATCAGGGAGGAGGGGCAGGCTCTGGATCTCCTTGAGGAGGTCTTGGCCCTTGAGATAGGCGTTCTCGTTCCGCAGGAAGCGGACCGTGCCGCGGAGGGCTTCGATCTGGAGATGATAGAGGGTGTGAGTCGTTGGATTGGGTAAGATGGGTCGGGTTCAGACGTACCTGCTCGATGAGCTGCGACGTCTCGAGTGTGCCCTCGACAGCCATGCTCTCCGACTCGATGGGTTGCGCGCCAGAAACTTTATCGGCATTGGATCAGTAAAACAACACAAACCATGAGCACCAAGGGAAGATGACACGCACCCGTCCGCTCATGCCCGCTCACCGCACTCTTCACCTTCGCCAGCTCCGCCTCAAGCGCATCATACTCCGTCTGCAGCTGCTCCATCGCCTCCTCGTACGCCCGCTCCTGCTTGCGGCTCTTCGCGAGCTCGATCTCGAGCTCGACGATCGCGTCCGCCTGGCGCTTGACCGTCTCCATGCGGCGCTCGAGGTGCTCGATCTTGACGCCCGACTCCTGGATGGCGACGTCCTTGCCCTTGAGCGTGCGCATCAGCCCCTGGATCTCCTCCGCCAGCTGCGCAGCCTTGCGCTCCGCCTCGACGTTGATCGCCGTCGACGCCTTGATGTCCGCGATGCGCGCGACCCAGGGTGGTGTGCCCGAGACTGCATAGTTGTTGTGAGCACTCTGTTTAGTAAAGATGATAAGTAGAAGAAGAAAACGCACTCTTCACGACGCTCTCGCTCTCCATAGCAACAGGCAGGAACCCATTGCACTGGTTCGCGAGGTGCGCGATCGCCTCGCCGACGGCCTCCCAGCACGACGCCGTCGGACTGAGATCCTTCGCGACAGTGGCCATCGCGGTCTGCTTCGCGTACGCGAGCACGGCCGCGAGCTGGAAGGGCGCCTTGGCGCTCCGCGCGTCGCTGATGTGCGGGATGACTTGTTGCGCGAGCTGTTGTCAACACCCGGCGTCGTTAGCCTCGTAGCATAAAATGGGACGAAGAGGGGAGGAGGGGAGGGACTGACGTCGATACCGAAGTTGACGAGCTCGGGCACGCCGTTGCTGAGTGCGGTGAGGCGCGGCATGAGACTTGTCTTGAGCGCAGAGTTCTCCGAGATGAGCTCTTCGACACGCTTTGTGAGCTTTCTGCAAGTCGATGTGTGTCAGTAAAGATGTAAATCGTTAGGGGCATGTTAGCGTACCGGGCAAGGACCTTGGCGCCCTTGCACTGCTCGAGCAACGACTGCAGCGGCTCAAACAGCTCCTTCTCGGGATCGAGCTCGCCCATCTCACGCGTAACATCTGCCCGACGATCAACAAGCCGAATCAATCAAAACATAGAAACAAGAGGGGACGCACCATCATCCTTCAACGCCGCCCTCACCGCCGACTTCGTCACCGCCAAACTCGCGCCAAACACATCCAAGTCCATCTCAAAGCTCACCGCGCACCCCAACTCCCGCTCGCCCAAATCATGCTCGAACCCGCCAAAGTACGCCTCCGCGAGGTGGTCAAACTGCGCCTGCATCTTCACCACATCATTCACAAACTCCATCTCCCTAAAGCTGTCCCTTCTCAGCACCTCCAGATGCATATCCAGCCGCTTCTCCAGCGGCGCGATCTCCGCAAACACCCGCCCCGCGCTAAGAAACGACGGCGCATCGCAGCGCCGCAGCACAGCCGCGAAGCGCTTGCACAGTATCGCGAGCGCCGCCGCGCGCCCGCGCATCTCGCATATCCCGACGAGCACCTCGCTCACGCCGCCGGGCGCCGACGGCGCGGTGAGCGACTCGGGGAGCCCGTGCGCGCTCGCGACGACGCTGTTGATCAGGTCGATCTTGGCGCCCATGCGCGCGAAGAAGAGGTACGCGGACGTCGCGTCCGCGTCGCCGCTCTCGACGTACGATTGGGGGAGGTACGGCTGCACGATGCCGAGGAGGGCGCGCGCCTCGCGCGCCTCGAGGCGGCGGAGCTCGAGCTCGATGAGCCGGGCTTGGTTCTTGGATGCGGAGGATTGGAGTTTGAGGTTGAGGGACATGATCGCGGCGGTTTGGGACGCGGCGGAGGCGGATTCTTGTTGGGCGTCTTGCGTTTGGGCGCGGAGCGATTCGAGGTCGCTGGGTGGGAGGGGGTGTTAGCGAGGAGGTGGGAGAGGATGGGGGGAAGGGAAAGGCGAACCTCTGGAGCTGGATGACGAGGTCGCGGAACTGACCGATCGTGTTCTCGAGGTCCTGGCACGCGTCCTCGAGGTTGTTGACCTTGTTGACGTGCTCCCGAATCGCAACGTCCTTCGCCTCTGCCGTAGACCGTTAACCCGACAACAACGAGCAAGAGAAAGACAGCCACGCACCCAGCTCCTCCTGCATCCCCTTCTCCGTCTCAACATGGTTCTCCTCCAACTCATCATTCAGCTCCTTCAGCGCCTCCAGATCCTCAATCGTAATCCGCATCTCCTCAATCTTCTCGCCCAGCATCAGATTGCGCTCGGTCAGCTGCACGAGCATCTCCTCGGCCCCGAGAGCGTCGTCGAGCTGGTCCTTGAGGTCGTCGATCTGGGTCTCGGCGTTGGAGAGCTTGATGAGCGTGGACTCGTACTGCCCCTGCAGGTCGTCGATCGCGACGAGCTCTTTCTCGAGCTCGGCGATGCGGTGCCGCTGGTCGTGTTCGGTTTCTTGGGACATGTCGCGGAGGCTGCGTGGGGGTGAGGGTGGTTAGGGAGGGGAGTTTGAGGAAGGGAGGGGGAGGCGCACCGGATGAGAGCCTCTTTGAGGCGCTCGTTCTGCTTCTCGAGTTGGATATAGGCCAGGGAGGATTTGGCGGACGACTCGCCGCCCTCTTCGCGCTCTTCATCACGGGAGACAATGAGAAGGATGTATCACTAGGGGAGGTATGGTTTCAGCGACGCACCTTCACCCCTACCCTCACCCTCACCCCCACCCTCCACCCCTCCCCCGCCCTCTTTCACATGCTGCAGCTCCACCTCCACCTGCGCCAACCGCTCACTCACCTCCTCCAGCTCCTGCTCCGCCATCTCCGCTCTCTCCTCCGCCACCTCCTTATCCAGCATCGCCATCTCGAGCTGCTCCTGCGCATCGACGTGCCGCCCGTCCGCGAGCCCCGCGAGCTGCTGCGCGTCGGACAGCTCCCGCCGCGTGCTCGTCAGGTCCGTCTGCAGCTGGTTGAGCTTCGCCTGGAGCTTGGGACGCAGCGCGACGAAGGACTCGGCCTCGGACAGGCGCGTCTCGAGCTCGCGCACGTGGCGCGCGTCGTCGGCGCGTTTGGCTTCGAGCACGCGGATTTTGGCGCGGAGTTCTTGTAGTTCGGTGTCGTCGGGTGGGAGGCGCTACATAATACCGTGTTTCCTTTCGTTATAATAGACGAAGAGAAGAGGAAGGTTGGAGAACGTACAGCTGTAATAGGCGACGGTAGGTCTGCGTGGTCGGGCGGCTTCAATGGGGACATGGGTTCCACCGACCCGTTCGTGTTCGCGCTCGAGGGTGGGCGTATAGCGAGCTTCGACGGCTGCGGCGGGGACGTCCCCATTCCGATCTCCGCGCCTGCGCCCGCCAGGGACTGCGGGAACTGGGACGACGTTGCGGTCATAGGCGGAGCAGCGAGGGGTGACGCCGCCCTTCTTGGCTCCGGATCTGGCGGAGGCGAGCGCACCATCGTTCTCGTCGCACTCGCAGACGCCAATGCAGCCGCGGGGCTCTTGATAACAGGACTAAGCGGAGGACCATCGCCCGTCGCGGTGCGCGAGAGGGATTTGCGCGGGAGGTGGACCGAGAGGCGTTTGGCGGACGCTGTGGTGGGTGTCTTGGCGGGGGACGCAGAGGATGTGGGGAAGCGGGGTTTGGGGCCGGGGGAGGAGTTGGCGCTGGTGCGGACGCTGCTTGTGCCTGCTCTGCTGGGTGTGGTGCCGCCGTTCTTGGCGGGGCTGGCGGAGCGCGAGGAGGAGGCGGCGGAGGATGCGAGGGAGGCCTGGCGCGGGAGACCCTGGGTGCTTTGGCGGCGGGCGTGGGCTGCTGCTGCTCCTGGGCGAGCTGAGGTTGTCGGAGCACGCTGTACCATAGTTATTCATGAGCAACTCGTGTTGTCATGCGCACAAGCACTCACAGACGACGCTGGGGTGGCCTGGATGACTTTGACCTGGCTGGGGCGGACAAAGACACCACGGAGGGGCCCGCATTTGAAGTAGGAGGTGCCGTTGATGGAGCCGTCGTTCTTGCCCTTTGCCTGGTCGAGCTCGATGCCAACCCACTTGCCTGGGGAGAAGGACGTGGTGCCGCAGAAGCGAACGACACCCTTGCCTGCAGCGACCTCGACGATTGCGCCAACGGGTGGGTCGGAAGCCATGCTGGCCAACTAGGAGGAGGAGGAGGAGAACGTCGGGCGCGTTGTCGAGGACTGGGTCGACGTGGGCGAGAGCGCGCTGGACCCGTGGACCTGGATATTCCCACGAGATTACCGGGATGTGCTCCGATATCCGAGGCATCGCTCCATACACGCGCTCGTCGACGTCGGCCACAGCGAGCTCGTTCCTTTTTCTCTCTCTTTCACGCTGGGTAGATGCAGAACGGGCGCCATTCTCAAGGTAAGCATCACCCTGGCCTCCTCTCTCACCCACACCGACGCGCATATACCCCAGGGCCTCCATTCATCGACACGGGCTACAGACCACGCCATGACTCCGACGTCGGCTCAGATGGCGCAATGACAGAGCGCGGGTGGGGCTCTGCATCCCTCTCCGATCCCTCGTCCACGCGCACCAACAACGGCAGAGCAGACACGTCCACCGTCCCCGCCGACTCTGCACGCTCAAACTCGGACGACACCCTCCCCGACACTGGCCCCATCATCCCCTACTGGTCCGCCAAACGCCATCTCACATGCGGCAACCCGTCCTTTCGCCCCTCATACGTCAGCAAGCTCTTTCCCTGGCGCGGCTCAGCTCCTGGAAAACTCAAGACCGCCAACGCAGCCTTGGTGCTGTGTCTGAACATCGACGTTGACCCGCCCGACGTCATCAAGACCACCCCGTGCGCCGTCCTCGAGTGTTGGGTCGACCCACACACTCTTCCATCCCACAAGGCCCTCGAAGCCATCGGCACCAACCTCCAGCACCAGTTCGAAGGCCTCTCCCTCAAAATCCCGTACAAACCCATCCTCGACCCCTCCTACGAGGACCTCAGGCGCTTCTGCATGACCCTCCGCAAGCAAGCCAAGGACGACACCGTCTGCTTCTACTACAACGGCCACGGCGTGCCCAGGCCCACCCCGAGCGGTGAGCTTTGGTGCTTCAACAGGAACTACACCCAATACATCCCCGTCTCCCTCATGGAGATCCAGGGCTGGCTCGGCTCCCCCGGCGTGTACATCTGGGACTGCTCCGCCGCGGGGCACTTGCTCACCAACTTCAACACGTTCGCCGAACGGCGCGACCAGGACGCCTCGATGGCCCGCGGCGGGCACCCCGAGGGCATGCAGCCGTACATGAACTCACTTCAGCTCGCCGCCTGCGCTGCGAACGAGCAGCTGCCCTCCTGCCCCGAGTTACCCGCGGACATATTCACGTCATGCTTAACCTCGCCGATCGATATCGCGCTGAGATACTTCATCATGACACACCAGCTCCCGAACAACATCACGCCCGACATGGTCATGCAGCTCCCCGGCGACCTCAAGGACCGGCGCACGCCGCTCGGCGAACTCAACTGGATCTTCACCGCCATCACAGACACGATCGCGTGGACGACCTTCCCGCGCGACATCTTCACGCGCCTGTACCGCTCGGACCTCCTCATCGCCTCCCTCTTCCGCAACTTCCTCCTCGCAGAACGCATCATGAAGAACTACCACTGCACCCCGCACACGCACCCGGCCCTCCCGTCCACGAACACGCACCAGCTCTGGGCAGCATGGGACCTCGCCGTGGACACCTGCCTCCGCCAGCTGCCCGACCTGCTCGAAAAGAACACAGTCTCGATCCCGCCCAATCCGAATCCAGGCCAGACGCGGCCGCGCAAGGGGCAGCAGCAGGCACAGGAGCCTGTGCAGACGGTCGCGCCCGAGAAGCAGTACCAATACGTCCCGAGCCGCTTCTTCACGGACCAGCTCACCGCGTTCGAGGTGTGGATATCGCGCGGCGGGTCCGCGCTCACGAAGCGCGGGCCGATGTCGCTGCCCGTGTCTAGCGACGGGCTCGACGGTGTCAACAGCGACGCTGCCGCGGCCGCGGCCGCCATTACCTCGCCATCGCTGCTCGCGTCCTCCCTCTCCCAGATGTCGACGAGGAGCACGAGCACCGGCATGTCCACGGGCCCAGGACCGAACAGCGAACACGACCTCGTCCCGCGCAAACCGCCCGACCAGCTCCCGATCGTCCTCCAAGTCCTCCTCTCACAGCCCCACCGCCTGCGCGCCCTCATCCTCCTCTCGCAGTTCGTCGACCTCGGGCCGTGGGCCGTGAACCTCGTGCTCACGATCGGCATCTTCCCGTACATCTCCAAGCTGCTGCAGGCCGCCGGGCAGGATCTCCGGCCCGTCCTCATCTTCATCTGGGCGCGGATTCTGGCGGTGGACCCGAGTGTGCAGGTCGACCTGCATAATTCGGGCGGGTACAAGTACTTCGCGAACGTGCTTGCTGTGCCGGACGACGGCGGCCCGCCGCTCCCGCCCGGCATCGGCGTCCTGCCCCCTCCCCCCGCCGTCTCCGTCGCGTCTGCGACTCCCGGTGCGCCGCGCGTCGCGCCCGCGCTGCCGAATTCGTCCGAGCACAAGGCGATGTGCGCGTTCATCCTCGCGGCCGTCGCGCGCTCGTTCCCGAACGGCCAGTTCGCGTGCCTGCGCGAGCGCGTGTTCGACAACTGCGTGGACTACCTCGACGAGGGCGATTTCTTGCTGAGACAGTGGTCCGCGCTGTGTATTGCGCAGGTCTGGGACGCGAACAACGATGTGAAGGTGTATGGCGTGGACCGCGGGACGCAGGATAAGCTGATTTTGCTGCTGAGCGACGATAGCCCGGAGGTGAGGGCCGCGGCGCTGTATGCGCTGGGGACGTTTATGGGCGCGAGTGGTGGGGCTGCGGACGCTAGTGGTTCTGCGTCCCCGCAGAAAGACAGGGAGAGGGTGGGGGGCGGGGGGAGCGGGACGCAGAATCAGCTGGACGAGAGGATTCATTTCAGGATGGAGGTTGCGGTCGCGACGGGTGCTGCGCTCGCGGTGAAGGACGATGCGAGCCCGATGGTGCGCAAGGAGCTGCTCGTGCTGGTGAGCTGCCTCGTGAAGGAGTGGCGCGGGTATTTCGTGATCTGCGCGTGGATCTACTGGGAGGAGGACCGCAAGTGGCGCGGGGAGTACGCCGCCAACCTCGCTCTGGGCACCCCAGCTACCGGACACGGGGCCGCTGAACGACCGGGAGGGGCAGGGGCAGGGGCAGGGGGCCACAGGGAGGAGGAGATGACGGCGTACGCGGTGGCGGAGTGGCTCGACGTGTTCGGCGACGACGAGGACGCGCGCGAGGAGAACCGCGTCGTGCTCAGCTCGTTCTTCACCATCTACGTCATGCTCCTCGAGATGACGATCGACCCGTACCAGGAGGTGCAGGCGCTCGCGCAGACCATCGCGGACTACATCATGGCGCTCCTCCTCGAGTCGCCGTTCCAGAAGCTCGCGTGCACGAGCCTCGACACGCCGCCGGTGCCCGTCGTCGATGGGCGGTCGCTCTCGGGCGGGTCGGGTGGTCTGGGCGCGGGTGCGGTCAATGGAGCGGGCGGGCATACGAGGGTCAGCTCGGCGCACGGCTCGCCGCTCCTCGGTAGCGCACAACCTGCGTACGTCATCCAAGGCCAGGGCCCTGGCCCCGGCGGCGCTCCAGCGTCGGCCATCGGCCCCCGGCCAGGTCTCAACCGCGCGGACTCGATGACGAACACGCTCTCGAGCGCAGCGGGAGGCGCTATCCGGCGCACGTCGTCCTTTGCGACCGCGCTCAGGAACCTTGCTGGTGGGATTGCGTTCCCGACGGCTGGTGGAGGCGTCGGCGAGGAGCCGCGCACACCGACGTCGCCTGCGTCGACCGCGTCGGGCTTTGGGTGGGGCGGCCATGGGCATGGCGCACCGGGGCTGAGCACGCTGAGGTCGGACAGCACGGGCAATCTCTCCGGGTCTGGGTTCGGGAGTGCCTCGGGGGGAGTGCAGAATCCCTACCTCAGTCGACCGCCGTCGCCGAACCTGAACTTGGCGAAGTACGTATCGCCGTACGCGAGGGCGCCTGCCAACCCTCCCTCTTCCAATTCCGCCTCCGCCTCCACCTCCGCCGCTGCGACAGCGTCCTCGTCGAACGGGCACCTCCAACCGCATGCTTATGCCCATGGCCACGGGCGCCACGGGCACCACGGACATGCGTACGGACACCACGGACACGGACACGGACACGGCTACACCCACGCGCGCCGACCGAACTCGCCCGCGGGCTCGAGCGAGGGCTCCGCCTCGGCGGACTTCCTCCCGTCGCACGTGATGGAGGCGCTCATGGAGGAGGACCTCTTGCGGCTGCGCGCGCGCCGCCGCGGGACGGCGTCGGCCCCAGGTCAGAGCCAGGGGCGCGGGCGGCAGGGCGGGAACGCTGCTGCGGGCGGGAGCGCGAATGGCGCTGCGGGTGCTAGTGCGAATGGAGGGCACGGAGGGCATGGAGGTGGAGGAGTGCATGGGGGCTTGAATAGCCCGGTCGAGAGCACGTTCTCGATTGATTCGGCGGCGAGCAGTGTGCTTGCGCTTACGGGCGGGTGCGGGACGGGTGAGGGGCTGAGGGACGCGTTGCCGCTGAAGAGCTCGTTTTTTGAGTGGTGTTGCGAGTATTTCAAGGAGCCGCAGATGCGCGTGAGTGGTTTTCTTTGGTTTCTTTGCTGTCTTCTTTCTGTGTCCACGTCTTGTCGGTGCGGCGTGGGATTGACATGGAGTTGCAAGGAAGGCGACGGGGGATGATGAACTGACACCGAGTTTCGTAGCAAACGGAGGCGGACGAGCCGGGGAGCGTGCAGTACAACTACCAGGTGTGGCGGCAGCAGCGGAACGAGCAGGTGACGAATGAGACGCAGGCACAAGCTGCGATCGCAGGTCAGTCCTCTTTCCTTTTCCCCCGCGCACAGGAAGAAAAGTGGAAGATAACCGGACGCAATGCGCAGAGACCTCGCGGTGGGACCGCCCCGTCGCAACGTTCAACGTGCAGTGCCAGCCCTTGCTGATGGCGTTCCACTCGTATGACCCGCATCTGGTGGTTGCGAATGAGAGCGACATGGTCGGGTGCGTTGTTTAAGTACATGAGCATCGTTTGAGTTTCGGCTGACTGACGGCGGTGGGCGAAACGTCAATGCAGTGTCTGGGACTGGTCGCAGCGCCGACGCCTGAGCTACTTCTGCAATGGCAATCCAAAGGGGTCGAGCATCACGTCATTGCATCTCATCAACCAGGACGTCGGGGGGATCATTATGACTGGCACTTGTACGCCCTCTCCCGTTATCGTTGATTGATATTATTGACGGGGGTTTCAGCCGACGGCATCATTCGCCTGTTCCGCAACTACGAGCCGCTGCTGGACCAGGGCCCGCTGCAGACCGTCAGCGCATTCCGCGCGATCGGCGACCCCGTGCAGGTGCGCAACGGGTCGGGGCTCGTGGTTGACTGGAAGCAGTCGGGCGGGACGCTTCTTGCGGGTGGGGACTCGAGGATTATCCGGGTGTGGGACGCGCACACGGAGACGCAGGTGCTTGTGAGTTGCCCCCCTCTCTTCCTCCTTCCGCCAAACGCCGAACGACGGGGTGTTAACGACATCACGACTTAGGATCTGGAGACGAACCACGACTCGTCGGTGACGACGATGATGTCCGGGTACGGGTCATCGTCGACGTTCCTTACTGGCTTCGCCGATGGTGCTGTGAAGGTGTTCGACCGCCGGCTGGAGGAGGAAGATGCGGTCGTGCGGTCGTACAGCCGGCATCACTCTTGGGTGCAGCGCGTGCTGTACCATCCGAGATTCGGGAGCCAGTTTTTCTCCGCGAGGTGCGTCGCTCTCGTTCTTCCCGGGTTTTGAAGTAGGCGTTATGGCTAACGGGTGAACGGCGGTGGTGGTGATATAGCTTGGACGGCGAAGTACACCTGTGGGACATCCGCGGCGCCGACCGCCCGCTGCAGACGTGGGACATGCACCAGAGCGGGCTCGCGTCGTTCGATCTGCACCCGCTCGCCGGTGTATTCGCAACGTACGTCCTTCACCCTTCCCATCCCGCTCGCCCCGCTCACACAAGTCGCTCATCCCGCGCATGTGTTTTCGCTCGTGGCCCCACCAGCTCCTCGGCGCTCCTCGCGTCCAGCTGGCGGCAGCAGAAGATCAAGATCCACTCCGTCTCGGAGCCGAGCCCGCTCTCGACGGTCAACGTCCCGACGGGTCTGCCGATGTTCACGCCGCGCCACCCGTCGCCGTTTATCCCGCGCTCGACGGCGCTTGTGTTCCACCCGACTGAGATGCTGTTTGGCGTTGGGCAGCCGGATGGGAGCGGTGAGTGCATCTTTTTGGCGTGTTTTGGTTAGGTGTGGGTTTTGCTGACTGTGTTGGGGTGATTCTTAGTGAGGATTACTGGGTGCAAGCTGGGCTGAAGATGCGATGGATAAGAGAGGGTGGATGGTATTTGTTTCGTAGTTTTGAAACTCGCGCGTTTTTTGCTGTTGCTGTTCTTGCGATATCATTATAATGATGTAGAGCGTTTGAGCTCGCATCGCTCGCATTGTGTACTATAGAGTGTTTCGCTGCTTAATGTTTCACTTTACTTCTAGAGCTTGCTCAAATCCTCTCGTGTGTAATGGACGCATTCATCAACATTTCGTCGATTTTCGATTTCATAGCGAGTGGCACCGAGATGGCTGATTGGAAGCCAATCAAGCCGGCGGCAAGATTAGATCTGACATCACTCTATAAATTCGCCTAACGCGCGAGTGGCACCGTCCATCCACACATCCTTATACACCTCCATGTCCCCTCCTCCTTCCAGGTTCGTTCTCCTCGCAGCGGGATCCAACGCGCGCGGCCAGCTCGCGAGCAGTACATACGAGGACGCGCATGCGTTCCAGCCGTGTCTGTTTCTTGATGACGATGATGATGCTGGGGCTACAGCGGACAGCGCGCTCCCGAGTCGCGTGCGGGGAATCAGGAAGCTCGTGTGTGGTGCGAATCATGCGCTGCTGATGCTCGAGGTGGAGGTGGACGCGTCCAGTGGCAATGTATCTATGTCTATATCTGGGACAGGTGCTGCGTCTACGCTGGAGGCTACGTCTACTACGCCTACATCTATATCTACGTCTACAGCAAACGCAGCTGGCTCTACACCTGCACCCGCACGCGCTCCCCGCCGCACCTGCATCGAGCTCTGGGGCAGCGGCGACGGCTCGCGCGGACAGCTCGGCGCCGCATACCAGGCCGCACAGGCGCGCGGCGCGTTCGCGACGACGTCCGTGTTCCGCAGACTCGAGGTTGTAGTGCCTGGTGCGAGTGCGAGTGCGGCGGGGGCGCTCGAGCTCGAGGTGAGGGATGTCGCTGCGGCGTGGGAGACGTCGTATGTCGTTTTTGGTGGTGGCGGTGGATCGGATTCTGATGTGGTTGTTGCGATGGGGTCGGATGAGTTTGGTGCGCTTGGTGGCGGCGGCGGCGGCGGCGGCGGGGAGGACGGGGAGGTGGTTGTGCCGATTGAGCGTGTGCTGCCTAGGTCGAAGACTTCGACCGCAAGCGCGGATGGTCAGGTCGTTCGTGTTCTCTCCATCGCGGCGTCCTTTCGCCATGTATTTGCGCATATCTCTTTGGACAACTCCAACCACAACAACTCCAACAACAACTTCAACGGCACAAACTCCAACAGCACATACCTCCTAAGCTGGGGCGCCCACCGCCACGGCCAACGCGGCCCCAAAGCCTCCTCCCCCCTCCCCACACTCACACCCTCGCACGGCACCACCCAGATTGCGCTCGGCAAAGAGCACACCTTAATCCTCGACGAGTCCGGCCGTGTCTCAGGCCTCGGCTCAGACCGCAAGGGCCAGCTCCGGGGGTTGGAGAGGGTCGAGGGCGCAGTACACGTCGGGTGCACGTGGGCGGGCACGTTCTGCGTCGTGAGGAGGTACGGCGTCGCGCAGGTGTTCGCCGCGGGAGATAACGCGAGGGGGCAGCTTGGGCGTGGAGCGGCGGGGCCGGGGCCGGGGTACGTGGGGTTTCCGTTTAGCCATGAGAGTAAGGGGCTGGAGGGGCTGGCGTGTGGGAGTGAGCATGTTTTGGCGCTTTTTGCTGCTAGAACTGAGGGTGAGGGTGAGGGTGAGGAGGGAGATGGGGACAGGGAGGTGTGGGGGTGGGGGTGGAACGAGCATGGGAATCTTGGGTTGGGGCATACCGAGGATGTGCTGAGGCCGACTCGGATTTGGCCTCCTCCTGACCCATCTTCTGCGACGGCGGAGATGGTGTGCGGGAGGGTGCTTAACGTGTGGGGAGGATGTGGAACCAGTTGGATTGCGGTACAGAAGTTATAGGGATTTAGTGTACAAAGAGCTGGTACAGGATTTAGAGGCGCATATACCCACGACCATTTATCAAAAATCTAACTCGCGAGAGGGGAAGGAGACAGAGAGGACACCAGGAAACGTCTGCAGACACGAGCCAAGAGAACAGGTAGAGAGTACAGAGCCGCATATAGCCAAAGCCATCGTCAGGTTTTGTCGTCGTCGAGCAAGTCCATGTCTTCGTGAATCTGTCGAACGGTCGTTCCCTTTAGGTTAGCAAGCTATCCATGTCAGCGTCTGATGCCTTGTTTGCGTCATGAATGAAGTAAAATACCCTGCCTATCAAGATCTAATGGATGTCATGTCGGGAAGGATAAACGTTAGACGGAAGAAATAGCCCGACGGGAGCCTGCGAACCTGGGCAGCGTCCTTGGCCTCGTTGTAGCGGTGCAGGAGCTGGATATGATTGGCCACTATCCTCTCAGCGTTCTTGTTTTCCCTGGAGGGCACAGTCAGCCGCAGCACCGCTATGAATAAGTGCAGCCGTGTGTGAACCCTAGTGTTTTCTGCAGCTCGTTGACCTCGGCTTGTAGCTGTTCGAGGCGGTTCTTCTGGGCCTTTCAAGGGGTTTAGCAGCGCATATGGTGGTGAAGGAGTACTTACCTCTTCTGAGAATGAAGCGTACATGGTGGAGAGAGTGGAAGTTGTTTACGCGTTGTTTGCAGCCGACGGAAGTGGTTGCCCCTGACTCGGCAGCCGTTGCCGCATCGCCGTCACTCCCATCCACACCTGTGCAAGACCACACTTTCTCTCTTCCCCATGCCCTCCTCCTTGTAACATTCTCTTTCGTCCGGTCAACAGGCAGAACGATGCCTGGCTTGTTTCTGCGGCAGTTCACTGCCCTCTTCTGGAAGAACTGGATCATCCTCAGCAAACATCCATTCGTAAGCAGCTTTCTCTCCGTCTCTATGCTTTCTCAAGTCCATATTCTCGTCACAGCTCAACGTAGTGCGATGCTTTATCCTTCCGGTCGCCTATGGTATCTTTCTCGCTGTCGCCCAGACCTTTCTCATGAAGCCCAATAACGTGCGTCCATACCTCCTACCCCACATCTTAATTCCTAACGAATACATTCTCAGTACGGCATCGGCTCGCCCGTCCCCGTCTACAACTTCACCACTCAATTCGACGGCTCCCTCTCCCTCATATGGGCAGACGCAACCTCCAGCTCGAGCTCGCCCTCCGCGAGCGACATCATGTCCTACATCACACGCGACTTCAGCCCCGCCCAGCTGCGCGCCGTGCGACAGGTCGCCGACCCGTCCGACATCCCCGCGCAGTGCCCGCAGAACTTCAACCTCTACTCGGAGTGCTACGCCGCGCTCGCGTTCAACTACCTCCCGACGTCGCCCACGGACACGAATGCGGTGAACTACACGATCAGCGCGGATGGTGGGCTGGTGTATGTGAATGTGTATAGCCATACGAGCGATTTTGAGGAGAGGATTTTGCCGCTGCAGTGGGCGGTTGATCAGGTGCGTGGTTGTTTTTTTGTTTGTGTTCCAGTCTGATGGTTTGTATCATAGGCTCTGATTGAGCTGCGGTCGGGGCAGTCGGTGCTGACGCCTCTTGAGTGGCCGTATACGCAGGAGACGAATGAGCAGCAGGCGACCAACACCCGCCTTAGTGAGTGTTGCTGCTATAGGAACCAATGAAGCCCGCTAACACGACTTTTTGCTCAGGTTACATACGCGGTTTACGAACCCTCCTTGTACTCGCATTGTAAGTAACGATGTCTGAGGGCACCGCAGTCAACTCATCACTTGGTCGCCAGATTTATTTGCTACATCGGTATTTCATACCAACTCCCCGGAGCATTCACCGGCGAGCGTGCAAACCTCATCACCAGCCACATGAAAGCAATGGGCCTCATGGACTCTGCCCGAATCCTGTACGTCTTCCCCACTTCCCCTCCCTGCAATCCCAGAGCTCACCCATCTCCACCAGATCATGGCACATCTCCCTCTCCCTCGCGTACCTCCCCGCATGGATCATCGTCTCCATCATCTGGCACTACCGCATCTTCAGCAAAACCAACGTCGGGCTCGTCATCGCCGTGCACCTCCTGCTCGGGCTCTCGCTCGCGTCCTACACCTTCTTCGTCGCCGCGCCGTTCGGGCGCAGCCCGCAGCTCGCCGCCGTCGTGTCCACGTTCGCCGCGATCGTGCTCGCGATCCTCGCGCTCGTGTTCTACACCGCGAGCACGGGCGCCGCGTTCGTGTTCACGCTCGTGTTCCCGCCTGGGTTCTATATTTTTGCGATCAGGGCGATGTGTGGATGGGAGAACCATCTGATGGCGACGGATGTGACGAGGCCGGATCCGGATACGGGGGTGACGCTGTTGCCGATTCTTGTTGCTGCTATTGTGCGTTATCTTCTTCTTGTTGATATGAGGTCTTTGTGTGATAATGCCGCCCCTCGTAGATCGACATATTCCTGTGGCCGTGGCTCGGCGCGCTCTGGGAACGCAGGCTGTACGACGCGCGCAACCCCAAGCTCAGCCTGTGGGCGCGTCTACGGGGGCGGAAGAAGGAAGAGGCACCGCCCCACCCCGACGGTGTCGCCATCTCGATTCGCAACCTCAGCAAGGTCTTCCCTGCGTCGATGTTCAAACGCGAGAAGGGGTCCGTTACTGCGGTGAGCGATCTGTCGCTTGACATTCCCAAGTCGGGAATATTTGTATTGTTGGGTTCCAACGGGTGTGTACCTCACCTTCCTCTCGCTTGCATACGTGCATCATACTAACGAAGCATGTGACAGCGCCGGCAAATCCACCTCACTCTCCATCATCGCCAACCTCCTCGGGCGCAGCGCGGGCTCCATCACGTTCGAAGGCGGGCGCGACGCGGCCCCGCGCGGGACACTCGGAATTGTCCCGCAGAAGAACGTGCTCTTCCCCGAGCTCACGTGCTACCAGACCCTGCGCGTCTGGCGCGCCATCAAGCACTCCGATTCGCCATCCAGCGCATCTATGTCTGAAACAGCAGCAGCAACAGACGAGCACGCCGACGACTACGCGCAGCTCCTCCGGGACTGCGACCTCGGGTCCAAGATCCACGCGAACGCATCGACGCTGAGCGGCGGGCAGAAGCGCAAGCTGCAGCTGGCCGTCGGGCTCGTCGGCGGGTCGCGCATCGTGCTCGTGGACGAGTGCACGTCCGGCGTGGACCCGCTCTCGCGCCGGGCGCTGTGGCGCACGCTAACGAGCGTAAGGCACGAGCGCACGGTGGTGTTTACGACGCATTTTCTGGACGAGGCGGATTTGTTGGCGGATAGGATCGCGATTCTGCAGGCGCCGGGGAGGCTTGTGGCGGAGGGGACGCCGGTTGCGCTGAAGTCGGGGTTGGGGAGGGGCTATAGTGTGCAGGTGGCGTTTGAGAGCGCGGGTGACGCTGGAGCTGCCGAGGAGGAGAAGGGAGGGGATGCGAGGCCGCGTGATGTCCTCGCGCGGGTACGTGGGATTGCGCCTGGTGCGGTGCTGTATCAGCCGGCGCCGACGCAGGCGTCGTACCAGCTCCAGTCGAAGGACTCGAATGTCGTCGAGGTGGTGCTCCAGATGCTGGAGGTGGAGAAGACGCGCTACGGTATTTCGAGCTACGACGTGCAGGGCACGACGATTGAGGATATCTTCCTCGATCTCATGGACCAGCAGGGAAAACGCGACTCGACCAGCGAAAAGTCGCTCACCCAGTCCACGTCGGACACAGACGTCGGCTCCGTGCCTCCTACGAACGCAGCGCCCAAGGTCGAAGCCAGCGCAGCGATGGCGCTCACCGACGGCCGCCCGCGCAGCACACTCAGCCAGGCGCTCACGATCTTCCACAAACGCACGCTCGTCGCGCGGCGCTCGTGGCTCACCCCGCTGCTCGTCATCCTCGTCGCCGTATGTGGCTCGTGCATCCCCCTCTTCTACCTCTCGGGGCAGGAGCCCTCCTGCACACTGCAATTCAAGAACGAAACCGTCATCCCGCTCTTCGTCCCGCTCTCCCCCCTCCGCGCGTTTGCATTCGGCAGCGCCGCAGAGGTGCTCACCGCCCCGCCCGGAATCGCGAGCACCCTCGGACACGCGACGGAGTTCCTGCCGGTAAGAAACATCGCAGACAACGCGTCGTTCGTGCAGACGATCCAAGACTCCTACATGAACATCACGAACGGCGGCGTGTCGATCGACACCACGACGGGCGCGGCGCTCGTCGCGTGGGAGGCGAGCCCGCCGGGCCTGATGGGGCCCACGATGATGAACCTCGCGACGAACGTGCTGTACAACCGCGCGCTGAACGCGAGCGGGGACACGGCGGGCACGCCGAGCGTTATTATGGCGAACTATGCGGCGTTTCCGCCGATTGCGGCGGGCACGCTCGTGGATCTGAAGTGGATCGCGTTCTTTGGGGCTGCGATGGTGCGTCTTCCCAGGCTCGAAACGCAAAGCGGCTGACAGTTTGTATGCGGTGCAGGCTGTCTTCCCGGCCTTCTTCTCGCTCTACGTCTCGCGCGAGCGGCGCTCGGCCGTGCAGGCGATGCAGCTGTCCAACGGGCTCTCAGACCCCATCGGGCTGTGGCTCGGCCACTTGCTGTTCGACACGATTTTCTCGGTTGTGCTCGCGACGGTCATTATTATCATCTTTGCGAGCGTGTCGAATCAGTTCCACGGGCTTGGGTTCTTCGTGAGTGACTTTTCGATGGGTATTTTCGTCAATAAAAGAATAAAATGCTAATCGATGTGGTGACAGTGGGTGATTTTGGTGCTGTATGGGATCACGGGCGCGCTGTTTGCGTACTGCGTGTCATTGATGATGACGTCGCCGCTGGCTTCGTTTGCTGCTGTTGCGGGTTACCAGATCATCATGTACATTGTGAGTGCGGACGAACTGTAGCTGGTACTTGTTCGCTCAAGATGAATGCTTTTTCAGCTCTACCTTGCCGGATATCTGCTGACCCTCACGTACGCGAAAACATCATCGGCGAACCAAATAATCACGATCATTCGTGCGTATCATCTGATTCAATCAATGGACAGCGATAGTTAACCCTCTGCGTAGATTTCACTCTTTCGATCCTTTCCCCAGTAGCGAGCGTCATGCGTGCTGCCTTCGTTTCCGTTAATCTCTTTTCGCTCCTCTGCAACGGAACCACCCCCGTGACGACACACTCCCTCGGTGTCATCATGCGCTACGGCGGGCCCATCCTGTATCTTATCATCTACTCCTTCGTCCTCATGGGCATCCTCGTCTGGGTCGACTCTGGCTCGCTCGTCCCGCGGCGCTTCCTCAAGACCTCGCGACAACAAGCCCGGCTCGACGCACAGCAGGCCGCGCGCGAGGCGAACCACGCGGACGTTGCTGCTGAGGCGCGGGCCGTGGAGACGTCAGACGACTCGCTGCGGCTGCTGCATGTGAGCAAGGAGTTCGACGGGCGCCGGGTCGTGGACGACGTGACGTTCGGTGTGGGGAGGGACACGATCTTCGCGATGTTGGGTCCGAACGGGGCGGGGAAGACGACGACGTTCAACATGATCCGTGCGTCCACCCCATTTTTGCTCATTAGTCGCGATACAGAAGCGCTTATGATGTGCTTGCAGGCGGCGACATTGTTCCCGACGCAGGCGACGTCCTCATCAAAGGCGTCTCCGTCGTGAACCATCCGCGCAGCGCGCGTCTCGCGCTCGGCGTCTGCCCGCAGTTCACAGCGATCGACGCGCAGCTCACCGTGCGCGAGCACCTTGCCGTCTACGGCCGGCTCAAGGGCCTCGTGCGTGGGCCAGAGCTGAACGAGAACGTGAGCGCGCTGATGCGCGCGACGGCGCTCGAGCAATATGCAGACCGACTTGCGAGTGAGCTGTCCGGTGGGAACCAGCGCAAGCTCGCGCTCGCGATTGCGCTGATCGGCAACCCGTCGGTGGTGCTGATCGATGAGTTCTCGACGGGCATCGACGCGAAGATCAAGCGCGAGATGTGGGGCACGTTGAGGGCGGTTGCGGTTGGGAAGGCTGTTGTGATTACTACTCGTGAGTCTACTGCAATAAACCAGATGGTCGAGAAGCTGAACTCGTCTCTCCAGACTCGATGGAGGAGGCTTCGGCGCTTGCCAACAAGGTGGGCATCATCTCGAAGCAGATCCTCGCTGTAGGCACGACAGAGAGCCTCGCGAGCCGGTACGCGACATACCAAGTCCACTTCTCGTGCCCGACGCGGGAAGACGTCCTCCGTGCGCAGAAGCTCATGGCGCGTATACCCGGCGCGCGACTGGCTGACGATGTTGCCACGCGCTTCGAGGTGCCGATACACCAGGACCCGGCAGAGGCGCAGCAGTTATCCTCGGAAACCCAGGATGGACAGGAAGGTTCAGAAGCCACCGCCAGCAGAGGATCGCTGTCGCTAGCGCAGCTGTTCCATATCCTGGCAGAGCAGGGCGACTTCTCCGAGTACACAGTGGAGAAGGCGACGCTGGAGAGCGTGTTCTTGAAGGTTATCAGGGAGAACAACGTGCTAGAGGAGAACGAGGGAAGAGGGCCCGAACGGCAGCGGAGGTGGAAGTTTTGGTGACATATAGAGGTTTAACCTAGATATAAACTTATTATTCGCGTTGGGTTAGATGGACTATGTTATCATATCATGTGTAGCTTACTTTGTTGGCACCCATCAATCTGTGCTCGCGAATGGGCAAGGTCGAGGTCAAGCGGGAGATGAAAGGGTTCCTGGTAAATCAACACGCAACTGAAAAGCTGGCCACTACCATTGTGGGCGAGTTCTGGCAAAGACAAGGAGTATCGCCGTAATATGTATTTTCTGACTCCGTTATATCGATTATTTACCTCGCTTCAGCGCATCGACGCATCCATCGAGGAATCCTTCGCAAGAAGTGAGATATTACTTTATTTCAACAACACAACCTCCTCCCTCGGCCCTGCCTCTCCCCACATCCGATCCAACACAACACCAAGCCCTATCCGCTCTCTCGCAACCCCCTCCTCCGCAGCAGGAGACAAGGCCATCACGTAAAGAAAGAACCACGCGTACTTGTCCCTCCCACCTTCAGGATCCCACAGCGATTTCTTCACATATTCGCTCCTCCCCACGACAGCCAAATCTACCTCTGCCCTCTGAGGATGTGTGCACGGGAGAATCACACGGCCAATCCTGGCAAGGCTTGCGTCGCGGTCAAGCTCGCCGTCGTTGCGGGAGATAATATGCGCAACAAAGAAACAGTGTTCTTTCCCTGCAACTGTGATACCCTCCGCGTGTGGCTCTTCTTCCCGCTCGAGAAGCACCCGTGCAACAGTTGTGCGGAACACTAGCGTGCCCGCGCAAATGCCTCGCTCAGACCAAAGTTTCGGCGACGGAAGATGAGGCGCATCTTCGTTCGTTGGCGGTGTGTACACTGGGTTCGGAGAATCAGGGCTGATAGCGCGGCGCGGGGTTGGCGCCACATTCAGTCGCCTTAGCTTCAGCCTCCCATTGGTGGTGCCGGGGTTTATCGAGGTATCGCCGTTGCCTTCAACGATAAACCAAGCACGCACCATGGACTCCCCGACATCGGCCCCGCCAATAGGATCGTATATTGATTCGTACTGCTGATCATGGGCATAGCGTACCTCGCCCTTCCACGCCGCCCAGCTCCAGCTCGGCGCTACGACGCGCTTCTGCCCCCCGACATCGACCATCCGCCGCTCGAGCGCCGCATCTGGTCTAGGCTGCCACAAGAGCATCGCATCGAGCTTCCTGACAGGAAGCCCATACACATACGCCTTGGCCGGATCGACAACGCCATCCTCACCCGCATCTACAAGCCCGAACGCCCGCGCAAGCATATTCGCAAGCCCCGCAAACGCAGGCACCGCGTCGGACTGGTTGGTCAGGCCCCTCGTCGCGTAGGCCTCCACAGCACTCATGTACACGCCCGTCCACTGCGGGTACGTTTCGTCCCAGCGCCGGCGGAGGCGCGGGAGCTGCGCGGTACGGTAGTCGCTCAGCGGAGTTCGGCGTTTCGAAAACGTCGCCCATTGATCCTGTGGGACGGAGTTCATCTGTGACTTACGCCATCCAAACGTAAGGCCGAATCTGGAGAGGAATGGAGATCTGACTTTGGGTGCCCGGGACGAAGCTGACGGAAGTGGGTTGGGGATAGGCTCTGTGACGACGTCCTCGGCGAACGTGTCCTCGGAGCACTGGAAGAACACCTGGTGTGGCGTAAAGACCAGCCGCCGTGTGGCGAGCATCATCTCCTGGTAAGTCCAGCCACGCGTGTTCCACATCGTTTGCGATATCGCTTCGGGAGCCCTTGGTAGGGGTGCACAGAGTCTGAGACCTTTCACGACACGCACTCTCTGCGTGGCCTCGCGCGTGCCTGGTCCCAGACCGGGAAAGGGCGCAGCTGCTGATGACGCAACGCCAGATGAGGCAGAAGAAGTGGCGAAAATGGTGATGATAGCACGCAGGAAGATTTGGTCCATAACGTTAATTTGGACCTTTTTGTCGTCCCGAGAGTCCTGAGCAATACAGAGGGCGTCAATCCACAAGTATCGTTCCCCGAGTGCGCAGGTGACGAGAATGGCATCAGTGATGGCCGCCGGCAGCTTCTCGAGGGGTACACCACCCTCTTTGTTCATCCGTTCTTCCAGGTTGGCCGAAGTCGTCCAGTACGAGTTGTGGTCGCATACCTCCGGCGAGCCCCACACGTAACTCAAAGCGAGGTATCGACTGTCTGCAGACGCTGATGCAGGGACGAGCATCATCTTCTGCACATCCAACACCCTCACTTCCTTCGGCAGATCCTCCCGCAACGCTGGCGCCGCCCACCACGGCGCCCTACACCGTTCTCCGTGCTGTTCCTCGCATACCCTTAACCACGTCCTGACCAACTCTATATCCACGACATCGCCCATCCTCCGCCCATGCAGCACCCGGTCCCGCCCAAAGCGATGTGCGTCCTCCTGCATCAGCTGCACCTCCAGAATGAGCGCCTTTCCCGCTTTATTAGCCGCACGTAGAATCTCCGCTGGTCTTTCCGAGGGCAGGACATATATCCGGTGCCCGACGCGGCGCTCCTCCTCTGTGCTATGGGGCACAGGGCCCAACACGTGTCCACACGTGAGCGCAAACAGGGATAATGTGATGCCTGAAAGGTCGACGCTCGCGCATCCCGGGGTGTCGAGGAGCCATAGTCGGCGGACGAGGTCGCCTACGAGCGAGCAGAACGCGCAGGTCCCCGGCGAGGCGGCGCGTCCGAGGACGTTGGTGAGCAGGTCATATGGGACGGGGTTGTGCTGCGAGACACCGTCGCGGAGGATGGCGTGAAAATCTAGATTGGAGCAGATGTCGCATAAAGGGCCGGACTCAGGAGGCTGAGATGCTGTTGGTGTTTGGTGGTTGTTTGGGTCGTTCACATGTATCGATGGGGACTGGGAGCTTTCAGAGGTCGTTAGAGTATCTCCCGCGCAGAGCACGCGTCCAATGCTTTGCGCGATCCGTCGCATGTGTAGTTGAAGAGTTCCACGATGATAAAGTGGGAGGAGAGACGCGTTGTATGCACTGCCTGATGAAGTGTAAGCGCCTCGAACAGAGAGAAAAAGGAAAGCGAAACCTGTGCGCCAAGTGTACAAAGGGATTGGGCCACAGGTCAACAATGCGCCAGACAGTGCGATACCTTCTCCTTATTCATTGTGATCAAGCAAGTCGAGAGCGCCAGAGATTGCATTCTGTGTTTGCGTGTATCAAGGATGGGTGTAAGTGGAGCTAGCGGAAGCAAAGGTGGACAGACCAAACTCCGCTTGAATATTGCCGACTAAAAGCGCAAGAACAAACGTCGTAGGGCACTCGCGACGATGTCGCAACTAACTTGAACCTATTTGAACCTACATGCGGCTCACTATCTCAAGTTCCACTGACATAGTTCTTGCTTAAATCGATCGTCGGGAGCTCATAGTATTCGAAGCTGCAACGTGCATCGCTTGCTGTCAACATTGCATAGTCTCGAAGCGCCACCTGACACTGACTCGGATACATAACGAGGTCCTTTAATCGACGACAGTAGTTGGTGACAATCCGTAATTAATCCTCCCTACCACCGAACAGAGGGCTCGAGAACGTAAGGGAGATTCATCAACACTTGTTGGCCATGAAAGCTGATATGCCAGATATCTTCTAGAGAAGGGAGGACAACTATGGACGGCAAACTAGAAGATATGGAGCAAACTTCGGACAAACTCGCTAGCCAGATAAATGTCACTCTCTCACTCACTCACCAGCTTCCCTCAGAGCTCGTCGCCGATATTTTCGAGCTAGCGATCAACGAGAGCGGCCAGCGAGCGCTCGGGGTAGTAAAGTCCGTGATCTTCAAGTTCGGCCAAGTCTGTGGTCGCTGGCGGTCCATCCTTCACGCAACGCCTGCGCTATGGACTTCGCTCGTCCTCGACTTCACCAATCGCAAGAGCATCCCATGGACGATCTTCACAGACGAAGTTGTCTCCTAGTTGCGCCTCTGGATCGAGCGATCCGGCGCCCTCTCGGTGTCTCTAACTTTAATTGAAGGAGACGAGTCCAGTGATCATGGCTATATCCCCAATCAACATTGGCATCGAATTGTTTATGTGCTTCGGCTGCACAGCGACAAGTGGAAGAGTATGTCGTTGGCGGTTCATGAAGAGACCCTCGACCGGCTCCGTGGCACGCATTTCGGCTTACTCAATATCACCTTTCCTTCTATGAAGCACTTCTCTGTGGCTCTCATCTCCGTCTTTCCCAACGCCTCCCATCATGACCAACCTCTTGCGCTCGCGCCCCAGCTCACTTCTTTCTCAATCGACATGGACCAGTTAGACATGTCGCATCTTCCGGAGTCGGGATGGGCTCAGCTCACCGACTTATCGTTGATGTATGACCCCAGTCGAATCTCTTGGACCGGCTACACCCACGCAGACGTGAAAGAGATCCTCTCGCTAACCCGAAATCTTAAAACGCTCAGCCTGGGTCTTACGGACAACGACGGCCCCGACGATGCTGCCCTCGCATCCACCGAGATCCCCCTGCCCTTCCTCACGACTCTCCGCCTTCGCCGCGTCTTCGTTTACTCGGAGATCCTAGCGTTCATTATGAACGTCAGAGCGCCGCAACTCAAGACCCTTCACATCGACGCTGTTGCGAGGTTCATCGACTCTATCTGGGACTGGGGAGCTTCCCTGCTTGTCCCATTCCTTGCACTCACGGGATGCCAGCTGGAGACGCTCATCGTGGACCGGATCCATATCCACGGCGAGATTGTCGTCAGTATGCTCGAGAATTGCCACGCAATCAAGATGGTCGTGTTCAGAGCTGTCAAAGGCCCTCAAGACGATCCAGTAGGAGTCCTTGTGAAGCGGCTTACCCCAAATGATGTGCCGCCGGCGACGTTCTTGTGGCTTCCACAGCTGGAAAACCTCGAGCTTGGAGTTGCGTACGAGCATGCACACCTTGGAAACATAGGAGAAATGGTGTGTGCACGCTCCAGAACAAGCATCGCGCGTGGGGAAGAAGGGCTGCAAACGTTCAAGCTGACACTTGAGTGTGGGTCAGCTCTCAGTCCCGAGCGCGATGGGGTGATCAGTGCGCTTGAGAGTCGTCTAAAGGGCGCTCATCAGGACAGCCAACTGAAGAGCGTCGTAGAGATTGATTACCTTTATCATCCGGAGTATCTGGCGTTAAACACTTGATTGTCATGCCATGTGCAACCATGCAGGCGCTGCTACAATTTAGGACAATCTACCACTACAAAAGACTACAAAGCAAGATACCCATCTCTTCACATGGTGCAAATGATAGAGATTTACTTCCGACTCGGAGGGTTTATCAGCCGACAAGCCGGCGGAGGGAGTAGTAGACTCACGCTCGACGTCAATTGAGTCTCCGAGTTTGCCATCCTCGTCAACACATTCTCTCGACAGACAAAACAAAACATCCGCCCGCAAGCGCCCCCTATAAGAGCCATATGCTCCCCCTGCTTTCTCATCTGCCCTCTTACCACAACCATGGCCTTCTCAAGCAGTAGTGGCTCAAGAGTGCTCCAGGCGGCGAACGTGCCGAGCGCGATGCTGGTGCTCGCTAGCGCGGTCATCGCTGCCTACGGTGTCTATGTCTCCAAGAAACGCAAGCTACCTCAACCTCCTGGTCCCCCCGGCAAATGGCTCATCGGCAACCTGAAGGACGTTCCGAGGTCAGAACCATGGCGGGTCTTCGCAGAGTGGGCCAAGATCTACGGTGCGCCCATATCCACAAATTCAGTCCAAGCTGCTAACCTGACATGCACCACAGGCCCCATCTTCATGCTCCGCGTGCCCAACAAGCGCATCGTCGTGCTCAACACCTTCAAAGCCGTGACCGACCTCCTCGAGTCGCGCGCCTCGATCTACTCCGACCGGCCGACGCTCTGGATGTACACCGAGCTCGCGCAGCGCCGCCTCGTCGCCTTCAGCATCCCCTACACGCACCCGCACTTTCGTTCATATCGTCGTCTCATGACATCCAGCATGCGTCCGCGCGCGATTACGGCGTACCAGGAGCTACAAAAGGAGCAGTCGAGGGTGCTGCTCAGGGGCTTGGCGGCGGAGCCGGGCAAGTTCGTGAAGCATCTGCAGAGGTGAGTGCTAGTTGTCTCTCGTCGAGTCAGGCTGTTGTGCGCGTGCTAAAGTATTGCAGACAATCGGCTGCCGTCATCCTCGACCTCGCCTACGGCTGGAAAGTCACAGGCGACGACGACTATTTCGTGCGCACGCTCGACGAAGGGCTCTCCGCAGGCTCAAAGCTCCAGCAACCCGGCCAGTGGCTCGTAGAGTACCTCCCCTGGCGTGCGTATTTTCGCCTTTAGTGAACCAGTCTCTGCCCCTGAGACCCATGCGTTTCATCCATGACTCACGCGGGCTAACTGACTGCCGCGATTCAGTACGTTTCATCCCCTCGTGGTTCCCGGGCGCTACGTTCAGGCGCGTCGCCGAGGATGCCCGGATACGCTTGCTGGAGCTCGACAAGATCACGTACCAGTGGGCGAAGAATGCTATTGTTAGTTCTTCGCTGATGTTTTGACCTACTTTTCTTTGCTGACTGATATAATGAACGTTCCCGCAGGATACCGGCAAATACTCGCCCTCATTCTGCTCGGACCATCTCCTACCCGAGGACGGGCGCGAGGTCACTCCGGATCTCGAGCAGATAGTGCGGTACTGCAGCGCAGGTCTATATGTCGGCGGGGCTGATACAGTAAATCTCTTCCATCACCCATTTTTGCCACTGTCTGTTGCTAAATGCCGTTCCTAGACAGTCGCAGCAACAACCGCGTTCTTCCTCGCCATGGCGCTCTTCCCCGAGGTCCAAGCGCGCGCACAGGCCGAGCTCGACGCCATCGCTGGTACAGAGAAGCTGCCCGATTTCGAGGCAAGGGACAGGACGGAGTACGTGAACGCGCTCGTGCTCGAGTTGATCCGATGGGCACCGGTCGTCCCCCTTGGTCCGCACTTTCCTCGCTTGCTGCCCATTTCGAAGGACTCATATATCTGGGTGAACAGGCCTCTCTCACCGCGTGATGCAGGACGACGTGTACGAGGGCTATCTCATCCCCGAGGGCTCGACAGTCACCGCCAACATCTGGTAACACAATAGCACTTCCAAATCACCCCTCATTACACAAGAACTAACTCTGACGGTTTTCCCCAGGGCAATCGCCCACGACCCAACGCTCTACCCCTCCCCCTTCACCTTTGACCCCACCCGCTTCCTCGGCCCAGCCCCACAACAAGACCCGCGCAAGATCGTGTTCGGCTTCGGGCGCCGTGTGTGCCCCGGGCAACACTTCGCCGAGCAGGCTATTTACTTGACGGTCGCGAATGTGCTCGCGGCGTTCTCGATCGCTCCGCCGCTGGATAAGGACGGGAGGGAGGTGAAGCTGGTGTATGAGGCTGCGAATGCGGGGATTGTTACGTGAGCCTTTTTGGTTCTTTATTCCTGTGGATTATGTGTTTAATGTGCTGTCGGTGCAGCCATCCGAAAGCGTTCGAGTGTCGCATTGTTCCTCGGAATCGGGAGCTTATTCCTTCGGTGTCGGAGTAGGGGTAGTGGGAGACGAAGGCGGTCTTTTGATTGTTATATGGTGCGGAGAGCTCCATTTTCACTGCTCTGATCTAGTATTGCGACTTTGTGTCATTTCAGATGTATTCTACAATTGTATTCATATCGATTGACCAGTTTCTGCTCACGTGGGGTAAGAATCTCCGTTTACTTTGGGAGCCCCGTCGGAGTGCGCAAATGCACTGGGAGGGTCAGAGTCCCTAACATGGAGATAGCATGGAGTTAGGGATGGGCGAGCCCGTGAATCACTCAGAACTACCAGCCTGTTAGTTCTTCGAGCAAAAATAAGCAATGACAAACCTCAGTTCTAGTCTCACGGCTTACAAGTTATGTCTGATATTCGAAGGTGTAGGTAGCGTGCATATCCAAGCAAAATCAGTCAATAGTACTCCAGAATGCAGTAACGAAGCGCAGGGGGACGAGAGAACAGCTGCAGGACAGCACTGAACTGGTTGTGTATCCCATGGGGAAAATAGGTTGCTAATCTCAATGCCACTAAACAAGGCTCTGCGCTCTACGAGAGCAGAAGCTGGTCTATCGATGTGAAAACGACTGTAAATTGTGATTCCGTGATATGCATGGCCGCGCAGTTGGAAAGTTATGTGATTTCATGTTTCATGATGTGTTCCCCTTAACATAACTTATTGTCCTAGATACACTTTACAATGGTGTATACAATTGCTCTACCCAAAGAGAAAGAATCGCCCCGAAAGTACTGCAAAACAACACAACAACGCATCCCATCACGATTCCATAACTCATAAAGCGCCATCAACAGCGACCGTCACCCAGCACGGCTCAAGTGTGGCTGACGACAACGTTGCCGTTCTGGACCGACGACTGTGTCAGCTGCACGTTGTTCTGCCATATATCCCAGATCGTCGCGCCGTCGGGGCCGGCGTATCCCGATCCCGTCTGCGCCTGCGCGCTGGAGAACGTGACGGTGCCGAAGTCGTCGAACTGCGCCTGGCCGCTGCCGACCTCGTAGTCCTCGACGATCCACTCTGCGTACTCCTGGCAGAGCGCGTGCGTCGAGCTCACGTCCTGCGTCACGCTCTGACCGTTCGTCTGGTTCTCGATCGTCACTGTGCCCGTCGTTGTCGAGTGCGCGGTCGCGGTCAGCTTCACGACGTCGCCCGCGGCGAAGTTGATGTTGTTGAAGTTGTAGGATGGGTCGGGGAACCACTCGTACCAGGCTGTGGGAGGATGCGGTGTGTAAGAGATCAGGAGGTCCACTCAGGCGCTGAGTTGAAGCTTACAGTAGTAGGTGTTGTCGCTGTTTGCGACGATACCAGTCTGGAGGATAACCCCACAGTCAGAGCCGGCGCCATCAATACCGACCCAGATGGCGGCGGAGCCCGAGCCCGAGGAGCTGGGGACCGTGAAGGTGCCAGTGACGGCCTGGTAGGTACCCTGTGTAGATAAAGAGCAAGGTCAGAAAAGCACTGCACAGATCCTATCACGAGACAAAGGGTAACGTACAGGAGCGGCCTGAATAACAGCGCCAGCCCAGTTGGATGACTGGACGTCGTAGGTGGCGTTGCCATTCTTTGGGTTGATCTTCACAACCTGGCCCTGGTGGCCTATGGCGAGGGCGCTAGCGGTGAGGGCGAGGACAATAAAGGAGGCCATGGCTGACGGGGTTGACGAAGGCAGAGTAGTACCGTTGGTGTTGGTCGTGCTCGCTGCCCATGAGAGCTTTATACCTCACAGCAATGATGTGTACCGCTGAAGACGTCTGGACCATGCGACGGCCTATTCGCTGTGCCCGCGGCACGACCTCAACCGCCAGAGCGACTGTAGCCCATTGCAGTGGCGAAGTCGTGACAGTCATTTCGGAGGAAGTGGAGCTCCACGACGACGGCTGTATGCACGTCGCAATTGGCAGGGGGAGATGGCAGGTGAGACCGTATCTCAAGATGCCCACTCAAGCAGCCTATAGCGGCCTCGAGCCCACATGGCGACAGCAAGTTGACAGATACCAACACCAGGAGCTGACGGAGGTCGACAGGCACACTAGGCGCTAACGCAGACTCAAGGCGAGGTCATGGTGAAATCCAGAACTGGAGTGACGGAATCGTCCAGAAGTATCAACGATGATAACTCTTGAGTTATCAAAAGCGCTGGAATGGTGTCACAGTTAAGATCCAAAGGTGAACGTTTGAACGCGCACGGCAACAAGTGACGCACTTAAGACCACGACATTTGTGTGCAGGATGGCAAAAGGAATGACTGTGCAACAGACGAGGGGCTGCTTTCGTGTACCTGAAGAACATACGAAATGCAAGCGCATGGTTGGCTGCCACACGTTGGTTGCCATTGTCACCGCATTCGCAACGAGAAGAACAGAAAGGCGAAAGACGCGCTGGTGGCAGTGCTGGTGAACCTCGCCCTTTATGGGGTCGTGCTCCTATCTTTGCCTTCGCTCAAGTGGCAGTCGGCGCTGCTCGAGATGCTGCAACACGTTCATGCAACACAATATGCAACGAGAAGGTTATCACGGTCTAAGTCAAAGACAGCTAAGAAGGGTCTGAACCAAAACATCGATTACGTATGGCTGATAACAACATTGCCGTTCTGTACAGAAGCCTGCGTCAGTTGCACATTATTCTGCACAATCTCGTAGATCGTCGCGCCATCGGGGCCGACGGCGCCCGAGCCCGTCGTAGCCTGTGCGTTTGTGAATGTGACAGTGCCGAAGTTGTCGAACGACACCTGGCTGTTGCCGCCGATATAATCCTCGACAATCCACTCCGCATTCTGCATGCACAGCGCCGTCGTCGAGTTCACGTCCGACGACACCTTCTGACCGTTGGTTGCGTTCTCAATCGTCACCGTGCCGGTGTTGGTGGTGTGAGCGGTCGCGGTCAAAGTGACAACGTCGCCTGCCGAGAAGTTGATATTGTCGAAGGTGTGGGACGGGTCGGGGTACCACTCATACCACGCTAGAAAAGGTCAATACGGTGTCGATTTGGTGAGGTCGGGTAAGAAGCACTTACATGAGTACGACACTTGACCATTGTCGATAGTGGCGTCGACACCCGTCTGGAGAATGACCTGGCAGCCGACACCGTCGATGCCGACCCACATGGCAGCGGATCCTTCACCCGTCGGTGTTGGGACAGTGAATGTACCAGTTACAGACTGGAAAGTTCCCTGTGCGGCGAGATGCGTCTAAGTCAAGAATGATATAGGACATCCATGAATAACACTTACTGCAGCCTGTTCGAGTACAGCGCCAGCCCAGACGTTCTGGTCGACGTCATATGCCGATCCAGGGGCGACTCTACCAACCTGGGCTGTCAGAGGCGAAGCTAGAACAGAGGAGGCAAGGAGAGCGCCAGTCAGTAGAGTGGAGGCCATTTCGCACGAGGGCGATTGATGTGTGTATTCGAATATCAGCGGTTCCGAAGCTTATATACTGAGCCAACGAGATTCGCGTTGTCGTCACCGTCTTCCTGAACAGCAGGGTGATTCCTGTGTAGCACCAAGCGTAATCCCTTCGAGTTCGCAGTGATGCACATCATGAATCTATGTGTCGTTCAGTGTCGCCTAACCGACGATCACTCGTGACATACAATTCGCCATGTGCGAGCGCTCCACTGCCGAGGGTGCTGGCTGGGAGACACAAAGTTAGACTACAAGGATATGTGTCACTGGTGGCCACCACCCCCGGTAGTTGGCCACAAGCAATAATAGCCTTACCAATGGTCGTCAGGTTGGCAAGGACATGGCGAGCCCAGAAGGCTTGTTCAAGGCTCGCTGGTTCAATTCGGGTGAGCGGGGTAGTCTGTGAGTACTGCATCAGTACCAGTGTGATATGCAGCATGATGATTGGAGGCGCACACTGGCATACACATGGTCAGCTGGCAGTTTTGGGGAAAGTCCCGGACGCTGCGAGATGTTGCCAGCGCAAGAGCTCTCATCAAAGCTGAATGTTCGCGCTCAGACGTTCAGGTGATGAGCACTATTCACGTCCGCAACAAGAGTGCTCGCACGTAGAAGTCCTTGCGAATCATACCTATAGGTTTCGCAGGACTTCTGAAGCTGGTTGTAGCCTGCTCTTGAGTAGTAGATTGCAGTGAATGGTGTCATTGAGAAGTCAAGAGGGTTTTGGCGCCGCATCGCCGCACTGCATGAACTCAACATCGCTCTCGGGCCGGCGGCAAATGTATTGCCACATTACTTTAATTTGAAGCTTGACGTTACCATGCAAACTCTTGTCAAGCCCGCGGGAGGTGTCCCCACATTCAAACCATCCACGCAACGGTACAAGTGCGAGCTCACGTCGACGAACCGCTAGCAAGGAATGTATAGTTTATTATAAGTTATGTCCTGTCCACGCAAAGGCTAAAACACGGCGACAAACGCTACGAAGCTCTACGTGTGCTTGATAGTAACCTGCCCGTTCGCCACCGACGACTGCGTCAACTGCGTGCCGTTCTGCGCGATATCAACAATCGTCGCGCCGTCGGGGCCGACGCTGCCAGAGCCCGTCGTAGCGGTCGCGCTCGTGAACGTGACAGTGCCGAAGTTGTCGAACTCGACGAGCCCGCCGGACGAGTAGTCCTCAACAATCCACTCCGCGTTCTTCTGGCAGAGCGCGGAGGTCGAGCTCACGTCCTTGGTCACCTTCTGGTTCTTCGTCTTGTTCTCGATCGTCACCGTTCCCGTCGTCGTCGAGTGCGTGGTCGCGGTCAGGGTGACATCGTCACCGGCGGCGAAGTCGATGTTGTCGAACGTGTAGGAAGGGTCAGGGAACCACTCGTACCAAGCTAAGGAAGGTGGATGTTAGGAAGCATGACCATACGGGCCGGCAACGCGTGAAGGTGTACTTACACGAGTAGGACACCTGTCCGCCCTTGATGCTGGCATCAACACCGGTCTGAAGGATTACACCGCAATCCATGCCGTCGACGCCAACCCAGATAGCCGCGGAGCCCTCGCCGGTAGGTTTGGGAACCTTGAACGAGCCAGTCACGGCCTGGAAGGTACCCTGTGAAGCTGGATGAGCATCAAAGTAGTATTGTGAGGAAGCCGCGTACTCACCCCGTCCTTGCGGAGGACAGCACCAGCCCAATTGGAGTTCAGCTGCTCGTAGGCGGGGTCCTCGGCTGAGAGAACCTTGACATTGGTGGGCACGCCACCTGTCAAGGGTGAAGCGACCGCAACAGAGGCGAGAAGGGCAGAAACGAGGAAAGAGGCCATTGACTACGAGAAGGACTGTGTGGGCAAAAAGCGGTTGACGATGGTGGATGGATGGAACGACCGCGGTCGTGGTCGTCTGTCTCTTATACACGGATCCTCAATACATATCACTTGGCGTGTTCCTTCGAGCACGCAGTCCTCCATCAATTGATGTCTTGTGATTCCGAGAACCGGAGTGTCCATCAGACGCGACTGGAAGAGTTACGAAGACAGATCTTCTAGTTACATAAAAGAAGATGCCAGCGAAAAGAAAGCAGCCGTTGCGGCGGTTCCCGATACGAAGGCTTAAGGAGGACGCCGGTCGCATTGGAGCTGGGAGAGAGTAATACAGACATATCACGGCTAACGGGGTCGACTGGCCGAAATGCGTTTTGCCTCGTGCGTTACTCGATGTTCGCGTGGTGTCCATTCGGTAGTAGCTTGTGGTATAGCGTTGTAAAGAAATTATGCTTGGGTGAGCAGCTCTGACCCTTGTGACGAGCATTCTTCTGTGGAGCCCTTGAGCAGAGCTTGGACGACATCATGATAGGCAGACGACGGTTGCGGGGTGCCAAGCCTTGGTCGAAACTCGTTTGTACAAAATTCGGCAACGTCCGATTCTCTGCCGCCGGAACAATAGGCGCCCTGGATTCAAAGAAGTTCTGGGACTTCATCATTTCCGGTGAAGGGCAGTTTTCAGAACACACACCAGGACAACAGCAGGGATTAACAAATATTCGCTCTGCTGAACAATTGAATACTACAACTATCGCAAGGCGCGGGTCTATTCAATCGAGATGTACGCTGGCTGGTAAACAGTAACGACATCTACCTTGCCTTCGAACGAGCCTTCGCCGCATTCGCAGAGTTCCTCCAGTCTCTCCTCCAGGTTCTTGACCTCCTTCTTCCGACCCGGATCTACGAGCGGAAGGTACTCCAGCATCAGCATAAACTTCTGCAAGCCCCCGGCGGCCCGCCCCTTGACCATATCGATGATATCATCAAACGGCGCGTCGCGGTACGTCGAGCCCAAGCTTATGCTCCGCAGCTGGGGAAGCCGCATACTATTCAGATGTTCATCACCATTCGGAGTGAGCCACAATAGGAGACTCTCCAACGACGACGTTCTCGAGATGTTGTTCCGCGGAGGGAAGAACGCCAGCTGCCGCAGCTCCGGACAGTGCTCCAGAAGTGAGACGAGCGCGCCTCCGTCGGTGCTGATGTCACGGACGCTGCACCCCGAGCGTTCGATCAGGGCACAAAGTCTTTCAGCACCCAGCTCGCCCTGTCCGTTTTTGAACCGCGCGACAGAGTCGATCTCGAGCGTCGCGAGCCGCGGCAGCGTCAGCTGGTCGAAGTAGTCGTGGAGCCGTGAGCGGAAGCATGTGTGACGGAGGCGCAGAGTCGTGAGATGCGGGAGGACAATCTGATGAGGGCTGGACACAACTTCGAGACTGTCGTCGAAATCTTCCATCAAGCCCAGGCTGAGCGTGACCAGGTTCGTCGTTTGGGAGAGTACATCCGTGATCAGATTAGAGTTGTAATACAGGTGGACAAATGAACGCCACGGTAGGACGGAGAGGTTGAAGTTGAGAGAAAGCTCCGTCATCTGCGCCCAAGTCAAAGTAGGTACGTATTCCTCATCCGCGTGGGCATTGTCCAGCATAAGAGAGGTTAGGTGAGGCGTGAACACGAGATGATCCGTAAAAGTAGAGGATTCGTAGGATGCTGACTCCTCGTTCATAATGTCAACCACAAGCCGCTTAAGGGACTGGAGACGACTTCCAAAAAGACGTCTCCGAAAGCTATCATACGTCGACTTGCAAACGACTAACTTGAGGCCGCTCCATTTTGTCGAGTGCTGCCGTAGTGCATATATAAGCCGACGCATTGGGTCATGGGCACATATTCCTTGCTCAATCAGCGTGAAGAAAATGGCGAGTTGACCGGAGTTCTTGACCCATAGCCCCAGAAGCGAAACGGCATTGTTGACGGTGTCCATCCAGTCGTCGTCTATTTGAGGTGGAAGCTTGATAGCGAGGTGCGTCCAAAGTGAAGGTGTCGAGTGAAGTGCATATCGCCATGTGCTGCAAACGTGCCCAAGCTGAAGCAAGGGAGATGATTTAGGTCTGAACGAGACGATAGCCGCAATCAGCTCAGGAGGGAGACGGTGCACGGGTGCAAGGGTCTGGGGAAGTTGAGTGATGACTCAAGCGACGAGGCAAATGAGGATGACGACTGACCATAACACCATTATCTTCCATCTCGAAACTCGATAACCTTCATCTCTAAACCTCGCTTGATTGATTAGGCTTATATAGGTCTGGAAAGAGTCATCCGAGCGGGGCTGTGCACACTGTCTACACCGCCGCTGACGTTCGAAAGAGGCTCGCCAGATGACTCATGGACTGCCGACGAGGACCTGACAGCGTATCCGTCAAAGCGGTTGCGTCGATAAGCTGTCTCTCCGCCGAAGCTGCTTTGAGACGATGTGGGAGACGAAAGCATCAGGACAACATCCAGTCGTCAGCGCATACAGCCCCCGGCAACAGCCGGCAGCCAAAGAGCCTGCCCTTGTCTCGACCCGTCTTGACGCGGCGTGAAGGTCCGCTATAAGCTCCGGTGTGGGGTAAACCAGGGTAAACGGGGGGACCTTAAGAACGTCTCTCGTCTCAGTCCCATCTTCTACGAGCCCGGCCATCCATATCGCACAACACACCACCATGACCGAAGCCTTGTCTGCCCAGCACCCACCTGCCAGTGAGTCACCCTGACGCCCCTAAAACTACGCACACATCTAACATGGTCACCCAGTGAAAGTCGGCGGGCGGCGGCTCTCCCTATCCTCCAAGCCCAAGGCCCACACCGCATCGTACGTCCCTATATGCCTTTCCTAACCATATGTTGTTTCACAATGTATGCTTGTAGACCTCCTCAGCCAGCTGCTGCATCGGATGAAGCAGAACCTACCACCGACTACCCCCGACCTGCCGCACCCGGCGAGGAACACGCTCACGTGCCGCCCCACAACGAGGATGAAGCTCCCAAGAAGGAGAAGAAGCACCATCACGGGGCTCACGACGACAAGAGACTCAAGGAAAGCGTCCAACGCAAGGCCGATGCTACCAGACCTACTAAGGATGCCAATGGTGCCAAGGTCATGTTTGGCGCTGCTGGCAGGATCGCCCAGCCTACGGGCAAGGGCCTCAGTGTCTGACGCATCTGGGAAACTTGAGCTTGGTGTCGAAGAGTTGAAGACGATAAATTGGACGTCAGCTGCAGATCAAAAACCTGACTTGTACCACCAAACGGTTTGCACAGCGCAACCTTGTATCACTTAGTGTACCATTTTGCACCACTTACCACTTATAACACGCATCTCCTCATCGGACTACGAATGTATAAAGAACTGTATATACATACAGAACATGGACTGCCTGCTTTTGTCATGATGGTGGCATGGGTGTGTGTATGCGAGAGCAAAGAGCGAGGAAGAGATCATGCAGAGCTGTCGGCGGCACCAGCCCTGTACTTGCCGCGGACCTTCTTTTGTGGTGGGTTCTTCTTCTCCTTCTGAGCCTCGACGAGAGCGGAGGTGCGGCCGAGAGCAGCCTGGACGGTCAACGTGTCAGTAAATGACGAACGCATAGGCCAGCCATGGTTCGAAAATATAACAATGGAAAAAGGGGAAGGATGTAAGTCGCCAAACCATGGGTTGCGCAGGTGAATAAAGAACCACGTAGCCCAAAAGTATAAAGCGACAGGTACATTTATCTTGCAAACATGTCCACGCCCAACTTTCATACACCTTTCGGTGGTTTCCAGCGGGTTCTAACGAGAGTGCGTTCGGCGAACCAGTGTCCGTCGCGAAGGGGGGTAGATGAAACGACAATGAGCGAGTACTCACAGCACGGAGGTCGCCACGGTATCCCCGCTTGGTGAGCTGGGCAGCAGCACCCAGAGCACGGCGTCCGCCAGAGCGGTTACGGATGGTGGTCGAGGTCAGTGAACCGCGGACAGCCTGTGGCGAGGACTTGGTCTTCTTGGTCGTGATCTTGATGCCATTGCCGGAGTCCGAGATGTCGATGGCCTATATAAAAGCGCGCCCGTTCAGCCTCCCACTCCCTAATACGAATTTGGAGTGCCCAATCGCACCTTCTTGTTGGCAAGACCAGAGTATTTGTACGAGTGGAGGTTGCGGAGGTTGCCCTATACGCACAGTCAGCATGCCCTCCCCTTCCGAGGAGAATGTAGAGACGTACGGGCTCCCGGGAGAAGATGGGGCCCTCGGGGACCTTCTTCACGAGGTAGGAGTTGTAGTTCTGTCCGCAATCGGTCGATCAAAACGCGGTTTTCTCAGGAATGAGTCGCCTGAGCGACTGATTGCACGTACGCGGATAAGGTACCACTGGAGATCGCTGGACATGTTGACGGCGGGGGGTTGGCGGGTCTGTGGTGACGCTGTGCAGAGAATGGCAAGTGTGGCTGAAAGGCAACTGTACAGTTGTGCAAATAGAAGTAAACATTATGCATCGACTTCGTTCGGAGTTCGGAAGTCTGCATTTTGAGCCGCGTCTCCCAAATATCTCGATGTCATGTCATCGTTTCAGCCTCTGTTCTTCCGACATTTTCTAAGCAATCTCGCCTGACCGGTGACATTATTACTGCTGTCTCACTTGTTAAAGTGCTGCCCATGCTTATTTCGCAAAACTTCACCTACGAACTACCTTTCGGTCTTTTTATAAGATGCGTAGCGGCCTATCCTACGCCAGCGAATTCGGAGTTTGTGGACTTTGGCAGCCTGATCATGCCACTCCGCCGGCCAGGCTCCTTCTATCCAGACATGCGCAATGGATTATGCTCAAGCAAGGGTGAACACCATCAGCTTTATCTTGCTTAAAGAATTTACTCATTATTTATTCCAGGCCCCAGACAATACCTCTAAGTCCATGATGCTGTCATCATCGCTGCCATCGCGCTCTTCATCTCCATCAATAGCAAATAGACTCCCACCAGAGATCATATGCGCCATCTTCGAAGAATGCGTCCTCATTTCCGAGTCCGATGACGAATTCTGCCCGACCCCCGCGTCCGCACGCGTGCCTCCGCTTCACCTCGGGCTCGTATGCAGCGCCTGGCGCGCGATCCTCAACTCCCTTCCCAGCCTGTGGACGTCGCTCCGCATCGACCTCCCCGGGTCTCCGGTATACTGGGACGATTGGATCGGAGAAGCACTACAGATCATCCAGACGTGGTTGCGCCACTCGTCCGACCTGCCTATTTCGATCGCCTTCGTCGAGACGGGACGTTTCCCTCCCCATCTCGCTGTCCCGATCGCCACCTTGATGCGTGACCATGCACACCGCTGGAAGGCTCTCCGCGTCGTCGCTCAAGATGAGACGCTAGCCTGCTTCATGCACTTGGTCTACATCGGACTTCCCCGCCTTGAGCGGCTAGATATCAGACACTCCCGCGACTTCACTCGTGCACGGCCCTTCGATCCGTGGCCGCTCGAGTCCATACTACCTCGGCTTACCTCTCTCACATGGAACGCCTTCATTGGTGATGCAACCTGGCTAGTCCATAGCTTCTGCTTGCAGCTCACAGAGCTCACACTCCTATACGAATACGTGGGGTATTCCATCCCCCTGGACAGGTTACTGGACGTCCTCGCCCGCATGCCGAACCTCGTTACCTGCAACCTCGGCTTACCCAATATCGGTTTTGCGCATATCCACGTCACGCTCCCGCGCCTGCAGACGCTCCGGTTACGGCGCCCCGCAGCCGTGTGCATTTCCTCCCGGCTCATCAGCTCTTTGACCCTGCCGAAGCTTCAGAGACTCGAGATAGACAGCATCGCGCTCTACCCATGGATCACTGACGAAGCGCACGAACTACACGTCTCCGATATGATTCTTCGCTCTGAGTGCTCGCTTGAGGCGTTCGTAGTACGCCACACACAATGTTCACAGCACCAGATCGTGAGCACGTTGATGTGCACGCCGCATCTACGCGAGCTGAGCTTCATAGCACGCTCTGACAAGACTCGACTCGACTCATTCTTGGACTTCTTGCGCCCAAGGGCTGGCGCGCCCTTGGAGCTGCCGTATCTGGAAAACCTGGAGATTGGGTTTGCCCTTGACTGGAACGCGCCGTTGCAAGACCTCCTAGAGGTGGTCCGTCAGCGAGTGAATCTTACTCGTGCAAGTTTCGGTGCAGGAATGTGCAGGCAGCTCTCACGTCTGCGCATAGTCGTTGATCATTTTTTATACTTTTTCCACGAACGTGACGAGGAGGTTGAGGATCTCACTTCTCGGATCAACGAAGTATCCAGAGGAGAATGGTTTAGCACTGAGGTAGTGGTACGAAGAGCATATCAACCAGTGTATTCAACAGTTAGCAGCGACAACGCTCGTGATACGTAACTTACACGCTAAGCGAAGCACCGCGTGGTACAGCGGCGTGCTCTAAGATGATCTCAGTGCATGCGTGTTGCACCGTTAGTTCGGCTTATCCTCAGGAGAACTCCTTATCCGACATCGATCAGGCTCACTCTAGAAATGTAAGTAGGATGGGTTACGTGCAATAGTTTCATCCCCCAAGTTGCGTAAACTCGAACATATGTGGAGGCAGAGAGGGAGGCGGCAGAGATGGAGAATGAGAGAAAACATGTATGCGCAATCATGAATACGTAGTTAATGACTGCTCTTTCGTCCACTAGCCCTCTTGAATTATTTTCCTTCTCACCGACCAAACCATGTCTCTTTCCACTCCTCGTGCAGAACTATCCGGCCCTTCCTGATCCTGATCTTTTCTTCTCCCTATCCTCCATGCCCTAAGACCCTTCCACCCATCTTGGTCTCCATCTTCGGGCTTGATCTTGGCCCTGAGAAAACCTAGAGCTAGAGAAAGAGAGAGAGAGCACCAGCCTTACGATCAGAAAGCGAACGATAGCAAGACTAGCATGTGCGAGGAAAACAAGCGAGAAGAGCAAGATAACAACGATGATCACACCTCCGCTGCCTCTTGTAACCGGCTCGAGAATAATAACGCTCAGAACCGCAACTTGGAGAACGAACAAGGCATGGCTTCGAATTACAAGTAAAAAAACTACAACATAAGCGTAAGGTCAAAATATACTATATACACATATATCTCAGTCCATTGATCATCTACACACTTCACCACCCCATATATTATCAACCGCTCAGTCAACGCGCTTGCGGAACAAAACCTTGGCCGTCTGATTGGGTACCACCGACCCGCCAAACAAAATGTTCGCGGGCCGCTGCCCGCCAGCCTCGTCCGCGAGCTTGATATCGTACTCGGTGACGATATGCGCGAGCATGCTCTTCAGCTCATTCGCGGCAAAAAACCGCCCGGGGCTACGAATTACAATCACAAAACCCCACCGCCGCCGTCAGTTCAGCTTCTACGATAATCAAGAGTGAACGAAGGAGATACACGCACCAAGCATGCCTCCCGTGCCCAAACGGCAAGTACTCCGGGTTCGTCGACACAAAGTGGTGCTTCACGCCCTCGCCTTCCTCCTCGCGCATCTCGGCGAAGCGGAACGGGTCGAACGCCTCCGCGTTCTTGTACACGCGCTCGTCGAGGTGCGCCGCGAACGACGCAACCGAGAGCGTCGATCCCTTGGGGATGAACGTCCCGTCCGAGAAGGTGAAGTCTTGCAGGGCTTTGCGGCCCATGCTCACTATTGATAAACAATTCAGCCTTTGAATGTACATGAATGGATTCTGTTAAGGCGACGTACGAGAGCCGATGCCAAAGCGACGCTGCTCCTCCTTGAGGAAGCTGTCGATCTTGCGCATCTTTCCGAGTGCAGCTTTCGACCAGCCCTCTGCAGCGACAATGGTCTCAACTTCCTCGCGGAGTGGTTTGATGTATTGCGGATTAGCAGCCAGCGAGAACAATACATGAGTAAAGCTCTGCAAATGCTCGGATTAGCCTCGAATGGTAAATGTGATTTCATTGTCGTCATACCATCGAAGTTGTCTAGGTGTTCAACATCGTCAGCAGATGTTGGACCTCACGATTGGATGGTACGTACGTGAATAGCTGCGAAGTTGACAGCGAGCATGTACAGGGTAAGGTTTCTCGGGTCGAGCTGTTGTCCCTCGGCATCGTCGATCAGCCATGATAGAAGATCATTCTGAACCTGTGTAAACCTCAACCAGCCAAGACCGAAAGAAGGAACAACGTACAGGTCGGCCAGGATAGTCCTTCCCATACTCTGCCACGGCTTTTAGCCGTTCATCGATGACGGGACGGAGGTGCTTGTACGCATTGTTCACTGTTGCCGGAACATTGGTCATGAATTGTGCAACGAACCTGTGTGAGTTAGCAAATGCGTAATGGTTTAGCGCATCCCCAGGCGTATACACAGAGGGAAGTACATACGGGGCCATAAAGTTAGGGAACAGATTAATCACGGCGCCAGCCTTCACAACATCGAGGGTGTGCTTGATGTTCAGCGCCCGCCACTCGGGATCACGACCTATGTCACATCATGAGTACATGTTTTATACCCATCAAGGAGATGGGAGGTAACGAGGAACATGACTCACACAACGGAAGTCCGACGAATATCCGGTTACTCGTTCTGCACACGACCTGCTGCACCACCTTAAGGGCCGTGAACTCCGACCATTCTGTCCAATGAGTCGGGAGGAAGTCAAGATCAGTACATGAATAATGCATACGCCCCACGTAATCTGTGGCATAGGCGCCAAAAGGCAGAGGTATGGAGAGAAAATGACACGAACCGTGACCCTTCAAAGGCAACTCATCATTAAACGCAGTCACAATCTCGTCCCGGATATCGGTGCACAACACCCCGAGACTGCGCGTGAGCTGCGAACGTATGATGGGGATGTGGAACGGGTCGTGGTGGATGCGCGGACCAAGCGTGTACTCCACCCGAAGTAACTGTATGCACGAGCATTAGCCGCGAGTTACAATTAAGTGCATAATGAAAAGGATGCGCCGTGCAGGGCGGAAGAAGGGACGGATCGAGACTTACGTCATTTGTCGCCTCGAGGAAGCTGAGCACGTTGTCGGGCGCCTTGCGCACCTCCTCGACGTACTTCGGGCCCACGATAATTAGCCAGTGGTTTGCTGTTGGGATGCGGAATGGCTTTCCTCCGTACTATCATTATGTGTTCATGAGCGCCACCCATGAGTGCGACAGTCTCGGGGGATGAAAACGCACCTTCGCAAAACCCTCGAGCAACATCTCTTTTCCGTTCTTCATGTACCTGATAGCCCCCGCGTACGAACTCAGCATTCCAGAAGGTCCTACGGTGGGTATCTTGCTTAGCTATGTGCAGTACGAACGCGCCGTGAGTACCCTGTCAATTCCGACTGAAACTACAAGAAACACGCACATCCGGCTGCTCAGATATCTTCTTCGCTACAAGCGCGAGCATGAGTAGTCCACCGATACCCAGACCCGTTCGCGACATATCCAAGTTCAAGTTGAGGTTAGCACTGAACTTCTCGATGCGCTCTGCAGCCTGTTCGCTGAGCCTAGTAAGGTCCATAGTCGGGGGTTTTGTTGCGGGCAGCAGAGATGTTCGTCAAGAGTCAAGAAAGAGGGATAAACGAAAACGGGAGCGCAGGGCGAGGTGGGTAAATGTAGGGAAAAGGGGGAGGCGAAGAGGTCGGATGTATAGAGCATCGTCGTACCGCCATATCTGTAACATCACCCGTCGGAAGGTTAAACCCCGCTGGAAACTGATCCTGTGTGATCCATTGATTCCATTCCGCCACGAGTCTGGGAGACGGATCACTCTGATCGGCTTAGCAACGAGTGCTTGAGCGGCTCAAGCTTCAAGCTGAAGCGTCAAGGCTCAGGTTGGGTGTGTCTAGTGGAAGAGAGGATGGTCGTCCGGAGGAGTCTGGGGTAATTGAGCGTAAAAGTCGGTCGAGGAATCCGAAAGGTGCCGGCGGCACTGTCACGGGCCCGACTGACAAAGTGAATTCTCGGCATCGTGACTGGCGACATCAAAGCATCATGATCATCGCGACACCTCCTACTTTCGCTACTTTCTGGTTTCCACCTCCCCTTCTCTGCGAGCATATGGAAAACAGATATTGGAATAGGGTGACTGTGATAAATAGTTCAAAGGAATAAAATTAAAGATTGGTAGCTAGGTAATATGTTACTAAGTATGCTGTAACGATACATCGTCCCCTGGCCCTTGTCTGGCCTCGATAGTGCTTACCACCCTCCAAACGGTAGTCGACTCAGTCAACGCGCTTGCGGAACCAAACCTTCGCAGTAGGATTAGGAGAGCACGCAGATCCAAGGTTAAAGTTAGCCGGGCGCTCCTCGCCCTCGCCGAGCTTGACATCATACGTCATGACAATGTGCGCAAACATGCTCTTCAGCTCGTTGGCTGCGAAGAACCGGCCAGGGCTGTAGCACACAACAACACCATTAGCATCTCCATCATGTCCTCGAGAGGCCGAACGTACCAAGCATGACGACCGTGTCCAAACGGCAGGTACTCCGCGTTCGTCGACACGAACTGGTGCTTCACACCTTCACCCTCTCCCTCGCGGATGTCCGAGAACCTGAACGGGTCGAACTCGGACGCGTCCTTGTAAGACTTCTCGTCGTAGTGCGCCACGACGGAGGCGATAGAGACGTTGGCACCCTTGGGGATGAACGTCCCATCTGAGAACGTAAAGTCTTGCATCGCTTTGCGGCCCATGCTTACTGCATAGGGGGGATCTATAGTCAGAACACGGGATAAAGGGGTATAATGAAAGAGGTATGCACGTACAAACACCGATGCCATATCGACGCTGCTCTTCCTTGAGGAAGCTGTCGATCTTGCGCATCTTGGCGAGTGCGTTCTTCGTCCATCCTTCGGCTGCGACGACTGTTTCGACTTCTTCACGAAGAGGTTTGATGTACTGTGGGTTTGCAGCGAGACTGTAGAGGGCATGGGTGAGACTCTACAAATATCGTATTAGCTTCCATGTCTAAATGTCACGAGTGAGCTGTCGTACCATAGAGGAAGTCTACGAGAAAGTCAGAGGTCAGTGCCTAGCAATATGAACGAACTTAACTGACATACGTGTATAGCAGCGAAATTAGTAGCCAAAATGTACAGCGTCATAGTTCTAGGGTCACGCTGTTTGCCCTTGGCCTCATCAATTAGCCACGACAACATGTCGACCTAGACATCTGATCAGCACGCATACACGCAGAGGCAAACCACGCGGCTGACAGGCTTTCCGGGATAATCGGGTCCGTACTCCTCGATTGCCCTGAATCGCTCCTCGATGATGGGGCCAAGGTGTTTGTATGCCTGGTCCACGCAGGCCGTAACGTTTGTCATGAACTTGGCCACCAGCCTATCAACCAGTCAGCACGAGCAACAGAGTCATGTTTCAGAGGAGCTTACGGAGCCATGAACCTGGGGAAGAGGTTAATCACGACAGCGCCCTTGATGACGTCAATAGCATGTTTGATGTTGAGTGCTCTCCATTCGTGGTTTCGGCCTGCAGATTACAACTCAGTATAAGGCTTGCGACGGAAATTGAAGGGCACATACAGAGAGGTAGGCCGACGAATATACGGTTGCTAGTCCGGCAGACGACCTGTTGGATCATGGACAAGGCGGGGACTTCGAGCCATTCTAACGTGATTCCTTAGCACGGTACATCAAAATCAATGAAGACAGACGGCTTCTCACCATCGCCCTTTAGCGGGAGCTCATCATTAAACGCGGTCGCAATCTCATCCCGAATATCAGCGTAGAGGTTTCCAAGGTTGCGCGTGAGTTGCGAGCGAATGATGGGGATATGGAAAGGGTCGTGGTGGATGGGCGGGCCGAGGGTATACTCAATTTGTGTCGACTGCGCATCTTCGGGGTTAGACGAAAATTAAAAAGTAACATTCGACATAACACGCACGTCGTTGACCGCCTCTTGGAAGCTGAACACGTGTTCGGGCAGGTTGCGGAACTCGTCGACATACTGCGGGCCGAGGATGACTTCCCAATGGTTCGCGAGAGCAACTCTGAATGGCTTTCCACCGTACTGTAAATCGAGCGGATCGTCGCGTCAAATGGGTTGCAGCAAGGACGTTCCCTATGTGACACGCACCTTGATGTACCCCTCCATTATGACTTCGCGGGCATCTTTCAGCATCCTCAATGCTCCCAAATACGAAAGGATAGGCACGGTGGTGCCAACAGCCGGGATGTTACTCAGCTAGTCATCTCGTCAGTGAGCTAAACCGACGCGTAGTTGGCTCAAGAAGGACATACATTCGGCTGCTTAGCAATGTTCTTCACCAGAACAGCAAGCGCGAGGATACCGCCGGCGCCGAGAGCGGCTTTTGAGGCATCAAGGTTCTCGAGCTGCTCCATAACCTGCTCGGGGATGCGCGTGAAGTCCATGACGAGTGAGCGACAATAAACAAGACGAGAAGACGGGAAGAGGTACAAGAAATGCGTGGTCAATGTCAAGAACTTCAACCCACGTCGATATAAAGGCTCGGAGTTACACTTTCGCTTCAGATCTGCGCCGTCGGGATCGGCTCCAGCCGCTTTTGTCGAACCATCACAAGTTTATCACTCCTGGATGATGCAGGGCACGTTGTTGCGATTCACCCCTCACCGCATCTCACAAGCTAGCTCAAGTATAACTAGCTCACTTTCTTGTTGAATACAACTCGATATAAGGCGCAAAAGCCCCGTCAAAATTCAACATTCCTCGACGAAAAAGACGAACACCCAGAATAGGGGCTTGTCTCAATCCGACGGGCGCCCCCCCGGCAAAAGCGCCGGACGTCACACAGCTGTCATCCCGTTGGCATCCGGGCCCGCGTTTTGTCGTCAACGTCATCATGGTTACGCCTCTCACTTGACACTCGTCCATTCGAAAGGCATCACACTACAAATCCAAGGGCGAAAGTCCGCCATCGTACGAGGTCTTGCATATGCATCGTACCATCCTACAACATGGGCTCATAGTTATTCGTCAGTTTGCAAGATGTTTGCAACCCGTCATCACACGTGTCATCATACGATTCCGTTGACAAGCAATATTCAGTTCTCTTTCTCAAGCCCCGCCACGGAAATCATGCATGGACGTCCGCCAAGTGCTCTGGCGGTGCACGGGCAAATACAAGAAACCTACTGGGGCGCACAGAGAACGCAAAAAATCTGCATCAGCCGGGAGTCGAACCCGGAGCTAGGCCATGGGAAGACCCAATGTTACCGCTACACCACTGATGCGTCAAGTGAAGCTTGCATGCTTGTCTCCCCCGTGCCTTACTCAACAACCTGCTGAGGTTCCGGATGTATGTTAAGGATCCTCAGTTTCTTTCTCCTTCTGTTTGCGCTCATGAAGCCGAGCGTGCGTAGAACTGATCGTACATCCCTAGTCACATCTGCCCTCGATGTTACAGTCGCAGATCACGATGGTAATACTTGAACATGCGATAGAATTCGCTAATCACTTCTGCTGTCTTATACCGGTACGTTCCTGCTTCAAGTTCATTCCAAGCATACAAGCTCGACTATGAACAAACATTTCTGTCGCCTAGGGCTAGCCAAAGTATCAGTGGCAAGGCGCGTGGAACGGAGTGATACGCTTGATGTTTCAACCGCCGTTTGCTCCTCGTTCTACCGTCTACCCCGCCTTGATTTACTCGGCCCTTATGTCATATCGCTCACTCATGAGACTTCAATATTATGCAACGTTTACCTCGGACTTGGCCGTCACTTCTTCGAGGCAGACTAGTGCGCTTTCGTGAGTTCCTTCCGAATGCACCTTGCCACCCAAACCCTCTTCACGGAGACCCCCCTGCACGACGCCCACATACTTTCACTTCTGCTTTCACTTCCGCACTCATCAGTGTGATCCCAATATTATATTGGTTCAATGCCAGCGAGGTGAGGCGCGGAAGTATCCGCCAGGAACCGGTGCGTCCCGCTCTTTCATTTATCCATCGTTCATTGACGAAAACGTACAGCCATACACACTGAACTTACCGATCCGCCGCGAGGTAACCCCCATACAACACCACCCTTCATACTTCATATGCCTTGCTTCTCAATGGTATCTTCGGTCTAATCAGGTGGCCAAGAAGGCGAACACTGAGACAGCCGCCACGGCATCGGATATTGAGTCGAACCCACCTGCTGGCCACCGAGTCCGATGGAGACGACTATTGCTGCCTTCCCTTCCTAGAGTAACACGAGAGCCAGCTGCTTTCAACTCTGCCAAAGCTAGCGCCATTTTCCCGTCACTCGTCGGATCCCTGCTTCCCTTTGGCTTCGTGTGTTTACCCTCATTTACACCTTGCCACAGGCAGGACAATCCGTAGCATTGGCGTCGGTGCCCGCATCCGATTCCGCTGATCGCTGTCCAATTTCCCCTTCCTTCGCTTTAAAATATGCGCTAGTGCCGTCCATCGCCGGCATCGCACAACTTCGACCTCTACTCTGGACTGGACCAGCGTACACAACTCACCGAGATTAACCTCAAAGCTCTTTGCTCGGCGCGCTCAGCCCAGGAGACCCAGTCCCTGAAGCTGAAGGCTCGAGGGCCGACCAGACACGGCTTCCGCGATATCCTGGATACTTTGTACGCGGCGCACGGACGAAGTGTCTCTGGGCCTTGATTCTTCGCCTTGGCTGATCGTGGCGCTTTCATTCCAGGTCGGTCTTCCTAAATTATCCCGAGGAGGCGGGTTTCTCAGGGCGTACCGTCTCGCTGACTGTTGCCTGAATGGAGGAGCTACTATGTACTGCATGGTCAGGTTAGTCAGGTGCTTGATGACTGACTTGTGGCTGGCTATTCATGACAATGTAATTTTGTTCCTTTACTTTGTATTGTGAGCATATGGATGTTTTGCTCGCTATAGATCAATGTCAGTTCGTACTAGAACACACAATGAAGATATCGCGACCACGAGAACCGCCCGAATCTTTGAGCTATTCTTGGGTTCCCTGGGTTCTCGGAGACTCGGACTGCATAGTTAATCTAAACGCCCATCTCGATGGGCTTTACGTGTGATTAGAAGCTTCTATAAACGATCCATCGGCCTCATTTCTTCATCTCTTCATATCTCCAGGCCAAGAATGGTGAAGAAAAGCTCGCTTCACGCAACGTTCGCTAACCCCTGTTACGCGTTGAATCTTCGAAGCTTAGGCCGTTGCGACTCCTCCAAGCCTCGTTGCAACTGACACGAAAGAGGGTATCCTTGTCTTATTATCTATTAAAGCCCGCGGAAAGTTAAACTTAGCCATGAGCTTGTTGCATTCGCACTGCTGGGTATCTCGGCGGACCCGTATCCCTATTCCCTGGTCGCCCACTTCGACGATCCAAGCCGAAATGTTTACCCTTCCGCTCTTATGCTTCCGCCCCTTCCTCTGTTGTTATTTGGGGACGCAACTACGGGACATCGCTTTGGTACCCTTCCATCTTCCCTCTCGAGCTTCGATGTGTTGCACTTCAGCCACACACTGCCCACGGCGCTAACAATGAACCAGCTCTAATCCCACTCCTTATCGAGGGCACCATAGGGGACAATGGACTCCTGTTAATGTGCCTTGACATCTTTCGGGGCGCGCGGAATGCCCGGCGCAAGTTCGCCTCGGTCCGGAGAGATGAAAGAGGACGAGGACGTTCAGCCAGCTTGTCTGCAGATCCGCATGAATGCTGTCATGTCTCAGCTGTCGGACACATCGTGCTCGTGCTCTGCGGAGCGACAATCAGGGGAATACACTTGGCCCACCGGATCGGACGTCGTCTCTTCCCCTCCAAGATAACCGTTGATGGCGATACCGCCTCCCCAAAAGTCATCGTCTCCGCTGCACTGGGCAAGCTCGGGTCGCAATAACTCATCAGCCTATCCAAACATATCCCAATACACACCTAAGTTTGATATTTGGAATTCGTCTCCATCGTACCGGTGCGAATCCACTGATGTGTGTATGTCATTCAAATGTCATCCACACGCAATACATTCGTTCCTTATCTCTGATCAGACCAGTGGTCAATTTTGGTGAGCGGTTTGTCTGCTTAAGAAACTCGGTAGATATCCCAGTGTACGAGTGAATGGTCGAAGATCTTCTGTTTGATCGCAGAGCTATATAAGTCAGATACTGTGAGAGAGATGTGGCTGCTGGATAGGAGAAGCGTACATGCCGCCGAGATGATTGTGAAGTTCGCGATGAGTTGACATCGACGATGACCGACAAGCCGCTGCCAGAGCGGCGACTGTCAGTTTGCTTATCCCACTCGCCGATGTTGCCTGAATGGCACAAGAAATTGCGACATGATCATGATGAAACGAAGAAGACTTGCACTGGCTTGCATATTACGCCGTGCTACGCCGTCGCATCTCCATCCGACCGACTCGGCCTACGCTGGTCCTCGGCATCCCAACCCGACGTCCGAGACGGCGCGACTCGGAGACTCGGAGGTGGGCCCTTTTTGCTCCTTGCCTTGCTTCAGACCAACTCCATGGTGGTATAGTGCGTCGGCTCCGGTGTGTGTGTAACTCTGTAATAGCTCAAGCAAAAAAGCAAGACAAAAGATCCCGGATTCGAACAGGAACAAAGCACTTGAAGCTGCCCCTCGTGGCAGGGCGAGGGGCGGGTGCGATCGAGGGTGATGTTTTTCAAGTCCAGACATGTCAGCTATAATGCCCAGATGGGCCGGGCCTTGCCAATCATCGAGATAAGATTGTGTTCGGCGTCCGCCGTCCGCGTCAGCGACCGAGCGCCCCAAATTACAAAGGGGTATGTATGCAGCCCTATGTACTGTCGGCTGGATGTTTTCGATTTGTTATGTCCGTCGAGGTGCGGTATTCAGTCATGTTTGGACCTATTAATTTCTTGTGATGACCATGTGGAAGCAGAAACCAACGTACAAACATAGTACACGTTGCGTCGATGTCTCCGATCTCACTCCAGAAACAGCCGTCCTACGATTGAAGCATGAGCAAACCGTCAAGACTTCCATCAACGAGAACTTTACAGCTTTATCGCCGTCGCATGTCACATCTATAATGCCCAACACGGTCGGCGACATAGAAGACTACCAGTGCTTGATTGATGCTACCCACTCCGTTCCGTTCTCCCTCTATCCTATTCCGAATTTCCGATGCGGCTCCATTCAAGCTTCATTACCCAGATTTCGAAATGAGAATATCCTCCCTCTTTGAAGCCCCTGCTTCACAATGAAGCCCCTAGGAACCTATCTGATAACCCCCTAAGTTTCGCGATAGCAACCCCACAGCCACCCCCACATACAATGCATCAGAAGACTGTGCATCCCTGCGGCAGCGAGTTCTGGGGCAGCGCCGCACTGCAGATGTAGTACCCCACCGGCAGGCCCCCTAGCGAAACGTGTATGACACCAACTTCCCCATACTCCCCTCACATAATTACGATCGACAATTAAATCGGAGATCCTCCATCCCGAGACTCCCGGGCTTGCGATCATCGAGCAGATACAATTATATATCGCTGTAAATACACTACTTTTCTATAGATCGCAGACGTCGTCGTGGAGCTTGCTCCACACACGTCCAAGTTCGCTCCTCGAGGAGCACGGCAATCAGAATGAAGCTATGGCATATCCTAACCATTGCCTTCAACCGATCAATCGAAGCTGGGTTTATTTGGGCAAAAACCATGATGCATTGGCATGAAAACGCTAGCTATATCTACTCATGCGTCTATCGCACTAGCTCTCTAAGTATATAAGTACACATAACAGGAACGCGCCCCCGTATCGAATCGCATAAACACGAAACGCGACGATGAACAGACAAAAAGACAAAAAGAAAAAGACGAGGCTCGGAGCAGACAAGAGGAGGGAGATAAACAAGATAAACAACTAAAGTGTCCCCGGAGGTAGTATGTCAGAGTTGGGTGTGGTAGTGCGTGACGTACGTCCGTTGTTCATACGATTAGCCAGAGCGAGGAAATCGGGATCAATGAGGAGCGAAACAAGTACACAGGAAGACGGGAAAAACAAGAGGAAAAAGGGTGAGACGTTGTGGACAGCGCCTGCTATCGTACAAGCGACGGTATCACGGAAACAACAGTATCATGCGGGCTGGACGCCCGCTTTTGAATAAAAAGGTGGCCGGGGACCAGTACTTGTGGTTGAGGTGGGGACCGTGAGAGGAGAGGCAAAGGACGGTACGGCGTCCTGGCATAAAAAAAAGTGATGGTCCATGAGGTGCAGCGTCGCGTAAAGCGAGCACACGGAGGACGGAGAGATCATAATGTCGTCGTTGCGGAGCGCGTGAGTATGGTGTGCGAAGGTACGTGCGAGAGCACATGCGAAGCGCAAAGCGAGTCGGTGAACGAAAGTAGGAGTTATGGCGAGGAGGCGAGGCGAAAGGTGAGGCGAGGATAGAAGAAACGAGACGATGATATTGCGTTGATGTTGAGATTGAGCATCATTGTCGATGATAATGAGAGCGAGAAATATGTGCATTGTTGAGAATTATGCGGATATGATATCTGTACAGCAGTTAACACCAGATCAATGACTGATCTCGGAAAGGAAAACTCACGAGGAATGAGGCGGAGGCAAGAAGGTGCATACGTCTAGCCTCAGTGCCGAGGGACCATAGGGGAAAATGCGAGAGAAAACCGAAGACGAGAGGGAAAAAATAGATATGCCGCAAGAGCGCGGTCTTGCAGAACGTCTTGCGCGGTGACGAGGCGCCGAAAACGTACGATAATCGAATAGTGGTACATCGTCGTCCACGGCACTTGACGTGTATGGAGGACAGCAGATGACAGTTAACGAGCGTAAAGGTTTCTTTTATAAGTTAGGGGCGATGTGGCGGTGGGGAAACCAGAGCCGCCACCGAAATCAGGCCTAGGGGCTAAGGGAAGAGATGAGATGAAAGCGAAGCCTGATGAAGCAACCAGTCATCTTACGCGAGGATGCCTCCGTCGCGCCATGCGGGTATGCCGCTCGCCTGATTTGATGCTGAGGGACCTTGTGCGAAACACCATTGGGTGACGAACGCCTTGTAGAGCGAGTCGCTTGGAGAGCTGTCAGCTGGAAGGCCGCTGCCGAATGATGAGAATGCGGGATGGGAGGGCTTCGACGAGTTTGATGGGGGCAAACCGTCAACGTTAGATCGTGGCGGTGAGCGGCTCCGGGGGAGGCCCTCCATCGATGAGATGCTAGACGATGACGAGGATGGCGACGTGCTCCGACCGGGGTCCGATGCGGAACGGGTAGTCGGTGCCGGCTTAGCAGCCTTCGCTTTGTCGGCCATGTCCCCATGGGGTGCCTTCCAATCCCAGTCAGCATAGTGGCTGTTAACGTGGATAGTTTCTCGTTCATCTGAGCGCGCAGATTCACCGTGGTCCCACATAGTGGACTCGAAAGCACCGGAAGCAGGCATTCCACCAATGATGACCCGGGGTACGAGGCTGGGGCTGACATTGGGAGTATTGAGCGTTGAGGAGGGAGGCGACGACGTAGGCGACGAATCCTTCGCAGGTGCTGACGTGTCGATGGTAGGTTTCGAAGGCGAGGTCGAAGAGCTAGTGGCCAGCTCAGACGGAGATCCACCGAAGGAAACCGTCGTAGAGCGCATGCGAGGAGCGGGAGCAGGTGGCGGCGAGTAGTTGAGCAAGCTCAACCGACCGGTACGAGGCGAAGCACCAGGCTGCTGCACCTGAGGTGGAGCAGGGGTAGAGCGGATGCCATTCGGCCGAGATGAGGTGAACACACCAGCTACATGCTCACGAGAAGTAGAGGCAGCAGAGACACCAGCACCCGGATCTGCTGGACCAGTGAGAATTGATAGATGGATATATGCGACTGGAACTTACAAGAAACAACCTGTTTCCGGTCCCGGACAGTACTAGGCGGAGCAGCAGCAGCTCTAAAGCCAACCTTGTAGTTCCCGCCGGCGTTGTTATCCCACCATTCGGCACTGTTGGCGCGATACCGCACTGCGAGATGCATGACTCGGGTGCCGAGGGTAAGAGCGTAATCTTCCAGACGAATGGAGAAAGTGAAGCGATCCCACCCGTCTCGCTCCCGGTGAGGGAACGTGATGGGAAGTGAAGGCGGGAGATCTGGAAGCGACATGGCATGCTTAGCACTCGTTTCCGAGGTTGTCTGCCAATCATCGAGAGTAAACCGGAGAGCAACGTTCTTCTCGTAGGCAATATTGCGCACGAGGACGGAACCGGACAGGATGGGCTTAGGATCCGCAGGGAGGCGAATGCTCTCGAGGATGACATGGGGGGAAACGGGATGGCACGGCTGAGGTGCGGGGACAGTTGCTGACTGCACAGGGTCGATCTCGAAGCGGGGGACTGGAGGCATGACGGGGAAGGGGAAGCGGCCAGTTTTGAAGGACTCTCCATTAGACTCATCGCCAGTCTCTGTCTCATCCCCGTTGACATTGGGCGAGAGGAGGGCAGCGGGTCGTTGCGACCGGTTGAACGTACGAACGATGGTAAGGCTATCCTCGTTATCCGGGAAGTGGACATTCTTTGGCGTGGAGCAATACGCAGGCGTAGCAGGCTCCGATGCAGCACGGAGGTGCAGACGCGGCATGTTAGGGGCAGAAGATGAGGACTTCAACGACGACTTGAGGGGCTTGCCATTCGAGAGAAGGATGCAGGAGCTACCGCGCTGCAGATGAGACTGGGGAGAATGAAGAGGGGAGGTAGGCGAGGTGGGTGAGCCAGACCGAGGGAAGGGGATGCTCGTAGTGGTTACACTGAGCGTAGGGATCTTCTCTGGAGACGGGATGGGGGAAGACCGCTCGTCGGGCGAGCCAGAATCCTCATCATCGTCGTCTTCGTGGCTGATGTGGAATACGGGCCGGGCAGTCTTGCGCCTTGGGACAGCCATAGGGACGAAGGCGCCTGGCCCACGCTCAGCGGTGAACAGCGTGCGTGCTCGCCGTGCATGGAGAGGGGTGGTCGGGGATGAGGGAGACGTGGGCACGCTGAAGGGCATCCTAGTGCTAGTGCTGAGTAAAGATGAACTGGTGGGGTGGTCAGCGGTGTCTATGGGTATATAAGAGAGGAGGGGTGAGATGGAGCTTAACTTACCAGTGCTATCAACTAACGGGCGAACGGACAAACGGCCGAAGTCTTCTTGAGGGGATAGCAAAGTTTGCGCACTGGGGCGGCGGATGAGGAAGAGGGAGGGAGGAGGAGGAGGAGCGACCTAAAACGACAGGCACGACGCGACTCATATTATTCTCAAATCGTAGCCCATTCGAGTATTACCAAATCTAAAAAAAATTCCATTCCATGTTTCGATATCTCAGAAACCGCCCATAAAGATGCCGCAGATCCAGTCATCGAGATCTATGAGACCCACTTGGGTTGTCAATGCAAGATCAAATCTCCCGATCTTAATCTGTGCGCCGATGATAGCTGCCATTCTGGGCAGATGCTCCACCGAGGAATAGGCCCAGATCGAGGATTTCCCACCCACGTTCCTTATCTTCTTCTTCTCTTCGAGCTGGAATATCGCGCAACTTGTAGCCAATTCAATTGCCTACATAGTCCTCTCTTATCGCACCACCGCCCCTGCCTGACGACTCTTGCGCCGCTTGCACTCGCGCCCGCTCCCGCACCGACATATTACACACGCCCAGCTATTTCTGCGCCCGCCGCTACTTCTCGCGCTTCTTCCACTCCTCCCGCTCCTTGCTGGCCCATCGTCGTTGACGCCAGAGGACTCAAACTTTGTCATCGCTGACAACTACGCCCGACGCAGATGACGTCATATGTTTCCTAACGCGCGAGACTGGCGAACAAGCAGCGCTGGCAAGCGTCCAGGCCGCTCGCTGCCTTCGTCGGCATCCAAAATTTAATATTCTCGTGTGCAAAACAAGTTTAATGCATCATCGCATCACATACAGTACCTCCCACTTACGCCTTATCTATCATATAATCTCTCTCAGCAGTTGCTGCCCGCCTTAGGGCCGCCGTTGTCTCCCGCCGCTCTGAGCTCGCTGACCATCAATGAACGGCTGTCCGATCGCTGAGCTGTGTTAACGAGAACCTTTGTAATCGCTATCTTTGACTCAGCCAGGCTCGTTCGTACCGAACTCCGGGTGGCTAGCGTCAAACCAGTACTTTCAATAACCTATAATGTATGCATCGCAATCCATCATTCTCACTAGGCCCCGTGCAGACCGGTCCCTACTAATCCTCCAGGGAGAAGATTCTCTTTGTTCTCCTCGAGCTATTTCTTTGCTACCGAAGCGAATCCAGGCCTTCGGCAGAAGTTGCCGGAGATTTTCTGGTATGCACGCAGATACACGCGCGCAAGTGTGGTCAACGATTCATACGAGTCTGCCTTCAACATGTCTCCGTGATCGATAAAGCTCGAACTGCGCTGCGTTCAGTCACCAAACGTCACAAACACCCGGTTAGGTGTCTCGGAATGACGACACGCTAGTAAAGTTGACCTACGCGTACCTACGCGTACATGCAGATTCAAAAATTTCGCGTCTGACGTCGGCGCATATAACCACCGACAACGGCACTGCGATGTCGCTGTCGCGATTTTCAATCAAATCGATGCCCAGGCATTCGGGCGCAGCGCAGCGTATAGCCGCGCTACGAGCGTCTATGACGCACTGCGCCTGCATGGACGAAAGGTTGTTTGCTTCCGACCTGATGAATTGCAAGGTCGATTTTCTGTCGGCTCATACTAACGACCACATAAATTCAGTCAGTGCGCACGTCCAATTATTCTCTCTTACGTCTTGGCCTTACGATGCCTATACAGATATCAATGAATGCACATATCAGTTTTGTCCTACGCTTCGCAGGGAGAACGACACATCCACACTCCTTCTCAGACGCTCTTCCATGGAAGAGCGTATATTCAATCGAACGCTAAGCTCACGTAGTAATCTACCCATATCAGCTCATATCCTGATGCTCATCGTCGTGAAACACTGTCCACACGTCTCGCACCGGCGCCTAGCGCCCGGCGGCCCAACCACAGCTGACCACGACGAACAATATCGATCAGGTTCGCAGATCTTCGCAGCATATGGCCCATACAAGGCTCCCGAGGTTTTCGGTTTGTGCTGGCTGCAGACCGCGGCTAGTAACCGCCGCAACTCCGCCACTTTGTCAGGCTTCACGCGGCGCAATCCATGACGTCACAATGCCATTCGGGCAAATCTCGACATTGGTTTTCCTTTTAAAATTTCATGTTTGATCGATTGACACACGCTGCGTGCTGTATCCTCACTATATTGCGTGGCGAGACGTCATCCGTCTCTGTCTGGTTTTGTCTATTCATCCTGGACGACAGCTTCAAGTAAGTCCACTCTATTTCACTCAGACTCAGCACAAGCTAGGAGTGTCTGAACCAATATCGAGCCCGACCACACCGCCGATTCAGCTCGGAAATAGTTATCTGAGTCCTACGCCTCACCGTTTTGGTGAAACTTCATCAGCCCGAAAGCCGCCGCCCCGTCTCAGGGGGTCGCCTGGCCAAATGCTCAGGGCCGAAGCCAGAATTTTGCAACCCGCCTCGACCACTCCCGCTCGTTTGATACTGGCGGCCAACCCCTCCTAACAAACTGAATCGCACATCTCCTTCAATTTTCCGCGGCTTTCCCAGCCACTTCAACCGCCCGACGCATACATTCAAGACTCATGATGCATGATGGGCGCCTTCCACCCACACTTGACGCTCCCTACACGACAATGCTTCTCGAGTTCTAATACGTGCCATCGGACTCGTCCGTCCACAAGACGTGCCGCCCCCGGCAGGTCTATGTAGACAAGTATGGACTAGAGGCGCTTGATCCCCGTTGTCATTCGGCTGTTCTATTCTTTTCTTGCGCCTTCCCCGGCCGTCAATTTGGATACCTTGTGCCACTTGCCAGTAAGTGCCCCCGCATTTGGCTTTGCGTCTTTGTATCGTAAGTACCGCTCCAGTCACTTCTTCCACTCAGCTACTCTAGTCGCTTTTACGTGTTCTACAAGGTTCGCGAATTTCCACACGGCTACAGTTATTATTAAACGAGTCATAGCCCAGACGCCGATGTGTCGTGCTGAATGGCCATGGGCCAGTGCCCCTCGTTCGCGCGTTGTTATTCAAAATGTCATATGTCCGAGCTCGTGCTTACGGGGTTGCTGATGCTGACACAGGGTGCATATACGTCCGCTCGTAGCGGCACGTTGATTTCAAATGACAGAAAAGATTAATAGAAACAGATATAAGCTCAGTGAGAGGGCGGAAGATAATGACGCACACCATGACGCACTTTCGCGCGCGTCTTCCCGCGCACAAGGGAAAAATGCGACACATGATTCGAAACAATACTGCGCGACCCCCCGACGTGCTCGAGCGCTCCGGCCTTAGACGTTCATTTACGCATCAAAGGCGCATCGCGGGAGTACTACGTGGGTATTCCCCCTGAGCATGGAGAGGTGTCGAAGGGGTTTCGTATCAATAATTTTGGCGAAAGGGAAACCCCGACTAGTGAGAGAAGCGATGCCTCACTGTGTGGTGAACGTTATTCTTTTTCAAGCTTGATTGATGATTGTTGATGGAGCGTATGTGGAAATCCCCGACTGCTTTCAGGCAACAAGCTACAACATTTTCGCGCGAAGGTTTTACAGGTGCTTCTCCCCCTGTACCCCACACTTTACCCCGCTGGTCCTCGCACCAACGGAAAATCCCTTGAATGGGTTACGCCACCAATTTATCAGAATATTAGCAATGCAATGCACATAGATTCATGCGTGCCCAGGCCTCGGTCATTTGGAATACCTTCTTCTTGTGAGGCCCTGTCCGTCGAAAACACTTCTTCGTGTCCTCTCATTGCGCTCAGCATTGAACTCGTGATGAGCATGTACGTTGCACAGCAATTGTTTTTATCAACCCCGTACAATGTCTATTGATAAGCTTTTACATACCTGATAGTCTAGGATGTGCAGGATGTGCGCTTTCCTGGAAAAGTTGATCTTGGTTAGGCGACGTGAATACCACTCGATAACACAGCTCAGGCGGCCCCGACGGGACCTCTTTAGAAGGATGTTGAGTTCGCCAAGATGTATCTGTATCGAGCATGCGCAACCAGACCACGTCCTGACATTGAATGTTTGGATAACAGCTATCCACACCACTCGCAAGACAGTCACCTGTCGTAGACGTTCCTGGGCGTCTTTGGTCTCGAGTCGGCCTCAGAGGGTTCTTGGCGTGCCTTTTGTGCCTGTGCAATGAGTCTAGAGTCCGCTCGACTGAATATACGTGTCCGAATGACTCCAAACGGCGGTATCTGCACAAACCTTCGCGATACCATTGAACCTCTTCCAAGAGATAATCAAGAGATAAGGTTAGTATACGCAACATCTCGCCTGAGTAATCACCTGCGGATTCAGCAAACACGCGATCTAGCCCAAGCCCAAGCTCCTGGACTCGGATAAGACATGCCTTTGTGGTGTATTCTGCAATTGAAACACAAGCAAGCGATGACTTCACATATTACTGATGGGGAGTCTATTTCGGCGCCGAGTTTGACTTAGACGATGTGCATTCACTATCGAAGTAAGTTAGCACTGAAACCAAACAACGGATTTGAAACTTACGACGCTTCAAGTTGTCGCAGAGCACAAAGAGATACGAAGCCCGAGACTTCCTCATTATCGAGGCTGAAAGACACCGCGTGCTCAGAATGTGGGGTATGTGGAGAAGAAGGCGAGAGAGAGAAGCGAATATTTGAACACGCGGCCCCGGGTGACATTCGACACCATACTGGTGGCGGTGCGTATAGGTGCATATCGGAGCCTGTGGCGTGTTTCTCCGAACCCAGAAGTTGCTGGAGCTAATCTGAATCGTGTTTCGATCGTATATCGGGACTGACACGAGACTGACACGAGACGCAAGCGATAATTAGGTGAGTCGCACGCTGGCAGCCCACTTCGAATGGTTTGCACGCGACGACACGCGAGGTGGCTACTACGCGTTAGGCAAGGATTTGCGTTTTGGATGTCGATCCTCCGCTTACCCATGCATTACTCCAGATTACTCCTTCGATCCTATGAATCTCAAGTTCTCCGGCCGCAACGTAGTCAACATCGATATATTGATATCTGATGGCCAGGAACTAGCAATTACCAACAGAGGTCAAGCAATGCAAATCTTATCATCATACGGACGTAACTTGCTAACACTTTGCTCGCTTAGTGAACGATAAGAAGCACCTGCACGGCCGCAACACAATCTGTCCGAGGGCCGGAGACCTCGTATCTGACGAAGTCTAATATCAAAGAGTTAGTTGGACAACTGTTTGAAGTGTCAGCTAGTGCCAGCCCTAAGTCGGTCTCAGATCTGCGAACGGAACCGACGTCGTGGCGGTGAGGCAGCGACGCCGCCCGCCCCGCGCGAATCAGGACACTCCTCACCCCGCGGCCGCACCTGCCATTCCCAGTACTCCGAGGGATGTTCAGAGCTCGTTGCTAGCGCTCGTAGTCAGCATCTAACGTTATCGGTAAGCTCTCGGGTGCCTGGATGCCCCCGACGGCGAAGGAAGGTCGCACACCGCCTTTACGACACTGCAATCGCTTCTCGGAGGACTCGGAACGCGACGCCCACGATCTCGGGAAATGGGCGGCTATCGAACACCTCGAACACCCCATCGTGCAACCTCTGTTGAGTTTTCTCGCTGCTTCTCCTGACACGGCCTTCCGGTGGTACCACTACTTAGGATTCCGTGAAGTTAGGACCGTCTTCTGCTCACAGAGATACCTTAACTTTGGACTCTTAGTCCCAAGACGCCGCCCTGAGCCCTTAGTCGGGACGTGGCGATAGTGCACGGCGCTCCGACACCGATGGGAAACCTCCCCAGCGTCAACGTCGGCCGATGAGATGCAGGGATAGTGTGTACAGCGACGAACCGGATGGCGTGACTCCAGGCTGCGGGAATACAGCACCGGGAATATGTGAATCTTGGTGATTGCCGGTGACCAGACGGACGAGTTTGTCAGACGATGATCGGTGAGAGGCTGCTCGTAGGGATTCTCAAGAATCTGAGTACCCTCCGGTAAGCACAATCGCCTTGACCATGCTAGCGCATAAGGCTCTGGCACAGGTGACTAACTTTGCAGATGCCACTGAAACTCAGTGGTGCTTAGCGCCTTTTGCTCCAGCACCCTTGGAGGCTGGGGGGTAGGTTTTCCTGAGGGCGCCTCTCCTTTTGGTGTCGACAGGCTGTTAGGCTTCGGGCAACATAGCCTCTCAACCGCCGCCGAGCGCCCAACCTAACCTTGGCAGCTTCGGCAGACCTTTGTCGCAAGCCTCATCGTTCTTCTCGCCGCCAGCATCCATCAAGATGGCAAGGTACGCCGCCACGAAGGGTTATCGATCAACCAACGAAACCTAACCTTGCACCTCCACTCAGCCTTTCAGCATCCCGCAAAATGCAGCAGCTCCACTTCGTGTAGCTCAGCGAACCTCATCAAGGCCCCCTCGTCGCGAGCGCCTGTGTCCAGGGCAGCTTCACGTGAGCAATCCAAGAAGGTTCGTGCTCAGCATAAGGCAACCATGACATTCTGATACCTGGACGGTCCTCTTTCTAGCTTGAAACCGGTGATAGAGTTCTGATCCTATGGAATGGGACTAGACACTCGCGCAGTCGACAATCAATAGGTGCGCAGAAGCGTTTCCAGTTTGGTGCGCGTGTCCTCTTTTCTTATGGCTTTAATGATCCTCCGTTCGGGGCATCCATTATTACGAAGCCGCACTCGGCATCGCGCCCTACCATTGAAGGGAGTGGAGACGATCCGGTCTAGAAGGATCCTGTGGAACGGCGGCTTGTATTGAAGTCACCTTTTGCTAAATATGCCAGGGACTGACGATGTTTTGAATAACGTTTGTTAATCCTTATGTCACTAGACGAACCACAGCGCGCACAAACCGGACCATTTTGACCTCACAGCTCCTCATAACTGTGTAAGGTGTTGTCACGATGGATACTTCTTTGATCTGGTAAGCCTATTCGAAACCTTCCATCGACCCCACATTGCGACTATGCCCCCGACGTGGATGCCACTGTCGGCACGTCGAATTATGGCTGACAAATACGCTAACTCTACGAGTTAACTTATTGCTGGCTTCTTTCAGCACCCCGGAATCCCCAAAGCTTTGTCTGAACTATCTTATTCTGTCTTCATCCCCAGCGTTTCAACACGTTTCCGCGCAGGCGCCAGGTACGGTCTCAACGTGACCTGCTTTGCTCCACCTCCGACACATGCATGCACTTGCACGCACCAATCCCAAGCGTCTCAGGCACCCTTTGTAGCGGCTGGCTCAACTCCATTCCACAATCGTGCGTTCCCGCTCTCGTCGTCGTCGGCGGTCTCATCGCGCATCAAACTCAAGCTTGCGCCCACCTCCCCACAACCACGACCCCTCGCCGCCGGTCCATCCGGATCCGCCGTGCGTTTTTCTCAGGATGCTTACCTCACGCCTGTCCTGGATCTTCGTACTCCTGGTTACGCGGTTCTTCAGCGGCAGGTATCGGTAATCAAGAAGCCTCGAGCAGCGGCGAGAAGATTCATTTCTTATCGTCTTATCGGGACGCCACGGTTAGAAAATGTTGGTTGCTCGAGAGCGGCGTCGGCGGGTAAGTTACTAAATGCGTCAACCGCTAGTGGTCACCCGACAGCGGTGCCACGCCCGACGGGCATGGGGAAGCTTTTCCTACGCCGTGTTGGGAAAGTTCAACAGAACATACATATCAAGATGTGCGCAGATCACTATTGCGTCTGTCAGATGATCATGAAACGTGAATCTCCCAGTGTACCGAAAGCAAGGATGCGAATCTTTACGAGACCTCTTAGCTCATCTAGCGAGGAGACGCTACCTCAAACCGAAGCTCAGCGCAAGTAACACACCACGTTTTTCTGCGAGAGGGTGCGAAGTGAGGGTGCGAAGTGACTTGATCAAGCCACCACCATCCCTCGTAAATGTCTCACGACCGTGAAGGTACGTGAATGATCTTACAGATGCTTCGACACCAACGCGGAGCCTGAGGCTATGTGGTCCACAAGCTATCAACTATGGGTACGAATGAAACTGGACAATCAAGGTCATCAGCCCTTCATGGAGACCTTCGATTGCAGTCGTTGTGAGCAAGTGGACTTCGCTTTATGACTGACTGATAATCAATGTATTGCCAAGCATCACCTTACCCATATGTTGGCGCCGCAGGCCATTCAAATGTACCATCATGATGAGTATATCCTGACGTGGGCTGAAATCACGAGTGGATAAGCAGTGGATACGAACCAGTGCAACATACAGTACAGTGCACTGAGACTGGAAGCTCTCTTCTCTTCCTTCCTCTCGACATGTTGACAAGTAACGGAAGATACCTTAGATCGACAGCTTTGAACTCGAAAGAGAGGATCTGGCATCTGAGTAGCGTCGACGGTCGACAGCTGCTCCGAAAACATTTACATAGGAGGCATCGCAAGGACAAAACGGATACCAAGTCGGGCATTATGGCTTCATCGATGACTAGCGCGCTCTTCTGTCGGGGCGGTGAGCCCTTCAATGAGCATGAAACGATAAGCGCCATCGACAGGATGGCGTTGGCACTGCCAGACATCGCGTCCGCAAGGTCAAAGCGCCTGGGCTCTGCGGCTTGTGCGGCACGATTAGCCGAGATCCAAAGGCAAGTGTGTAAATCGATTCAATTGAGGCTTGCCGTTTATAAATCCTCAGGCACGGTGCCAACGCTGTGTCAAACGCCCGAAAATTTGACTCGCGATCGGCGCCGTTCGTCTGTCTGGCGTGTTGGCATGATGCTGAGAATCCTGGTAGACAGGTGTGCTGTTGAGTTCTCGAGAATGGAACACGGCCCGGAAGCAATGGCGATCTTTGAGTTGCATTTTGCGCGAAGACCGCACTATAGTCGTGAGAAGCCGGCCGTGGAGGAAAGAGGGGGAGGAGGAGGGAGGAGGCGCACATAGTCTGCATGCACTAGTCGTTACCAACAGAAGGACCCACTGAGAGCGGATTCAGGAAAGCGGGCTGGAAACATTTGAGCCGGAGGAGTTCGCTACTACATTACCTAGTTCAAGTTGGAAAATCTTACGCAAATCTACGCAAGAACGTTGGTCGGTGTTTATAACGATGTAAAGGTTGCGCGGCCAAGATCAACATTGTGATTTTACTAAGACGGCCGCTGACGGCCGTCAACCAGCGCGTCCGCGTCGTCCGGGATACTTTACAGTGTCAAACGGGCCTAGGCGTCGACAATCAGGCTTTAAAGACTTCAACACCGTTGGCTGAAATGGGTACAGATATCTCGGCTGACCCACACATTCGTTTGCGCAGATTCATGAGTAGAGACCAGATGAACTACCTCAGCTATATCTGTGAATCGAAGATAATGTGGGTACTCGAAGACCTGAGGCCTGAGGGCTAGCTAGTGAATTGGATGCAACGATGTCCATGAACTACTTTCCTTCTTGAACCTCGAAAGCCTGTTGGATACCGGATTTAGAGTGGCAATGGTGGCAATTGTGCCTTCTCTGTTTTAGGTTGATGAGATTGTACCAGGTGGATACATGGGTTCTTCGTCCACGCCCGACACAAGCAACGCATGAGCGATGGTATCCTCTCAATCAGATATAATTACTTCACAAGGTTTTACTAAGAGGCGCGAGCACCCATCACAGTGCCATAGCGGCACAAGCTTGCAGCGTGTGCAGCCTGAGTCACGGTACTGGTGGTTTCAGAACCGTTTCGTGGATTGCATCCAAGCCTCCATAAGACTCCGAGTACACGCAGAGAAGGGAAGCACTACATAGAGACGCGAAGATGCATGATCACTTCCCCTTGCAGCGAAGCAACTGGCTCCATGGTATGATCTATTCATGCAGCAGTCTGATGCGACTGACCGGCTGGATGAGGAGTGCGCGACGTTGTCTCACTGGTGGGAACACAAATGCGTGAATCAATACTGCCACTGAGTATGTACTGAATGTCAATAGAAGAGCATCCATCTCTAACTTTCCTAACTGTGTTCCCGCCTACATCCACGGTCGCAGACCAATTTAGAGTGTGGGGGCGTGAGCTGTCGGTGGCTAATACGATAGCGCACCAATATGTCCAAGCAGATACTGGCTCTGAAACCGCCGTGCCTGACGCGATGTCTCGCGACGTGCGCCAGCTGACCCCGACACCCAAGAAAGGCCAGACTTCGTAGTCAGCTGCTGCAACGCCATATAACCATCGACGTCCCCCGAACGTTTCGATTGGAGAACCATCATCGTGGGGCACTGCTCAGAAGGCAGCACCCCAGTCCCCGAGGGCGGTCGCCAGACTCCAACACCCTTCTACACGCGCGCCGCCGGGGGCTGAACCTCCCCCCGATCTCGCGATGAATGGGGGATGGATGGTTTACCTCCCCCTCTGTCGGTTCGCTATCTACCTTCGATGTTTGTTTCATCAGCTGCGCAGCTCCGCTCTGGCGCATCAGTACGAACCTCCTCTTATAAGTTACAGCGTCCATGTATCGTTGTTTTATCTGGATCAGATTATTTAGATGAAGTAGCTCTGAATGCTTAAGACCTGCCTCTCTGAGATCATTTAGTAGCCTGTGCGTATCAGCTCTCTGCCAAGTTCTGATCTCTTCCAATGTCTCCCAGTTGCTGTGTGGGACGTTGAGTGGAGATACCAACATACCCGCGTTCGCCTCGTATCTAGGGGCATCGAAAGACTTCTTGTTGGTGGCGAAGTACATCTTCGAGGTAAGTTCTTCCCTTCATCTTGGCAAATGAAAGTTCTCCGGCCTCGGAAGCTGTCCTACGGCCGAAAGGCGCCTCGGGCGAGGTTGGCGATGAACCAACATCGCTAGTTTATCTCTCAGATAAGAATTCACGAGGTGAAATGAAATCAAGAACTGTGGAGATTCGTCTTTGATGATTGACAAGACGACTGCGGGAGCGTCAGGACAGCGTGAGCGCCTGTGAGCACACGTTTGCGACTGCCGCTGTCCATTTCTAGTTAGCGATGGTTAGCTTACGCTTTGGATGGAGAAATGAATTGGTCCCTGTTGATCCTCACAATATTAGAGTTGGAATAGTGCGGCGAATGTAACACGCCCATCACCCCTGATTTGCTTGTCCTGTCAAACGTTCATTGCAACTGACAAGCACGGGATAGCTGACAAGAAACCTGCGAACTTATCCGTGCGAAATGTCGGTCAGAAATCAAGGGATGTGCGATATGAAAACAGAATTACACCTCAGGATTCAGCCTTCAAGACAGCTAGAATGATGGTAGCGTTAAGCGTACATGGGTTTATCGGGCACACGAAGGTGTAGGATATCATTGCATGACGAGAACCGATGTACGCAGTACTGTGGTTTTCGGCGCAGTCAATAAGCAAGCTATTGATCTTACACGAAGGGGTGATTTTACCAAAGTCTAAATGAAATGCGATAGTCATTTGTGCACATATGGTGTTAAGTGTTCACGGCAAAAAGAAGGAGGAACACTGAGTCCCCGTTTAGGACAGAGCATCCTTGGGCAGCCCAAACCAAGCGTTAAAATGTTCCTTTCGAGCTGCGAATTTGAGATCAATAAGAGCTTGTAACTTGTGAAGGGAGAATTAGATACGCACAATGCCGATCATGACAGCGGCCCCTCGTCGAACAGCACACAATGCACCGTACTCAGCGTCATCGGAAACAAAAACTCGTTCAGCAAAATCTGAACCTCTGCTTCGACACCATTTTAATCAGCTCATTCCACCCTCGGCACTTAAAGACTGTACTCACGATCGTTGTTCAACTGGAAACCCTGCACGGCCGGCCATAGCGGGTCAAACGCCGCCCCACCATTGTCTTCATCGTCATCTGTATCTGAGTCTTCCATGATATTGACGATGTCGTCGTCGTGCTCTCCGGCATCGAGTGGCGGTGGGTCGGAGTCGTCGTCGACGCTGCCGAAGGAGTCGCTATCGTCCGAGTCGCTCATCTCCATGAGCGCGGGCATGGATGGCGAAGAAGGGGCTGAGCCTTCTTCAGTGGTGATGCCCGTTGCCGGAGAGCCACCGGTGTCGCTGTCGTCGTTTACCTCTTCGACTGTTGCTGCTGTTGATGGTCCTGCTGCAGACCCGTTCGTACCATTGATGGCAGCGGTAGAGGAAGTGCTGGGTGGTGAAGAGGTAGCGGCGGGCGATGATTGCGGAGGAAGGGTAGATGTAGACGGCTTTGCGGTAGGGATAGGAGGGGGTCCCGCGGCGGGTGGCGGAGGGCCAGTAGCTAGTTCTTGCGCCTCTTCCGCAGTATCAAACAAAACATCAACATCTTCGTCATCGTGGTGCGCGCCATTCGCATGTCCGTTGACCTCAACCGCCGAAGACTCTCCCTCGAGAGGAGGAAGAGGAGGAAGTTCGTCTTCCGCATGTTCGGCATGCCCATTCAACAGAGGCTCCTCATCCACATCCCCAAGGCCCTCGAGCGGCGGCAACTCAATGTCCTCCGGCTCAATCAACTCATCTTCCCCATCCAGATCCATATCCACTTCTGCCACATGCTCCTGCACAGCTTGCACGAGGCCGGGGCCAATCCCGAACTCGCCGACGCCCTCGATTTGCACGCTCATGCCGAGCGGGTTGTCCACCTGGTGCCCGCTCCGCACGTGCGCAGCGGGCAGCTCGCTTGAAGGCTTCCAGTTGAAGTAGACGCCGCGGGATGTGAGCTGGAGACAGGAAACGAAGCGGAGCCATTGTTTGTTCTTGAAATGGATGAGGCGCGAGACGGCGATGGACGAGGCGATGTCGGATGGCTCGGTTCCCGTGATGGGGTCAACTTCCTGGGAGATGGAGAGGAGGAAGATGCCTTCGTGCTGATTATGACGTCAGTTATATTTCGAGTAGCACAGATGAAACTAGTACAGTGGACACGGCAATTCTGTTTCCTTCAACAGCCAGGTAGGTCGCGCTTTGTGTCGAGTACATGTGCTTTGAAGTGATGTCGAGTCGCAAGACGGAGGCATCTCGCCCAACATCTCCGCTGATGATGCCCTTGATGTTCCTGTATATCATGAGATTGGCACCGCAGGTGAGCAGAATAAGATCTCCAGAGCTTGTGACATGGGCTTCGTCGAACCAAATGTAAGCCCTTCTGCTTAAACACCGAGAAACAGGGGTTTACCTGCCATGAACTCTTCAGAGCCACTTGTCCTCGCCGCCGGTCCAATTTTCATCGGGGCAAGCTCGTGGGCTGTGTTCTCCGCTGGCATTACACGTCTTTTCGACTTTGGGAAGTCATCCTGCTGGAGCATAAACGCGACCGAGCCGTCTTCACGCGAGAACATTCGGAACGACTCCGAGCCGCATATAATGGCATAGTCCGGGGTAACCTCGACGTACCGAACGATGCCGAGATTACCAGGCCGTCGCTGAAGCTCGGTGAGGGTTTGCACCAGGGTTCCCGAAACGATATCCCAGAGAAATGCCGAGTTCGTGCCTGCGACGAAAAGAGTTGGGTACGAGAGGCGTAGCGCGCGAGTGGGTTCAGGGCAACGGAGCAGGGCATGTGGTCTGAAGCGTGCCCTAGCCGGGCTGGTGACATGGGTCGCACCAGCAACTTGTGCGATTTGATCCTGAAAGTCGTTTGGAGGAAATATTTCAGAAGGCTGGACGTCCGTACGGTCGACCGCGCACCACACTTCGTAGCAGCTATCTGGGCGCGTGAACACGAGAAAACCACATTCGTACTCGCAATGTACAAACTCCGCGATGTACCCCTGCATAGTTCGTGACCAGTAAACATATGGGCCCTTCGACGAGGCTATGTCCACATGTGGAATGTGGGTATATGCTCACCCGCGGTAGAGACCAAAGGACGATGTTAGTGTCCAGGTCGGTGACATACAGTCCTCCTCGTTGGATGGTGGTGATGACAATTCTGCGCTCTTCATCGACCTTGATGCGATGTACCGACTTTCCACCCGCCGACAGTTCTTTTGGGGTGACTGGAGCGTGTCCGCGCCAGCTGCGTTCGTACTGCAAGACGCGTTTACCTGTGGTCCTGAATCAATACCAGGGCTACTCGACAGATCGTATAATCGAGCATACAGAGCTCCTTCCATCCACCCGCCTTGGAAGCAATGTCGGCATCGACAGTCGCCTGGGGTGGTACGAAGCCGTGGAGGACCGCCGCGTTCCGGTAGATCTGGAGCTCGTTGATGCTAACAAGCTGACTCCATTCCTTCGACACGGCAGCCGAGTTGGCAAGGCTTTTGAGCGGGATGTGTGCGAGGATATGCAACGCAAGTTCTGTGGGTAGACGGTGCAGCATGCTTTATGGTGGTGCAAAAAAAGGCATAGACTTGAGTGAAGGGGACAAAACGGTGGGGCTGCAAGCTAACGAGGGCTAGCCTCTGCAAGATAGGGACGTCGGACTTCGGATCGTCTGCCCCTTGACCTCATCCCAACCTCATAACGCGAGTGAACCCACCGTCCACTTACAACTCCGTCTTGAGCACTCCATTCTTTACGACGACACCCGGGTCTAAGGGACATGGCCGCATCATTGCTCGATCGCATCGGGCCTCATGCACCCGTTGCGTCCGGCAGTTCTCTGTCTATCAACAACTCAGACACGTCCAACACAAGGAACCGTCCTCCACGAAAGCGCAAGAGAGGGCAGCATAACACGGATGAGGGTGGTCAGGTCTGGCTAACACCCTGGGTGAACAACATCGGCATGACGGAGTACGAGAGCGTGACTCAGCGGTGAGTGCGGACCTGTTCGAACCTTGCGAGAACTCACGGCAGCTTCCACTAGGCTACACGACGAAATCACCGCGTTCGTCACATATGTCGGCCTCACTTCGCAGGAGGAGTACATGCGTGAACAAGTTCGCGCACTCGTGCACCGCATTTTACGAAACCGCTTTCGCCGCTCTGAAGTGAACGTGTTCGGAAGTGCAGCTCAGGGCTTGAGTCTACCGGGCGGGTGCGTACGCCCGCACGTATTCACATTGTATAATGCTAATCTGTTTGGTCACCTTCAGGGATGTTGACATCGTCCTCTCTCTCCCGCATGCCGACAGCCGGTCCGAGCTCAAGACTTCTCTCTTCCAGCTTGCTGCGATGCTCAAGCGTACTGGTGTAGCATCCGACGTCGAAGTCCGTCATCAGGCTCGAATACCTATCATATCATTCCAAACCGTCCCCGAACTATGTGCGTCTCCTTGCCTTTCCGCCCATGATATCCTATGATTAACAACCAAATTACTTACCAGGTACTCTCCGCTTTGACATTGGTGTAAACAACGAAGACGGCCTCAAAGCCTTGCCCATCGTCGAGAAATATATGCAAGACCACCCCGTCCTCAAACCGCTCATGCTCGTTCTCAAATCCTTCCTCTCACGCCGTGGGCTTAGCAGCGCCAGCAACGGCGGCATCAACAGCTTCGTCCTCCTCTGTATGGTCGTCAGCTTCATACAGGTCAGCCCTAACCCCCTTGCATTGACTTGTAACCATTCGGACTGCCACCCTTCTCCCTTGTTCCAGACTGCTGCAACGTCATGCTCGTGTTCATGCTCACAAACGTAACGCAGCTCAACCCGCTGAACCGCCCCAGGGAGGACTTCACCGACTTCATGCAGCGCGAAACACTCGGCGTCCTCCTACTTGGCTTCTTTGAATATTACGGCTCGCGCTTCCCCTATTTGACCTCGTACATCTCCATCACTGAAGGGCGGCTCTTGCCCAAGCCCTCCGCGCCTTGGATATCTCATCCTACAACGGACCGCCTTGTCATACAAAGTCCACTGGACCCTGAGCGCGACTGCGCAAAGGCTGCGTCGCGGATAGAGCAGGTCAAGGAAGCCTTCAGAGAAGCCAAAGGTATCCTGGAGCGTATCACGCTTCCTTTGCGCTCTAATAACCATCTTGGACTCATCATCGGTCTCAAGCAAGAGGTAACGGCCTCGCTGTTTTTGAGGTGATGCTGATTCTTCTCGTAGGCTGTCCAGCACCGTGAAACTGTTCGGTCGCTCGTGGACAACGGCGCCCTTGTTGCAAGGATAAGGCAAATTGACTCCCTCCTCGTTTCAGAACCCCGCCGGAATTATCACAATAACGCTAGGGAGTATAATGCGCCTTATAACGGCTACGGTCGGATGCAGAGAGCAGGTGGGGAAGCATCTAGGAGGCACAGGCCCTACTAAGGACTTACGAACAACTCGCTTGATTATCTCATGTATTTAGATACACTCTTGTACGGTCATTCAGGTCACGAATACAGAAGTTTCTGCATAAATCATGCGTAGAGTTTTGCATGTGCCCATAACATGATGACATGATAGTAAAAACAACGTAGACGGGGAAAGGGTTAATACATTTACTCCTCTTCCTCCTCGTCGCCACCATCCTCCTTCTTGGCGGCAGCAGCGGCGCGCTTGCGCTTGACACGACCGGGGCGTCCACCACCGTATGGCGAAGTGAGGGCGAAGTCGATGTGTTTTTGGGAATCAAGACGGACGACGAACGAAGGGACGTCAACGATCTGCTTGCCCACACTGGATGACGCCATCAGTATCAGGGCCTAAGCCGGGGCAAAGATAGAGGACATACCGAATATGGCGCTGCTTGATGAGGACACGGGCGTGGTGGATGGACTTGGCGAGGCCAGTCTTGAAGACCTGGGTCTGGAGACGACGCTCCAAGAAGTCCTCGACCTTCAGGGCGAGCACGTAATCGAGACGCATGCGGGTCTCGTCGAGCACACCGATGCGGACGAGACGGCGGATGAGGGCGTTACCCTCAAAGAGACGCTTGGGGTCCTTGGCATCGAGCTTGAGCAACTCACGGGCAGCACGACGGATCTTGGAGAGGACAAGACCAATGCGCCAAATTTCGCGCTTGTTGCGCAGGCCGTATTCGCCAGCGAGCTGGGGTGACGTTAGGTGAGCGCTTGGGAGGGGATGAAGGGGATATGGAGGGCGCACCTTCAGCTCGGCATCGAGACGAGCCGACTCGAAAGGTCGACGGGGGACCTTGTAGCTGTTCAAAAAATAAACATGGGGCACGGCTTTTGGTCAGCTCGATGCATCCCTCCACGCAATGTGGATCTTGAAGAAAACGGTGCTCACGTCTTGCTATGATTCCTCGGGGCCCTGCAAGACGGTCATCAGCGCGATCGGGGAGCGAGGCGGCAGTGAGAACACATACCTGGGCATTTTCTTGAAGGAGGACTTGACGGGTTCAGAGGCGCGACCAGGTGGACTTGCTTAGGTGGGTGGTGGCGGCGCAGCCACAGCTGTACAGCTGCTTGGCAGCCACCCGGGAATGGCCGGTACCCAACTTTGGTGTAACCGTTATCGACGCCGCCGACACTGTAAGTATCCCAGCGTCGCTGCTGCCGTCCTCAAGACCCGCTCCTCAACACATCAGTCAATATGCCGCACTCCTTCGGTTACCGCGCGCGCACGCGCGACATGTTCAAGCGCGGCTTCAAGCGTATGTCACCCCTCGGCTAATCTACTGAGGGGAGAACTTTGCGCTTATGTTACGGTCTTGCAGAGCACGGCCCTATCAAACTCTCGACGTATCTCATCACCTACCGTGTCGGTGACATCGTTGATATCAAGGCCAACGCCGCTCAGCAAAAGGGCATGCCCCACAAGTACTACCACGGGTGCGTACAGGAGCTATGATCTTTCCTGATCTTCCATGCTTACTGTAAATCCAACCCTCGTTCAGCCGGACTGGTATCGTCTACAACGTCACCCCCCACGCCGTTGGCGTCATCGTCTACAAGGTCGTCGGCAACCGCTACCTCGAGAAGCGCGTTAACCTCCGTGTCGAGCACGTGAGGCACTCGAAATGCCGACAGGAGTTCCTCGACCGCGTCAAGCGGAACCACGACGCACACGTCAAGGCCAAGGAAACTGGCGGTGAGCCTCCCTTCCTCCTCTCATAACTGTGTCCCCTTTTGTGCTGACGAGAGATGCTGCTCATAGAGCGCGTGAGCCTCAAGCGGCAACACGTCCTCCCACGGGAGGCCCGTACCGTCACCATCGCCCAAAACGCACCGCAGACGATGCGCCCTGTCCCATACGAGACGACGATTTAAATGGGGTGGGTTACTTTACGTGCATATCGTATGAGGCGTACCTATATGTTTGCGACTTTTCTACTGCTTTCATGCCTCCATGCAATTATCATGACAACATCCATGTTGGCGATACATTATTCGAGTTCGAGATTAAGATAGAACCCCAGGAGTTCCCGTTTTCCCAAGGCCAGCCATCTGAAGGGACGCAGCTACTTGGCAGCGTTAGGTCGACTTTATCACTTCGATGTATGAAATTGTCCGTATGAACGAGTGCGCAGTGAAACTGCAGTGCCTTCTCTAAGTTCACAAGCCAGACAGGCAGTAGTCGTGTTATGCAATCATGAAGCGTAGAGAGAGATATGCATAGCAAAGCGCGGGGAACGTGTGAGTCGTCGCACTCTTGTAAAGCGTGACGCGCGTCAATTTGTTTGCTTTCTCACTCTCGAACCACCATCACACTTACACTATGCCGTCTGGCCGCGACCGCTACAGAGACCTTTCGCGCTCTCGTTCACCCGCAAGGGATCATGACCAGGACCGTAGCAGGGATAGTCGAAGTCGTCGCAAGCGCGACTCCCGTTCTCGCTCGCCGGACACAACACGTCTTCCACCTGGTGTTGACCCTATCTCGGAGTCGGACTACTTCCTGAAGAACACGGAGTTCAGAGCGTGGCTCAAAGACGAAAAGGACAGGGTTCGTTCACGTTTCAATGAATGTGAGGCGTTCATGTACTGAGAGTGCAGCATACGGCGGCATACTCTTGGTCTCGGGATCCGATAGTATTTCGATGAGCTCTCGGGTGAAAAGGCTAGGAGGTGAGCTCGTGGGATCTCGTTGCTTCACTCCGTTCTCATGTTCGTTCAGCTATTTCCGGAAATTTGTGAAGGTACTGCTTCATGTTCGCTTGATGGTACATGCTGCTTATTCCTGATATTGAATGAAGGCTTGGAACAAGGGCAAACTACCAGGTACGTTGCTTAACGTGGATTTAAGATTCCAAGAGTAACACATACACCCCTCCAGATTCCTTGTACGACGGCTCAACCACCGACGCGCCATTCTCGGCCAACCAAACCGCATCCAAGTGGTCCTTCACCTCCAAGACCTCATCAGCCGATGCTTCCGCCCTCCGCGCCATCCACGATGAAGTTAACACAGCCACTCACGGCTCGCGGTCTTCCCGCACCGGTGCATTCGGTTCAGCATCAGCGGCCGGCAGCGGCCGGCGGCAGGGCCCCACCCTGCCGTCTGCGGAGGACGCGATCCTCGCGCGCGAAGCCGCGGTGGAGGATGCGGCCGCTGAGAGGGACTACAAGCGCAAGCGCGACAAGAAAGCAGCGAAGGACCGCGTTGAGGATGCAATTGGGCCTAAGGAGGTTGGGCGCGAGGGCATGCTAGAGAAGAAGCGCGCGCAGAGGGACAACGACCGTGCGTTCCGGGAGAAGGGAGACGAGGGCCTCGAGCTTGATGAGGGCACGCTTATGGGAGGTGGGGATAGCTTCAGGGATCAGTGCGTTGTTCTCCCCCTCTCTCGCGCGATACTTCTGACTAGCGAGTACTGTAGGATTGCTCGCCGTGACGCTGCTCGGAAACGGTTCGAGGACAAGAAAGTGGGTGATAGGGCTGTTGCTGGTGAGCGCAGCGAGGCTTTGCGCCAGAAGGAAAAGGCAACGATGGATATGTTCCAGCAGCTTGCGAAGCAGCGTTTCGGGTAAACATTATTGCAACGTATGTTAAGCATGACTATGATGTGGTCAATGTATATGCACCTTTCTAACAACTCTTGCCCCCAACGACTGGTGTTGTTTGCAATCCACTCATCATGAGACTAGCTGCTAGAAAAGGGGAATGGTTGTAGGCGAGCTCAGGTGCTCAATGAGCGGCCTCCGCCATAGCTCTTCGCGACCATGAGGCAGGCTTCTCTAACCCATCGGGAAGTTGAGGGACAGAATGACTGGGTGCGGCCTCGCGCCATCCATATATAAAACACACGCCTTGCGCTGACTCTGGCTAGTCCTTCAATGGAGAACCTATGGATTCCAGTACGACCTTCCTTCTGGCACCTTCTCTGACCTGCGCTGACTCCCACGAAGCCTGCAGTTGCCCGCATCCTTGAAGCTAATCTTGCGCTTCCTGCCGCCAGCCGGGTACCGCTGGAGGTCATCACAAAGGTCTTTCAGCACTGTATACCACATGACACAGTCTGCCGTTCATCCGCATGCGAAGCTCCGCTGCTTCTCGGTCACGTCTGCAGCGCCTGGCGCGCTTTACTACATGCGACCCCATCACTGTGGACGTCTTTGTGTATACACTTACCTGGTTCGCCTATCTGGTGGGAGGACTTCGTCGACGAAGTGCTCGCAATCATGGATATGTGGATCCGTTACTCGTCTTCTCTTCCTGTTTCAATCTCGTTCATTCAAACAGGCAATTTCCCTCCGAATCAGCTTTCTCGAATCGTCGACAGTCTCTGCTTACATGCCCATCGATGGGGGAGCATCAAGCTGCGGGGTTCGAACATCATCCTGAAGGAATTCTGGCCCGTCTTTCGACAGAGACTTGTTTGTCTTGAGTCTCTTGACTTTGAACTTGACCTTGATTTTCTGGGGAAAAGCTTCGTCAATGTAGATGCATTAATTGTACCCGATAGAGTCCCTCGTCTACGGTCTCTGACTACGTCAGGATTTCCACCGACCATCAAGTCATTCGATAATCCTACCTTCCATCCCAATATCTACTCGCAACTCGAGGCGCTGTCCGTCGCATGGGAGAGCCCAGCGACTAACACGAGTCACTACCTTACTCCATATCAGGTCATCCATGCTCAGAACCTCGTCATCCTAAGCATCTCGCTGAACGACATTGGATCTCCATGGAGCCATAGAAGGTATGCTCCCCAAGGCCCTGTGGTTCTCCCTCACCTCGCGACCCTTCGATTACGTCGCACACATCCGTCTCCGATGGCGGCAGGCTTCGTTGATGGCCTCTTCCTCCCCCAACTTCAGTGTCTCCACCTTGACAGTTTCGCTATCTTCCGACCCGAACTGAGATTATGGCACGGGAGCCTGTTCAAGAACCTGCTCATACGGTCCAAGTGCTCGTTACAGGCGCTCACCATTTGGCAGCTGTCGTTTGCTGAAGAAGACCTGCACGATATCCTCCTGCTCTCACCTGACCTCAAAGAGTTTTCATTCTTCGATCCCTATGCAGAGGCGGCATGTCGAGAGATAATGCGTAGGCTCACTATTTATGTTGGTGGTGCCGTATTATCCATGGTCCAGGGCCTAGAAACCCTACGTCTGGGTTTCTCGTTGACTCAATCGCCTTCGCTGGAGGGCTTAGAAACGATGATCGAGTCTCGTACGAGTGGACATTGCAGCGAAACGGAGGAGCGGACTTACTCGCTTTGCCGAGTGCGGGTGCAGATTGATCTTGCCTCGCACGGGCACGGTGATCGCGTTCACGAGGTTCAAGTTTTCAAGGCGAGGGTGGACGCGATGTCCCATAGTGGCCATCTAGATACTCGAGTCGACATATCAAGCGCATACCGGCCAGAGTACTTGAGTATGCCTTAGTGATAATGTTAGGGACAGCCGTGACACCGTATAAAGATAGAGAACGGTATGACAAATGTTGAGTGCGGGCCATGGAGTCATGCATTCATGGACTGAGCGGCATTTACCGGCGGTACCACAAACGCGAGAAGGTGACTGCGTGGCATCAAATTGCCAGCACAGCTCTCATCGTCTCGTACTCTCGTAGAGTTGATGTCGTTTCCACACGTACCCTCTCACACAGCATGTCAGAAGATTGTTCTCCGGCCAATCTGGCTAGATTAATCTCGACCAGTAATGCATCTCTCCAGCAACACATCACACTCTGAGACGTGCTTTCATGATGCAGTTGAAGGCACGTACCTTATACTAACTTCGGGGCACTCGGCCACTCGTGCGACGTCGACAAGTACATATCGCTACCATGCTCTCCTGGACAATGCAGCCAGGGGTTCCGGGGATTTGGGTCCGCCCGAGCATTCACTTACTTGTTGGCATGGCTGTCGAGCCCTCTCAACACTCGCACAAGGTGGCACGCCATGGCTGATTGCCGCACTCTGCTCGCTGTCGAGTACACCGGAATACTGATGGCGAACATGGGGTCAGGAACGGCACCTCGTGAACTTGGGTGTCATAAAGCCTTGGCCTACCGAACCTTCGAGCGTATCTTGTTCCCTTCCCCAAAGCCTCTTCTCCTCGACCGCACTCATAGGCTATGGCTTCTTTCCTCGCTACAATCCTTCTGGCCTCTGCTGCCGTCGCGACGCCTTTGGCAGCTATTCCTGTCGATGCTGCCGCGCCAAGCGATGCTACTTATGAGGTACTATCGTCCAACTGGGCTGGCGCCGTTCTGCGCAAGGATGCGGTTCGTACAAGATACATGTTAAAAAGCGGAATATATGCTCACCCATCCTTTCAGGATACATTCAAAGCAGTTACTGGCTCATTCAAAGTCCCCAAGCCTACTGGCTCCGGCTCTGCTGCCATTTGGGTGGGCATTGACGGCGCCGACTGTGGTGTAATCCTGCAGACTGGCGTCGATGCCACTATCAAGAACGGTCAGGTCTCATATTCCTGTGAGTAATTTTGTCGATAAAGTATGTAATTGTTTCACTTACACAAGCCTTTAGCTTGGTACGAGTGGTTCCCCGACCCCTCGCACGTCTTCACCGGCATCGAGTTCTCCGCCGGAGACGAAGTCACGCTCACCGCCACTGCACACTCGAATACCACCGGCACGGTGACGATCGAGAACAAGACGAAGAACAAAAAGGTGTCCTCGGACGTCAGCTCTTCGCACGCTCTCTGCCAGAAGGATGCGGAGTGGATCGTGGAAGATTACTCGTCCGGCGGCCTCGTCCAGTTCGACAACTTCGGCACGGTAACTTTCACGAACAACGTCGCGACGACTGCCTCTGGCACGGTTGGCCCCGCCGGTGCCCAGATCTGGGATATCTCTCACAACGGCACGCAGCTCACGCACTCTTCAGTATCGAACGGGAACGTAATCATCAAGCACTCGTAGAGTCCTATATAGGATGTTTGTTTCTTCGGATAGTGGCGTATATTTATTATGATCTACAAGATTTCCTTTCATTTTGGACGACTTACTGGATTACTGACGACCCAGATGGCTGTAGTATGACCTGACGTTGCCTGCACATAGCCGCGGAAATACCGAATGAGAAACGCAGTGTCGCGTGGACCTTACGCGGCTCTGGATTGATGACCATTGATATTGAGAGGCGAGCATGGGCAGCGAGAGTTAGCATTTGACCTAAACAATGACTGATACGTTGTCAGAGCGTAGAGGTCATATGATTATGTATTCGACGTCAATAATTATATTTGGTCACAAGACGAGTATATAAGTAAAGTCTGTATGTTGGTATATGAAGGAGGGATGCGTCGTAACTTAGAGGAATGAACGTCCGGTGGTAAACACTGTAGTGTCAGTCTGTACATTTATGTGTGTTTGATGACGACGTTTCCGTTCGACACCGAAGACTGTGTCAAAACCTTTCCACTCTGATCCTTGATACCGTAGATCGTCGCACCGTCGGCTCTAACTGTGCCAGAGCCTGTGGTCGCCTGGGCCCCGGTGAACGTTACCGTACCGAAGTCGTCGAATTTGACGGTGTCACCGCCGGAAGAATAGTCTTCAACGATCCACTCCGCGTCCTTCTGGCACAGCGCATGCGAAGAGCTGACCTCGTGCGTCACATTCTGGTTTTTCGTCTTGTTCTCGATCATTACCGTGACGTTGGTCGTCGAGTGTGCAGTCGTGGCAAGGGTGACGTCGTCGCCTGCAGCGAAGTCGATGCTGTCGAAAGTGTGGGAGGGATCCGGGAACCATTCATACCAAGCTGTGAAGAACATATCAGCTCAAAGGAGAACGGCTAGCAGGAATCGTACACACCCGAGTATGAAACTTGATTGTTGTTGATCGTAGCATCAACGCCCGTTTGCAGAATGACACAACAGTCGACGCCGTCGATGCCCACCCACATGGCCGCCGATCCTGAGCCCGTTGGCTTTGGGACTTTGAATGAACCGGTAACTTCGCTGAAGGCATTCTATATAAATATTGGTCAGTGTAGCTCTCATTTGTGAATTAACCGATGCTCACAGCGCCCTTCTGCAAAACAGCTCCAGCCCATGTGCCTTGGTAGACTTCGTATGTGCCAAATATTGCTGAGAGATGAGGAGGTAGGGGGCTGGTTTGACAGCGGAGATGCAAAGGACACAGTGGCGAGCAAGAGGGCTGAGGTAAGGTACTGCATGATTTACGTCGTTATGAATGGTGAGGATTGTTAACGAGAATAGAAGACCACAACACCTTTTATACACCCAGGAACTTTGGACTATGATCATAAAGTGAAGGGCTTTGTCACTCTTGCACACGACATAGCGACGACGGTGAACTGGAAACCCACAGGACAGCACGAGGATCACAGCCTCAGAGTGGATGACAATGTTTGTTTCGCACCATTACGAAATCGATTCATAGCTTATAGCGGTGCTCGGCGCAATTAGATGTTCCACACCCTCTCACAAACTCGGAACACCGAGCTCGGTGTCAATCTCAGGCTTGAGCGCTGGTGACAATGTATCTGAAAGAGACTCACTTCAAAATACATGTTGAACAACTTTCAGGCTGGCGTTCCCGACATCCTGAAATGATATATCAACGAGTTTCATGTTGCACAGGTGTGTCGGTTTGGTTGAATAAGACTTGCGTAGAATTTGGGGATGTATGCATCTGTAGGTGTCAGATCAGCCTTCAGCCAAGTCGAGACATGGCGTTGCACCTTACCTGAGCACAGGGTCTGACGCAGCCTTGCTTCTGAGGCGTTGGTGGTAGGAACACGCTCGAGATGCGCTCGAGCTTTAGCGCCGAGGTGACCTTTGATAGTTGAAACCGGTGCTTTGCGATGGCGTCTAATATCACTTTACCGCCAGCAGATTCAAGAGCACAGCACGGCTCCATCTGAGTCGCGTTTGTGGGCGCTTAAAGCTACGTCAGGTAACGAAGACTGATGTGCAACTGGCAAGACCTTTCATTCGTGCCCGATGTCATGTTCCGTGGCGACGCCTCACGGTCACCGATAGTCCGATCCTGCCCCACGATGCTTACTTCACGTTTTCGACACGGTTACTAATTTACCGACAGCGAATAAGCAAGCCATCCAATGGAGAAGATCAATCATAGTCACCAGTATAGCTCCGAATAATAGCCAACGAGTTCATGAATTAGCAAGCGAATATCAGCTACACTGCAAGGCTATGAAATATCGAGAGCGCCACGTTATTGGTGGGTCAAAACCTTTACAGACAGCTGCTTGCTCCAGTCATTGAGATACTTTGCAGTAGAGAGAGATAAGTACTAGAGAAGGAGGTAAGTAAGTACAGCAGCGAGCTGGACGTCGTCCGCTCGGCAATATTCGAGCGGAGTTTAATTTTCGCCCCCTTTACCTCCACATGTCAAATTGTACATACCTCGACATGAACTGCACACAACTCCAATGCGTTTGAACGTACGATGCTAGTACTTTCACTTTCGATTCCATTTGAAGGGAGAATGCCGGAACAGGGGAACGACCAGACCGCCTAACGCCTCGTCGCCTCTGGCGAAACACTGGCAGCACAGGTTTTATTTTCCTTTTTCTCACTGCTCTCATCTCGTCGTTAGGCAGAGCATACCACACACATCTTCCTCCGATACCAGAACAAGTACCACTACACGTCTCCTCAATAGCTGACTACCCAATGCGACGCATCGCCCGTAATTTTGGACATGTTTTCAGCGCAGGAAGCACTCTGTCGCCCTCTGAAAGCTTGCAATCGACATTCACAAACGACTCAGAGGCCCAGAAGAAAGCCGACTTGTCTTCCTCTTCACTAGCCGAGCTTCAGGCCCCAGCAACTGGACCTCTATGTGAAGTGTGCTCAGACATCGACTTCCATACCATCCTCCGCGACGGCGTTTCGCAGCACAACCCAGTGCCGTACGACTTGCTCACCAGCGTCCTCGAGCGCGCCGCCTCTCCAGGAAGATGTGCTTTCTGCTCGCTTGTTGGCGACCTCATTCGTCGCGTCTGGCTTCTCGACACCCCGGAATGCGCGGGCGTCGACCTCTCGGGCATCACGCTCTCCCTGTTCGCGATAACATGTGGCCATGTCCTAGGCCCTCCTCCGCAGAGCGAAGAGGACGAGCGCGATGCCGCGCATAGGATTCATGTTGAGTTCTCACGCAGACCTGCCGAAATAGGACGAGCGGCCGGGAAGACCAGCAAAACTCTCAGTCTGGAGGTACAGCTAATGCAGGAGGATGCGCACGCGTTCGGGCGAGAGCGGGTGTTGCACGGGCGGAGAGTGGGCGATGTTGTGGATATGGAGTTGGTCAAGACATGGGCACGGATATGCAAGACGCAGCATGGTGAAAGGTGCAGAGCGCCGTGGTGGGCTGCGTCGGCGTTGAGGGAGGATCTTCCGAAGGAAGTGAGGGTGTTGGATGTGCAGAAGTTGATGCTCGTCCCTGCGTCAACGCCCGTAGGCTATCGTTACCTCGCGTTGAGCTACGTCTGGGGATCGCCGGACATTTGTAACCACGGATCTTATTGGACGACGTCGGCGAACCTCGAGGAGCGTATGAGCAAAGAGGGAAGCGTACTGCACGAGAAGTTGCCGGCAGCTATCACGGATGCTATCCTCACCACGCGTACTCTCGGAGAACGGTACCTGTGGATTGATGCGCTATGCATTGCTCAGGATTCTTGGGATGACAAGAAGATTCAAATCAATGTCATGGACCGCATCTTCCTCCGTGCAGCTATCACCATCTTCGCAACCTCGTCTGCGTCCTCTGGTGTTGTGTCATCAGCGGCTGCGCCTCTCCCTGGTTTGCGACCAGGCACGCGCGAGGTCGCACAGAAAGTGCGCGTTGTGAAAGGACTTCACCTCTGCACACCGCTGCCAAGGGCGCCCGAAGCTCTGTCGCAGACTACATGGAACACACGTGGGTGGACGTACCAAGAAATGATGCTTGCGACGCGAAGATTGGTCTTCACACCCGACCAAGTCTTCTTCCAGTGCTTCGAGGATACGTTCGCCGAGGACGTTGTCACTGAGCCTATCCCCAACCCTTTTCTTCCCGCGTCCTCATCACCCTCCGCCACCTCTAGATCTGAGCCTTTCTTCAAGTTTGGGCTTAAATTTGGACGGCTCATGTCCCAGCCAGTACCTGCGCCAGAGCATCAATGGGCGAGGTTCCCGATGCGTCGAACTCCACTGACTACATACCGCATAGCGGAGGTTCCTCGGAGTCGCCTCAGGGATAACAGCCTCTACCCGCAGTGGGCGGGCGAATACATGGGCGCTGTGCAGACTTACGCAACGAGGGGTCTGACAAACGAGGGCGACGCAGTACCCGCGTTCTCGGGGCTCGCGAATATGCTTGTTCGGGCATTTGATCTCGTTGACCCCGGTGACGATGCTAGCAGAGCGTACGTGTACGGCATGCCGATAAAAGGGCTCGACTCGGTGCTCCTTTGGCAGCCTAAACCCGACGCAGTCCATGAGCGACGAATGGTCGAAATCGACGGCCAGAAACGCGTCGTAGCGCCAAGCTGGAGTTGGGCGGCGTGGAAAGGAGAGGTGCGCTACACGGGCGAAAGCCAGTATCAGTCCATCCACGATGGTGGGGGTAAATGCAATGTCGGAGAGTCTATGGTGCAGGCTTGGTTCCTCGTTGAAGACGACAGTGGGTCCTCAAGCAACCTCGCTATGGGCAGAAAATTACAGCTAAGGCGACTCAATGTGACGCTTACCCCCCGCCGTGTCATTGATCCTGAGTTCCCGCACCCCGTATACATACCGCCAACGAACGACAGTGTTCCTGAGCTCCCGCTGCCGGAGCTTTGGCCTGGGCGTGGAATTTACCCCGGAACGTTGGTCTTCCGGACGAGCGTGGCGCGCGTGCTTCTCGAGTGGGAAGACGATTCCAGCGCCCCGGGCATTGCAGTTACAGGGAAAGAGCACCGGTACTTTATCGTACGTACTCTCGCCCACAGAAACGACCAGATTGGCCCCTCCGACGCTTTGCATGACGCGAACCCTACCAAGATAGGCCGGGTGATTCTCCCATGCACGCATCCGCAGAGGGCAGAGGTGGATCTCGCAGTCGTGGGGAGGACCGACTACGTGAAGAACTCATTATGGCGTCCGGGGGCTGCGAGGGACGAGTACGCGTGGTTCTTGTTGTATGTTATGGTCATGGCACCTGCTGCAGGACAAGGAGTTGCAAGAGAGAGGATAGGGCTAGGTGTTGTGCTGGATCGCATGTGGGCCGAGGCAGGGCCGAGGGAGGAGGTCGTACTGTTGAATTGAAAGAACGATTCACCTCTTGCGATAGATTTTGTGTATGTCTCGAAAAATAAGAGATAAAGTGACGGATGTCACTATTGGACGCCTCGATAGTTGGTGTGAGTTGTTAGAAGTACAAGGATACTCACGCGACTTCCATCCCAGCCTATATCAGCGTGTTCGACTGTGATAACCAGGGCTTCGGAACAATTTACATCACCCTACGCTCTATTACGCCACCATTTTAACTTGTTACCTTGAACCCGTTGCCAACAACTCCTCGTGTCGGCCTCTGTAAACGCGACATCTCCACGTGGGCCCGAGATGCGTGCAAGCGCATCTTGAGCCACCATCGCACTGTCATAGGCAGACCTTCGTCGTCAACCAATTGTGACGCGCGCACCGGGATTGTTGTGGAGTTCCACTTTCTCCGAACTGACTGTCGCTACCTTGTCGCTGCAATGGTTCTTGCTGTTGAGACCGTGTCGTGGACATAGCGGCCACGATGTCGCATGGTCTTCAAATCCGCATCATTGTTGTGCAGTATAAAGCCCTGTTAGGCTTCGTACGAGGCCAGCACCAACATTACGACTCTGCCTCCGTCGATCTTGCTAGACATGATCTCCTTCATCGTCCTCGCCCTCACTGCCACCGCTCTTGCCATGGGCCAACAGGGACAGGTGGTGAAGATCAGTCCGAAGAATGGCAACTCCACTTATGAAGTTCAGTCAAACAATTGGGCTGGTGCTGTTATCACGGCCGCTGCCGTACGTTTCCACATGTCTAGCGGAGTGTTCTTGCGGCGTTTTCTGACCTTGTGTTTATTTTATAAAGGGGACTTACCAGGCCGTTACTGGTACATTCACAGTCCCCAAGCCCTCAGGCTCGGGCTCCGCCGCCATCTGGGTCGGCATCGACGGCGCTGGCCCCGACTGCAAGGTCATACTCCAGACTGGTATTGTCGCGAACGTCAACAACGGCCAGGTGGCCTACGGTGGTGAGTTCTAGCCTGATCTCAGCGGCTGAGCAGACTCCCTGATCAACACCTGCACACCCTCTCAGCCTGGTCCGAGTGGTTCCCCGACCCGTCGAACAGCTTCAGCAACATCACCTTCGCCACAGGCGACGTCGTCAAGCTGACCGCGACCGCACACTCAAAGACAACGGGCACAGTGACGATCGAGAACCAGACGAGCGGGCAGAAAGTGTCGCAGGACCTGAGCTCGTCGCATGCGATCTGTCAGGAGTACGCGGAGTGGATAGTCGAGGACTACTCGTCGGGCAATAGCCAGGTCACGTTTGACAACTTCGGAACTGTCACGTTCACGGACGCACAGGCGACGACGGCCTCCGGCACCGTTGGCGCTGACGGCGCGACGATCTGGGATATCTGGCAGGACAATGTGCAGCTGACGAAGTCGTCGGTGTCGAACGGCAACGTTGTCATCAGCCATACTTGAGGAGCGCGCTCCGGTAGCGGTCACTTCTGAGGATTTTTTTGATGAGTTATGATGAACGTGTTGTTTTATTCCACAGCCGTCCTAAGACAGTTTTTCTGCCTAGGTAGAGCACTTGTATACACCACTGCAGGGAGTATCTGGAACAATAATTTATGTTAACGTTAAGCCCTAACGCCTCGCCGTCGAATGGCTCAGCTACAACAATGTTCAACTATGTGGCGACGTACGCCACGGAACAGCAATCGAAATCAGGTTGGGGCGAGTTGACGGTTGTGCATGTTTAGTGGCGTGGTCCTCCTTTCGGGTACCGCCGAATTGGATGGCGGAGCCCAAAAGCTTTGTACAGGACGCTCGGGCCCACGTCCGCGTCGAGTGCAACATCTAATGTGCATCTCCCTGGGCCCAGTAACATTTTCAACGCGTGAGCATCAAAAACATCGAGAATAACGCATGGGGAAAAGACCGCTTTCGCTACCGAGATGCAGAGACGGACCTCAAACACCGTTCCATTTCCCCAATTCCATCATTACCTTGGCATTTGCTCGCTCTCGAAAGCGAACACCGGACAGCCAACTTGACCAGGACCTCCACAACCCACTACCTGTCGCCGCACTATCATTCTCTCTCCCGCTCCTTTCGTAGTCGCTCTTTTATCATCTTCGCACGCTGACATTCCAAAGTCAACACACTATTTGTCCTCGTCTGAGCACGCGCACACGGTCTGCAATGTCTATGCTCTTCACGCTTGCGCTCGCCGGCCTTGCCATCGCATCGCCTACTCCCATCCGTCCCAAGAACGTAACTGCACAGAACATTACCACACTTAGTCAGTCTGTGATCAATGGCTTCACGCCATACACGTGGTACGCTTCCGCGGGGTACTGTCAACCCAACGCGACTCTCGCCTGGACCTGTGGCAGTACGTTTCTCAATCCCATTTACCATTCATGGACCCAGCATGAGCCATACAGCTGACGTGATGACACGATTGTGCAGCGAGTTGTGACAACAATCCTGGCTTTAAACCGATTGCATCTGGCGGGAATGGTAACTCGGTTCAGTTTTGGTTCGTTGGGTACGATCCAAGCCTGAACGAGGTCATCGTTTCACACCAGGGCACCGACCCCAAGGAGTTAGACTCACTTCTCACTGACGCTGAGATCTTCCGCGGTCAACTCAACAAGGACTCGTCTCTCTTCCCTGGGATTGATGATTCAATCGAGGTGCACGACGGATTCAAGGACGCTCAGGCTAAGTACGTCCTTTCTTCTCCCATGTCAATATACAAAAGCCTTAAAGTGCTGCGGCAGCACTGCAACAGACATCCTCGCTGCCGTGCAAGAAGGGATGTCTCAGTATAACACGAGTGCAGTCACGCTCACAGGGCACTCCCTCGGCGCCGCCATTGCGCTCCTTGACTCGGTTTACTTGCCCCTGCACCTCCCACACAATACTACCTTCAAGACGACTGTCTATGGTCTCCCGCGCGTGGGCGATCAAGCGTTCGCGGACTATGTCGACAAGCACGTTTCACAGCTTACACATGTGAACAACAAGGAGGACCCAATTCCGACTTTACCAGGTCGGTTCCTTGGTTATGCGCATCCAGCAGGGGAAGTGCATATCGAGGACTCCAACGAATGGGATGCCTGCTTCGGTGAGCATAGGTTTCACTTATCCTGCACTCGCTAAAGTCAGAGGGCTTACGACATCTCACTTATTGTGTAGGCCAGGACAACGAGAGCAAGAGATGTATTGTCGGCGATGTACCTAACATCTTCGACGGTAACCTCGAGAACCACGATGGCCCTTATAACGGCATCATCATGGGCACGGGATGTTAGTTATAAGCTGAATCCTGTCAGGATTAACAATATGGGAACTATACCTTTTGCTTCCGATGTCAGCAAGGGCTCTGCAGATATACCCTTCGACCTGCACCGCAATCATTTTCAGAACCGTTCTTTTATATGTCGCACTTGGACTCAAATATAGATACCCCTGAACCAACCATGAGCGCTGTTTGCGCTGATAAAAGGACGTGATGGATCCATCTTGGATCCATGGCTACCGAAAACTCGGCGAAGAATAGGATCATTAACCTAAGAGAACGACCCTGTCTACTGCTCTCGCCTTGTGCCATGCGCCTGTTAGGACAACACCCATCCCAACTCGCTCTCTGACTATATCTTTTCCAGGTTTCATCGCTACGACATCCAGCAAGCGCCCAGCTTTCTGCTCTGCGCCGATGTCCGACACCCATCTCTGTGAGCAGGGTTCCTTTCTGCGAGATACCACTGCAAAATCGAGTGCAACACCTGACGGGTGGCTGCGAGGAAGGATGGCGCGACCAACAATAAGTCGGGAATGATCATCCCCCCTGAGGATTATGGAGAACAGTGCATGGTGTTCGCCTTCGATGTCGACACCGTCCTGGACATTTTCGACGTGCAGACACGTAACAGTTGTTCGGAAGACCAGTGTACCTGGCTTGACGCCCTGCGGCAATTTCCAAGAGGAGCCCCATGTTGGAGCCGTGTACGCAGGTTCCTGTTCAGGACCTTCTCCTTCTCCAGAATGACCATCCTCGTCAATTTCACTTTGTGAACGGTAGACATCAAGACGAACGAGTCCGCCGTCTTCGACTATGAACCACGCATCGACGACGGAAGGTCCGAGATAAGCGCGGTACATCGCGTCGTGGATCTCAACGTATTGGTCGTCGTTGGCGTACCTGACCGCGCCATGCCAGCCAGCCCACGCCCAGGATGGCCACGGAGTACTGTCCACCTGCCCACCAGCCGTCATCGAGCGCACCACGCGTCTCTCCAGACGCGCGTCCGGCTCCGGCTGCCATATCAGGGCCCACTCGAGATCCGCGACGAGCATGCCGTACTTGAACGCACGGTGCACGTCGCCACCGCCGAGCCCGTGATCCTTGGTGAGCGCGCTCATACTGCCGAGGAACGCGTTCTCGATGTCGCTGTTGTCTGTGAGGCTGCGAGAGGTGTATCTCTCGACGTCGGTCATGTATTCCATGATCCACATCTGACGCATTTCGGTCGTGGAGAGAGCTGCGGGAATAGCGAAGGCTGTCCCAGGGCCTGCCATACGAGCTACAATCTTGAAAATATCTGCATCGGGCTCGGAATCTGAGTCTCCAATGTCTTCGATAGGCTCGGAATCATTTTTGTATTCGGGATCAGCAACAGCTTCAGATCGTGTGTCGGTACAGCACTCGAAAATGACCTGCGAAGGCGTAAAAAAGAGGCGGCGGCGCGAGAGCATCATCTCTTGATACGTCCACGCGCGACTATCCCAGGTCGTCTGCGCAAGTTCGTCCAAAGCGGCGGGGAAAGGGACCACGAGATGGAGATCTTGCACCTCTTCAATAACCTGTTGGACCACGCGGGTACCCGAGCGAAAGCCAGGGAGGGGGGCATTGGCGCTGGAGCCACCCGCAGCGAACACGGTTAGTATCGCTCGGGTATAGATACGGTCCATGGCCGAGATCTGTTCGGCTTTATGGATGGGGTCATCTTGGGAAATGCAAAGGGCGTCTATCCATAGGTAGCGCTCGTCCAACTCACGCGCGAGGAGAACCGCGTCCGAGATGGTGGCAGGGAGAGTGGATAGCTCGACCCCGCAGCGTCGGGACCGGCGGGCGAGATTTGCGGAGTTTGTACAGTAAGAGCGGTGGTTGCACTCGGCGGCGCTGCCCCATACGTAGCTCAGGGAGAGGTATCGGCACTTCGGAGGAGCGGGTACGAGTGCCATGTCGACGACGTCGAGCATGCGCACCGACGAGGGAAGCTCGTCGTCCGTGGCCCACGAGGGTGCGGTACACCTGCCTCCATGCGTGCTCTCGCACGCATGCAGCCATTGTTTGATATAGCTGACGTCCAAGGTGTCCTCCACTACTCTCCCGTGGCCTTCTTGAGATCTGCCGAAGAGGTGGGCATCTCCGGCCATAAGCTGGATGGTGGGAAGGCGAGAATGTGAGGGCCCCACCGCAGTCTCGATCTCTGGGGGGATGTACGAATAGAAGACGTGGATTGTGATAGGAGTGGACCCACTGTCCGCCGCAAAGTCCAAGTAAGACAGATCCCGATTACCACCACTGTATAGCGCCAGGTCGATGCCGGAGAGATCAGCTTGCGTATAATCATCAAGAAGCCAGGTACGTCGGACTGCCGTCAAGACGATGAGGCAGAGCGAACATGTCGTGGACTTGGAGAGGACATTCACGACCGAGTCGAGTGGGATGCGCGCTTCTACAGGTACGCCATGGGCAAGGATTCCGTAGAGGTCGATCTGGGAGCACTTGTCGCATAAACACTTGCTCATATTTCCTGCTTCTTCCAAGCATATAGCTAATCCAGGCTCTTTAGGGTTAGAGCCGTCGCTGTACATCGACACGGCGTTTTCAATTCGACGCAGACTCTGTGGAGGTCAACGTTGCACTCACCTTGGCCTGATATCTGCGACGGAGGGCGCAATCCCTAGTCCAAGCAAGAGCTTTTGAAGTAAGGTATCATAAGCGCCAAAACCTCGTACCGGAAAGTTCAACTTTGTGCATGTGAGCTGCAAACTTAGCTCTGAAACCGGACCCTGCTGCTAGTATTAGTGCCACTAGCCACCATACCACCGCACCGGGCCGAGCGTTGTCCTGAGCAAGCTATCTGATGGACATTTGCTGGCAAAGTTTCCCCAATCAAATTTCAGCGAAGAGAGAGTGATGAAGCAAATGTCTTTAAGTTCAGAATGACCATGAAGTTTGTGCATGGTGGATGTTGAGCAAAAGTTGACATCGTTCGCTACTCCGACGTCAGCGTGGGAAATTATCAGGCGCGCCCCCTTACGCGTCTGCTCGCGCGTTCAGCACGAACTCGCAATCTGTCTTGACAACATCCTCCTCATTCAGTGACCAATCCGTATTCCACTTTCAGACCGATATGAATGACCCTTTTACGCCTCATGGACGTCCAGGGCGTAAGAAACATCTTGGTCTCTCGAACAAAGAGTACACAAAGGTCAGCAGAGCTCCTCTGGTCTGATTGCTTGTCTCATGTCCAGTAGATCACGGGCACAATCGCGTCTGTAAGACGCAACCGCCAAGGAGGCCCCGAAGATGAAGAGGAGGAGGAAGCGGCTTTCGACTTCAGGCAGAACAAGCTGAGTGAGTTCATCGCTGTCCCTCGCCTCACCAAAGCTGATAATCTGCTACTGCCCAGGCGAGCCATCATTCATCGCGGAGACGTCGTTCGTTAGGGCACCACTCAACTCACGCGTCGGAGCGAGTCAATCAAAAACGAAGGATAAAGGCAAGGGGCGCGTGGAACCGTTGGACGTACTACCGGTGGACATACAGGAGGCGCTCATATTGGAAGACCTGTTGTTTGTGCTCATGGTACGTTCTAGTTGCCTGTCTCTTGAGCCTTATTGAGAATGGCTCCGCTCCTGCAACGGAGTAGGGTATCGAAGGAACTTACATCACTTACCATCCCGATTACTCTGCCGAGGACGACGACCCGCTGATGGGTGTTCGATTCGCGGTGTCGTCTGCGCTTGGTATGCCCCGTTCATGTCGTCGGATTTCTCGAGACTTATTAAGGCACAAGATATATCACTCAGAGACCTGACGGAGCGCATCCTCCCGCTCGGAACGTATTACACCGCCATATCTTCCTTTATCGAGAGCAGGAGTCATCTCGACTACGGATTGGTTAACCATGCACTGTGCGCTTCTATTCGCGACATGCTAAGGGTACTTACTGGCTCGCATGCGTTTACTCATCGGCGCTGACAAGACATTACATAGGAATATCAAACCCTACTATCTCAACTTGAACACGCATTCAACACTTCCCCCAACTTCTCTCTCCAAAAGCTGTGGTACCACGTCCACCCAACGATGCACGCCCTCTCCCTCATCTACGCCCTCGTCCTCGAACTCGCTTTCCCCGAGTCAGACGACGCTGACGCGAGCGCAAGTTCCTCAGACTCAGAAGAAGACCCTGAGCTCGCTGCACGCAATGCCGCACTCGGCCTTGGCAGTGCTGCCCTCAAAGCTGTCCTATCCGACATCACGCACCCTCATCGCAGTGCAGAAGTGGTTCCCGTCAAGGGCGGAGAAGTACTAGCGGTCGTGCACGACCGTCTCGAACATCTTGCGGGTGATCCGAGCGCAAAGGCGGTGTACGGCGCGCTGCTGAGGGCCGCGGGCGCGCCGTACGTGCGTATGTTGCGCGGGTGGATTACGAGCGGGCGGTTGGAGGATCCGTATGAGGAGCTGTGTGTGAAGGAGAGCAGGTTTATCAGCAGGGGTATTCTGGAGGTGGACTATACGGATGAGTATTGGGAGCGGAGGTATACGGTGCGTATCGCTGTCATTGATTGTGGCCTTCTGGTCTTGGACCTAATCGATGCATTGAGTAGCTGAGGGATGGATCAACCTCAGCGAAACGCCAACAAGCGGGTATCCCGGTCCCACGTACGGAGGGTGGCCGACTGCCGGGTGGAGCATGTATCCCTCCGGTGCTCGAAGGGTGGAAACACAAGATTTTGCTCGCCGGGAAGTACCTGAACGTGATACGCGAATGCGGGATCGAGGTGCAGACAAGTGAAGCGCTCGAGAAAGCGGGTGAACTGGAAATGGCCGACGATAAGTACGTTGCAATTCCCTCTCCCCGTTTTATTCAACTAATCGCCGCGAATACGTGCACAACAAGACTCTACAAATACATCGAAGACGCATACACCCACGCAAACCGCACTCTCCTTGCACGCCTCCTCGCCCCGGACGCCCTCGTACCCCGGCTGCGCTGTCTGCGCCGCGTATTCTTCCTCGCACAGTCATCGTTCCTCACGCACTTCCTCGACCTTGCCGGGAGCGAGCTGCGAAAACCCGCGAAGAGCGCATCGCTCGTGAAGATGCAGTCTTTGCTGGATCTCGCTCTCGCGGGATACGGAGGCGGCGAGGGCGGACAGGGTGACGATGGCAGTGGTGGAATGTACAAAGAGGACGTGAAGGTGACCCTGGCGAGCAACGCGCTGTATGAGTGGCTGTTGAACGTGATCAATGTGAGCGGGGTGATTGTTGGAGAAACAGGTGAGGGAGACGGTGACGGTGGGGTTGGGGAGGAGCATCAGAAGAAGGAGAAAGAGAAAGAAAAGGATGATAAGAAGAATATTCTCGGTGAGCACTTCGAGTTGGTTCATCTATTCCTTATGTATGTAAGACTGATATGCCCGATGGATGCAGCCATTGATGCACTCTCACTGGACTACCACGTTCCCTTCCCCCTCTCCCTCGTCATCTCTCGAAAAACCATCTTACGCTACCAGCTCATCTTCCGTTTTCTCCTCCACCTCAAACATGTAGAACAGTCCCTCACTGCTATGTGGGTCGAGCAGAAAACGCTACCATGGAAAAAGCGCATGCCCGCCTCGACGCCGTACATTGAGTTCGAGGCGTGGCGCCTACGCGTCGCACTGCTGCGCGCACGCATGCTCGGGTTCGTGCAGCAGATCCTCGCGTTCGCTACATTTGAAGTGCTCGAGCCGAACTGGCGCAAGATGGAGGCGAAGCTCAGCAAAGTTGCGACGGTGGACCAGTTGATGAGGGACCATGTCGACTTCTTGGATACGTGTTTGAAGGAGTGCATGTTGACGAGTGCGAAGCTGCTCAGGGTGTGTGTCTGATCTCTATCGTCCCCTAATACCATGTGTGCTGGCTGAGCGAGAAACGCAGGCGTACTCGCGAATGATCGTGACCTGCTCCACTTTTGCCCTGTACACGTCCTCGTTCACCAAGTCTGCGAATCAAGCGATCGCGGCTGCTGAAGCGGGTGATGGTGATCAGGCGATGAACAAGCGATGGGATTTCCTCAAGAAGTTCGAGTCTAACTTTGATCATTGGTTCAAGGTGCGCTCACTCTACAACCAACGCGATGACTTGCTGATAACCAGGAGGTAGTTCCATCTCGACTGCGTGCAGTACTACGCGTCGAGCGAGAACGTGTCGCTACTTCCCCTCGTTGTGCGGCTGAACAGTATCAAGCCGAGCTCTCAACCCTAACTGGCACCAATTCATGCACTCGTATCCACGTCCGAAGCCATGGTCCTTTCTTCAACCTTTTTCTTTTGTACTGTACACTGTTAGCAGACGATGATTCGATCATATTTACGTTGCACCCCTAACCACATTCACTTCAGTAGAATTACCTTCGCAATTGGGCTCGCTCCTCGCCATGCGCAGGCGTACACAAGTCCTACCCCAAGTCGCTCGTTAACGCCTGGCTGATCGGAAGGCTTCAAAGCCATAACATCGAGCAGGAACGAATGCTTGAAGCTCTCCCTGCCATCAACTGCCCTCAACCAATCTCCTCTTGGTGCACCGCGTCTCCGTGCTAGTACGACAAATTCCACTGCAACAGATGACGGATGTGAACGCGGAAGTATCACACGTCCTACTTCCTGGTCACTATCACCCTCGCCCGCAGTGAGGAAGACGCCGAATATGGCCCAGTGCTCGCCTGACACATCATCTCCTGTTCTCGAGATCAGCTTGCGGACTTGTAGTAATGCACCGGTCGTTCGGAACGCAAGAGTCCCTGGTTCTAGCACTAGGTAGTGTGGAGGCCTCCATTCCGAATCCCACTTTGGCACTGCGTATGCTCCCTGTTCGTCGTTCTGAGTTTCTACCCATTCCCGGTGGACATCTAAGCGCTCAAGCTGCCCGCCATCGCGTACGAGGAACCAGGCGTCGACAAGGGAGCCGCCGGCAATAGGCCGACTCATGGGTGCATGGATATCCAAGAACTGCTCCTCGCCCGCATAACGGACTCCACCACACCACCCAGCCCATGCCCACGTCGGCCAAGGTGTTCGCTGCGGCCCATCCAAAATTTCTCGGCGTACAAGCTGCCTGTCCGGCTCAGGCTGCCATAAGAGCGCCCAGTCCAGATCCGACACGAGCATTGCATACCGGAACGCCCTGTCAGCATCTCCACCTGCAATTCTATGAGATTTTGCGAGCGCTCCCAACATGCCCCTGAACGCGTCCTCCACGTCTCCTGGCCACGTCAAGCTGCGAGAGCTGTATAGCTCCACGGCGGTCATATACTCCGTTGCCCATAGCTCACGGAACCCCGTGAGCGAGCTCATAGTGCTCCAAGCGGTGATCGGTCCTGCAGCTTGCGGGAGCAGTAAATTGTACTCTTGCCGCGAGGTATCTGCGGGGTCGGCAATATCCTCTGCTCGCACGTCCGTGCAACACTCGAAGATAGCTTGGGACGGAGTGAGGATGAGGCGCCGCGTTGAGAGCAGAAGTTCTTGGTATGTCCAACCGCGCCCGACCCATGAAGTCGAGGCGAGCGCCTCGCGCGATGCGGGGAGTGGCACGCCTAGACGCAGCCCCTGGACTTCTTCGATGTGCTGCTGAGGACTGCGGGTACCAGGGCGGAAGCCTGGAAGTGGAGCGAGAACACTTGATCCTCCTGCCGCATAGATGGTAAGGGTCGCGCGCATGTAGATGCGATCCATCGCCACGATCTGTGATATCTTGTGTACTGGATCGTCCTGGCATATGCACAGCGCGTCGACCCATAAGTATCGCTCCCCAAGTGCACGCACAAGGAGAACTGTGTCTGAGATTGTCACGGGGAGTGCTGCGAGAGGGACGCCGCCAGGCTTCATGCGGTCGGAGAGGTTTGAGGCCAGCGTACAGTACGAACGATAGTCGCACTGGGCAGCATTGCCCCAAACATAGCTAAGAGCCAGATAACGACAACCAGGCAAAGCTGAAACAAGTGCCATGTCCTGAACATCTAGGACATGCATTCTGTTTGGTAGTCCATCATTAACCGCCCACGGAGCTGGGCCGCACTGCTCTCCGTGTCCTTGCTCGCATGAGTGTAACCACCGCTTGATGCGTTCGATGTTCAGTTCTTCACCTACAGTACGTCCGTGCCAGTCATGCAGCCGACCAAACTGCTCGGCGTGTTCTTCCATAAGCTGGATATGAAGAGACAGGTCATTTTGTGCTCCCCCGTTTACCCGCTCGACCTCCGATGGACGGCGCGACGGTTTGATGCTAATCCTTAGTGCTCGCTCGAGTCCCGTTTCCCCTTCGCGATTTAGCCGGACTCCGACGGTATGCAGGGAGAGATTGATGTCGGAGATGTCGACGTTGGCGCATGCGGTATCAAGCAGCCAGATCCGACGGATGGTAGTTGAGACCAGAGAACAAAACGCACAAATGGAGGAGCGGGAGAGGACACTTATGAGAGAGTCAAATGGGATGGGATCGCGGTTGACAAAGCCATCTTCGACGAATAGATTGTGATAGCCTTCAGAGACACCTTCGCGGAATATCTTGTGGAAGTCGAGCGAAGAGCAGACGTAACATAACGACAGGCGTTTGTTGGATGGAGTTCCGTTAGGATCACTGCATACTGGAACGGTTCCAGCATGATCTTCGCCCATCTGTTCATGAATAAGTAGTGTGCATTCTGTCAAACCTTTCAGAGACCATCAGGACTCACCGATATCTTCATTTGTGAGCGACGACAAGGCTTGTCTTGGGGCATTCGCCTTTACTGTTTGTTGGCGCCTATATTTCAAGCCTGAGCGTCCCGATATCAACGCCACCAATGTGCCTGATCATTCAGGCGTGAACAACAGACCATCAAGTCACTTAGTAAAGCGCAATAACTGAGATTTACACTTTAATTCGTTCCTTGTCATATACACCGGGTCGCACAGTCCATCGACCTTGACAAAAGCCTCTCTCTGTCACGGCTTCAACCACACTCCACGCCATGAATACTGTCCCTTGACTTCATATCTCCAGATACGTAGGTATATACAGTCGGTTGACTATGACAGCCGTATCAAGTCTCCCACATTCACAGAGCACTTCCAAGTGATCCTCCAGGGCTTTGATGTCCTCCTGGCCGCTTGCTTCGAAATGGGGAAAATATTGAAGCTGGAGCTTGAATGTCTGTAAGCCTCCATCGCGCTCTGCAGTGGCTTCCTGAAGCCGTCCACCTATCATCTTCGTCATCCCACTCAGCGAGACATCCTGATACGCTGCACCAAGCTCGAGCCTTTGTAAGTGCGGTAGTGTCATGTATGCCATTGATTCTACAGTGTTCGGCGTGAGCCACTCCACGACCCCGGCTACTACGGCCGATCCCCTGATTGTGCTGAGCATCAGGTTCACAAGGTTGGGACATTGTTCGAGTGCCTGCAAGATAAAATGAATGTCAAAGTGAACGTTCCTCAATGCAAGTACCTCGAGCGTGCGGCCCGTTGTGCAGAGAAGGGAGATAATCCTAGTCGCTCCCCACTGCGGAATAGAGCGGACAAACGTTGCGACAGAATCGATTTCCAACGCTTTGAGCCGCGGCGCTTTCATGTTCGCAACGAAGGCTGGGACTGTAGAGGAATGTGATGCGCGACGCATGCGGAAGGTGGTCAAGTGAGGTAGTTCGGTAATGACGTCCTCGGTCAAGACGTTTGTGAGCCCGACATTAAGTGTTACCAATGATTGTGCAAGCGGGAGGATATCTAGCAACGCGTCGTTGTCTAACAAATATCCAGGAACTCGTGGCGCAGTGCTATACTGAACAGAGAGGACCGTGACCCGAGGCCAATGCCACGGAAGTTGCGACGGGTCTATCCCCTGGATGTCGAGCGATACGGAAGTGAGGTTGCGAGCAAAGATGATCGGGCCATGGAAAACAAGACCCTCCCAGTCACGAGATACTACACTGAAAGCGGCATGTGTGAGCGAGTCGTAGTTTTGCCGTAGCAAGCCTGAACGTCTATTGCGGAACCAGTCGAGAGTTACGCCGTTGATCACCAAGGTCAGACTCCTCCACCTATGGCTGTGCGTGCGGACATGATGGGTAATTCGACGCCAGTGACTCCAGGGAAGACCAGGAGCGGCAAACTCCTGCGAGTCCAATGTCCTATCGTGACCCTCAATGATGACCAGCGAGATAAGGGAGTTTTCTGAGCGCTTCAGAAAGAAGCGAAACCAATGCAAGGTTCTGGTAACGAAGATCTTCCAAGGAAGCTGTTTAGGATTGGAGAGATCGATAAGGAGGGATGCCCATAGAGCAGGGATGTGGTGGAGTATAGATCTCCATTTGCTGCAGATATGGCCAAGCCTGATGATGGATAACGGCTTCGCAACTTCGTATACCTGCGGTTCTCTTGCTTCAAGAGTAAAACGGAAAATAGGTCGGACAAGCTCAGCTGGGAGCCCACATGCGGGGGAGCGTGAGGGTTGAGTAGGCTTGGCGACCTCTTCCATAATTTGATACGACATGGGGATGCTGCGAGTCTTGACTCGAAGTTTAGAACTGAAGGGCCGGTTTTGAAATTGGTAGAGTCAGAGAGTACTCGCAACTATATGCTCCAATTAAGTTGAATCCCCGCTCGCACTTAGCCGACATACACGACATAACTTTTGCGGACCATCTTTTGCTGAGTAAGAAAAGTCGCTGGTTTAAATTTTCGTTGCAGGGTTCGCCTTTTGGGGCGGAGGGTGGGTACTGCTATGTCCAAATTTGAAATTTTGTTGGCTAATATGGCAAGCCGCACTTTTTACCAGCGCAAAATGTTCACAATCAATTGTTGGCTAAAAGAATACCTTTTCCTGTGTCAAAGGGGGGCACAAAACTCGCAGGTAAAGGTTCTCATCTCACCGCTTCTTTTTCTTGATTGTGTCCCAGATGAAATCACTGATTGCCTGCAGTGTCTAGAGTACGGTACTATTGGTCTGACTGAAAGGCCATCGAGTCAAACATCTGTCAAAATATACACTGGATTGTACAGCTTATCTATCATAACACACCATTCAAGTCGTCCACCTCCACAAAACTCTTGAAAGCAACCTTCCAGCGTCCCAACTTTGTTCTCGCAATCAATATCCGAAAGAGCACGATCAGCTGTGAACTTGAAAACCTGTAATTCCTTATCTCCACGAGCCATCATACTGGCTCGTGTCTCGACCATGATCCGGAGATCCACCAAAGGCGCATCCCGGTACGCGCAGCCTAACTCGAGTCTGCGTAGTCGCGAGAGCCATAAAGGCTGAGAAGCCTGCTTCAAGTCCACCTGCAGCCGCACCACAACCTCCCGAATCACGTCTGATCCCCAGGACGCGTCGAGAACGAGAGTCTCCAACGCAGGACACTTGTCAAGCAACCGGACGATCATCTTGCTCGGCACGTTCATCCTCCTCACAACCAGTTCCTTGAGCTGGCACCCATTCTTGGAAATGAGCCTGGCAAGAAGCCCAATCACGATTGTGGTGTTCACCTGGTTCAACCCGCCCGGTGCAACGGTGTCGATCTCGAGCGTCTTGAGCTGCGGCACCTTGATTTGGCCCATAAAATGGGGCAACATCGCGATGTCCGACGTGAGCCGGAGACGGCGAGTTGTGAGGTGTGGAAGTGCGATCGCAGGTTTACTGTGATCAGGCCATTTGAGGTCACCCGTGAGGCCGAGGTTGCATATTATGATGTTTGGCGTGTGCGCGAGGATGTCCTGCAGCGCGGACTGATTGAGCTCGGTTCTGGGTAGCCGGGTGGGATCGTATAGCAGGGACAGCTCTGTGAGCTGAGCCCACCCCAACTCTGTGAGGTGGGACATCACTGGGCGCGAAATGTCCAGCGAGAGAGACGTAAGTTCCGGAGAGAGCACTATTGGTCTGCTAGACACGTGGATATCAGCGCACCGGCTCAAGGAGATAGCGGAAAACCGAGCCAGAGATGGATAGCTGCGACCAAGCAAGCCATTCCGTTCGCGAAGATAGTAGAATGTGGACTCGTGAGCTACCACGGTCATGCATCTCCACCTCCTGGAATGCGTGCGGAATTTGTATATGATTCGCCTCCAGTGTTTCCAGGGTATGGGTCTTCCCTCTGGGCTCCAGGGATCAGGACTTCCTTCTGCGGCTTCAATCAAGGCTACAGACATGGGCAAATCGAGGGAGCGGTCGAGCCACAGGCGGACCCGGAACATTGCTCCATCAAGAAAGGCTTTCCACGGAACGCGTCGAGGGTTGGACAGATCAACGGCAAGCGACGTCCACAGAGCAGGCGTCCCGTGCAGAACAGCTCGCCAGCGGGTGCAGACCTGGCCGAGCTTGAGTACGGTCGATTGTTTCGCGACGCCATACGTCCGAGAGTTGTTGTCCTCGATGGTGAGCTGAAATATCGCTGCGAGGAGCTCGGGGGGAAGCAGTGGGGGACCCTCGGAGCGGGACAGGCCTTCTGAATGAAGGGCACCAATCTGACATGGGACCTCCGCAATCAGTTGCAAATCCGAGTCGTTTGCACTCATAATTCGGGTCGGGAATTGACTCTACACTCCCTGACAAAGTAAGTCGCAATCAGCCTAAGTCGAGTCAAGCAATAGCAATGTACCTCGGATTCGCAGCGCGCGACAGCAGAACTTGAAATGAAAGAGAGTCACAACGTTGCGAGTCTGGCGTGGTCTGCTCAGCTCTCAGCCGGCAACATGCGAGCGGGACCTCAACTTACTATCATCAAGAAGTGCCCACCCTCAAATTTCCGGCTCATTGGTTACAGGATGTGCAAACACATTCGCACCTCGAGGGCAACACATGCTTCGTGATCGGTTGAGATCTAACAGGACGAGAAACACAACAATCCGAATAAAGATAGCTAAAAATCGACAGCCACGGCTGAAAACATCACTGGAAATCCTGCCACCCCTCCGGTAAACCCTCCCACATCTTCCATCTTCGTCCTCCAAGTATCTGATTCACCCGCTGCTTATCCCTTTCATCTCTCGTCTCCGCTTTGCTCGCATCAATATCGCCGTTTGCCTTCCCGTCGACAGCACCAGAGTCCACGTCATCGTCGAGCACATTCACCTCCTCGCTTCCCTCGAGTGCAAACGCTGCCCAGCCCACGAGCATCATCCCAGGCGGCCTTTGCTCTCCCGCGCTCTCCAGAGCCTCCTGAATGTGCTCGAGCGTCGACACAATCGCGCGCTGGTCTGGCATACTCCCCCGCTCAATAATCGCAATCGGCAGATGCCCTGGATATTCCGCACCATCGTCCCTCTCCCTGAGATCTCTGAGCACCTCGGGGAGCCTCGCCACGCCCATCAATATCACCAGCGTCCTGGATCGCACGTACGGCGGCAACGCGGACTTGCGCCCCGCGCGGGACACGGCGGTGCACACGACAAAGGACTCGGCGACGCCGCGCTGCGTGACGGGCATGCCCGCCATCGTGGGCGCCGCGAGCGCGGAGGACACGCCGGGGATGAGGAGCGGCTCGAAGCCCGCGGCGCGGAAGTGGAAGACCTCTTCGGAGGCGCGCGCGTACACCGTCACGTCGCCTTGCTTCAACTGCAATAACACACCAAAAATCGAAAGTATGGGTGGGTGAGCAGAGAGCAGAAGAAGGGACGGGAGAGGGGCAAGGACGCACTCTGACGACACACAGCCCCCTGCGCGCGCCTTCGACGGCGGCGTCCATGAGCTCGCGCTGTGCGCCCTCGGCGTTGCCCGGGAACTTGCGCGCGATGCGCACTTCGATGTGCGCAGGGATGAGCGCGAGCACTGCCGCGGGGACGAGCTTGTCCGAGAGCACGAGGTCCGCGTGCTTCATGAGCGCGTCGCGTGTCGCGATCGTCAGCAGCGCGGGGTGGCCCGGGCCGGAGCCGACGAGGAGGATGCGGCCTTTTTTGGGTTTGGCGGTGGGGGGTGGGGAGAGGACGAGGGAGTGTGGCGAGGAGGGTGCGGTTGCGGTTGAGGTGGATGGGTGCGCTTCTGGGGTAGCGCTGGTGCCGGGGGCGGGGGGTGTGGAGCATAGGGAGGGGAGAACGTCTTCCCCCGAGAGCACCGCGCGCATCTCGTCCTCGCGCAGCGCAGCGAGCCGCTCGAGCGCCCAGTACTCGCTCACCTGCGCGACCCATTTCATGCGCCGCCGCGCAGCATCCGTGCGCGTTTCAGCACCGCTTGGTACGCGCGAGGGCACGGGGCGGTTTGGTGTGCTCGCGCTTGCTTCTTCGCTGTCGTCGGCCGCTGGCCCTATTCCCCCGTTTTGGAGTGTAGTATCTGCCTGAGCTAAGGCGAGCGATGTCGATCCGCTCGTGTCTTCCGCCTTCGCGAGGTCCCTCAGCATCGCCACTTTAGCCATCGCCCCGCCGACCTCTCTCGGCAGGCGCGCGACGGCCTCGCGCCGTATGCGGCCTGCGATCCTGCACCCTCTCTCCGAGGCGCTGACAGCGAGCTGGAGCGGTGTCGGTTCGCCGGTAGCGTGATCGACGAAGCGGTGCGTCGAGGGGAAGGTGACGTCGCAGAGTGCAGGATGGTCTGCGACGTTTACCGGCACACGGCGGGAGGTGCAGGTGGTATGGATACGCGCGGCGGAAGCGTACGGCCGGGAAGAAGGAGAAGAGAGGAGGGTGTCTGTGACGCAGACGAGGGCGATGAAGAAATCGTGCGCGATAAGGGCGTCGAGAGCGGCGATGCGGATGTCTTCGGCCGAGGAGGAGGTTATCCATGAGGGGGCGGGGAGGGTGTCCCAGTCGAGGATGGTGAGCTGCTGCTGTTCGGCGCGCCAGCGGAGCTCGGGGCATGCGGCCGCCAGACCTCCAGCGACTAGTACGATTACGCGAGAGCCTGCCTCGAGAGCTGCAAAGGCCCGAGAGGCTGCGAGATGGTCTGCGCCGATGATCAGAGTGGCCTTGCCTCGCATGCGGAACGAGACCATGAGTGATGCGCCGCCTATGGCTGGTGGGTACGCTGCCGTCGTTGCGTGAGGCATTGTCGGATTCCGTGGACAGGGCATGAGCTTGTCTCTAGGAAGTTATAAAGCAAGATGGATTTGTGTCTCGTCATTCTGTCGAAACGTCGGACATTGACCGAGTCATGCATTGATCATCATCATCATAAAAATCCACGCCAGGATGAGCAACAAAACCCCACTCTAGGGTTATGATTCCCTTTTCGGCTTTCTAATGCAAGGTCTCTGTCCTGTCGATGCACGGGATGCAGCATGTCGCTCGTCGATAACGACGCCGTCAGTCATTTCATCATCATCCATCCTGATCATTGACTGATTCATCTGCGTTTCAGTTCTTGGAGAGGCTCAAGGAGCTCTTTGACGCGACAAAGGAGAGGGGCGCAGTATGGCTCACCCACAAACGACGTGCGTCCGTTGGTTCTTCTTTACACTGAACCTTGCTGACACGATACGCAATGTCAAGTCAATCATGACGGAGAAGATGCTATAGTCAACGATGAAGACTCTGAGCGATTGCTGATACTGCGCGTCACGGATGGCAAAAAGACGAAGTTCTCCACCAAGGTCCGTTCGACTATATGCACGTTTCGTCCCCATCGCTCTCTTTATCCAACGCCAGCCTCTCTCCTGATCCTCCATACTCTCATCTTCTCCACTCCAGCGGTCATTCACCTCTCTTTCAGATCCACCCAGACCACCTAACCGTCTTCCACGCCGCATACGGCAACATCCTCAAAGCCTCCATGACCACCCTCCGCAAACGCGACAAGAAGCGCGAAAAGCAGCGCGCCGAATCTATAGCCGCGAAGAAGGCGCGCACAGCCAAGCCCGTCGTCATCGACGGGCCCAAGCGCGGCAAGGGCCGCAGAAAGCGCCAGCGCAAGGTCAAGGCCGCGCTCAAGCAGGAGGAGATGAAGGAGCGCCAAGCGAAGCGGGAGGAGGCGCGCGAGAAGGCGGCGGCATCTGCTGCCGCGGCGGGCGAGTCGTGAGGGTGTTGGAGGTATCGCAAAATTTCTTGATTCAGCTGTATTCGATATGGTACAGCAATCTAACGTTTTGTGGTGATACGTCGAGACGTATGTTCATCGAGAGAGGCGATGTGCTTCTTCGTGCCTCGTTTCTCCAGCACGACCTCCTCCCTCAGCCTAGCTGATGCCCACATTTTATCCAACACGACACCAAGCCCTACCCGCTGTGTCACAACTCCTCCACCCACAGCAGGGCCCACAAGCATAACACCCAACAAGAACCCCACGTATTTGTTCCTCCCGTCCTCGGAATCCACAGCGAGGTCTACCTGCACCCTCCGGATGCGTGCTGGGAAGAATTATCGGGCATATCCTGGCTAGGCCGCGTCACGCAGGCGTCGGCAGGGCTGGGCTGATCATCGGTGTGGGCGGGCGGGAGCGCGTGCGGAAACGAAGCAGTGCTCTTTCCCCGCAATGACGGCGTTCAGAGTGCTGACTTGGTCTTCCCGCTCGGGAAGCGCGCATGCCACGGTTGTGCGGGATAGAAGCGTCCCTAGGCAGGCCCCTTGCTCCGATCAAACGCCAGACTTGTGGCGGAGGGTGCTTGGGCAGTCAAGATCGTGATTGGAGAGTTGACAAAATCCGGTCTCTTTAATAAATCTGCCGCTCAGCTGTAAGAAATAGGGTGAACTGCATCAGTAGAAAGCTTAAGGCGCTACTGGCGGGGGTACAAGGCTGCTCGGCGAATGCCGATCTCTTCTTCAATCCCTTCCCCATTGTTTATGTCCCTCAGAGACTTGCCTCAATATCGACTCTGAGCGCATCGAGTTCAAAAGGGGTTTGATTGCGCAAGATGGCTAGGTGAAGTGTTTATGTTGAGATAGCTGTGGAGTCCCAGTCGAGGTAAGCGCTCCCACCAGTCTGCCGGAGGCCTCCGAGCGCCCAAAGGCACCGGGGTGTGATGACATGAGCGACGACAAACCTTGTAGCAGCCTGATCTGTTGTCCCAGAAATGGCCTCGACGCCGTTTCCCACCTCAAGTACCCATGCACCACCCTCTCCTCGTGGGCAACCACGCCAGATGCACGCCCTCAAACGACGCACCGTGCTCGTCCGCAAGAGTGCCTGTGGCCACAAGGAAGGTAGTCCATACAGGGCCAGCAAGCTCCAGATACATGAAATCCCCTGGTCGTTCATCAACCTGCCCACTCTCTGCGACACGTGCATCCAGATCGATCTCCGCCGGCTTCTCCGTAATGAGGACGCCCACTATCAGCCCATACCCCTCGGCAACCTCGCACATATCACCCACAAGGCAGACCCTGCCACTGCCAACCCAGAGGACGGCTGCTCACTGTGCAAGCTCGTCATCGCCGCCGTTGACCGCGCCGCCTTCTTCCTCCCAGAACCGATAACCGACCGCGCAAACGTCGACGCCGCCCTCTACCCCTTGGGCTCCCGCCTATGCGTCCGCCTATCCCACAGCCCGTTCGGCGTCTTCCAGGGCATGGGCGGCGCCCAGATACCCTGCGTGCCCGAGCTGCGCCTCGTCGCGGACGACATGCACGAGTGGCCCGCGAGCGAGATGGACGGCCGCCCCGTCCGCGACCTGCTCGACCTCGAGCTCGTCAAGTACTGGATACATCTATGTGAGAACGAGCACGGGCCCGAGTGCTCTGTCCCGTGGTGGGCCCCCGCGGAGGAGCTGCCGGTCACGGTGCGTCTCCTCGATGTGCAGGAGATGGTGCTCGTCCCTGCCACTCGCGGCCGACGCTACATTGCACTTAGCTACGTCTGGGGCGACCCCAAGGCATGTGCGCATGATGCATACTGGACGACATCCGCCAATCTCTCTTCGCGCACCACCAAGACGCGGCACAAGTCCAAGAGGAAGGAGTGCAAGGGCGAATGGGAATGGAGCGGCGGTGTGCCGCTCGACGTTCTCCCGCCAACAATCACAGACACCATCCTCCTCACGCGCCTCCTCGGCGAGCGCTACCTCTGGGTCGACGCGCTCTGCATCCTGCAAGACTCGCCATCCGACAAAGCCGAGCAAAGCAGCATCATGGACGCCGTCCTCCGGCGCGCCTTCCTCACCATCATCGCCGCCGGCGGCCCCGACGCCACCGCGCCCCTCCCCGGCCTACGCACAGGCACGCGCGCGCGCGCGTCGGCGCGCCAGCGCTCGGAGGAGATCCACGATCTGCGGCTCGCGGTGCCGCTGCGCACGCCGTACGAGGCGCTCACAGGGACGCCGTGGAACGCGTGCGCGCGGACGTACCAGGAGCTGATGCTGTCCCCGCGCCGGCTGCTGTTCACGCCCGAGCAGGTCGTGTTCGAGTGCGGCGAGTGCGTGTGGGCGGAGGACCTCGTGCCCGAGCCGCGCGATACGGCCGCGGGCCCGGGCGCGGCGGAGCTGATGGAGACGCGGGTCGTGGATAGGTTGATGTTTGCGCGGCCAGAGCCGCCGCCGGTGTCGCCCGGGCAGGCGCACGGCGCGGGCGGGGAGGTGCCGGAAGAGTCGTGGCTGGACGATTATCTGCGCACGGTGGAGGGGTACACTGCGCGGCGGCTCGCGCACGAGGCGGACGCGGTCAGCGCGTTTACGGGGATCACGAACGCGTTCGCTAAGGCGTTTGGGCTGGGCGGGGGCGGGGATCCGCACAGGGCGTTCCGATACGGCGTGAGCGTCACGGAGCTGGAGACAGCGCTGCTGTGGCAGCCCGAGCCGGACGTGGCGCCGCAGCGGCGTGTGGTGGGTAACTGTCCTGGGCACGCGCATCTCGCTGCGGTCTCGTTCCCGTCGTGGGCGTTTGTGGGCTGGCGCAATGCCGTGCGGTACGCGGGCGACGGGCAGTTTGTCGGGATACGCGAGGGGCGCGGAGCGCCGGACAGGGTGACGGGCAAGCCGACGCCTGCGAGGCCCGTGGTGGGCGACTCGCTCGTGGACGAGTGGCATATTGTGGACGAGAACGGGGAGCTGGTGAGGCTCGATGTGCGGCCTGCGAAGCAGGAGCGGGCGATCGCGCCGAGTGCGATTGTCCGTGCGCAGGAACGCGCACGCGCTCGCGAGCGGAATGGGGACGCCGCGCAGGCCGAGGGCGATGCGGACGCCAGCGCCGGGGACGGGTACACCGCCTCGGCGGAGGAAGACGACGACGACGACGCGGACTCGGCCATCGCCTCGCCCTCGCCCTCGCACCCGTCGTTCCGCGCGTCCGACATCTCCGCGTCCGCACACCCCTCGCGCTCCGCGCACTACGTGATCCCGTCGTGGGACTGGGACTGGCACATCCCGCCGTCGGTCGCGCCGGGCGTCGAGCCGGGCACACTCGTGTTCCGCACGACCGTCGCGTGTCTCCCCGTCCGGCGCGCGGGCAAGGGCGCGGCGCTCGCGGGGAAGCACCATTCGCTGTTCTCCATCCTCGCTGCCTCTTCCTCCGTTTCCTCCTATCCTACCTCCTCCTATCCTTCCGCCTCCTATCCCACCTCCTCTCACCCTTCATCGTCATCGTCAACATCCCCATCAACCCCAGGCGGAAGCGTCGCAGGGCGCATCATCCTCCGCCGCCCCGGGATGACGCTCCAATCCACACCCACATCCCTCGAGTTCGCGGTGCTCGCGCGCGCGCGGGGCGTCCGGGACGCGCGGTGGATGCGCGCGGTCGGCGCGGACGAGCGGTTTCGGGGGTATTTGCTGTATGTGATGGCGCTGGCGCCCGCGTCCGCGGGGAGCGTGCGGAGCGGGAGCGGGGTAAGGGAGCGGTTGGGCGTGGGTGTTGTGTTGGAGAAGGCGTGGTATGAGGCGGGGGCGGGGGAGGAGGTTGTGTTGGTGCGGTGATACGTTTGGGGTGGCGGTGATTTATTGTGATGTGGTTTGGGGTGGACACGGTCGAGTATACCCAGGTGCTTATATGAGTTTTATGTTTTGTTCGGGACGTATTTTGGAGTGTACTTTGTTGTAGATTTCAGCCAATGCGATATATATGCTTGTGTCACGCCACCCAGATTCGCAGCACTATGATACATTGGTTCACTAATTGATTCTCTCTAAACGCTCCGTACTATCTGCCCGTGGCTAACAGATATTCATCCATGACTACACCAAGAAAGCAGTAAACGCCATGTCTATTCCGACTCTGAACCTGATCCAGATCCTGTCTCATCGTCGTCTAAGGACACAAGATCAGCCCAAACGTGGCAAGCGCATATGACAGATCTCGATTTCGAGGCGAACGCACCGTTAGCAAAGTCGTCCGCGCTCAGCTCTACGCGGCGGCGCGCGGGCACGGGTGGTGCTTCGTCTTCTTCGTCTGCGTCTTCGTTGATGACGGACTCGAGCTCGTCGTACGTCGCCTCGTCTTGTGCTTGGAGTTTCTCGAGCAATCCGTTGCCTGTCACCCCGTTGTGGTCTTCTTTGCTGCATCGCCATCATCCCGAATGATCATCAGCCTACGTTCCTCCAGCTACAAATACACATGCCGAGCGAGCGAGCGAGCGAGCGAGAGATGGGAGGATGAAGAGGAGAAGGAAAGAGGACGCACTCGGTATCAGCGCCTGCGTTGATCAGCTGCGCGACGATGTGGATCTTGCCCTTGTCCGGGCTCCGGATGAGCTGCGCGAGCGCGATGTGCAGCGGCGTGTCGCCCTCGGTGTACGGGTCCGCGCGCGGGCCGGCGACGGGGTCAATGTCGCCGTCGGTTTCTACGATCTTGTCGACGAGCTTTTCGATGACCCATATCGATGTGTTTTGGGCGCTGTTGGGAGGGTGTTGGGGTGGGTGAACGGAGAGGGATGGAAGGACGTACGCGAGGTGCAGTGCTGCGAGTGGCGCGTCAAGGGACATCGGCCTCAGGATCCGACGGATGAGCGATCGAACGCGACAAGGGCAGCGCACCTGTCAGTCCTTTCCTTGAAGAGAACGTTAGTGCGTCTCTCCTGGAGTTGTGAGGACGCGACGGACGCACTCGTTTTGCGCATCCAGATCGTAGTCGCCGTTCTCGAAGACCTCGTCGAGGACATCTTCTAGGTCCTCGCGGGCCGCGCGCCATAGCTTCATTTCTGTTCATCGTTCGTGTGTGCCGCGCGAAGGGTGAGCGTGAGCAACTTTGGAGTTTAGCTGGGGCTGTGGGCGAGGGGTTGGAGGACGCGTACGGTTCTCGCTGACATCCGCCATGTTCCTCGCGTTCTTTCGTCAAGTGTAGCTGTGATCTAGGAGGCCTCTTCTCGAGAGGGGTTAAAAGAAGAAAGAACAAAACAAAGAGAGAGGAAGGAGGAGGAGGTGATGGTCGTGAACAAGGGTCGCGATAAGTAGCATGCAGTGCTCAGGCTCGCGTGCCACTCAGCTGTTTCCCCTGAACGAACGCCATCCGACATGTCCGGTCCTGCTCATTTCTCTCTCCATCTTTCAGCATACCCACCTACCTTCCACAGAACACTGTCTCGCAGCCATGTCGGCCGATCTTGAGCTGGTCAGTCCTCCATGTCGTTCAGAGCACCCAGGTAGACAAAAGGGAAGCTGATCTCGATACCTCTTGGTTCTGACGACAGAGTTCGGCCACCCTCGTCACGATCGAGGAGGGCCCCGTGTCGGTCGTGTCCAAGGTCGTGGACGGAAATGACAGGCGCGGCGAGCTCGCAGTCAAGACCTCGACGATACACCGCAAGTTCGTGCGCGAGCCACACGACATCATCAAGGAGGCCCGCATCCTCAAGTCGCTCTCGCATCCAAACGTGTGTTTAATCAACCACCAAAAATTCGCGTGCTTATGAGCTGCGCAGATCATAAATGTCCTGGGCGACGTCGCGGACGCGCGCGCAGAGACGCTCAGCTACTGGATGCCCTACCTCCCCTTCTCCCTCCCCAATCTCCTCGCGTCCTCCATGTTCTCACCACACCCGCTCGTGTCTCTCTTCACGCCGTCTCCGTCCGACCCTCCATCCCCGCGCGAGCAGAAGTTTGTCGTCCTCGCGCGCTCGTTGATCTTCCAGCTCTGCGCGGCCCTCGCCTACCTACACGATGAGGTGAAGATAGCGCACCGCGATGTAAAGCCACACAACATTATGATGGACGCGAATGGCAAAGTCGTACTCATCGATTTCGGGATTGCCTACCCCGAGGACGAGGACGCGAGCGCCAAGGGAAGCGACTTGTGGCCGGAGACCAAGGACAAAATGTACTTCGAGGTGTCCACTGGGTACGTCCCCCCGTCGACCGCCTGTCTGCCAACACTAACGCATTGTACAACTTTGCATGATAGACCCTACCGCGCTCCCGAGCTCCTCTTCGGCCCACGCACGTACTCCGCGCCCGCGACCGATCTCTGGTCCCTGGGCACAACCCTCGCCGAGTTCTTCACGCCCCTCCGCCTCGTTCCGTCCTCGCACTCTTCATCGGACGACGAGCCTGTCGGCCGCCCGCACATCTCGGATCCGCAGCTGCGGATGGACGGCGCGAAGCCACCAGAGCCCTTCGTTATCCCGCCGACGATGCGCGTGGGCGACCCCTCGGCACGCTGGGTGAGGGCGTCGCTGTTCGACGGCGCGAGGGGCGAGATCGGGCTCGCGTGGAGTATATTCAAGACGAGGGGGTCGCCGACGGAGGAGAGCTGGCCTGTGCGTCTTGACTTCTTGCTTGCTTACTTGATCTCTCACTGTCTCTTGCCGGTTTACTCATGCGATCGTTACTCACACAGTCCTTCCTCTCTCTCCCCGACGCAAACAAGATCTCCTTCGTCGACGCCCATCCCATCCCTCTGTCATCTCTCCTCCCACATCTTCCGCCTTCCTTACGTGCTCTTCACGACCCCTCGTCGCTCGACACAACGTCGCACGCGCCAAAACCTCTTGCAGATGCAGCAGCAACGCCACTGGACCTTCTTCATCGTTTACTGGTGTACGAGCCCTCGCGCCGGCTCTGCGCCCACGACGCGCTGCATCATCCGTGGCTGGCTGACAAGACCGGCGTGCTCCTGCCCGAAGGGTACAAGCCCGCAGCTGGCACCGCTATCTACACCTGGGCAGACCCAGTCGCGAGGGATCAGGAGAGTAGGGAGAGAACGCTGGGCGACTTGATCGCGAGCATGAAGTGATTCGAATGTCGAATCAGGCGGACGTCCGAAGAGTGAAAGTGAAGAGTGAGAGAATGCAAGAAAGGAAGTGAAATACATGTACAAGAGTGATACAGCGGGATAACTGCGACAGCGACGCGGGTCTGTATCTCTAGATAATTTAATGCCCAAGCCAACGGGCTATGTGATGCGCGTGTAAATCACGGGCTAGCGCGGTACTACAAATGCGGCGAGCCTTATTCTGCTGTCATGATCATGCAGCGACCTTCCCGGGTGACAGCGACATCTTCGTCGGTGAAGCTGTCGAGGGCGGTATGGCCGGTATGAGCATGGACGCAGGTGGTGCAGGCGCGCCCATGAGCAGGTGGTTGTCGATCGAGATACCTGGAGCGAAACACAGTCAACTACATTATCCACGTGCATAAAGAGACATGAAGAAACGCACTCTGAGTCGCGTTCGACGTCTTGTATATCCCGATCAGCCGGTGGCTCAGCTCGAACATGTCGTTGCTTTTCGTCCAAGTCAGCGCCCGCTTATGACTTTAAGCTTGGCATATCGGAGTGAATCTCACCGAAGAGAAATGATGATGAACTGTGCGTTCTTTGTCCGGTCCTTGATGTAGTTCGCGACGATGGACACGTTCCGGAAGTCGAGCGCCGCGTCGATCTCGTCCATAAAGTACAGCGGTGTCGGCTTGAAGACGTGCAGCGCGAAGACGAGCGCGAGCGAGCTGAGCGTCTGTGTACCCACCCAATTTCAGCCAACTTCACGCGTGAAAGAAGCGAAGAGGATCGGACAAACCTTCTCACCGCCGGAAAGATTCGAGATGTTCTTCCAGCTCTTCTTGGGCGGCATGACGCTGAATATGATTCCCTCCGAGAACGGATCCATGCTGTCTACCAGCTCGAGCTCCGCGTTTCCACCCAGCGTGATCATCTGCCCCAATGCCCAATCAGCTGTCTTTTTCCTGCGAGAGGACTGACAAAACGCACCTGGTACATCTCTTTAAGCTTGAGCGAAATAAGACTGAAGCCCGCCATGAACTCGTCCAGGCGTTGCTTGCGCAGGCCCTCGTAGTTCGCCTTCTGCTCGTCGCGCTCCGCGGTGATCGCATCGAGGTCTTTGGCGCGGCGGAGGAACTCCTCCTCGCGCTTCTTGTACTCCTTGAGCACACCAAGGTTCGGCTTCGCGTTCTTGACCTTCTCTGTAGATCATGAAACGCCACGGTCAGTCAAAGATCCAAGCAGACAGGGATGAGCGCTGGGGCTGAGAGGGACTGGACGCACCATCAAGGAACTGCTCATCCGCCAAGAGCTCGCGCTTCTTGAATTGCGAGAGCTCTTCTTCACCGTAGCTATGCAGCTCGTCTGATGACTCGTGCCCGCGGGCTTTCTTCTTCTTCTTGGGTATGGGCGCGTCATCGGTGGGCTCGGCCTTCACCTCCCCCTCTGCATCCTCCTCGGCTTCTGCCATCGGAGCGTCTGGATCAGGCTTCACCTCGGTATTTTCGCCCTTCTCGTCCTTGCCTTGCCCTTCCTCTTCGTCCTCGTCGTCACTGCAATCAAGTGTTAGTAAATGGAACGAGCTGGTAAACGCAGAGTGAACGTACTCAATCTCCTCAAGCCTCAGGTTATCGTGCAAATTCCTCCAGTGGTCTATGTTTTTGTCGTTGTCCTCCGCTAGCTTCCTATTTTCGCCGAGCTTGGTCTCAAGCTCGAACTACCCACGAAGCACCCACCGTCAGCCGAGCCCACTCTCTCTTAGCAAAGAAACCAAAATGACGTACCTCATTCTTCAAAAAGTCTTGGATCCCCTCGCGCTTCTCCTCCAGCTGAGTCTTGAGGCTATCCAAATCGTCCCTCGAGTTCTCCGCCGCATGCTGCGCCGCGTCGACCTTCTCCCGCAGCTCAGCCAGATACTCCGCGTTCTCATCCAGCTGGCCCTGCAGCTCCTCCAGATCCCGCTCCGCCTCCGCGAGCGACTGCTGGTTCGCCTCGATCGTGCCCGTGAGCTTGACAAGGTCGCGCTCGGCCTTGTTCTTCGCAAACTCGGCCTTGACGATCTCCTCGTTGCCGAGCTTGGTGAACGTCTTGATGCTGTCAATCGTGGAGCGCTGTAAGAGCACGCGCGAGCCGCCGATCTCCTCGATCTTCTTCTGCAGGGCCTTGATGGAGTCTTCAATCTCGGACGTCTTTTCTTGCAGGGTGTTCATCTCGCCTGTGGACGACGCGATCTCCTGCTCGAGCTTCTTGATGCGCGCGGCGTCGTTCGGGTTCGGCTTGTGCTGTATCCTAGCACAGGGGTCAGCGACCATCAAGATGAAATCAAATATGCAACGCACTTGAGCTGCTTCACCCGCTTCTCGTGCTCCACAATCCTCCTCTGCACACTCTCCAGCGCCATGCCCAGCTTATCGATAGCCAGATCTAGCTTAGGCCCGCTCTGCTCGAGGCCCTCCACCTCCGCCTCGAGCCCCCTGAGCCTGCGATGCGCGTCCTCGCGCGCCTGCGCCGCCTCGTCGCTCTCATGCTCGTACGTCCTCAGCACCTCGGGCTGCACCGCCTCCGCCGCGAGCTTAGAGCTCATCGCGCCCCGCGAGACATGCGTCCCGCCTCCAGACATCGCACCGGACGCCTCGATCAGCTGCCCCTGGAGCGTAACAACGCGCCACCGCCTCGGCCCGCTGAACGCGATGCGGTTCGCCTGCTCGAGGTCGCTCGCGACGAGCGTGTTGCCGACGCCCTTGAAGAATGCGGGCGCGAAGCGCGCCTCCTTGGGCTTGATGAGGTCGAACAGGCGCGGCGCGCCCTCGGGCGTGGACACGGGCTGCAGGTGCGCGTCGTGCGGGAGCTTCTCGAGCACCATGAAGGACGCGCGGCCGACGTTGTTCTTGCGCAGGTAGGCGATGCACGCTTGGCCCTGCTCGACGGTGTCGACGACCATATTGTGCAGCGCGCCGCAGGCGGTCGAGACTGCGACGTCGTATTTGTCCGGGATGGTGCCCAGTGCGCCGAGGCGGCCCTAGCACCGGCCGTTGAACACGCGAAATACGGGCACAAGCAAATAGGACGTACATGGAACCCTTCAATACGCCCGGTCTGCTTGAGCTTCGTCAAGCTGTCCAGGACGCGGTTCTGCGAGGTGCTGGCTGCTTGCGACGCCTTTGCCTCGTCGACCCTCTGGCGTAGCGAAGACGCCTTTGCCTGCAACTCCTGGTACTTCCCTTGCGCGTCCTGAACTCCAGTTAGCCATTTGATCCGTTCAGCAACCAAAGTGACCCTCACCTGGACCTTACGCTGCGCAACCTGCCTATCCCGCTGCAGATTATTCCTCTGTTCCTTGCAACCATCAAGTTCATTGAGCTGCCAATAGCGCAATGTCAGCCTGGGTCAAGTGTAGCAGAGACAATAAAACGCGCCTTGCCCTCATGCTCGCCCTGCGCCTCCTCAAGCGCCGTCTGCGCCTGCTCGATCTCCTGCCTTGCCGCCTCCGCAGTGTTCCTGATCAGATCGCGCTCGCTCGCAGCAATGTCGATCGCCGTCTTCTTGTCGTTTATCTTCTTGTTCCACGGCTGCAGCTCCTTCTGCTTCTCCTCGATCTGGTCGTGGAATACCTGCGTTTTGTCTGTCCGTCCGTGTATGTGGTCAACCCGACTCATGAGATGGCGTGCACAAAGAAAGGGAAGGGGAAAAGTCGAACGCACCCTTGAGACTGTCCATGATCGCCTCGAGCGCCTTCTCCTCGCGCTTGAGCTCCGCCTCCTTCGCCTCGACCTCAACAGTGTTCTTCTCAATCCTCCTACCGCTCTCCTCGACCGTGCGCTCCGCCTCAATCCGCGCTTTCTCGTCCTACCGTGCCCCGCAACAAAACTGTCAGCGCCCGCACCACACCAAGCCCCGTCCTCACGCAGCACGACGCACCTCCTTGAGCGACTTCTTGAGCTTGTTCGCCTTCGAGCTCGCGTTCTTCCTGCGCTCCTCGAGCCCAACCGCCTTCTTCTCGTACACAGCGAACTCCTTGCTCGCCGCCTCCGCGGCCTCCTTCACGTCCGCATAAATGCGCTCGCGCTCCGCGAGATGCTCTTCGAGCAGCCGCACATGCGCGACATCGTCCTTATTCTGCTCTCGCTCCTCCGCGAGCTCCGCCTCCAGTTTTTGCTGTCCGCATGCCCATCAGTCACCCCACCCACACCCAAAACCGAAGCAGACGAGGACGCACGATGCTATCGCTGTACTTCTCGTCATTCAACAAACACTGCCACAAATACCACTGCCACAGCCGACTCTGCGCGCGCACATGCTCGTTCACCAGGCGCAGATACTCGAGCGCATCGCGCCGCTCCTCCTCGAGCTTGTTCTTCTCGCGCTCGACGAGCCGCAGCCGGTTCAGCTTCTCGCCGCGCTCCTCCGTGAGGCGCTCCATCTCGCCGAGCGCGTCCTCGATCGGCTGCTTGTACCGCGTCGTGCCGATGATGTCCTCCAGGTACTCGAGCAGGCCGTCTTCGTGCTCCGTTTGCGCTTTGGGCTTCATCTGCGCGATGGACTCGACTTCGCCCTGTTGTCGTTATCGTCATCGTCATCGTCATCGTTATCGTATTGGTTATCGCAACAACGCATACGAAAACGGGGTTCACGCATATCGGGTACGGAGAAGGAGCCGTCGTCAAAAATCAATATCGAAATGATGAGTTGGGGATTAGAAGACACGAACGCACCTGCAGAATCAAAAACCGCTTATGGTCCAGATCGATCCCGCGCCCCTTGAGCAGCGTCTGCACCTCCGTAAAATTGCTCGCGCGCGCGTTAATCGTGTACTTGCTACTATTATTCCTGTACGCCGTGCGCGCCACCACGAGCTTCGAGCCCGGCACGACCTTGAACGCGTCGGGGCCTGGCTGTGGTGGATGCCCATTACCAATTAGCCGGATAGAAAAAAACGCGAAACAGGAGGAAGGACGCACCAGATCGATAATCTCGCGAAAGTGCACTTCGACGCTGCACTCGTCCAGGTCTGGGAACTTGGCCGAGTTGTGGATCAGCTCGGACAGCTTGCCCTGGCGCATCTTGGACGCGCGGTAGCCGAACACGAAGAGGAGCGCGTCGATCGTGTTCGATTTGCCCGAGCCGTTCGGGCCGACGATCGCGCTGAAGGACTGTCAAATAAAAAAAAAATCGTGCTTGAGCGTGCGTCCCGGATAGAATAGAATACGGATATAAAGAGAGGAGTAGGAGGAAGGAGAAAACACACCTTATGAAACGGCCCAATCTCCTGCCTCCCCGCATAGCTCTTAAAGTTGATCAACGCCATCTTATGTATCACAAGTCGCTTCTTCGGGCCCGTGTCCTCCTCTCCGCCGCCCACAGCAAAGTCGGGCATCATCGACGCAGGCACGTGCGACGCCGAGAACCCATTAACCACACCCGGCTTTCCCTTTCCCCTGGGCGTGCGCGGCGGCCCGTCGAGGAGCGACTGCTCCTCTTTTTCGATCGTGCGTTTGGGCATGGTCGACGCGAACGGCGACTTTGTTGGGGACTTCGTGGGCGACGCGGAGCCGCCTTCCGCCCCCTGCTGCTGCTGCGAGGCGCGGACGACGGCGTGCAGGCGCGCGTTGGTGGGCTTGGATTTGCGCGGCGTCTGCGCGAACTGCGACTGGAGGTCGGCCATGGAGTCGTCCGAGTCGTTTCCGCCGGCGCCGTTGGGTGCGGCAGTGCGCGAGGCTTTGGGCGTCGTGTCGTCCGCTTCGCCTTCTGCATCTGCTTCGCCTTCTGCGTCGGGCTCGGGTTCGGGTTCGGAGACTTCTGCGATGGGCTCTTCGATTCTGGCTTTTGCCTTGGCGGATGAGGCGGTCTTGCGCCCCTTTACGGATGAGGTGGACGCTTTGCGAGAGGGGGGCTTGCGTCCTTTGCTGGCGGGAGCGCGCGTTGCCAGTTCGTCGTTATCGTCGTCGTCATCCAAGTCCGTGATAGCGGGCGTCTCTGCAACAGGTGCATCGTCGTCTGTCTCGAGGACGGACTGGCCTCTCGTGCCCCTGCTACTGCGAGCGGAGGTGCGCCGCGCGGATGAGGATGGCGGTGCGGCGGAGCCACGTCTGCTAGTGCGACCTTTGGAAGCGGGCTTGGGAACTTCTTCCTCGTCCTCCTCGTCGTCTGATACGACTCTGGTCTGGCGTTTGTTGGCGGGTGCCTTGCGCGTAGTGGTGCGCCGCGCTCTAGACGGGGCCTCTTCCTCCTCCCCATCTTCATCAAAGACCGACTCGTCAGACTTTCTCGACCTCTTCTTGGCAGGCGCAACAGCCTCCGTCTCCGTCTCCTCTCCCTCGTCTTCCTCGTCTATCTCCGCCACCTGCTCGAGCGACGTCCTGGAAACACGCGTTTTCCGCGTCGCAGGTGCCGGTGCACCGACGCTGCTCGCGCGACTGGACGGTCTGCGCGAGCGTGACGATGGCTTGGCAACAGTCTCTATCTCCTGGGGTTCTTCAGGTTTGGCTGATGATCCACGCTTGCGCTTTGATGTCGGTGCAGCTGATTCTGGCTCTGCGGATGCCCGCGTTGTGCGGGACGAGCGGCGGGGTGGCATGGCTGGGCTCTTGAGGCCTTGAGGGTGAGGGAATCGCGAAGGAGGCGTGGGTGGGCGTGACATGTACGCGTCGACGCGAATGGTCACGCGTCACGTGGCGCTGTTTTGTAACTCCGGTGTTCTCGGAGGTGGTAGCCGGCGGGGGCGTCTGACAAAGAGCTCCTCGGGACGTAAAATGTGCTTTCATTGCTAACACTGTTTTCTACAATGAACATTAGACTGGCAGAGGCTGTTTTATGACTGGGAGCGTTAAAAGGCTGTGATTGGGCTGTTATAGATGGCTATCAACGAGGAGACTTTACCTAATCGTGTCTGCTCCACAGCGACTTCTGCGCAGCACATCCCATCGCCTCGCTACCGACACTCCGTCACCTTTCTTTCTCTGGCCTGACATAAGTCTCTCAGCCTTTTTCTTACCCCACCACCTCCACTTTCCCCTCCTCCCCTTGCTCCCTCCCTCGAGAGCGACAGCCACAATGTCGCCCTACGACGAGGACGGACTGCCAACATACTCCTCGGCCATATCCGAGAAAATCTATCTCGAGTCTCGCACCAGCAAAGGCTACTGGACACCCCGCCCTCCATCCATCCGCCTCTACCTCACAAACCCCCGCCGCCTCACAAAGCTCACCTCCACCCGCATCACACGCCGCAAATCATGGCTCCTCTTCCTCGTCACCATCACCGCCTCCCTCTGCTTCTTCTACCTCTTCGACTTTCCCTCCTTGCGCCGCGACAAGTACCCCCGCTCCGCCCGCGACTGGCCAGGCATCAGCGTCGGCTTCACAAAAGAGGTCGACGAGAGCGCCAGTTCCACCCTCGTGTTTGAACGAGAAGAGATTCAGCGGATATGGCAGTGGGAGATCGAGTCGGGCCATTTCCCTTCCAATGGCAAGGGTAAGTTTGCCCTCTCTTTCCCCCCCTTATATCGTTGCTAAGCGTTGAGCAGTCCCTGAACAAGTCGGTCTCTCCACCGCTCCACTCAACCCCGCCCTCCCACCACGCCGCGTTCCCACCATTCCCTCCCGCTTCCGCCCACCACCAGGGCCCGTAGCCACTACTACCCGCGGAGACGGCCCCAAGCGCGTGTATTACGGTCCACAGTTCAAGGAAGGCGAAGTCGCCTATCCACCACGGCCCGTACCAGGTGGAATCGCAGATCTCGACGTGATCATGCAGCACTGCGACTTTGAGCTGGACAAGGTACGCACCCGCCCCTCTTATCTCACCACGCCCTTGACAGACGTTTTACACAGTACGTCCGCGACTGCCTCGAAGTCCTCCGCGTTGGCGCAGGCCTCAACAACGGCCGCGGCCTCCGCCGCGCCCCAACAGACGAGTGGAACTACGTCTACCTCCACGCGGGCCGCGAGAACTTCACCGAGCCCGCAAGTGAAATCCCAATCGCCAAGGTCATCGCGTCCGCCTCCTCCGAGTCCACCCCCGACCAACGCGCCCCGTCCAACAACAACAATCCACACACGAACCCCAACGCGGGATTCGTCAAGAAAAAGGACGCGCCATGGGAACCCGCGCTGGTGCTCTCCGACCCCGCGCAGGCGAGCAGAGAGGGCTCCGTGGCGGAGGAGGCGTCCGCGGTGGTGGAGACGATCGAGATGGACGGTGCGTGCGACCCCGAGAATCCACACGTGTTCCACATGTTCTGGACGGGCCCGTTCACCGACAAACCGTACGCGTCCATCCTCTCCTTCCTCTTCACCCAGAACCTCGGGCTGCATCTCCCCGCCGGCGCGGCGGAGGTCGCGGGCGTGTGTCGCCCGCAGTACTGGATCTGGATCAACCCCGAGCACTTTGAGCGGTTCAGAAGCCCCGCGGCGGCGCGCGCGGCGATGCTCGAGAGTCTCGAGACGAATCCGTGGAGCGCGCCGTTCCTCGATGGGAGGTTCAGAGACGCGATCAAGTTCAAGATGTGGAACACGACCGAGCAGCTCGACAGTATCCCCGAGATCAAGGACGACTGGCGCGCCTACTCGGGCTCGCTGCTCAACTCGGGCGGACACATCATCGACGTCGCGCCCGGCGGCGCCAACGCCAACGCCAACAACGCGGACGAAGCAGCCGGCGCAGGCGCAGGCGCAAAAGCCAAGTCGGAGGAATACGACAAGGGCTCCGTCGTGCTCAGCGACATGGCGCGCTTCGTGCTGTGCCACCGCTTCGGCGGGATCTACGTCGACGCCGACACTCTCTTCCTGCGCGACTGGTCCGAGCTCTTCCACACGCGGCACGCGTTCGCGTACCGCTGGTCGCGCCTCGACAAGTACAACACCGCCGTGCTGCGCCTGAACCGGCGCTCCGCGTTGGGGTCGTGGTTGTTCAGAACGGCGTTTCGGAATAATCTCGATTTCCACCCGATGACGGTGACGCAGTACGCGAAGGACGCGTATCTGGATGCGTTGTTGAGGATGTTGCCGGATGCGCTGTTTGATTCGGCGTGGTTGAACACGGAGGAGTTTCAGCGGGATCGGCCGCCGCAGCCGTATTTTGTCGCGTGCGTATCCGTTGTTTACTGTGGTTTTTTTGTGTGCTTTTGGAATAGTGCTGACGCGTGAGGGGCTGGGTGTAGATTCGACAATTTCTTCCATACGCCAGCGTCGGCGAGCGCACAGCCGCAGGCGCTCGGGTTCGAGGGCTTCTTCCGCGGCGCGTATTCGTACCACTTCCACAACTCCTGGTGCGCCCCCCCCCC